GAGCATGATTTGGATGAGGGCCGAGACATTGATATTCCACATTTGATGGGGCAGGTTGCGGGTGCGATTGATAGGATTCAGCCGGCGGGGGAGATTGTTGCGGAGATGGTGCAGGAGGCGGTTGATATGCTGAAGCTGGGAGACACGTATTTGACGGCCAAGAGCCGTTTGTAAGTGTAGATGAAGTTGATGAGTGATGCAATATTGTTCTTTTTGTCTTTTAGGAAATTCGTAATGCAACTGACGAGCATAAATGAGATATTAACCAGAATGATTTACGCTTACGCTTACATCAATTGATAGCTGATGAGGTGACACTGTTTCGTTTTGCTGCCTTCTGATAACCATCACCAAACACAAGCGTGGTGGTGAGCTGAACGAACAAGTACGTACCTGTGGCTAGTGCACTCTTAGCTCCATTGATTACTGCGCATCTGTGGCGCAACCCCACCATTATGGATCCCGGTTTTTTTGCAAATCGCAGACTAACTTTTTTTTTTCTTATCGGTTCCTGATTGCTGGCGAAATATTTCTGCTGCATTATCACCAAATCCTCAGCAAAACACCCGTAAACCACGTCAATCATGGCTGGCGCTACATTGAACAATAAGCGCAAGCGCAATCAGACCGATGCCGCTGCCGACAGCTCCAAAAAGTCCAAAAAGCTGAAGAATCCTCCCCCCGCCGAGCCCAAGGAAGACGAAGAAGCATCAGAGGAGGAGGAGGAGTCGAGATATGAAGATGCAGTCTCCAACCTCGAGCAGGAGAAGGACAATGAGGATGGAGAATCAGACGCAGGCGAAGGATCAGACCTAGAAGACAATGCTGTTGCCAAGAATGCCGATGGCGATGTCATTCCGGCCACCTCTGCGCCGATATTATCGACCCTGGCCGAGTCTGACAAGTTTGAAGATCTCAAGTTAACCGAAAAGACCATGAGGGCAATTCAAGAGATGGGCTTTACAAAGATGACCAGCATCCAGCGCAGCGTTCGTCTTCCTCTTCAATTTCCCGGCTCCAGTGACATGCTGTATTCATTGATTTACTAATACTGCTTCCTCCAGGCCATCCCACCTCTTCTCGCTGGCAAGGACGTCCTCGGTGCAGCCAAGACTGGATCCGGAAAGACGCTCGCCTTCCTAATTCCCGCCATCGAAATCCTCAGCTCTCTTCGATTCAAGCCCCGAAACGGTACCGGCGTCATTGTCGTGTCTCCAACCCGAGAGCTTGCGCTCCAGATCTTCGGCGTCGCACGCGAGCTGATGAAGCACCACTCACAGACATACGGTATCGTCATTGGAGGAGCCAACCGAAGAGCAGAAGTCGAGAAGCTGACCAAGGGCGTCAACCTGTTGATTGCCACGCCTGGCCGACTGCTCGATCACCTTCTCAACACCCAATTTGTCTTCAAGAATCTCAAGTCTCTGATCATCGACGAGGCCGATCGTATTCTGGAAGTTGGTTTCGAAGATGAAATGAGGCAGATTGTCAAGGTGCTGTCAAACGATGACCGACAGACTATGCTCTTTTCTGCGACACAGACAACCAAAGTTGGTGAGTATTTTTTCGGGCTGACTTGAGTCATGAAATTCATTGGCTAACGAATTTGTGATGTACAGAGGATTTGGCCAGAATCTCTCTGCGACCCGGCCCACTATACATCAACGTCGACGAGGAGAAGCAACACAGCACGGTCGATGGTCTCGAGCAGGGTTACGTCCTGTGTGAGGGCGACGAGCGTTTCCTACTACTATTCTCTTTCCTCCGAAAAATGCAGGCCAAGAAGAAGAAGGTTATTGTCTTCTTCAGCAGCTGCAACTCTGTCAAATATTACTCTGAGCTCTTGAATTACATTGACTGCCCGGTACTGGATCTTCACGGCAAGCAGAAGCAGCAGAAGCGAACAAACACATTCTTCGAATTTAGCAATGCGCCGCACGGTATCCTCATCTGCACTGATGTTGCTGCTCGTGGCTTGGATGTGAGTATCTTTTCGCTATCGAGAGGAAGCAAAAGATGGTGTAATGCTGACTGGTTAAATGTTAGATTCCCGCCGTCGACTTCATTGTCCAGTTTGACCCCCCGGACAACACTCGTGACTACATTCACCGTGTCGGACGAACAGCGCGAGGTTCCGATGCCAAGGGCCGCAGCTTGCTTTTCCTTCAGGTAAACTCATCTCCGACCGCAGATCTGTTCTACCTCTTCATCCACTAACACATCCAATAATAGCCCAACGAAGTCGGCTTCCTGTCCCACCTCAAGGCCGCTCGTGTCCCCGTCGTCGAGTTCGAGTTCCCCCGAAAGAAGATTATCAACGTTCAGTCCCAGCTCGAGAAGCTCATTGGAAAGAACTACTACCTGCAGCAGAGCGCCAAGGATGCCTTCAAGGCCTACCTCCACGCCTACGCCAGCCACAGCCTGCGGTCCGTCTACGACGTGCAGAAGCTGGACCTGGTCAAGATTGCAAAGAGCTTTGGCTTCTCTACGCCTCCGCGAGTGGATATCCAGCTGGGCGCGAGCATGGGACGGGACAAGGTGCAGGCGAGGAGGTCGTATGGCAGCCAGCCGAAACAGGTTGGCAAGTACAAGAGGGATAAGAGGAATTAGAGGTGTAATTTATTCATAAGGCGCGGTATATAAAATGGGAAATAATAAGGCGTATTTTGTTTACGAGGAGTTGTTGCAGGAATGTGACCTTTGTTTGAGCCAAGATGATTGATCTTTGTCATGCAATTGGTGAAGACACAAGCCAAGGGCTTTGAATCAACCAAGCACGACATGTTTCTCTTTCCAAAAAGTTGTCTTTCTGATCGTATTCTTCCGTTACTATTCAAATGAAACTATAATCTTCAACTTTCAACCATTTAAATGCTCTCAATGCTCTCCAGTTGGCTTAGATTAGACTCTTATGCGCATACCGCTGCATGTGGCTGAGTTCTGAGTTCGGTACTAACGTAAGCAGCATTTTCCAAAACAACACCCGACCTCGGATGTTCGTTCGCTGATCACTTCTCACTCATGCATCTTCTTTCCATCAACTCAATTGGTTTCGGCGCTTCTGGAATTTACTGCTTCAAGCGTTTGTTTTCATGTGTACATATCAATTGATCAATTAATTCATAAAAAGAGCTTCCCATTGGCGTAGCTTTCTGACGTCACCACCATGGAAGCTCACGATACAGTCGTCTCATCCATATCCTCACGCGTCAAGCACTTCCATCAACTGCAGAAGCCCTTCCGCCTCTACCATGGCGCCACCAACAGCACGCGCCGCTCCCACCGCAGCGCAGACAACACAATCGACACCAGCCAGCTGAATCACGTCCTCTCCGTCGATGCCGCCGCCAAGACGGCCGTCGTGGAGCCGAACGTGCCGATGGACCTCCTCGTGAGCGAGACGCTGCGCCATCGGCTGGTGCCGCCGGTGGTGATGGAGCTGCCCGGCATCACGGTGGGCGGCGGCTTCTCGGGGACGTCGGGCGAGAGCAGCTCGTTCCGCTACGGCGCGTTTGACGCCAACATCAACTGGATCGAGATTGTACTGCCCGACGGCGAGGTGGTGCGGGCGTCCAAGACGGAGCGGCAGGATCTCTTCTGGGGCGCGGCGTCGGCGTTTGGCACGCTGGGCGTGGTGACGCTGCTGGAGGTGCAGCTCAAGGAGGCCAAGACGTATGTGCAGCTGGAGTATTCGCTGGCGTCGGGGGCGGCGAGCATGCTGAAGCGGGTGCAGAAGGCCTGCAATGTGACTGAGAACGACTATGTCGATGCCATTGTGTTTTCCATGGACACGACGGTTGTTTGTGTGGGGAGGTTGACGGATGAGCTGCCAGCTGGGACGAAGCCGGTGGGTTTTCTTGGTCGCAGCGATCCCTGGTTCTATACGCGGGCCAAGGAGATCGTGGAGCGGCTCAAGACGACGGGATTGGGAAACGTCAAGGAAATGCTGGTCACAGACTATGTCCCCTTGGAAGACTATCTCTTCCGCTATGACCGCGGCGGCTTCTGGACGGCCGTGTACGCGTACCGCTACTTCATCACGCCCTTTAACAGGATCACCAGATACATCCTCGACTCCTTCATGCACGCCCGCGTCATGTACCGCGCCGTGCACAAGAGCGGTCTCGCAGACTACTACATGGTCCAAGACGTCGGCGTACCGTACGATAAAGTGGTCGAATTCCAAGCCTGGCTGGACAAGGAGCTGCACATTTACCCCCTCTGGATCTGCCCACTGCGCATCCGCCGCGACGACCCCGATTCAGGGCACGGCTTGCATTCGGAGTTTGCAAAGCCAAATACCCCGGACTTGATGAACTTTGGCGTCTGGGGCGGCGTCAAGGGCAATCGCCGCGAAGTCATTGAAAAGAACCGCGCGCTGGAGCGCAAAGTCCAGGAATTGAACGGTAAGAAGTGGTTGTATGCGCATGCGTATTATACCGAAGACGAATTCTGGTCACATTACGACAGGACGTCGTACGATGCGCTGAGGAAGAAGTACAAGGCGGAGTATTTACCGAGTGTGTACGACAAGGTCAAGGTTGACGTGGAGGGCGAGGAGAAGGCGAGAAACGCAACGTTCAAGTCGAGAAGCAAAGCTGCGTTTTGGGATCTTTGGCCGTTGGCGGGATTGAGAGGATTTTATAGTGCGGTGAAGGGGGGTGACTATTTGCTGCAGAAGGAGAAGGGGAAGAAGGAGAGTGTGGCTGCTGCGGCGGAGACACCAAAGACCAACTAATGTTTGTGTTGTATAGACGGGATGTAAGATACCCTTTTTAGAGCTTCAGAATGGATAGATGGAACTTACTAGACTTTTTTAACTTGGTTATTCTTTTATTCTGATTCATATAGATGATAATGCGATATCCATTGTACAATTTGATGACCACGATCCCTTCAATAATCTTACAGCTGTTTTTCTTTTTCTTTTTCTTGTTCCCTTTTTCTTGCTTCCATCACTTCATTTTGATAGCCCCGGGCACAGCAGACACAGTTCCCTCTCATTCTGTTCGAAAGCCACCCAACGGCGTCTTTTTCCTCCCACTCACCTCGGCAAGCGCCTTGTCGCGCTCCTTCTTCGCCTCCTCAGGATTCTTGGCAAAGACGTTGTAGCCGATGAGCAGGGCGAGGGCAGCACCGCCAATGACCATCCTGTATCATTGTTAGTTAAACTATATAAAGGGTCTATATTCAGCTGAGACGCACCAGTTACGCTTCAAAGCTTCAGGCCCGCCCGGTTTCTGCGGCGGCGGCTGTTGGCCACCGGGCCCGCGCAGGTTGTCCTTGTCTTTGTACGTGAGGTCCCGGGCCGCAGCGGTGGTGCTAAAGGGGGCGATGGCGGAGCGAGAGGCAAAGGCTGGGCGGAGGGCGGTGCGGAAGAGGGCTGTAGATGACCTTGCAGACATGCTGATGGATGGATTTGTAGAACTTTGGAAAGATTGATTGAATATGGGATGTGAGAAATGGTTGGGAAAAAGGTGTGGTGTATGGGAGGCTCTTTATATGTCAAAAGTGCCTGAATCTCCGATGACTTCAACGATGTGGCGGGTATGATGTGGGCATGACGTTGAGGGCTGCGGACAGCAGTTGTGGCCCGCAATTGACAGCAATTCTAAACAGAGTAAAAATACAAAGGTGAGATGAGGAGAAATACTGACTTTCTTGGATGGAGAGGTGATTTGTGGCGGGAGTTGATATTGGGATTTTGACCATGGGAAGGGATTGTTTTGGCGTGTTTGGTGGTGTGATGGGTGGGAGGTGGATTTAGGATGCTTGGTGCCGAGGAATGAGATGCATGATTTTGAGAACATTGATTGTTAAATGGACAGTTCAATCAGTTTCTTTCGATTTTTTTTTGATTTTTAAAATGAACCTTGTGTTAGGATGTGTTTTGTGATGTTCTGTTGAATGTTGTTGTGGTGGCGACTTATAGAGCTGTGTTGCTTCACAAGCTCGTCTCAGGAGCTGTAACAAGTCACCAGATGTCGAAAAGGACGAAAATCAGAATTTCTCAATTGCGAAGCCATTCCAATTGCGTAATAAGTTGAGTAGAAAAAGAAGTGGAATCCTTATAATTGAAATTACTACCTAGTAGTTGCTTTTTACTTGGTGCAGAGGTTGTTACTGCCGCGTGCATATACAATCCGAGTGCAATGGGCATATCAAAAGCGCCAACATATCACGCAGCACAATTAAACAAGTTCCCTATAGAACTATTCTTCTGGAAAAAGGCTTGTTCAGCTCTTTCTTTTGCAGACTCTTCAATGTTGGATTCTTTATTTTGTCCGTCAAGCATGCCCCGCAAAGGAACCCGAGCTCCGTATATACCATCAGCGCCGGCGTGCCCCGAGCCGGGACCGTTTTAACTCGGCCCGGCAATGCAAAAATCTCCTAGACGCTTCGGAGCACTGTACAAGTGCCACAACCAGACCTGTTCAGCTATTTGTAGGTATGACATATCGATGCAATGAGCCTAGCTGTATCCACATGATGAGATCAAGCAGGCTGAGTGGCACATCGAGAGACTACACTTTTCAAACGACCAACCATGTAACTTCCATTAATAGCGGCAAGGCAGAATACTAATATTCAAGCTGTACACTCCTTTCTTGCATGATGTAGGGAAAGATATTTGGCCTTTGTCTTCCATTATCCACAGCTGTTTTTCTGTATCTCCGTGTGCTCCATGTACTAATGCAAAAACAGTATGTCGATTGCCTGAGGTGTTACTCGATACATCGCATCTCTGATTTGAGAACAATGTTCGTTTCTATTCAACGCATCAAACATGAGACTATCATGCCCAAGCGATTCCATCAGCCGCCTCTCGCCAATCTCCAGATGCGAAAGCCGAATCCACCAATGAGCGTCATTCATACGGCTCAGCATCAAACTCGCCCAAACCCACATCTTTTCGCCAGCCATCTCCATATTTTCCCAGCCAAAACCGGCGCTCTAAAAAGCCGTCGGTTAATTTCTCTACCCCCAAACTCAGCCCCGACGGAAGTTGGAGATGCCAATCAGCGACTGTTGCGAGTCGCTTTGAGACTCAATTGATAGGGAAAATCTGGCTGCTGCGTAATTCAGTCAATCAGATTATTACCCGCGTGAACTATGGTCAGCCTCGGAACGATGTGTCCAGTCCTCAGCTCCAGCTCCTTAATTAGCGGAGATTTAACTCTCGGGGCGCCTTATCTCGAATGTTTATATATCGCCGTGAGCCGCAAGTTGAAAGATTCGTAGATTCCTCATTTCACACTCTTTATAAACCCGCAGTCGTCTTTATTGTGGTTCCATTTGCCTGGACAAAATGGGCAACTCAAAGTCCGTGTTGCGATCATCAAAGTCTTCGGGCTCTCAAGCGACGCAGAATGGCTTCGCGAACAACTCTCAAAAACCCCAAATGGTCCAGAAATCGCCGCAGGTAGCAACAGCTTCACTACCACCGCCACCCATTGTCATTGATGGAAATCTGGCTCTAAAAGGCAAGGTATTCGCCATCACCGGCGGCGCAAGCGGCATTGGCCTGGCGACTGCGCAGGTTCTTTCAAGACGGGGGGCAACGGTTTGCATTGCCGACGTAGATCCAGAAGCAATGAAGGCTGCTGAAGTATACTTCACGTCGCTGGAAGTTCCTCACATGGTCACAAGAGTGGATGTTTCCAAGAGAAAAGAGGTCGATGCTTGGATCGAGTCTATTGTCAAGGCCCACGGCCGGCTGGACGGTGCTGCCAACGTAGCAGGAGTTATCGGGAAATACCACGGCGTCTCGCCAGTTTCAGAGCTCGACGATGACGAGTGGGATAAAATCATCGGCGTCAACCTTACCGGAACCATGTACTGCATGAGGGCTGAGCTGAGGAATATGAACGACCGCGGTTCCATCGTCAATGTTTCTTCTATCCACGGATTAAAGGGTGAGTTTTTCGTTTCCGTCAAGTTGAAAGGGTAATGGGAGTTTTGCTAACGCCAATATTTGTAGGATTTGCCAGGCATGGTGCCTACGACGCAAGCAAGCATGGCATTGTTGGTCTCACGCGAGCAGCTGCCCTTGAGAATGGAGAGCGAGAGATTCGCGTCAACAGCGTTGCTCCAGGTGCCATTTATACGCCCTTGATGCAGAAGAACTGGGACTTCTCAGGCCGGCCAAAGGATGCTGCCTTTGACGATCCTACAGCTTTCCAGCGACAAGGCACAGCGGAGGAGACGGCGAATGTGATTGCTTTCCTACTAGGTCCAGAGAGTACATTTGTGAGCGGGAGTGTATACAAGGTAGATGGAGCCTGGATTTAACCACGCTGTCTGATGGAGAGGAGAGAATCCTCTGGTGAAGTGGCCAAGCGTGGCTTTGCATTGTATTGCGGCGTTACACTGCTGGTGGACTTTTTTTTTTCTGTTATTTATTCCTTTTCTGAGAAATGGACTGGCATTCTGTCTTTCGTTGATTATAGGAACGTTCAATTGATATACCAAGTTCTTTGTATGTGTCCAGGCTAGCTCGTAGATGGAAGAGACTGATCTGGTCTAATGCGTCCTCCGTCTTCTTATGGAATTGTTCCAGAAGTATTCGACCGAATAGGCAAATTCGGCAAGTTGCCGTCACAAACAAGATTTTATTTGCCCAACTCGGCCCTATTCTTACCAATTCGCTAATCATCGGGCACCAAGAGCAATCTATCTCGAAGCCGCCGCAACTGCAAAGGGCAATTGACTCCACCCCTGTTTTTCCTACGTTCCCCGAGACAGCTTCACAGCTGCCAGAGTCGGTAAGCCCAAACATACAGGGTGTGCGTGAATCAACCCACAGTACGGGGTTACTTCGCGCTCTTGGTCCCCATCTTCAACACTCAAGTGTGCTGTAGGATCGGCATCATGTGAGCCGCCCGAGAGGGGACGAAGCTCTCTCTGGTTGGATCATTCTTCCGTCGGCACCAAATCTCTGGCCCGCGATCCACCATCTCCACAAACCTTCATCATCCCAAACCTGGGGTAACCAAGCGGCAGCCCCCTCTGTAACTTCTGACAGTGAGCAAACACGAGAAAAAAAATAAAAAGAAGAATTAAAAATTAGAGACTGGTGCAGACACCAAGCCCTGAAGCAATTTAGCGTCACTTTAGTTTGGCCGAGGGCTTACAGGCACAGCAGCAAATGGCTAAAGCCTCATGAATCGCTCGTTTCTCCCCGCATTTCTAGCCTCGACTCCGAAATCACGGCAAAGTACTAAATGATACGGCATTTGCAATTCGCTCTTCGTGTTGAAAAAAAAGCAAAAACCCATCTTCAAGCCCCGTCTGTCAAGAATCAAAAAGCCTGTGCGCGGCTCCCAGTATCCGTCGGGTCGTCCCCAGTTTGCATTGCCCCTCTTGGGTCTTCTTCCCCCTATTTCCTCTCTCTCTCTTGTATGTGGACGGTACTACCGACTACCAAGCCATAACCACACGCCCGGATATTTCACAGAGCGGCCCCCATCTTTTTTTGCCTATGGTCTGATAGCGGGTGGATTCGATTCGGGAACCAGCCCTGCGAAACAGAGTCAGTCAGAGAAACAATTCGAAACAGAGAGCCATGGCAACCGAAGCCGACGGTGAACAGCGGGATCGCCCTCAGCCTCTCGTCGCGTCTGAGCATGACCGCGGGTCGACACCCGATGCGGAGCACGCCCGGCCCCGGAAGCGCACCCGGAGAGCGTGCGACAAGTGCAGCGCCTCGAGGACTCGCTGTGACGGAGAATAGTGAGTCTCTCTGTCTCTTTCTCATCCCGATCTCTAAGATCTGAGATCTTATCCGTATGGCGTTGATATGATTGACTGACACGCGTGTCAATAGTCCCTGTCGTCGTTGCGAAGGTAAGCAAAGTCTAAATCCTACCATCTCCTACTACCAGGTATCTCGCGAGATCCTTCAATGGTTCCCGGGCTCCATTCCTGGATGGAGATAGCAACGGCCCCCAATCTCCACCATCCTGGTTTTCATCCCACGTCATCTTGTAACTGTCATATCTAACACTGTCTTTCTCATCAAGACTACGGATACACTTGTCGTTATAATCGCGAAGTAAAGAAACGAGGGCGTCTGCCGGCCTCGGCTACAGCAAACCACAAGAGCAATGGCAGCATCAGTAATCGGAGAGACTCATGGGCTTCGTCGACCCGACGGGGAAGCATCATACGACGAGAGTCTAACATAGGACACACCAGCAATGGCAGCAGCAATGGTAACGGCATCTCGAGAGCATCTGTCTCGTCTCCTTCAGCCAGTATCAGCTCCAGCTCGGCTGCACGCCATTCACTCACTGACGCTGTGGATGTGACCACGGCCACTACTGAGGATGATCAGATCACTCTGCAGGACGCTCGCCAAGATGTCCTGCACTCCATCAGCCAGCCTTATCCTCAAAGTCGGCCAGCACCGCCGCTCAGCGTCCCGTCTCTCATCCAGGTCGGAATCCAGCCGCCGATGCCGCCACGCTCCTCTATAAGCAATCCCTTATCTGTGAATGTTTTCGATGGGCAATTTGGAGACAATGAAGTTGCCTTGTCTGACGGAAGCGTTGGCTATCCATCGCCAGTCGACAGACGGTCCCATGCCGAGGCCGCCAATGCCAGACAACACCGAGGCTCTTTCAAGTCTACTCCCAGCCATGAACGGAACCGAGAGTCATTCAGCACAAACAGCCACGACGCAGGAGGCTTGATGCTGGACTTCTTCCACAAAGCGCCAAACGACGACTGCTGGTACAAGTTTCTCGAGCCAATCCTGCCGTATATCCGCAACATCATTCCTGCCTCTGTTGCGTGCGACTTGCTGGAAATCTTCCTGACGGATCCCGGAAGTTCGCTTTTTCGCGTTGCTTCGCCATATATTTTGACCAGAGTCTTTCGCAAAAAGTCGATTACGCATCCGACCAACCCTCGATATACCACGCCTGCATTGCTTGCGACGATTCTGTGGTGCGTGGCGCAAACTGCTGATGTGATGATGCTGCATGTGCCGGGGACAAGGGCAAAGATTGTCAATGACTTGTATGATTTGGCAACGTCTTTGATCTCTGAACGTGATCCGGATCGATGGCGGCGAATCCACGGTGAGCCAAGTTCTCAACTCTCGCGATAAGTCAAAAAGACTAGAGATGCTAACATGATTTCGTCTTCAGGTGGTCTCAGAGCCGAAAACGAGACTCCCCATCCGCGGATCCCCAATCCTGCAACAGTGCCGAAAACCACCGTAAACAATGAACCTGCCGGTGAAATCGACGACGTCTTGACTTTTATCCTCCTCTCCATTGCCGTCTCCGGCTCCGACTTCAAGTCTGACTGCTACAAGTGGTGGTCAAAGGCAACCAGACTGGCCTTTTCGCTGGGCCTCAATCGAGAAGACGAGCAATGCGCTGGACCCGTAACTCCTTGTGCAAATCCTCTTTGTTCATGCCGAAAGGAGCAGGATGGCAGCTTGTACAATCTGGAGCATCGTGAGGAACGCAGGAGAGTCTTTTGGCTTCTGTACGCTCTGGATCGGCATCTGGCCTTGTCTTTCAACTCGGCGCTGACAATACCTGATTCATACTGCGAAGTCTATTGTAAGTACCTAGACTGAATGATCCGTTCTGCTTTCCATAAACTAACCTTGTTCATCAGCCCCCCTACCTGAAGCTGTTTGGGAAAATCTCGACACCATTCCTCCCAACGAGATGCCCGTTCGAACCATTGGACCACCAACAACAGCCTCTGGATCTGCCTTTTTCGAATATTTCTTACCGCTCATGGCTATACTAGGAGACATCATAGAGGTTCATCACAGGCGCCGTCACCCACGCCTTGGAGATTTAGACGATTCACACTCCGTGTCTGTCATCCAAGGGCTTCTCACAACATACGAATTGAGTCTCGCGGCACTCTCGTCAGAAGGCAACGACAGCGGCATCGTTCCCCTGCCCATCCACACGCCAAGGGGCATGGTCGCCGGCATGCCTTCGCGATCATCCATGTCCCATCCGTATCCTCCATCTACAGCGCCATACAACGCGAGTGATCCGTCCAAGATGCGCCTCGCCAAGGCCTACAGCACGCATATTCTCCATGTGCTGCATGTACTCCTGCACGGTAAATGGGATGCCATATCCATGCTGGACGATGGCGATGACTGGATCACATCCAAGAGATTCAACGAGTGCGCGTCACATGCCATTTCTGCGTCGCAGTCTGTTTCAACAATTTTGACAATCGACCCGGAGCTTACCTTTATGTCTTATCTGTTTGGCATATATCTCCTGCAGGGAAGCTTTATCCTTCTTCTCTTTGCGGACAGGATGCCTCAGCTGGGGCCGAACGAGTCGGTGGCGCAGGCATGCGAGAATATCATTCGAGCGCATGAGGTATGCGTTGTAACGCTGAGCACGGAATTCCAGGTATGAAGTCCCTCATTGATTGAGTGTTTTATTGTCATGAAGTGGAAATGTTAACATGATGTAGAAAAACTTTCGAACAGTATTACGATCCACTCTGTATAGCGTCCAGGGAGCGGGAACGACGAACTGGGATGAGCATCGTTCGAGACGAAGAGCTCTGTCTTTGTACAGATGGACGAAAGGAGCCAAGGGTCTAGCATTATGATGAATTGTACATGATTAGAAAGAGAAATGAGGCCAGGGAATGATATGATGACTTGGAAAAGAAAAACTTTAATAGTGGCCCCTGCTGAGTTGATACCCTAGTGTAATCGATCGCTTTTCTACCATTGCTTATATTGCATATGATCGAGATGTCTGCCCCTCTTGACTTGAAAGATATCGGGACCCAGTTTAGCCGCTAGACAAGACGGAGATTTTGTTTTCTCTCCGACTTACATTCGTGTCACTGCATATGCAGGGGAAACTTCTTTGCTCAAGTGCATGATGGATCGCATGGGATAGGTGTGGATAAGAGGATTTCCTGATGGTTAGAGCAATTAATGGCGTTATCAGCCAACGAAGCTGCCGTGGGGGTGTGTAGAAAAAGCTTTATGCCGACGGTTATTTACTACTTGTTTCAATTGTAGCCGTACGAGCTGGCTGAACTGAATGTCAGTATTCAAGATGGCAGAGACACATTCCCAGTCAATTACAGCCGTACTTTTCCCTTCATCATCCACAAGTATGTTGCTCAGAGAAAAATCGTCATGCCGGATAACTGTTCGGTCCGAAAGGCTCTCGGGAGAAGGGAACATCTTGGAGGTAGATTGATCAGTCTACGAGTGAGAGCCAAAGCAAAGTTGGCATCTTCTTCATTGTCCTCGTCCTCTGCTTCTCCTAGGGCCTCTATTTAGTCGTAGACAAGAAATTCAAGGTAGGCGGCCAGCAAGTCATAGCTTGAGCGAAATGGCCCTCGAGAAATGCCGTAGTCAAAGTGGCTACCTAAGAAGAACATGTTCGGTATATCCTCGCCAGGGCATACCTCTTTGCTGTTTTCGACTTTCATCAAGTACCAAAGTGCCAATCTCGGACAACTCATGGTGAAAGACTTGTGCCTGAAATCCGTCACTTGGCATGTTCCTACCTCTTCGATTCGCAGCTTTCGCGGCATACTTTTGTGATGGCTTCCAATGAAAGTTCAAAGCATTTAAGTTTCGTGCCATGTTATAGATGGAGCAATAGCTTAAGCTTAGCAGCATCAGCTTTGAGGCAATGTGTGTCTAGTAGCTACTAGTACCATTTGCCCAAGGTACTCACCTACCTACTATAGCTTCAACGAGTCATCAATGCACAGCAGATTACCAGCCAAATAAGGTAAAAGAGACTGTCATGTCAAAAATAAATATTTATTGCATGTTTATTGCATGTTTCTCTTTCAAATTGATCCAAATATCAGGTCTGCCGTAGGGTAGCTGCTATAAGCGGGCAGGCAATGCTTCACCGGAGAAACTTTAATGCACTCCCAAAGCATGCCCCACCGTGGCCAAGTACGCCGAATTGCCAGCTGCCTCTTGAATCTTGATCGCCTTAACCATCGGACTCGGTGCCGCGACAAACCCGCAATTGTTCAGCGAGGGCATCGACACTACTTTCGCCATGGTGTTGCAAGATCTGGGACGTCGCATCAATGCGGCGGTTTCCAACCTCACGCGTGAGCAGAATCTAGACGAAAAGGTCAGTTCATTCTAAGCTGCCCCGCTGTAGATGCGGAATTCCAACTGACGGTGGCAACAGGCCTTCGATGGTATGCTCAAGGAGATTTGCGCCGCTCTACTCGAAGCCGACGTAAACGTACGACTTGTTGGACAGCTCCGAAAATCGATCCGCGGTGCCGTCAACTTCAAAGAACTCCCGCCCGCCGTCAACAAGAAGCGTCTGATTCAGAAAGCCGTTTTCGACGAACTGGTCAAACTCGTCGACCCCCATGCCGAGCCTTTCAAGCCCAAGAAGGGCAAATCCAACGTCATCATGTTTGTCGGTTTGCAGGGTGCCGGTAAAACGACGACATGTACGAAGCTGGCGCGACACTACCAGAGCAGAGGATTGCGGGCGTGCTTGGTTTGCGCCGATACCTTTCGTGCCGGTGCTTTCGATCAGCTGAAGCAGAATGCGACAAAGGCTAAGATTCCGTACTACGGTTCACTTACGGAGACGGACCCCGCTGCGGTTGCTCGAGCTGGTGTCGAGCAGTTCAAGAAGGAGAAATTTGATGTCATCATCGTCGATACGTCAGGTCGACACCGACAGGAGTCCGCTTTGTTCCAAGAAATGATTGACATCCAGGCAGCAGTCAACCCAGACGAAACCATCATGGTGCTGGATGCATCAATAGGTCAGCAAGCCGAGTCTCAAGCCAAAGCTTTCAAGGAGGCAGCCGATTTTGGTGCCATCATCATCACCAAGACAGACGGTCACGCGCACGGTGGTGGTGCCATTTCTGCAGTCGCAGCTACACATACACCCATTGTCTTTATTGGTACTGGAGAGCACATGCTAGATCTAGAACGGTTTGAGCCTCAGCGGTTTGTCCAGAAACTATTGGGAATGGGTGATATGGCCGGCCTGGTGGAGCACGTGCAGAGCCTCAACCTGAACCAAAAAGACACAATGAAACACATTCAAGAGGGTATCTTCACAGTACGAGACTTAAGAGACCAGCTTTCAAATATCATGAAGATGGGCCCCCTGTCAAAGATGGCTGGCATGATTCCCGGTATGAGCGGGCTGATGCAGGGCATGGACGACGAAGAGGGCGGTTTGAAGTTGAAGCGCATGATTTACATTTGCGATTCCATGACCGACAAGGAACTCGACTCTGACGGCAAGATGTTCATCGACGAACCCACCCGAATGACTCGTATTGCTCGGGGATCAGGCACTTCGGTCCGTGAGGTGGAAGATTTGCTCACACAGCAGCGGATGATGGCCGGCATGGCCAAGAAGATGGGTGGCAACATGAAGAACATGCAGAGGGCACAGCAGGCCATGGGAGGCGGAAACAAGGCACAACAACTGGCTGCCATGCAGAAACGACTACAGAGTATGGGCGGCGCTGGCGGCGCTGGAGGCATGCCGGATATGGGATCATTAATGAAGATGCTTGGCGGTGGAGGCATGCCCGGCGGTATGGACATGCAGGCGATGATGCGACAGATGGGCATGGGAGGCGGCGGCATGCCTGGTATGCCCGGTATGCCCGGTATGCCTGGAGCTGGCCGTGGTCGGAGGTAAGACGAGAAGGATGCTTGTGGCTGTGTCGAGTGTTTGGTTTCGTTTTATCCTTGTTTCGGAGCTCGGTAGGTTGGGCATGCTACGGTCGATGGCTTGTTGCTAGAGCTCATGTGCATAGGTATCGGCGTTTGGGCAGTGATGAAGGGATTAAATGGTGGCTCGAAGAGAGCAAGATGCAATGTCGGGGTGCATGATATATGATGCAATGTGTACATGATTCAATGCTAGCGTCCGCTTGCAATTCTGTACGTACATGTTTTGTTTCATCGAAGCCACCGAGATATAATATACCAAGAAAAATAGGAGGATTTAATGTTGACAGTTTGTATGCTTTAACAACGTATAATGCGTAGTGTATCCGGCTCCGTGCTGGATAGTCGGTGCCTGCTCAACGTGATGAGTTATTTGCCATTGCAGATAGGAAAGTGACGATGGTTAAATTGCCTATATATCCCGTGGTTTGTTGCCTCTGAGCTGGAACACGCCTGCCTGTGTAGCTTGCATTGTCTGCGAATCAGAGCGTCAAATGTGCTGTTGACCAAGCCGACGCTTTATTGGCCAGAACAGCTTAGGTAGTCACCATGGCTTACAAACGACACCAGGCCGCCACCTTGTCTCAGCCCCGCACGCTATCTTGTCTAGCAACCTTGCTCTTAATCCACTCTCCCGCTACGACACCCGGAGCTAAGCATCGACTCCACCAGCATCAAGCTTTATAGTATTGTTGACTTATATCGCTGACTTATATCGTTGACTTGTATCCCGAGAATGGCCTCACGTGGAAGGGGAGACTTTCAGGATCGCGGAGGCGGAGGCGGAAGAGGCCGAGGCCGAGGCCGAGGTGACGGATATGGACGGGGACGAGGGGACGGTGGTGGCGGCCGAGGACGCGGTGATGGATTTGGACGTGGCAGAGGCGATGGTGGAAGAGGAGGAGGAGCTCCATTCCGAGGTGGCAGAGGTGGTGCTCCGCCGCAGATTTTCTCGTGAGAAGAATCCCCTTTCCTTAACACGTCTTGTCTCGTTACAGCCCAAAGACACCTACTCACACACCTTATCCAGTCCTGCTGGCGGCGTCCCCGCTCCCGACAAAACCGTGACAAACACTGAAAACGCTCTTCTGTCCGGCAAGGGACTTGACCTCAGCACGCTGGGCCTGAAAGAAGCTTTCCCTCGCCGACCCAGCTATGGAACAAAGGGAGCAGAAGTGGTGCTCTGGGCAAATTATGTTGCCATGACGGCATCCCCCAAGCTTGTTCTCTACCGATATGACATCTCTGTTGCTCCCGCCGCTACGGGCAAGAAGCTGACGCAAATCATCCGCCTGGTGCTGGGGGCATCGGAGCTGGCGGCCTACCAGCACGATATCGTCAGCGACTTCAAGTCTACTCTCATCTGCCGACAGAAGTTTGCCGACTTGACAATCACTGTGCCATATCAAAAAGAAGGCCATGAGGAGCCGCGCGAGAATGCCCCCAAGTACAATGTCAAGCTTCAGCTTACCAATACCCTGGCAACTTCGGAGCTGATAAGCTACCTTACTTCAACGGATCCATCTGCCCAATACGATGAGAAGCTGCCTCTTATCCAAGCATTCAACATTTTCGTTAATCATTATGCAAAGACGTCCAACAATCTCACCACCATTGGATCGGCAAAAGTCTTTTCTCTGGGCGCAGATGCCGATACTTGGGACCTTGGGAACTGCCTCACAGCCATGCGTGGCTTCTTTGCCAGTGTTCGTGCGGCAACAGCTCGCGTGCTTGTCAACGTCAATCCTACCCACGCTGCCTTCTTTCAACAAGGTCCTCTTGAACAATTCATTACTCAGCTTGGCAGCTTTCAGCGGAATATTTACAGACAAGCAGCATTTATCAATAAACTCAAAGTCAGAACTACTCATCTAAAAGACAAGACAGACAAGCAGGGCAAGCCAATCCCACGCATCAAAACCATCTTTGGCTATGCCACCAAAAACGATGGCCACGGCCTCGAGCATCCTCCTAGGGTCAAGGCATTTGGAAGCGGACCCAAAGATGTCGAGTTTTGGCTTGAAGGGTCCCCCCAAAAAGGCCAATCTCAATCCACCCCTGCGTCTGACCGCAAGAAAAAGGGCGGCAAGGGCGGCGGCCCGCAGAGCGCGGCTGGGTCATCCGCAGGACAGTACATCTCTGTTTATGATTTCTTCGTCAGAAGTAAGTGGTTCATGGCGTTGCGACAATGATTATCTCGTCGGCGGTTGCTAACAGTTCGTATAGCTTACAATATCCGTATAAACGACCCAAGGTTGCCAGTCGTCAATGTTGGAAATAGGGAGCATCCAACGTATTTGCCGGTTCAAGTCTGCCACGTGCTGCCTGGCCAGCCTTCCAACTCCAAACTTGACCCGTCTCAGACTCAGCAGATGATTCGATTTGCTGTCAAGAGGCCGGCGGAAAATGCGACATTTATTGTTTCCAGGGGACTGCAGACTACTGGTCTATCCTCTGAAGTGAACTCTTTGTTGGTAAGTTGATATGGGGATTAAATCCCGTCTTCTTTATTTATCCCGAGACCAACCTGCTGATACATCTCAGAGCCAATTTGGTGCCAATGTCTCCCCCAACCTCATTACTGTGCCTGGCCGCGTCCTTATGGGACCAAAGGTCAACTATGGCCAGAATCAGCAAGTATCAACATTTGGGGGCAGCTGGAATCTGGTACCAAGGAATGCCCCAAGCCTGAAATTCAGCACCTGCGGCAGCGTGCAGAAGTGGTCTTGCTTATACATTGAAATGCCCAATGATTACCCAAGGGCGCAGCAATTCAGCCCGCAGGACCTCAACAATATCATACAAAACTTCCACCGGGTTCTGCAGGAGACCGGCATTGCTGCGAGCACACCTCTTCTTCCATTTCAGCGACTGCAGCTGGATGGCACAGATGACGCTCCACTTGAGGAATTGTTCAAGCGTGCCGCATCGTCGCTGCAGCTGCTCTTCATCATCCTGCCTCACACTCCCATTCCGCTATATAATCGTATCAAACTTTTGGGAGATGTCAAGTATGGCGTCCATACCATCTGCAGCGTCGGTTCGAAAATTGCCAAACCTAATGGGCAAGATCAATATCTTCGCAACCTGGCGCTCAAATTCAACTTGAAGCTCGGCGGCAACAACCATCTCGTTGACCCTTCACGCCTGGGGCTTGTTTCTGAAGACAAGACTATGATTGTAGGCATTGATGTAACTCATCCGTCTCCAGGTTCCAAGAATGCTCCCAGTGTAGCCGGTGTGGTTGCCAGCGTAGACCGGTGGCTTGGCCAGTGGCCTTCGGTCCTCAGCATCCAGAAAAGCCGCAAAGAAATGGTTACGGAGCTTGGTATAATGTTGAAATCGCGCCTCGAACTGTGGCGAAAAAGGGCTAAACATACCGCATATCCCGAAAACATCATCATTTACCGGGACGGCGTCTCAGAAGGCCAGTACCAGTCGGTGTTGGACGAGGAGCTGCCGCAGATACGCGCGGCTTGCAAGGAGGTTTACCCGGTTGCTGATCAAAAGAAAGGCCTGCCGCGTTTGACTATCGCTGTTGTGGGAAAGCGTCATCATACGCGTTTCTATCCTACTGCAGCTGCTGACGCTGACAATTCTGGCAACACCAAATCTGGCACCGTGGTCGACCGAGGCGTGACCGAGGCCCGCAACTGGGACTTTTTCCTCCAGGCGCACACCGCGTTGCAGGGAACCGCGCGGCCAGGGCACTACTATGTCGTGCTTGATGAGATCTTCCGCCAGAGGTTTGCGAAGACGCCAGGCAAGAATATTGCAGATGAGTTCCAGGATTTGACTCAGAGCATGTGCTACATATTTGGCCGGGCCACCAAGGCGGTGAGTTACTGCACGCCGGCGTACTATGCCGACATTCTATGTGAGCGTGCGCGCTGCTATCTCAGTCACCTGTTTGATACGCCGATTAATTCAGCGACACCGTCGGTGGCAGAGGGTGCGGAGGGCCATGCGGCGTCTGGGCAGGACGTGCAGATTCACGAGAGGCTAAAGAATAGCATGTTTTACATTTGAGTGGGGGATTGACAAAAATTGACACTTGATGGGTGTAGCGAAGGTTTAGCCTGCTTTGTTTTCTCTTGAATGAGCGAATTGTGGAGTAGGATTTAGGGAAATTGGATTATCAGAATAAGCGGTTTCTATTAATGGATATTCATTACGCCTTTGATACGTTGCTGTTATACGCGGACCCAGACTGGGTCTCGGTGAGCTGCTACCTATCAGTGATCACATACATCTATACGCGGACCCAGACCGGGTGCCCAGGCTAAGCTCACTCGGTGAGCTCGGTGAGGCATGACCAACTTTTCGGTAAGGCTTCCCCAAACAAGAAAGTGGGTTCTCGCGCCGAAATCTCGATGACAATGACCTGCTGATGACGTTGTGATTGGGCTCCCCCCTGTCCCACCACACGGAACAAAGGTGCCGGCCCCAAAACAACTCTACGGCCAAGCTTGTTTACAGTTGTATGACGCTATTCATGGCTCTGCGATGCCTAATTTGCGGGAGCGTGCAGGGGACCAGGGCCAAGCGTTGAACAATCAGAAGCCGCGTTTGAGGCTTCAGGGCCCTGTTCAGTATGTCAAGGTTGTGACGATGACGGAAGGATTTGCTGTGGCCTGTGACATGGCTGACGTCAGTTTGGGCGACGATCTTGAAATGCTGGGTGATTTGGTGTTGTGAAAATTATTATATTATACGTGGTTGAGCCTGGTGTTGATGCTTGGAGAGAGACGAAGGAACGATCAACCAGTTTTGCTCTGCTCAGCGTCTGATTCTGAGTTGCACTTTGGCAGCACTAGCACTTGAGCGGTGCTTTACCCAGCCGTTTTTTTTTTTTTACCCCTTTGGTGTCTTTTGCTCGGCCTTGCAGCAAATCGACAACCATGGCGCTCTTTGGTGGACGCAGAGCCCGAGCCTCGCCGGGGGCCACTAACGGGGCGACGACGACGACGCCGACGAAGCGTCGAGGATTTGGATTTGGACGTGGTGGTCGCAAGAACCGTCAGGCGTACGCGATGCACACGCGTCCCAGCTTTGGACAGTGGCTCAAGGTTACTTGGCTGGATATCCTGACCATGGTGGCTATGGGCGCTATTGGCCTTGGTGTAAGTGATATCAAGATACTTGTTCAAAGGATATAGCTAACTGTGTTGGATAGGTCTACGAAGCCAAGCCTGCACCGACTCGGTCGTTCCCCGTTACCTTTTCTGACGGCGAGATTGTCTGGCCCGAGTTTGGCTACCCCCTCCGCAAGGAGATTATCCCCATCTGGCTCGCTGCGTTCCTCGCTGCCATCATCCCCATCGCGGTCATCCTGGTGATGCAGATCCGCATCCGCTCCTTCTGGGACGTCAACAACGGTGTCATCGGTCTTCTGTACTCGCTCATCTCCGCCGCCGTCTTCCAGGTCTTCTGCAAGTGGCTCATTGGCGGCCTCCGCCCTCACTTTCTCGACGTCTGCAAGCCGGACATCAGCCGCGTGACCAACCAAGGCCTCGACAGGAGCGGCTTCACGCAAATCTACTACACCCGCGACATCTGCACGGGAGACCCAGACCAGATTGACGACAGCCTGGAGTCGTTCCCCAGCGGCCATACGACGGCCGCCTTTGCGGGCTTCGTCTTCCTGTCCCTGTACCTCAACGCCAAGCTCAAGGTCTTCTCCAACTACCACCCGGCCATGTGGAAGCTCATCGTCATCTACGCGCCCATCCTCGGCGCGGTGCTCATCGGCGGTGCGCTCACTATTGACGAGTTCCACAACTGGTACGACGTGGTGGCTGGCGCCATTATCGGTACTGTCATGGCCTTTTCGGCATACCGCATGACATACGCCGCCATCTGGGACTGGCGCTTCAACCACATCCCGCTGAACCGCGGCGTGGCGTTCCCCTACATGGCTGGCAATGGAGACTTGTTTGGAGCGACGTTTACGAGGCGTGTGGGCTGGGGAAGTGAGAGCTTTGCGGGTCGTGGAGATGGTGTTGGTGCTGCCGGAGTTGGATCTGGTTTTACTCATGACAAGATGGGACACCATGGCAATGGGTACCACAATGGCGTTGATGGCGTGAATGGACATCACAACGGCGTTGGTGCGATTAATGGACATCATGCGAATGGCGTGACTGGAGCGAATGGAGAGTATGCGAACCCGACGGTGCCTAGACGGGCGGTTGGGGGAGAGATGCACCCTCATGGAGATCAGATGGTGTAATGGTTGACTGATTGACTGTCACTGAATAATGTTTTGATGAAAAAGGGAGTGAGAGGTTGTGATGAGCGGCGGATGGAGGATGGGAGATGGAGGAATACGCATAATGACAAGACATAATGACCTGTTTGTCGATGCTTCAACGATAATACCCTTTTTTATATTGATTACGATTATTTCTTAATGGATATTAATTTTCTCTACCTACTCTTGGTGCTCATTTGACATTTGACTTGAACCCACTAGAATCAGGTGTAACCTTGATTCAATAAATAATGTAATCAAGTAAACAGTGATTTCATCTTTTGGCTTTTTTTATATCTTTCTTTCTTTCTTCCTTCCTTTTCTTTTAAACTCCAATGATATACATACTTCTCATAATGTATATACTTAAATTTACTGTAATTCTTTCCGTGGCCACTGTAATAAAGCCTCCCATTCACGACTCAATCCCGCCGTTGCCGCCACCTCTAGTTTCTTCATCACTCCAACAAAGTAATACCGCTGGGGTGCCCGATTCATCACAGCGCACCAATAACAAAATATGACTGCCGCAAATTTATCTCCGCTCTCCAGCAGCTGTATGTATCTACTTGACACTGTTACAGGCCAATCGACGAGGCCGTGCCAGCTCTGAGGCTTACATGAAACCAACTCAGCCCAGCGCTTGAGTGACTTTACCGCATCGTTGTAGAATTCGGCATCTGCGCTGGAGTTCATCTTGGCTGCACAGAAATCGTCGAGGCTTTGGATAGCGCAGAGGACTTGTTCATCTACCGCAGTTTGAAAGCTGTATCTTCGACGGAGAGTCGCTGCGAGCGATCCGGAGACGAGCCGGGAGATGAGCTGCTTGCTTAACGAGCCTGGGTAGCGCATGAGTAGCAGAATAGAGGCGGGGCTGATGGGATGCTTGGCGTAGTCGGCGGCCTGATCGAGGAATAGTATGTCCAAGTTGAATATGATGCAAGCAATGAGGAAGATTAACACGGGCTGCCAGTTGTTGTGATCGATGGTGTGGACACTCCCGCGGAAGAGCTCGGATGCTCGCGTGGAATGCCAGCAGGCGGAAGCGTAATATGCCTGAGCATTCGGTGGGTTCTTGTGGAATATGTGCAAGCTTGAGAGTGCCATGAGTGCGTGCTGGAGGAAGGGGAAGCAGGTTGATGCTTGGACTGCCTCGCGCTGCCAGAGTGCATCGCCGTCAGCAACGAGATCGATGTCGAGACAAGTTTGCTCAGAAAAGTGGTTCATTAACACCATGTTGCGAGCGCTGCCGAATAATGGATCCTGGAGCTGTGGATGTAGGGCTGGATGCTCGTCGGCAAACTGCAGCCTATACGCACGAGTCCCCGGGACTTGAAGCTTGCCGGGTCCGTCGGTTGGATGCGAGCAAGAAGTCACTGCCAGGCTCAGGGACTGATAATCGCACGACACGTCCCTCTTCCAGCAATTGTAGCAGATGGGGGCTTGCAAGTTGCACTAAAGTACTGGGTAAATACATGTAGGTAGCCAGGGCATGTACATGTAAATGGTTGTACTAATGTAGAGGCACATGCTTGTACTTACCTTGACGTGTCGACGTTTACATTGTCCGCATCCATTTCGGGACTTGGCATGGGATCTCCTGGAACCATTGGCCATCTTTCTCGTTCTTTTGCGGGCTGTTGAAAGTTGATGATGAAGCGTCCAGTCCGGTGGAAAGCATCGGCGCCAAAGTCCGATCGGATACTTCGTTATTTAGGTGCATGTGGCGTGGGCAGGGGTTTCGTACACTAAGCCGCATCCATCATCTGTCCAATCCCCACCAACTGGGTTCAAAGGCTTGACTATCTACACGAATTCAACGTTTGTCCTTGTTCCGCCATGTACACGTTGTTTGTTGCTGGTCTATGGTATTCTTAATCATGCTGCAGATGAAACATTATTTATCTCTCGTGAGATAAGTATATGTATTGCGTCGGCTTAGATAGCCATGCCCGTGTCCTGTGCTATTGTTGCCTCCTGAAGCTCGAATCAAGGGCCTCAAAGGTTGAGGGTGGTATGCTAGCATCTTCTATAGCGATTCTAATATCCGAAGAGTCTAGATCTGGTTGGCTGCATGGACCTAGTGCTCACTCTTAGAATGCCACACAAGGTACACGTAGATACTATATCAGGGGTGCGGAGCTTTCAAACACTCCAGTGCGCACAAAGATGAGTTCATGGCCCACCGTTGGAATTCATGATGCGCAATCTGCATTTATAATGCGTATTAGAGGAGATGCCAATTTGTCATCTGTTAATATTTCACTACTCATTAGAGGGCGGCACTCGGAACGCCATGTTGTCCGTCTCCCTCCTTATATAAGAGTCTGGTTAATCCCATAGCTGGATTTTAACAGCACTCAATCATCCAGCCTTTTCAGTTCAATTGCATTTTACAACCGACACCCAAATGCAGCCTCTTTCAATATTGATTGTAGCTGCTGCTCTAGGGCTCGCCAACGCCGGTGTAACTGCCGTTGCCGTGGATGAACCCCGTCCAACAACCGATTCCTCCTATGTTTATCCCAACATCGCGGACATCAGCCACGCCACGTCCTCGCTTGTTGGATTCCTACACAAGTATTTCACCGCCAAGACACTTCGCGATCTGGACACGTTTGCGGGCTATTTCACTCCTGGAAGCCAGGATGTTTACTTCGACGCTACTGTCGGCCTGACGGTACCTCAATCAATCTTGGCTGCTGAATTGGCCGTCTTGTTCAATGCGTCGACTCCTGATGCGAAGTCCTATCCTCTGCGTATCATTGGCGATATGAACAGCGCAGTTGTTCTATCCGTTTCCACGCCCGGCCTCTTCAAAGCAGAAAGCCGTCCTATCTCTGCTGTCGATTTCAAAGATGGCAAAGCAGCCCGATGGATCGATTACTGGGATGGGCGACTCAGTCCGCTCATCAGCGAGCGTGCGCCAGAGAACAAATTCCCAAAGACTTTTGGCGAATCCAACATAACAACAAAGCCCAGTCCGGTCATCTACAAAGTGGCAACCAAGCTGTTCAATGCTTTGACTGCGGGAAACAGCAAGGCAGCGTCAAGCCTCTTTACGAGCGACGCGGTTTTGGAAGACAGATCCTTGCGCACTAGAATCGAAGGCCAGCTGGGTATCGAGCAGTACCTCAACCGATCGCTTCATGGCACACCATACGGACTTGGCTCTAAAATGAGACATGTTGTTGGTGGCGTACAGGGCGGCGCCTATGAGTGGATTGGATCTCCGGCAGCTGGGAGTCCCAACGGCATTACTGCGCTCGAGCTCAACTACCAGGGTCAAATCACAGGATTTTACACCGTCTGGGACTCGTCACGAACCAGCAACCATACAGTCGAGGCTCTAGTGGGATTCGCCGTGGCAGAGTAGCTATTGGAGCATCAGAACACTCCAGCCGCAAGTCGTGAGTAACTCATTCATTTGATCTTGGCTATTTCTACACCATGTTACAAGCCGAGATTCGTTCCCAGACGCTCGACCATCCACGTATGAGCTCACAAGCCACCTCGATCCAGAAATTTTAAACCGGATGTTCAAGTTGGAGTTGGCTGCTTACACTCGCTTAATTGACTCATGTCTACAGCTCAAATTCTCTTCAATTGAAATAATTTTACAAATATAATCTTGTTACTATAACTATTATTATCACTATTATAATTAAATGCTAGTGTTTATATTCGAACCTTTTGCTTGCCATGGATAATTGACAATGCGCAAAATGACAAGACATAGTGACCTGTTTGTAGGTGCGCCAACTATAACGCCATATTTTTATATAATAAGACGGTTTTTCCATCTTGAACTCAGGGCAGTCTTGCATCACGACTCTTACAATTCCGCTCATGCCCCACATTGCCCGCAGACACTAGATACTAGGTTTAAATAGTGACTCCTAATTACTTCTTCTATTCCAAGGCATGACCTCATCTCACGCCAATTCCAAATGGCGATGAGTGGTACAACAGCATCTCAATGCTAAACAAGCTTATACCCAACTTACTCGGCCCTACTCAGCTTCGGCGAGTGACGCTGCCAAATTCGCAAATCGGCGCCCCACCAGCCCGGCACCGACTCCGTAATCGGCAGTCAGTCAATTACCCGCCTGCAACCATTGGCGAATAGCTACAGTGGTAAGAAGAATAGTAAAACCAGAATAGTTATTCATCAATGGAATGCAACGCTGGCTTATGCGATCCATGCCAGTTATTAGAAACAAATAGAAGCTCAATTAGATCAATTTCTCGCATCTAGACCCGCTGGAGTGCTCCGGGCCCGGGTCTCACTAAGACAAAAAAGAGTCAGACCGTCTAGTCCGCTTGGCAAACTCGCCGAGCTACTCCCGGGAATTCAATAGTGAGGAAAAAAAATTGAATAATTAGCTGGCCTCTATTCTACATCTTCTTCTCTCTTATATATCTGTGCCAGAGATTTAATACCCCGTGTCGTTCTTCTCCAATTGACAAGCTCTTGACTGGATAAACTAAGCCAGCTAGTTCCCTTGCAAGGTCCAACTTAAAAACTTTAGCTCGATTCGTGCTATCTTATCTTGGAGATAGCCTCACTCTTTTTTCCCTTCTTCCCTCTTACATATACTCAATCCTACCTCTCCTCTACAACAACAGCTTCAACAGCAACGCCAAAACCACCACCATGTCTTCCACCGGCCACATCCTCACGCTCAGCTGCCCCGACAAGCCCGGCATCGTCCACGCCGTCACCGGCATCTTCGCCTCCAAGGGCCACAACGTGCTCGACCTGCAGCAATTCTCCGACCCCGCCACCAACCACTTCTTCATGCGCGTGCACTTTGGCCCATCCCCCTCAGTCCAAGATGCCGAGTCCACCGCCCACCTCGAGCCCGACTTCCAGGCCCTCGCCGCCGACTACGCCATGAAGTACAACTTCCGCCCGCTCAAGCGCAAGACCCGCGTGCTCATCATGGTGTCCAAGATTGGCCACTGCCTCAACGACCTGCTGTTCCGCATGAAGACGGGCCAGCTGCTGATCGACGTGCCCATCATCGTGTCCAACCACCCGGACTTTGAGCCGCTGGCCAAGAGCTACGGCATCGAGTTCCACCACCTGCCCGTGACAAAGGATACCAAGCAGCAGCAGGAGGAGCAGGTGCTGGAGCTGATCAAGCAGCACAACATCGAGCTGGTGGTGCTGGCGCGGTACATGCAGGTGCTGTCGCCGAAGTTGTGCGAGGCCATGTCTGGCAAGATTATCAACAGTGAGGCCCTTCTTACTCGTCATTTATATGTATTCTTAATAGCTGACACAAACCAGTCCACCACAGCTTCCTGCCCAGCTTCATTGGCGCAAAGCCCTACCACCAGGCCTTTGACCGTGGCGTCAAAATCATCGGCGCCACCGCCCACATTGTCACGGCCGATCTCGACGAGGGCCCCATCATCGAGCAGCGGGTGACTCGCGTCGACCACAGCATGGACCCCAAGAAGCTGTCTGAGGAGGGCTCCACGGTCGAGACGCAGGTGCTGGCCGCGGCTGTGCGGTGGTATGCCGAGGGACGAGTCTTCTTGAACGGACACAAGACGGTGGTCTTTTAATCAACGAAACGGGCGTTTACATGTAAGTTGTCATTGGAGGAGATTATGAAAAACCGGCGATGGAGGAGAGCGAGTCAGTGTATATAGTGAAGATGAATAAGCACCAGTACATATGTGACCATTTTGCAGACTTCTCCATCTATTCTCACAATCCTATTGCTCGTGGGGTTCGTACATGTGTAAGCGAGCCATCAATCATAAATCACAAAAAGTCACCAACAGTCTTGCTAGTGCTGCTGATAGCGTATTCCTTCGACTATTCAAGGCGTATCGAGTACCACACGTAAGCAACTGCCTATAGCAATACTAGTCGGGTATATTGCTGTCACCACCTTGGCAAGGGGGGTAAAGAAAACACCGCCGGTCTGCTCTATCAATTTGATGTGAAAGGTGCCGATGTAATTTTTACCCCACATGCTTAGGTAGTATTCACTATTCGACGAAATGCAGGTCAGAAAACGGAAGTCGGCCGTCGGCCCCTCGCCCTGTTCTGGGATAGATTGGCATGGCCGACGACTCAAGACGATGCCCAGCAATGTAAAAGCAGCCCGTTGGCCTTGTTTTCCACGTTGCGAGACTTGTCTGCTTTCTGTTCGCAGGGTCGTTGAGCATATGCATATCAAATACGCCGTATAACAAGCAGCAACTCTCGTTAAAATGGGCGGAGTGCCGTCCATCCCCACCGACAAAAGCCGGACCGTGCAGGTCATCAGCGCCGGCTACTCGCGCACCGGCACCGTGTCCATAGCGCTGGCCCTGGAGAAGCTGCTTGACGGGCCGGTCATGCACGGGGGAACGCATTTGTTTGGCCGAGAGGACGGTGAGTCGAACTTGATGACCTGCGTGAAAGAGGGAGACTTATACGATAATATGCTAGCATATGCCAAGCTCTGGTGCGACATCTTTGCCAACCGCAACAACAAGCCCGTCCTGATGAAGCTGCTCCGAGAGGCCACCGCCGGCTTCGTCGCCCTCACCGATAATCCCTCCATTGCCTTTGTCACGGAGCTGGCCGAGCTGTATCCCGACGCCAAGGTGATTGTTGTGGAGCGCGACGCAGACCGCTGGATGAAGAGCATGGCGTCCTTGCTTGAGGGGGCCAACATGGACACCTGGTGGTTCGTCAAGCTGCTGGTGTGGCCTTGTCCGACCTGGAGGTGGGCGCCCATCTTTTTGCAGGGAATTCAAGACCGGTGAGTTTATATCAGACATTAGTGCTTGGATGTTCAGCAGTTGACATCTTGATGGAACAGCGACGAGGAGCGTTTTGGAATGTCATGGAACAAGGGATGGTCTGCAGGCAAGTATAATACTAGTGTTGTCACTGCTTCGTGTATTTGGTCCCCTTCACTGCTAACTCTGTGATTTGATAGAAACTCTGTCCGTATACAACGGCTGGGTCCGCAAACACATCGCCCCAGAGAGGGTCCTCACCATGAAGCTCACAGATGGCTGGGAGCCGCTGGCCAAGTTTCTCGACAAGCCGGTTCCTGACGAGCCGTTTCCTCACGCCAACGACGGCGAGACCATGCGGAAATATGCAAAGAGCTTGTTCCGCAAGGCGACACTTGTCTGGGTGGGCATTTTGGGGAGCACAGTGACGGCGGCAGGCATCACGTATATAACATGGAGGAGGTGGTGAGGATGCGTCTGCTACTGGTGTCGTATATTGGCCGCTGACTGGAGTTGATATATAGATGTACATGTGTGTACGGATGAATGAACGAAGTTGAAGAGTAAACGGGTCCTACATGGGTACAAAGAAGCATGACATGGGATGGAGATGACTTGCAGCAATAAGTGACAAAATCACGTGATATGACATGTTGGCTGAAGCAAATTAGACCGACCTGTTGGATCCCCCGCTGCTTTGAAATGCCTTGTCTGATCCAATTGAATTTGGTTTGATGAAACTGGTTTATACATCTGCGTTGTCCTGGCTACATCGATTGACTTTGGCGCCGGCCTGCATCCAGCCATGTGGTGGGTAGTCCAGGGTACCGACATGGTTCAAGCCACCGTTTTGTGAGATTGCTCGATTGTTGACACTCTCTCAGGCATAGGTCTGTGACCACTGATTGGCCAACGACAATGACCCCGGGGACTTAAAATGTCAGCGCGCCAAACACGAGAAACTTTGGGGGCAGCGGATGCTGTAAATTTAAAACCAGATTATGGTCCCTAATGCAGGTGCAAAAGTATGTGAGGTGCTAACAATAAGCAAACTCTGCACCAAACGAGCTGGTGGTTGGTGCAGTAAACAAACAGATGGTGGCATATACTTAACAGCGAGCGGATTGGCCCTTTGTTTATCCTCCATAGCAACCCGCTGCTTACAGATAGTACTGCCATCACCTGTTTACATGCAGTATATGTAATCCAGCATTAACAAATCATCACCACACCTTTGATGGTTGCTTACAGTTCCTGCTTAGCGTCCCTGTCCAAAACCCCCATCCTGTTCCGCTTCAATCTCCCATCTCCATCTCATCTTATCCCGTCACGGGTCCTGCTGTCAATACCACCATCACTGCTGCTGTCCCCTTTTTCTGGGACTCTTCTGGGACTAACACCGCAGTTGTCAGCATCTCCATCAGACAGCGTCAAAAGCCGCACAGCAATTTCCCTCTCGCTGGGCATCAGTGCTGTTAGTGGTCCGCCAGCAGCTATAGGGCTCTGTCAGGCAGCGCACAGCCCACGGCGCCTCTATAATTCCGGCCCGGACCTCTCAGCTCCCTTTGGCGCCAAATCATCCCCAGCCAGAAACCCCTGCTAGCCTTTGCACCATAATTGCTCTACAGCACCCCTCATCATCTTGAATTGCTTGATTTGATGCTCATCTCCAGCCATTCAACCTGCGCTCTGGACTTCTGATCGCGACTTGTTTTCCTTTGTTCTCTTTCCGGCAATCGCAGCTTTCTCTCCTTCGTTCTCTTATCATTTCTCTTTTTGCCTCAATCTTGTTTTAATGCTCTGCGCCTCTTGGCCGACTTCGACGCCCAACCCAACTTGATGCCCTCCACGATCCGATCCGAGACCCAAACGAACAACAACCAACCCGCCCTTCTTTAATCTCACTTTACGCCTTCATTTCATACCGCCCGCCCTTCTTTTTATCGATACCATAATCGGAATCATCATCATAATCACCATCATTGTCGACGTCTGCCGAATCTAATCTTCGACGCTTCACAATTGAACCACCGACCTAGCACCAACTATTGCGGCCCGCTCATTTCAGCTCCACGACGCCGCCGCCGTCGATAGCCTGGAGATGGATTTCTCCCAGCAGCAAGACTTTCTCCCCTCACACGACGCCGACACGAGTATGATGAGCCAAGGCCCCGACGACGTCATGGGCGGCTTCGACGGCGCATCCGACGCCGCGCACAGCAACGGCTACCACCACCAGCAGACGCCGTCGCTCGACAACAGCCTCTCCGGCAGTGTCAGGCACGACGAGGACTCGCCCAGCCGCCAGACACCGCCCGTCGGGGGCCCCTCGTCGCTGTCGAGACCGGCCAGCGGCCTCTCGAACCCGGCGGCTCCGTCGTACAACGACTACCGGCCCAGCTCTGGCGACCAGTCCAACGGCCGCAACCATGTCGTGATCAAGGTCGGCATGGTGGGCGATGCGCAGATTGGCAAGACGTCGCTCATGGTCAAGTACGTCGAGGGCAGCTGGGACGAGGACTACATCCAGACGCTGGGCGTCAACTTTATGGAGAAGACCATTTCCATCCGCAACACCGAAATCACCTTTTCCATCTGGGACCTGGGCGGCCAGCGCGAGTTTGTCAACATGCTGCCGCTGGTGTGCAACGACGCCGTCGCCATCCTCTTCATGTTTGACCTGACGCGCAAGAGCACGCTCAACAGCATCAAGGAGTGGTATCGCCAGGGGCGCGGATTCAACAAGACGGCTATCCCCGTCTTGGTCGGCACCAAGTACGACCACTTTGTCAACTTTCCCATCCAAGACCAGGAGGAGATTTCCAATCAGGTAAGCAACATTGGCGCCATTGTATCTGACAGCGTTGCTAACCTCACTCAGGCGAGACGGTTTGCCAAGGCCATGCGCGCATCATTAATCTTTTCAAGTACAAGCCACAGCATCAACGTACAAAAGGTTGGTTGCCTCTTCATACGGCATACGCTGCTCTGCGGTGACTAATTGACGAATTACAGATTTTCAAAATTGTTCTTTCCAAAGCGTTCGATCTCAAATGCACCATTCCCGAAATCGAAAATGTCGGCGAGCCCTTGTTATTATATCAGTCTGTCTGATCCAATCCATCATTCCGCGGCGCTTCTTCTTTTCAAATGCTCAATCGACACTTCTTCCCACACCCGATTACTTGTTTTATGATGTCAGCATTAAATCATGACATTGCTGCACATGCTATAGCCCGCATAGCCCGCGATACAGCACCATTTACGCACTTTAAATCAGCGACGCAGACGATCGCATCATCACTTTGAGCATAAAGAAACACGCATTTCCAATCAGAAAAAGAGGCGTTGAAATACAATTTGTACTTCTAACATGCGCTTGCAAAAGAGTGCCATCACAGTCTTTCTCGGTTGCTCATCACATCCGTCTTTACCACGCTTATAGCGGACACAGCATCACATGAGGTGGCCCTCTTTTTTACCTTGAAACAAACATTGGCGATGGCTTACCGAGGCGCACATGGTGCGGGAGCGACGCCACCTACCCTTGACCAACAAATACTACTAAGATTTGGATTTTGGAAGAATGCTACAATGGAACGGAGGGAGAAATTGTGTTGCTTTTTTATCCTTTTTTTTTTTAACTACCTATATTCTTTTTGTATTCTGTTTCTTCTTTTTCTTTTGCTTCTTTAACAGGGACCTCTAGGTATTTGAAAGGGCGCTCGATGGAAGGGCAAATAAATGAGAATTAGAGAGAAAGAAAAAGGGGCCCTCTTCTTTTGTTTTCTTTTGTAGAGTGCCTCTCCTACTTGCGAGTTTTAAGATCAAGGGACGGAGATGGATCGATGCATACTTAGGTATCAGGTTGGAGAGGAAGGCATTGGCTGGGCCAGGTTCTTTTGCTATCCATCTACTTCTCAGCTTAATATGATGGTCCCATGAAGAATATTTACGCTCATGTTTGTGTTTGTGTGATGCATTTCGCATTCTGGCCGCGCCTATCAAAGGATATAGGATACCGCAGGTGTTGATGGAAGTTATGATACATTACTTCTTCACGGAGCAGTATAGTAGAGGATTGTCGTTCCCCGAATTTTGTATATTCCGTACATGTGCAGTAATATGACCTAACTGCTAGAACCCCCTAAGAGTATCCGATATCTCCTCTAGACTGCTATTCTCCTTACGCGAAGAGATGAGATTGTCCTTTTTTGTCCGTTTTTCAATATCATAGCATCCTAGCCTTCAGCCTAGTCGGCATGGCCATCATCTGTTGAGAAATACCCACGATGAACTAAGCAACATAATCCCGACTCTGCCCCTCTTTCCCCTGCCTCCGAGAGACAACCTTCTCCGTGTGCCTGCTTCCTTTTATAGACACTGCCGAGAAGAACTTATCTCCATTCGCCTTCCACATATCTCCTCAGAGACAGTCTTCGCTCTGCACCTGTCTGCTGTATCTCTTGTCTCTCACTCCACCAACTTCTCGTCGCGGACTCTCCACCACGGGACGAATAGTGGCATCGCTATCTCTTCCCCAGGTGCGAACAGTCGAAGGTGTCTGCGGTGGAGGCGGGTAGACATCAATGCTGCGAGCAAGGGGAGGGCGAGTGACGGCTCGTTCAGGCACAGCTTCCATAGGCGACAGGGCATCGTATCCTGCCAGGCCAAGAACAAGATCACCCTGGTTGGGCATCACAGTGACGATGCCATCAGAGGTGAGTTGCATTTCCGGAGCGTCCTGTTCGTAGCTGTGGTGGTAGTCGTAGTCGGAGACCATGGCGGTAGCAGTAGGCGTAGTTCTAGCTGCGATGGCTGCGTCGTTGTTTTGCATACCGTACGGGCTTTGACGTTGATACTGAGGCTGGGCAGTGTTGAGCGGGATTCCGCGCAGAGTCTCTTCCGAATCAGTAGCCCAGTATGCCCACGCGTCAATTTCGTCATCCACCTCGACAATGCCGTTGATGATAGTGACCTGTTGGCCTTGAGAACCAGAGATGTAGATGGATCTCGCCACTTCATAGCCATGAGCACCGCGGCGAGCTCGGTAATAGAATCCACCGCCATCTTCGGCAGCCGCAGCAGCAGCAACTCGTCGACGATAGGCAGCGCCTTGACAGTCGAAGCATTCTTTGGGAATGAGGAGATAGACGATACCAAGAAGGACGTTGAGAAAGATGAGAACAGCCAGGATGATGGCGATGACGAGGTAGACGGAGGCGGGCTTGTGCTCGTCGTCTGAGGAAGCCATGATGACGGAGTGCCGATGTCGGGTTTGAGCCAGAATGCTCTGGGTTTGATAGATGTTGGAAGCTGATGGAAGAGGAGTGACAAGAAATCAAAGAGAGTTGCTGGCGATGATGACCAGCTCGCAGTTGCTCTCGCAAGAAAAGGCTTTGGGGGAGCGAAGCTGATACGGTTGAGAATCAGAAAACGCGTATGAGCAAGAAAAAGCCTGAAATTTCAAAAGACCGGATAGAAATTCTCAATTTCTCTTTTTTGTCGCCTGATCACGTTGAGCGGCTGGCAGCTGGCAGGAGCGGCTGGCAGCCCTCTTGCCATTTTGCCATGGCAACTGTGCCTGCATATTCTAAGTCATGTGAATGATTCTTGCTTCATACATGTAGCTGAAATATGAGAAGGAGGGGACTTTACCATAAAAGCAAAGTTAATGAGCATCTGTATGAGGGCCTTAGGTGCTGCTATAATTCATGGCATGGCAGACATAATGCAAGTGGAAGGATGATCTGCGTCAAGCAATCGACCTTCTCCTCCAGAGGATTAGGTAATCCGTCTATTGAATATCCCATCCCTCTATAAACCGACAACTCTGCATCTGTTTCCCTTTCACCATCTTATATCACAATCGCACAGTCTATCGTATCGATAACCACCTGCGCATACAGAAAGGTACGTACCCTGCCAATCTAGATCCCTGCACCCTCCACTGAACACTCCCACCAATAGCGGCATCCCCTCCATTCTAGCCAATGGTTCCGCCGAGAATACGTGTATACGCCCGCCCACCAGGTCCTCTTTTTCAGGGCACTCCAGCCTTTGGGTCTCGGTAATTATTTCTATACGTGTATTCCTGGACGACACTTGGATTTTTACTTTTTTCAAACCTTTTGCAGATCTGCTCCGTATTTTTAGAATCCCATTCTCAAGTGCATGTTCTCCGTAATCTTTGTTCGGGTAAAAGAAATTCCAGTCAAGTGCAGTGTACAAAGTACATGTACCAAGCATCAAGAACGTTGGTGCCGTCTGTTTGCTGCATGCAGCCAAATGATATCGTCACATGCAAAACACCAATCAGGCTCGGGCTCTGCATCTCCGCTGCATCCATTGGCACCTGCTCCCATTCTCATTGTTCAGTAAAATACCATGTTTATTGCAGCGACAGCAATTGCCGCGAAATATTAAATTGTCGTATCACGACGTCGTATTACCAGCAGACGCAAGCAAGCCCCTTACCGGGGTCAGTGCGCAATGTAACCTCATTTTCAGCACCAACCCAGCCAGAAAAGACCAGTCACAAAATCAAGGGAACACAAGCCACAGGCATACGCAACAAAGAAAGTAAAATCATCTGCATGTGTTTCATAGGCAGCATCATCTCGCATTTGATAGTATTGGGGTCACAGAGGGGCCGGCTTATTACCGCCGCTTCTGTGCTTCAAGCAGGTATCCCTCTATCTAGGTAAATTGACAAACAAAACTCGCATCCGAGGCTGGCACTCGTACAAGAGGCGTAATTCCATTCAGTTTGCCTCTCCTGCGTTCATCTCTACCGTAGTTGCGCTCCAAACATTGGGGCTGAAATCCACAACTCCCTTAACGCCCGGCTATGATATGAAGTTCTATGCCGCCGCTTTCGCACGACAATACGCGATTAAAGACAAACAAATTCAACAAAAGTAAAAAGAAGTAGAAGAAGAAGAAGAAAAAGAAAAGAAGAAGAAAAGATAAGAAGATGGAGGAAAAAGTATGGTGACATGTACACAATACAAGGCCATTAGAGAGGATAGATTGATGCTAGCAGAACGCCAGATCAGATTCGTCGTTTGATGGAGACATGTATCTTGGAGGTGTGTGGTGTGTGATACTCGTAGAGGCTTGATTTTGTCGTTGTACATAAGGCGTTTGAGATAAAAGGAGGTGTGACGTTTCGTGGTCGGCCGCATCGTCGCCAGCATCATGTTTGCGTTCAGTCCGATTTCTTGCTGCCCCAAACGGGGGCACCCACAGCTTTGCTGATACCGAGGCCAATGCTGACGGCGGCTCCCACAACTAAGACGATGATCAAGATCTTGCAGATGATTTTGTTGCGCGCGCTCAATCTAGCCATCGGGGTGCAGCGGGTGCGCTGCATCTTGGCGTGCTTGGCCTGCTTCTTCCAGTGGTCCTTTCCGGGCCATACAGGGCAGTTCGCGGCGGCATCCATGGTCATGCTTTTCCGGCCTGACTTATCGAGAGAGCTGTGCGAGTTGAGGGCCTCGATGTCTGCGTCAAAGGGGTTGGTCGTTGTCTTTTCGGAGTGTGGGTTGGATGTGATGCTGGTGACGGAGCTGGCATGTGTTGGGACAGCATAAACGCCCACGGTAGGGGTCAGCGCCTTGTCGGGCACAGAAACCTCCACGGTGACCTCGGTCGTGAGGACAACGCTGGCAGTAGACTGCCTCTTGTTATCGAGAGAAGACATGATGGCGAATAGAGATGGCGAGGGATTGAGAAGTTGTGTGAGGAGTGGTCAAGTTGAGAATGAGCCTTGTCAGGCTAAGTGATGCCGAGAATCGAGCAGGCGAGCAAAGAGAGTATCCAAGGAATAGAGTCTGGGAGGAAGATTAGCTTTTTGCATTTAAGAAGAAAAAGAAGACGATAAGAGAAGCAACGTTAAAATGTGGGCAGACGAAAGGGCAAAAATCTAATTGTATGGAGAGCGCCCGACTGCAGCCACAGTTTGCATGTCACGAGGAGTGCTCCATACGATATGGACGCATACGGAATATCATACCTCTGAGTAGCGTGGCACAACGAATGGAGATTGCGCAGTGTCGGTGGTGGAAATGGAACGGAAATTAAGTTGCCAAGATGTCTGGGTGGCGTAGAGAAGATAAAGCAGTGCGTAAAGTCTGCGGCAATGGTTGAAGAAGAGAAGAAGAAGAAGGAGAGAATGTGGTTCGATGCAACCACGATGAAGGGATTCAGTCCGATTTAGATGCTGGACATTTGGGAGCTTGGACCTCTGAGCAGACAATAGGAAGTCGTCAAATTGGACCGAAGCAAATTGATTGCTCAGATGAGATTCTTTGTGCAAGAAGAACAAAGAAATCTGGATCCAGCTCGAGCTACCGAGAATGAGAGAATCGTGGAGAGAAGGTCGAGGAGCGAGAGCGGCAGTGATATTGGAAAAGAGGGAGGCGAGCTGATGGTAGGAGATACAGCGCCTCTGCAGCTGATGGCGGGCGTCGTACAAGTACGGGGTACAGAGGACAAGGTTGCGTGCAGGTACAGGTGCGGTGCTTGGCGCTAGCGTTAGCGGATGGGGCAAACAAGAACCAGAGCGTTTGCAGCTGGGAGCAGAGACAATGTCCACATGTACTTGCGAGTACGGTGTCTCGCAGCGGGAGACTGCAGCTCGCCAAGTATTACCCTCGTATATCAACAGCTGCTTTAGTACAGTAGCGCTTCATTTGGTACATTTACTACTAGCAGTACTTATGTCCTAGTTTAGCCATGTCTGCTATACCTTGCTTCCATCTTCTCGCCAGTCTGGCATCAGGTACAGGTACCAATCGATCACAACTCGCTTCGTCTTCTCCTGCGCAACAAGATAATTGCAGCCAGGGCCAGCGAGATTGCGTCGCCCAACGCAGGTGCCGCTCGGGCCATGCAGGGCCTAGAACGGCGCTAGCAGCGCCCACTAACGGTCGGCCTTCCGCCACGTTTAGCGCCCCTGGGCCGCCTGGGCCTCTGCCTCTAGCGCACCTAGTGCCCTGCAGCAGCTCGCAGCCGATGCTGCTAGCGCTATAAAAGCACCAGATGCGAGCAGCACTAGTGCAGATACAGAGGGGCGGGTTCTGGAGCGTTTGCAGGGATGGGGGGCGAAACGTGCCTAGATGAAAGGATTTGGCGTGGGCATGGGCCTGGCTCGCATAAGAAAAGCAGATGATGGCTGATTTCCTTTGACCCAGAGTGCTGGACTCTGGGTGGCATTGCCTACAGGTACAAGTAGACGTTGAGATGGGCAGTATTGCATAGCAGCAGAGCAGACAAGTGAAGCAGATGCTATCAAGATTTCATATCAGATGCATGTGATGCTTTGTGCGGTGAGTGATGAAAGCGGCGTGACACAAGCACTGCCCAACTGTCTCTCTTTTCTCTCCTCCGCCTTCATCCTCTTTCCACATGTCTCGGCCCCCCCTTGGCGAGTACGAATACACCACGCCGTTTCAACAGGACTCTGCAGATGACGATGCGACATGGCATGATGCCACAGATAACGCTACTTCGCAACGTCGGCACGGCTATTCGCGCTGGGTTGCAGGCCACGGAGCATATATACCAATTCGTTTGCCATGCTGGAGGATGTTCTCCGTGCCAACGTAGCCTTGACATCAGAACTTCAGAGGCGAACCATCAATTCATCCCCGCCGGTTTCTCGCTGCTTTCTCCCAGGCTGGCCAGGATCCCCCTCCCCTCTCTGCGGCCATTATCCCGGACGACCACGCGCGTTTGCCGTCCTGCTACTGGACCGAGTGCCTGGCATCTGCCAATTCGCCTCCCATTTGCGAGTACGAACGGTCCCTCTCGCAGGCCCATCTCTATCTGGTGCTGTGCTAGAGGGCTGCTAGAGGCCGTATCCATTCGGCGCTGCCCGTGTCCTTAGTCATGTAGTGCAGATTGGCTCCAGGCTGGGGGTGCCTCGCATCGCAATCGTGCAATGTATCGCTGCTTTGTGAGAGGTGGCTGCATGAACGTTGCATGGCTTGAGGGCCGTTCCTCATTCACTCGTGGCGACAGACACTATTGGCCAGCTGCATGTTTCTCTTCATCTTCTCTCTTCTGCGTCCCTCCATCTTGTTCCCGTCTTCCCCCTGAGTGAACGAAACAGCCCCTGGCCACCCATGGGGATCGCCACTGGCCTTTGATAACGAAGCGCTGCCAGTTAAATGACTGACGACATGAGATACGCGCTTGGCACACAGGCCACTCTGCACGAATCATGGCATCAGTTGTCCCGTCCGATCATCACAGCGCACAGTCTTGATCGGTTCACGCTTGCCATGCAGATTGCAGCTTACACTGCTCAACTAAGCTCATCAACGCAACTCAACCGAAAACCATTGAAGCCTTATCCCACAAGGCGAGTCATTCTTTGCTCACGCTCAGGGGCTCGACTCTCTGGCCCGAGTTTCAAGACGCTCTGTGGCGTGGCCCGTGGCGCCAGGTGTGGATGCCCGTGGCCCAATCCCCGCGTTTTGAGGTGCCCATTTCGGCAGTTTGTTCCAGGCTCTGGATGTGCTAGAAGCGCTGCTAAGGCCTGTTAGCAACGCGGACTATCGAGATGTGGCTTCTTAGTGCGCAAGTAACTTTATCTTGTGATGCAAAAGCGTCGTTTCTATCAATATAGTGACATGCATGCGCTATTTTGTGGTTCTTTGATTCCACGAGACGTATTCAACGTCTGTCATTGTGGGAGCAAAAGTACATTCAACTAACGCCAGTGGCTGTCGCTAACGAAGTTGTTGCTCTCCGCCGGATCTCGGCCCCTCAGCGCCTGGTTACTCTTCATATAGACTCGAGTCATTAATTTGTAACTGTCCTAATACTGCTCAAACAAAGCACTATCCTCACGATAACAACAAAGGAACCGAGACAGAATCTCATCTCACCGACAACTCGCCAGACAATATATCTCGAGTGCTCCTTAGTCTCAGCTGGTGCCCCCTAAAAATGTCTCAGTCATTGAAAGAGCCAATTTGCTGTCTGAGAGCTGCAGTTGGCGTAACTGTCTATGCCTCAATACCACCAGCTGCAGGTTTACGGCATCTGAGTATTTCTAAGACCTCTCAAGATGCCCGACAACACATTCTTATCAGCAACCGGACATGAGCAATACGAGCCATATTACATGCAACGATCTTTCTGTATCTTCTTCATATCACCGAGTGCGAAGCTCATGGAGCGTGCAACAGGGTGCTGTTACAGGCCACATCTAGCGAGTGCAGGCGCGGCCTGAGCATCGCAACTTGGCAGCTACCCAAGGCGATGTACAGTTTAGGGCAAGAATGCACGTACACTGCAAGTACACTGATCGATCGGGCAATCACTCCCAAGAGCTTCTCGACTACCTCACATATGAGGCCGCCGCTTCCCTTCGCTTAATTCTCGCTCCTCTCTTTCCATACCTGCGACCAGATCCGTAGGCGTGTTATTGTCTTTCTACTCAACTCACAGATTCTGCTTCTCTCTTCTTCACCATTATCGCCATCATCGCTTTCTCCACCCCATTTTTGCTCTCGTTATCAACTTGACTGTCCCCAGAATCATCACTATTCGCCAGCTTTGACCATTCAGCTCTCGCTCTCTTTGTTCTACCAGCTTCCCGTTTGCTGAACTGACTTCACTTGCCTTTACCCCGTCTTCTTGGGCCACGTCGCTCTCATTCTGCTCTCTCGTCTGCTTGTTAACTATGGACCAACCAGCAGCTCGTCAAAATGTGCCCAATCCCTGGATCCGGTGACCTGCAGTCGCGGATAAACTCGTTCCCAAACAACCTCAAATTCGTCCATGGCGTCGACAATGCGCGTCTCCAGGGGGGCCAAACCCCATGGGTATATGGCAGAGATGATGCCACGGCCGCCTGCTGCCTTGGATGCCCCTCCGAGAGCGTTTTCTGCTGCTGTTACAGCTACTCGCGGACGTGGACTCGGCTGGAGATGGCCGCCAGTGGCCGAGATGCCACCAACATACCTGAGATTCGCACTTGCAATTGCGACTGCGCTGGGTTTGCACTAGGTTTCCCATGTATGTCTTCTTGGTGCCGGCTTCAGCCAAGGACGTGAGCACACTAACAATGTCGTAGTCTACGCATTCTGCCTTGGCTCGCTGCAAAAGTCCGTCCGCAGGCACTACGGCATTGACGGCGATGACTGTCAAGACTATTGCGATGCCTGCTTCTCTCCGCGTCGAACTCTTGTACGAGCTGAAGGAGAGATCATCTTCCGCGAGCAAACCCGAAGTGGCAATCAAGGCGAAAAGGTGGAAGACTCGCAGTATCTCTGCTACGATCAAATGGCCTATCCCATCAAACAAGCGCAGCTTACTCCAGCAGCTCGTCCACCGGCCGCTCCTCGTCAACTAGCCGCTCCTCGTCAACTGGCCGGCCCCGTGCAAGTCCAAGGTAATCCGTATCAGTACACTGTGCAAGCCAGTGCCCAGCCCCAGCTTCAGCCCCCTAGGGCCACCATTCGACGGCCTATGCACACCTTGGAAGACGACTTTGCCACGGCGAGCACAGCCAAACAACACGATCATGCTCTTGGCGACGACATGGAGAGCGCGGCTCTTACCGTGCCTACCCCTCACGACCTGGGGGCCACATCACCGCGACCAGTGCCTGTGAAGAACGAAACTGGGTAGGATCCCGTTGTCCCAGAAAATCCTGCTGTTGGCGTTGCTCATTTCTTTCAGGCCGATGCCATCCTCTCAATGGACAGCTCCCATCGCTCGCTAGACTCCCATGAGCTCTACTTCGACGCATCTCTCGCAAATTCTGTGCAGATCGATGCTATTGATCACGCAGTTGCTGGTGGATCGGGGCATTATGTAGAGGCTGATCAAGTGATGAATCCTATTGCAAGCTTTACTCGACTTCATCAACTTGTGCAGGAAAGATATCGGAGCACGGAATAGGAGTTATGGGTGTATTGACTTGGCATTATAGGATTACAAATAGTAATAACAGATATATTTACACGCTCAACATGTCGCTCGCTCTTGTTGCAATACACGTGAGACTGGCGTCTATCCAGTGCTGTCAATCTTCACCGGAGCAGGATTTCTATTACCTGGTCTCCTCTGCCTTCTACAGCCTCTCCTGACATGATGCCGTACACAAAGCATTCGCTATGAAACGTCACACTCACCTCAGACTCTTCGTCTGATGCCTTGGGAAGGATATTCAATATTACAGGTATTCTACACCCGCCCACAATCCACAATTCTTGCCCTGGGCGAACATTTCGTGGACCCAGTCCAAGCCGCCCGTCATCGGTGATGAAGAGAATATGTGTACGAAGCATTTTCTGGACCCATTCGGCAGTTTCGTTGTTATCTTGGGACCCGTCTGATATCAGGTTACCGGTGATCAGACTGAGGAAAGCAGTCATTCCGCCGTTGAAGAGCTTATCTGGAAACTGCTTGTGATACCTGGTCATGAGTTCGCCCCATCGGTCGCCATACAGCCGGTAGAGGGCCGCGACTGAGACCTCCTCTGGCACTTCAATTTCTTCTGGGATATTGTCCTCTACCATGTTAATCTTGCTTACTCGCAGCCCGGTCACGCGGAGGACGTCGTCGTCGCCTTCGACTCGCAAGCCCTCGCCGACGCCGTACATGCCACGGTCAGCGGTGAAGCCGCCAAAGTGCCACCAGTGGTGATGGTCCCAGAAGCTGCATTTGCTGCTCTTTGAGGCGTCTTTCACGCCGTCCCAGTCCACGGCCCAGGAAGCGAGGCCTGGAATCTCGGAGCGTTCGCCGCCGCGACCTAATAGAGGCTGGAGATCGGTGCTGATGTTGATGAGATCGATGGTCACCTTGTGGTAGAGCGTGCGCACATCAACGGTATAATCACACGTCTTGACCGAGGGCAGCGAAACATCATGCCGGAACCCCAACAGGCCGTAGACTTTGTCTCTCGGATCCGTGGCTTTCCGGTGCCGCCAGCGCCAGAGCAGCATGAAGAGCTCCTCCTCGCGGGAGGCGCCGAGGCCGCGCAGGGCGACGGTGAGGTGCTCGATGGCGTCGTTGTGCCAGAACTCATCGGGGACGTTGGGGGCGGAGTCGTCGAAGAAGCTGTCGGCGGCTTTGTCGAGGGTGGACCAGGGGATTTGGCAGGGGCCCCAGTAGAGGGTTGCGAGGGGTGGAAGGATGGCTTCTTGGACAGTCCAGATGCGGGACCACCAGGGGAGGAGGAAGAGAGTTTTGAAGGCGGTGGCGGCGGATTCTCTTTTGAGGCGTGCGGTTTTGTGGTCTTCGTCTTCGCTCTCGTCATCTTCACCGTCATCTTCGTCTTCGTCTTCGTCCTCGTCCTCGTCCTCGTCCTCGACTTCGTCCTCCTCTCCACTGCCATCTTCACCCTCTTCATCTTCATCACTGCCTGCATCTTCATCTTCATCTTCATCATTCTCCTCGTCGCTGTCCTCCTCGCTGTCGCTGACTTCCATCCAGGGATGAGCCTCCTGCTCGCCGGCGATCCAGGAGATTGTGTCAAGGGCTGCTTGGGCATCTTCTTGAGAGACTTCGTCCAAGGGACCAACCCAGATGGCGACTTGCGTGCAGGTGCTATAAATGCGGCCCATGATGCTCACCTGAAGTGACTTTTCATGGTTATCTGTCTGGTTGATACACAGTGCATCGGCCCAGACGTGGCGTGGCTCGTTCAGCAGACGCAGCCGGCGGAGAGCATTAGCTAGTGGAGGGGTGACACCGACCTTATTGGTATCATCGTCGTCGTCTCCAAAGTAAATGTCCTCGTGAGTGGTGTTTTGGCTGCCAGTTCCCCAGGCGTAGGAGAGCGCCTCGTAGGAGACGTCTAGGTTGTCGAGACTAGTGACGTGGAATTTGCAGCGGATGGGGGAATCTGGGAATCCGGGCTTGATTTGGAGCACGCGGATTTCCGAGTTGGAGTGGTTGAGAAGGGGGAGGATTTGGTCGTGCCAGGAGACTTTTTTGGACATTTTTCACTCTATCAATTTACATAGGTACTTGTAAAAGTTTAAGTTTATTGTCCTGTTGACAGATGAGTTTCTTAAGACGTTGAAAAGGATCGGTGTAGAGGGGTTGCTTGAGGCGGTGGACCCGCCTATTGAGGCTCTTTTCATATTATATGATCAGCGTTTTGGAAGGCCTGTCACATTATAAGCGGTGGGTAATGAACTAGACCCGGGGATGAGTGAGAATTCCTTTTTTTAACCTCTTTTAATGCGGAACTGGTGTAAAAATAGAAACCGTTGCAAAGAGCTTTTAGTCTTGCCACCAATAAGCATAAAGTATGCTTTTTGAGACCTAATTGGTGGATCTTTGTAATTCTCACGATGAGTTGGTTGTTTAGCGCAAGGCTTAGCTATGTGATGAATCTTTGAGATTAGTGCTTTTAATTGATAAATGACAGTTGGTGTTGTTGCGATGAGGTTGAGATAAGTCGCTTTGGTTATACCTGGTAACTTCCCAGTCAAATGTTGTCAACTGTCTTGTGGCATCTTGGCAACTTGGGCGCTAGCTGCTTTTGAAGCTCATCGCAACTTTTGTAGCGAGCTTGGCGAGAGTTGCCTGGCAGATTAACAGAATTAATGCTCATATCAAGTGATGTGGATGAAGCCTTGATCGACTTGAAGGATGGAGAAAATGAGCATTAACAATAAATTTAACTCTTTCGTGGCAAGCGTATCAGATGACTCAAGTATGTCAAGTGTATGAAGTATGAGTGGAGGAAATAAAAGAAATGGAACGTCTGACCAAGCTTGCCAAGGTACGGCACAGGGTAGATCTCGGGAAGATAAAGCCACACAATTCTCACGTAACGGCTGTGGAGCCCCAGCTGCAATAAGGGTCTTGTAGTTGTAATAGCGAAGGTATTGCATAACTGTCTGGGCGACTTTAGTGGGTAAACATGCTTTTTTTATTTAACAAGTGGTAGTAGGTGTTATACTTTGATGCAAAAGAGATCAGATGGCAAGCATGAGATTAGTGTATGTGGACAAGCTGTTGCATGGCCATCATCACTTACGGCGTTTAGAACCAAAGACACTTAAGACAGCAAGAAAACAGCTAGAATCAAATAGAAGGTCTCAGTATCTTGTTGTGAATATATCCAAATTTTGCTGATTAATTCGACCATTGCCTCATGATCTCTCAATCTCAAAGGAATATATGCTTTGGAATCACGCACATGAACACATAGAGACTCGATCTCTCGTTTTCTGGAAATGGCAAACGGTATGCAGGATAGCCGCTAACAGAGAGATGGCGCGGAAGCTTATCGCCTCTTTTGGGGGCCATTGGGCTGAGATGTAGAAACTAGAAGCTGTGGGGCTTTAGGCGACAGATGTGTAAGCCATGCGGTTGAGAACATTCAAGACAGCAGAAATCTAAAAAATTGCTTTCATGAAGAGATGGGATACATCGTCGGCAAATCTTTCTAACCTCTGAATGGATTCCAATTCTAGTGGTCGCGATAAGTCGTTTGACTAGGAGTTTAGCGTCCGACTGTGAGATGGGTATCTGCATGTAGGTGCCTGATTAAAGTAAGAAGCCTTAGATGTCAAATCGCTTGTAGCCAATCAAATGACGGTATCTCTCACAACTGTAGGCCTCGGGGAGTGTTAAAAATGCTGTGAAGAGAAGGGCTGGGGTGAACTGAGGTCAGGTACATGTATTCAGGTTGCTAGCAAGTGGCTTACAGTAGACTCAATGCCAACTTTGCAAGTAAGACAGAGGTGACATTTACTGAGGTGAATGAGTTCGGGTACGTATGGATGGATTACATGAATATCTGTGTCAGATATCATATAAGACAGGATGCATGTCGTTCAACTTTTTGGTGATGACCAGCTACTAGGTGATGTAGCCAGAGATGGGTGAAGACAAGTCGACCAAGTCAATATAACGAATTGTGTTGTCAAAACTGTCTACATACAATTACGTATTACTGAATCTCTGGCACATCTTCTATCAATAAGGCACCGGCTTATTCTCCTTGACCCAAAGCGCCTCACCCTCAGTCCGTCTCTCCGGCGGCGTAAACTCATTAATCTTCCACAACCTTCTATCCGTCTCCGCAATGTGAAACTCCCAGTCATACCCCTTGGGCTGAATCTCCGCCGTCAGCAGCTTATTAAACGTCTGGCCCGCGGCGCGAATCACGGCATCATCGGGGGGGTAGTTGTGCGCAATGTGCGTGGCGACGAGGCGGATGAAGGGCTTGTCGTTGGCATCTCTGGTCTCAGCGCCGATGTAGGTGCTGGCGAAAGGCACCTCGATGAACTGGACGACGACGTAGAAGGCGGGCATGTCAACGCCGGTGTAGAAGGCGGTGATGGCCTTTGCCAGAGAGTCTTTGGACTCGGCGTCCTGGTAGGCTGAGGGGGGGTGGTAGATGAGCCAGTGAGGCATATTTGCGGTTTGTTTTGGACAATGTAAGTGATGTGTAAGTATAAGTGTTTGATGAGTGTTATTCACTCAGAATTGCGGCAAGAAGAAGATGGCGAGTGATGCCTATATATATTCACTTGACTATATATATGCACTTTGTGTTGTGGCATTACGGTCTTTATAAGCCCGCAATGAATCAGCACTATAGCTTGGTTTCTTTCGAACCAGATCCCAACGCTGGCTATGCCGAAATGGGGCTATTGTCTGCATCTATGGGCCAGATGACTAGTGTTGAAGGACGAATTCTAGCATCATCTTGGCATTTTGATATACTACTAATCACTAAATTGCTATTCAAGGAAGTAACTGAGCCTTTGAATGCAGTGTTACAGTTACACTGATACCTCGGAAAGTAACATGCAAGGAAAAGGCCGAGGATCGACGAATATACAAGGACGCATCACGCAGATAGTTTCCGTTGTTGTACGACCTTCGGCGATAAGATGATGACTCGGGGTGGAGGAGGACGAATCAGCGCTAATGGCCGAGGAAGTCGAGTCGGGGCGGTGAGGTAATTGCCGAGTAATATAGTATAGATGTTGGCAAATGGGTGCAAAAGAGGACTATGAATGGAGAATTACTGTGGTTGATTTGTTGATTAGTGATCTGTGTTTGATTACAAAATCGGTATTGACAATCGAGAGACGGGCGATTAGTGATGCAGTTATACTTGATATAGAGAAGACGTTATTATATATAAAGTGAATGAAGCATTATTTTATGAAAAAAAGGTCAAAAACAAATAATCGTTTATTGTAATCATAATTCTACGCGTCTACTCATTCGTAATGTCTTCCCTCGCCTTTGTCACCGGCGCAACGGGCTTCATCGGCTCTCAGGTTGTCGCATCGGCCCTCAGAGACGGCTACAATGTGCGAGTGAGCGTCCGCAAGCCAGAGCAGATTGACACTCTCAAGGGCATCTTTCACGACGACGCCTCAAGGCTTCAGTTTGTTGTGGTGCCTGACATTGCAGTGGCTGGGGCATTCGACAAAGCTCTGGACGGCGTGAAAGTCGTCTTCCATCTGGCATCACCTATGCCTGGCAAGGGAGCAGACCTGCAGAAGGACTACCTCGAGCCAGCACGCAATGGAACACTGTCGATCCTGGAGAGTGCCAAGAAGGTGGGCAGCATCGAGAAGGTGATTGTCATGTCTTCGATTCTGGGCATTGGCCCCGTGGATCTGTTTTCCAACACAGACCAGTTTGTTGCAGGTGAGTCCTAGGATAGTGCATGCATGTTAGTGATAGATGGAAAGGGACATGGAGCACATCACATGTGCTGGAACAAGCTGCATCAGCCATCAGCCATCAGCCATCAGCCATCAGCCATCACTAACAGCACGCAGCAAACACCGGCAAGAGACACGAAATCGACCTCGACAAGGTCTTCCCCGGCGGCAAGGGCGAAAACGGCAGCATGTACGTGGCCTCCAAGATTGTCGCCCACCAGGCGTCGCTGGACTGGGCCGTGGAGCACAAGCCGGCCTTTCAGCTCATCACCGTCCACCCGACCTTTGTGCTGGGCCCCAGCCTGATCCGCAAGACGGCCACAGACCTGGACGGCATCAACGCCTGGTTCTGGCAGTCGCTGCAGCTGCCGGCGCCGCTGTTCCCGGCGGTGATTGTCGACGTGCGAGACGTGGCCGATCTGTGCCTCAAGGCCGCTGCCGTGGATGTGAAGCCGGGCGAGGCTGAGCTGGTGGCCTCGGGGGCGCCGACGAGCTGGAGGGAGATTGGCGAGTGGGTGAGGGCCAAGTATCCGCAGCTGGAGACGAGGCTGGAGGAGGATGGGCCGACGCCGTTTAGGGTTGAGAATGATGTGCTGGGGGTGCGGTGGCGGCCGCTGGGGGAGACGCTGGGCGGGCTGATAGACCAGCAGCTGGCGCTACAAAAGGGCAGCGCTTAGAGGCCGTGAGGCGTGGTTGGTGCTGTTAGCCGCTGTAATGGAAGAGTTGAGGCTATATTCTACATCAATGTGAATTGCTGTCGAGGGCGTCTATGGATGCAGGGGGATTGGATAAAAGAGAATTGGAGGTTGGACGAGGCTTGCAATAGTAGAACTACTAGTAGTACGATAGTAATATGCAAGCATTTTAAAACGCAGAGGGATGCCATGGTGTAGATTAAGCTGAAACTGAAACTCGAGGCCGGTATCGTGCTGCCCTTTTGCCGAGAGTCATGTATCAGACACCAGGTCCTTGTGCCATGCAGGCAATTACTACAAGTACTAGTAAAGGCCAAGAATGCCGTACCGCATGTCGCACAAATCCATTAGACTTTGCAGATGAAGACTGAGCACAGACTGAGCAGAGTAGAGCAGATGAGGCAGAATTACCAGGGCAGGGATTGAAGCTGCAGATCGCGATGAAGGTTGAACATGGCTGAGAGACAATGTGAGAGACGGGACTTGCAGCCAATGAAAGAAGGTGGCGCGGGAGATGCATCTGCTTTGGTGCGACTGGGTGGGTGGAGAGCGGTTGATATTGCATTGGGCTGACTGACTATTGGTGGTGAAAGATTGGATGCCGAGATTATGTGAGTGGACGCGTCGGTTTGGCGTGGTCGGGGCAAGCCGAAGGCCCTGGCAGTGGCTTGACATCATGAAGTTGAAATTGATTATTGAATGATGCTAGCAGTAGTGGCTGAGCTTGGAGATGAGGCGAGGCAATCGTGGACGCCGAGGTCTATCTGCATGCGCATCTATGCATGCAGCCACAGATATGTACGAGTATGTGCCTAGAATCACTTACACGAAGCCATCCGGTGCTGCATCGTCACGATAACCAGTGCTCTTAATATCCAAGCTCTCGCCAAGAATCAAGATGATCAAGATAAATATAGCCACATCTGTATCCATCCATCCATCCATCATCCATCATCCATGCCCGTATGCAACGCTGTAACCCTCCCAGGCCGGCCATCATCGCGTCCAGCTCGCGTCCCAGCTCTCTCATTAGCTCTTATACTCTCTTAAACCCCATTGTCCCACTCCCTCATGCACCTCTGCATCACCGAACCAGGATCCGCTCCAGGGCGCATCCATGGCGGCAGCGCATCCCCACGCGTCCATTGGGTCCTGCAGCGCGGGCTCGTCGTGGCCAGTGCTTTTCGTGACAGTTTGGCGGCAGAGTCGCGCGTAAAGTGCGGTGCCCCGGCAGAGCTTAAATGAGGGCTGAGGGGGGATCGAGATTTTTCGTGTAAGTGGAGTGGATGCGCCAAGTTGGCCTTGACGGTTGTCTGGCATCTTGTTCTTGTCTTGTAGGTTTGCTCCATGAAGTGGTCTGAAAACTTGGATTCTCGTCCTTTATGCCCTGCAGCTTCACATCACATCGCATCACATTGACTTTCGCATTTCTGCATCATCCTCGAAATGGGCATCCCTGCTGTAAATCCCTCTCAACTGTCTTGTAGCTTTGCTGCACTCCTCTAGTTCTCTTCTCCCTGTGCTCCGTTGTCCCCTGAAGCTCAATGCTAAACCCCCCACCCTTCAGGCCATCCGTCCCGTCCATCCCATTAAAGTACAAGTCAAGGCCATCGGTGTGTGAGGCGCGTCTTGCAGTACCTCCCTTCAGCCAGCCCGCGCACGGACCATCAGGTACTGGCGACTCTGCGGTGTACTGTGTTCTGCTAGAACGCAAATGGTGCCCGCTGGTTACTCGCCCGCTGGAGCTGCTGTGGCGTTACTTGAGGGCTCCAACCCCGCGACCTCGTCACCAAGTACCGACCCCACCAACGGCCGTGTCGCAGTCACATTCCAGCGATGGAGCCCTGCGCCGTCTGACTTGTACCGCCCTGTGGCGCCCCTCCCTGCTACGGCTGGCCCTCCCTCCTTCGCCTCCCAGTTCTCGCTTCACGTTCCATTCTCGCGGCGTGTTTCTTCACTGTTTATTAGTACTGCCTCTGTCCCACTTGGGCCTGGTTTTCTCTTCCTTTTCGCGCAGCCATTCCCTCCCCTCCTCCTCATCCTTTTTTTTCCCAATTGTTTATTCCAGGCTTCTCTCGCTCACTCAAGACGCCACAACAAATACACGCCAAACACGTTCTTTTAAGTGTGGTGTAAACACAAAGGGGAAAACAGAGGACATTTCGCAAAACTCTGGATTTTTTGAAGCGAATACATACCTGAAGCAGGCAAAAGAAGAAAGAAAGAAAGAAAAGAATTAATCTGCAAAAGCCATTTCTCGCTTCATCTCCAACTAATTGATACTCATCCCTATTTTACTGTGAATCATCATCTGCTGCTATCAATCTCTCAATCTCTGCCATCGATCGTCTGTTTTGCTCTCCACACACCAATTCAAAGGTGCCCTTCACTGGGTCAACTTGTCGCATCATCGCATTTCGCACCATCAAGTCGAATTCGCATCGCAAATCGCACAGTTGAATCGCTATTTTTAATTCGCCGATCATGGCCGCCGTCACTCGCCAGCCCTTTGCTCCTCTGGACGGAGCCCGTCTTCAATCATTAACCAGTCTCAAAAACAGACAAAATGGTATGTTTGTGCGATGAATTTGCGCAAGAATGGCAGCCCAGCTTTGATGAGAGAATCCATCTGGCTAACACCATCGCTCAGCCGCTCCTGTTTCTCCAAAGCGCAAAGCAGAGTTGCTGGAGATTGACAACTGCGAGAATGTCGATCCGCTGCTCTTCTCCAAGCGCTCCAAGGGCGTCAGCTCCAAGGACGCCCTCAAGCCCTCCAACTTCTTTCTCACTCCCAAGGTCAGCACTCCTGCGCGGTCTTCCGCCCCCGTCAAGGCTGCTTCAACGCCTCGACGCATCCTCAGCGCAAAGTCATGCTTGAGCAAGCTCGGCTCTGAAAATGCCACGCCCAAGTCCTGCCCTCCTCCAGCGGGACGCTCACCAACCCATGGAAAGCGATCAAAGATGCTGTCAAGCCGGCGACGCACTACTCGCCTGGACCCTCCCTCATTCATGGGCTCTTCTTCCGCCCCCTTCTCTCTCGATGCTGCCTTGAAGGGCACCATCGCCGGGTACACCCCCAAGCCTTCTGCCAGGAAACCCATGTCCAGCCTGCTTGAGCCTGAGAGCAAGTCCAGCTGGTTCTTTGACATTCACGAGGACACCCCTGAGCAGGAGATGACCAACCTTCTCCAGCACAGCACCTGCACACTCGACATCTCGTCTGATGAGGAGACGGAGCAGCGCGCAAAGCGAGATGGTGCTGAGGGTCGTGACAAGGAGAACATTCCTCCTCCAGATGACGTCTCTCAGACCTCGGCCCAGCCGGCCAGCCAGCCCAAGGGCGAGGAGATGGTTATCGAAAAGGAGCGAGTTGCACTGGGAGAGATGAACGCTGCTGATTTCTACGCCGATGGCTGTGATGATTCATCGGTGATTCTGATCCACGAGGATGACGAGGAGCCGGAAGCTCCTCTCGCCGCCATCTCAAACATTCCTGAAGAGGAAGAGGAAGAGGTAGAGACAGAGGTTGAGGAGGAGGATGAACCCGAGCTCGAGATTCACGAGGACATTGATGCCCTCATCTCAAGATCCGACGACTCATCCAAGGCTGCTGTGCTACAACCCATCGAAGGCACAGGCGAGAGCTTTGAGCTGTGGGAAAGCGACAGCGCTAAAGATGCTGGGAGCCCGTGCGGAAGCCCGTGAGGAGCCGTGTTTGTGTCTTCAACGAGGGAATGAGTGTACGCTTTAACGCTGGATGAAGAGCGAGCAAGCATTGAGCCTTTTGTTTGAATCTTTTTCTCATCTTCCTCTTTTTACCATTTTCCTCTTTTAAATTTCTCTGACAGTATTTGGCCTGTTTTTTTTTTTTTTTTGGTCCTCTCTCTTTTGTTTAAACCTGCTTCAAAAAGGTCTTGATTTTGGCGCATCAGTTTTTGCCCTATTTTGTATTCTCCAGGGCTGGGCGGCGTTATATGGATTGTTTCTGTGCGAAACTTGTTGATACCAGGAGTTGTTGCTTGATTTGATGCGCCGGTCTGGGGCCGTTCTTGTTAGAGTCTTTCGATCAGAGTAGCAAGTATCGTACACGATTAATCATATTGTTTGAACTCTAAATATTCGTCTCTTTGCGTGATATGCAGCCAGCCACATTGTAAATTGAATTGATAAATGTGACAACTGAGAACTGAGAGCAAAGCGTGATCTAGGCTGGATTTAGTCAACTCGAGCACTGTGCTACGGACCAGCCACTTCCTCTCAGCCACAGCTGTCGTCACAGTGCGGGCGTCCAATCTTATCGGCGATGATGAAAGCTCATGCATGCATGCAGCTCCCCTCCAACCGCAGCAGCTCTTGTTTTCTCTCATTTCTCTCATTTTTTTTTTCATACTTTTACGGCACAATTGATCCCATAGAGGACATACCAGGAGATGAGAGAATCATCAAAGGGATAAAGCCATAATAATTGCATAGGGAAAAAAAAAGAGAAATGTCCTCCATCCACGACCTCGCCGCAGCCGCTGTCGCCGGCACCGCTTCGTCCAGCCACGGCGAGGACGGCAGCGGAGCGACCAAGAGGAGGGGCGCGTTCATTGTGCTCGAGGGCCTGGATCGCAGCGGCAAGACGACGCAGGTGAAGCTGCTGGAGCAGCGGTTTGTGGAGGAGGGGCGGCCGGCCAAGGTGATGAGATTTCCGGGTAAGATGATGATGCTTGATTTGAGATGAACGGTGGGAATGATTGATGGCTAACTTACTGTGTAGATAGGACGACGGCGATTGGGCAGATGATTGATGGCTACTTGAAGAGCCATGTTGATTTGGACGACCATGCGATTCATTTGCTGTTTAGCGCCAACCGCTGGGAATCTGCGTAAGCTGTCACCCCCTCTTCGTCATCTCAATCTCATGATGATATATCGATGTATACAAAGCTGACCACCACCAAGCGCCCAAATCAGGGCCTACCTCGCCGCCGGCATCAGCGTCGTCTCCGACCGCTTTTACCACTCCGGCATCGTCTACTCCGCCGCAAAGAAGAACCCGCACCTGCCGCTCTCCTGGGCGCGCTCGCCAGACGTCGGCCTGCCCCGTCCGGACGTGGTGCTCTTTTTGGATCTGGACGAGGAGACGGCGCGGTCGAGGGGCGGTTGGGGCAGCGAAAAGTACGAAAAGGAGGAGATGCAGCGGACGGTGCGGGAGCTGTTTTGGGCGCTGAGCATGGGCGGGAAGGATATCAAGGGGCAGGACTTGTTGCAGCAGATGGGCGGGATTGAGGGCCCGTCGTGGAGGCAGGATGAGGAGGATCTGGTGGTGGTGGATGCGAGTCGGCCGGTGGAGGATGTGGCGGAGGCGATTTGGAGAAAGGTCAAGGCGAGGGTGGATAGGGTTGATATTGGGGAGATGGGCAAGGTGGTGAGGACTGCGTTGTAGGGCGATGTTTGGCATTCTGGATATGGTTATGTCATGGGTTGAAGATTGGAAATGAGATGGCATCTGATCATGGTCGTTTTAATGGCAACTTCATGTTTGGGTTATAGCTATTGCTCGAAATTCTTACTTTTCACATTCACTCATAGTCAATTCATTGCAATAATATGAACGAGCGAAAGCTGGCGTACCATGATCTTATACCTTCTTTATCTGGCAACCAGAAGGCATCTCGTAAAGACATCATCTATTGTGTACTGCTATGGAGCAGTAAGTTGGCCTAACTCAAGCATCATGAATACTTTCAATCATTCTCTTTCCACGTAATAGTTTTATAGCTATAGTTTTAGTAAAAGATATAGAGCCCGCACAAAGCTAGAGAGACACATGGAGTAGGACCTGGTATTATGTATCACAAGTAACAGACGCTCCGGAGGATCTGTGTAGGAACCAACAGCAGATGACTAGTTACACAACATAAGAGAAGCCAGAGGCCATGATCGCTTTTATATATTTTTAGATAACATCACATTCAGGCAAGACGCTGCCTAATAAGTGTGGAATGTACCTGCAATGTTTTAATTCAGCTATAAGATAAAACACAATACTGATGCTGGGGTACGAGTTTGTAACAACCATCTTTTTCGTAAGGACACGAATCATCCACTCAGACATGATAAACTATGAAAGACAAAGACAATGTAGAAATTGCAGGAAAAGAGTGTAGTTCTCCATCCCAAATTCAACCCATGGTTCAAGTAGTAATTGCCAAACATATTATACTTTACTTTCAAGCAGCACCTCCATCTGTACCTGATATGAAAACTACTAAAACATCAGTATATCTATGTCTCAATAAGATTCTAATTCCTGACTTTGGCTATGAGCTGGTAAAGTAGGATGAGTACTTACGTTGCCCCGGCTATTATCAAGTCGACAGGTATTACAATCTGCGATACCGCCTTGTAAATACAATAGCCATTTGGGGTCACCAGATTCAGGCCATAAAGGAAGATATTGAGGCCATAGATTTGAATGAAACGTGAGTTATATTATACACTTAAATGAGTGAAATCACAATAATACTCAACAATCATGGGGATAGAGAAAAGCCAGCAACTGATGAAATTGCCATCCAACTTGAACATTTAAGCGAAACATCATCGAGCCTGTTTCAAAGTTTCAAGCAAAACGGCCGCTTCAAAGATTTGGAAGAGGCTATTGAAACTACAAAGCTGGCAATTAGTATAGCAGGCAGTTATGTTACGCCTCTTATGTTTGCTTCCTTGGGGAACCTGCTCAGCCACCGATTCCAACACGCAGGATTAATGGATGACTTGGATCGAGCTATTAGCATTACAAGAAATGCAGTAGACGCTACGCCTTGCAACGGTCCGCAACAAGCTGCATTATTAACCATATTAGGATCTATGCTCGGCAATCGGTTTGAGCAGACAGGATTAATGGATGACATGAATCAAGCTATTATCTTGACCAAGAATGCAGTAAACTCCACACCTTATGATGACCCTTTACGAGTTGCGTGTTTGAGTAATCTTGGACACAGCCTAGGAGGAAGATTTGGCCGAATTGGACTAATAGATGACTTAAATCAAGCAGTCAAGATAACAAGTGATGCAGCTGATGCCGCGCCTTATGGCAGCATAGACCGAGCCATGATTTTAACTAACCTTGCAAGTCTGCTACACCAGCGATTTAATCACATAGGATTTATGGATGACTTGGATCGAGCGATTATTGTGGCAGATAATGCATTGGATATCATGCCTGATTACCACCCGCTACGGGTTCGTTGTTTAGGCAACTTTGGAAATTCCCTTGCCATTCGATTTCAGCGGACAGAATCAATGAGCGACTTAAATCAAGCAGTTAGCATAACAAATGATGCGGCGGATGCCATGCCTCATGAGGACCCGTTTAAAGGGAAGCTATTATACAACCTTAGCCGTGTTCTAAGCAAGCGATTTGAGCAGACAGGATCAATAGACGATTTAAACCGAGCAGTTCAAGTGGCAAACGATGCACTCGATAGAACGCCCCATAACCACCCGGAGAGCGCTACCCGTTTAAGCAACCTTGGACAACAGCTTGGCAGGCGGTTTCTCCATACAAGATCGATGGAGGATCTAGATCGAGCAACCAGTGTGTGGACGCCACGCCTCACGGCCACCCGGAGCGAGTTTGGTATCTAAGCAACCTTGGATTTACACTCGACTTGAGGTTTGAGCAACTGAACGTAAAGGACGACTGGGATCGACTGCTGTCATGCTATATCGCAGGCTGGGATTGCATTACCGGTCCCCCCTCTGTACGCATTCGATCAGCACAGAATGCCGCCAATCTTCTTATAAAGCAGCAAGATTGGGAATTGTCCTACCAGCTACTGCATGGTGCCACATCCCTCCTCCCTACTATGAGTCCACGGTCACTTAATCACACTGATACACAAGCCTTGCTTAGCGATATGTTTGGCTTAGCTTCATCAGCCGCTGCTGTGGCGCTGCATGTGGGAAAGACTCCAGGTGATGCTCTCCGCCTTCTGGAACTCGGCCGTGGTGTTACCGCGAGTCTTCTCATGGACATGCGCGGTGATATCACGGAACTTCAATCAAAACATCCTGATCTAGCGGAAAGGTTCAGTCACCTTCGGGGAGAGTTAGATTCGCCTGCTCATAACGCATCTGTGGGTATCCCTGATAAACTGTCTTCCTGGGAATCCCAGATGAAGCGACGCCGTGAAGCAGACGAAGAGTTTAACAAAATCATTGATGAAATCCAGACACAACCGGGATTCTCCCAATTTCTACAGTCGCCGGCTATAGACGACCTAATGAGTGCGGCAGATAGGGGCCCTATTATTGTGGTTAATGTAACCTACTTCCGTGGCGATGCGTTTCTCATTCGGTCCAACGCAGTCCAAGCGATACAATTGCCAGGAATAACGAAAGACGAGTTTTTAAAGCATATTAGTGATGTGTGAAATAAGTTATATTTGACATCTTCCCTAGAGTGGCTTTGGCATACTATTTGCCGTCCCTGCTTAGACGCACTTGGGTTTACCGCCCCTATCTTGGATGGCAATTGGCCTCATGTTTGGTGGATTCCCACGGGCCACCTTTCTCGAATGCCTCTCCATGCAGCCGGCATTTACAAGCAAGCATTAAAAGAGACAGTCTTGGATAGAGTCATATCTTCATACGCATCATCCATCAAGGCATTACTATATGGGCGAAAGCGGAGCATCCAAAAGTCCAGCCAGGCAGCATCTCTGGATAGCTCCGCCCTTATAATCGCAATGCAAGACACGCCCGGATTAGGGCAAGATGCGCACCTGCACTTTGCGAATGCTGAGATAAATCTGTTGCAAGGTCTGTGTCCTAAACTTCAATTAATTCCAAGCATGCCCCAACGACGCAAAGATGATGTCCTTGAGCAATTGGAAAAATGCAAGCTGTTCCATTTTGCCGGTCATGAACGATCGGATCCAAAGAATCCTTCTCAAAGCTACCTGCTCCTTGAAGATTGGGAAACAGATCCATTAACCGTGGGAGCGGTCCGCGATAGTCGCTTACAAGACAACCCTCCATTCTTGGCATACCTCTCGGCCTGCTCGACCGGAGCCAATAAGGCGGCTGACCTTGCTGATGAAGGGGATTCATCTTATCAGCGCCTTCCAATTAGCAGGCTTTCAACACGTCGTCGGAACACTATGGGAGGTATCGGACAAGCACTGCGTTGATGTGGCAAGGATACTTTACAAGACGTTACAGGAAGAAGGGATGACAGATGAGGCAGTCAGTCGAGGGCTGCACCGGGCGGTTAGGGCGTTGCGGGATGGAGTGACTGAGGAGGACACTCAGGAGAGGGATGCCAAGTTAGCACGTCGTAAGCCGGAGGTACAGAGAGTGGTGGACTTCCTCTGGGTTCCATATATCCACTTTGTCGTATAATCGGAAAGCTATGAACATTTTTGTATACACAGATCATTTTAGTCAGATGCAAGTCTTTTTTTAAGCGCGTTCTTGTCTCAGTAGAGTGAGCTCTTTTTATTAATCCTTCTGATGCGTTGCGCTTAAATCTCGCTATTATAGAAAACCAGGGCCAGTTTCCTTTATGTTGCGGTGCACTCTACTCTATCGACCTGAGCCAGGAACGCTGATATAAGCGCACATTTCTAGGGCATTTTGTAATGCCAACAATTATAGAGATAGAGATGGATGAGATACAGTTTCTGGAATAGTGAGGAAGGAAGGAAACGATGGCAACCAGCGTGTAGTCAGTAGCAATATATATTTGTTGTGTATGTGTATGTGTATGTGTGTATACAGAAGAACAAGCGGGTGAGGCAGGTGAAGAGAAATCACCTGCACCATTGACAGACCCGTGGTGAACCAGTAAGTTATACCAGTGAGTTGTAGCAGTAGATTTAGATTGTGATAGCGGTAAATTAATAGAAAAGAGGAATCTCAATCATGCGTAAATGTATCCAGGTTAACAACTCATTGTGCTCAGCTCGTCGGATCCACTTCGGCCACCCTGAACATGAATCGTCGCGCATATCACGGAAAGCCCAAGGAAAAGCCACTAGAGCTAACCAACGACTTGATGTGTTTTAGGGCTTCTAGAGCTCTAAGCTAGCAACTATAGGGCGGGACTAGCACCATATTATGCTCGCTATTTTGTAGGAGGAAAATTGAAACTCACAATATGTTATCAAACTTCTCTTATAAACTGAATATACAACACCTTCTTCCAAGAAGAACAAACAACTCCGGGTGGTCTAGTTGGTTCATGGCGTTCGACTGTAATTGTTCAGATTATCGAAAAGTCAGCGGTTCGATTCCGCTTCTGGAGATCTTCTATTTTTGTTCTTTTGTTGTTTTTGAAGTTCACTTCTCGTAGTTTATAGACTATCGTGACTATGGCGGATATGAAGTTTCCGGCCACCATATTTCGCCCTTTCTTTTCCCTTTGCTTCTTCTTTCTTTATTGATTTAACTCAATGACTTGGAATTGTTCCATCTCTTCTCATTGACATAATCCATGCCGTGTCCCAAAATCCTTCAACCCACCGCAAATCTCACGCTGCAACACTGCAACTCCGTAAACCCGGCTCGACCCGCCGTTATCGCTATCAGAAGCATCCCCATATTCCCCCATTCCAGTAGAGTAATGATTACCCAATTAGCACCTCGCAATGCAGGGGCACCAGCTGCGAAATCGCTTCGTCCACCGCCCATAATTGGCCCCTTATCATCTGTTTATAGTCCAAATAATAGCGATTCGGGTGCCGGCGCCTTGCATCGGTTTCTTAATTTTGAGTGTCCAACGACAATGCGGCTTTTAGGGTGACTAAGCCAAGCTTGTTCTTTTTTTCTGCAAATCAACCCCACAAGGGTACGTACCGAACAGCCCATTTAGCGCCTCCGATAAGAGCAAACAATTAACCGACTAGACTCCATATCATTCGGGGCGTCATTGACGATCTTCTCTTTTGTTTTCTCTCTTTTTTTCGCTCAACCTCCTCTCTCTGTCTTTAATTAAAGCTTCCTCGGCAAACAGCGAAATCCTCCAGACACAAAAATGGCCTCAATTGCTACCTCCCTGCGCGCTGCCCGCCCCGTGGCCATGCGCTTTGCGCCCCGCGCTGCCCCGATGGCTCGACTGGCGATGCCCTTCAGAAGCTTCTCCAGCAGCCGCATGAGTACGTTTCTGAATGCCTAACCTGTTCTTTACAGCAGATATCTAAATAATCATTCAATTCCAGGCCTCGCTCGCAAATATACCAAGGACCACGAGTGGATCGACCTCTCGGCCGACCGCAAATCCGGCGTCATTGGCATCTCAGAGTACGCCGCCGAGCAGCTGGGCGACGTCGTCTACGTCGAGCTCCCCCCCGCGGGCGAATGGACCGACCAGGGCGACTCCATCGGCGCCGTCGAGTCCGTCAAGAGCGCCAGCGACATCAACGCGCCCATCCGCTGCAAGGTCACCCACACAAACTCCCTGCTAGAGGAGAAGCCCGCCACGATCAACCAGGTGCCCGAGGACGACAGCGCCGGCGGCGGCTGGATTGTCAAGGTTGAGGTGGATGAGGAGGGCGCGGCGCAGTTTGATGAGCTGCTGGATGCGGAGGCATACAAGGCGTTTACGTCCGAGTAAGGAGGCCGAGTAAAGGGAGGGCGGCTAAAAGATTAGACGATGGGGATGTTTTGACTAAGATATTGGCATGAAATATGGAGACGGTGACGCTTTAACAAGAGAGAGGGGGAAAAGAACTTATAAAGAAAAAGAGAGAATTATCTCTTCATTGAAAGGGCAATGGACAAGAGCTGGCCTGAAATGGTGTAGAAAAAAAACAATCAAAACAGTTCAACCTGGTAATCAGCGGAGGGATGGATTTAAATCTTGTATATCTATGTAGCAAACAAACAAGTTCGCATTTTGTGTACCATGCCATATTACATCAGATGAGGGTATACATTTTGTGGTTTGTCGTGCGTCGTTAAAAAGAGAATATCACATAGCTATGATGATGATGCAAATTTTTTCCTCCCTCCATATCCCCATGCCCTTGTCCTTCCGTGTCATTCGCACATAGTCGTACAGCAAGCTACACCAATTATTATTGGGCTGGCGGTGGTGCCGGCTTGTTCTTATTGATGTCGTCCAAGATCTTGTTTGCGCCCTTGTCCACCAGATCGGCCGCCATCTTGACGCCAAACTTGTCGGCCTCCTCTGCGGACGCAATCGTCTGGACCTCCTCGCCGTCCACGCCCTCTGTGCCCTGCACCGACACGACCGTGGCCCGTAGCCTCAGCTGGCCCGGCGCAACCCACTTGGTCTCGACGCCAATGGGCACGCTGCAGCCGCCCTCCAGCGCGCGCATCAGGCTCCTCTCGGCTACCGTTGCCAGAGCGGCGTTCTTGTCCTCGATCAACTTGAGGGCATCGATCACTTTCTGGTCGCCGGCGCGACACTCAATGCCCAGTGCGCCCTGTCCCACGGCGTGCAGGATGCCGCCATTGTCCAGCTCGAGGAACTGCGAGATGTGAGCGTCGAGATTCATTCGCTGCAGGCCGGCCGCCGCCAGGATGATGCCCGTGAGCTCAGGGTCCTCGTCGAGTTTGCGCAGCCGCGTCTGGATGTTGCCCCGGTGGTCCTTGAACTTGAGGTTTGGGTATCGTCGCGCGAGCTGGGCGATGCGGCGCACGCTGCTGGTGCCGATGATGCTGCCCGCCGGCAGGTCGGCCAGGCTCTTCCAGCCGTGCTTGTCGACCAATGCCTTCTTCAGCACCAGCGTGTCACGAGGGTCCTCCCGCTTGGTGACGCAGCCAAGCAGCAGGCCCTCGGGCAGCGTCGTGGGCATGTCCTTTAGCGAGTGCACAATGATGTCGAGCTCGTTTGCCTCGAGCTTGTCCTCCAGCTGCGTCGTCCACAGGCCCTTGCCGCCAAAGTTGTAGAGCGCCGTCGTCTGGTCGCGATCGCCGGTGGTTGTCATTCCGTGGATGGGAAACGAGTAGGCGGGCAGCACGGCCTGGAGGGCTGCGACGACGATGTCGGCCTGGGCGAGGGCGAGGGGCGAGTTGCGCGTGCCGACCCTGATGGTTGTTGGGCCCTGTGCGAGGCCTGATGATTTGTCGTCGGCCATTTTGGGGGAGATGTCTGAGGTTGTGGTGATGGGGGAGATGTGAGAGTGGGAGTTTAATTTTCTTGAGAGGCGATAATGGTTCGAGAAGGATTCCGAATGCCGATGGAGGGGTAGTCGGCAACTCGGCGGGGTATTTGCACTGTGCAAAGCAGCGGTGGGATTGTAGATACTGTGTGAATTGTACATGATACTGTATTTGCAGGGTAGGTCATTGCATACTCATGGCTTCACACGAGTCGTGTGAATTGTATGTGAGTATCGCCTAGTTGGTGAACCAATTGAAAGGAATTGTGCAGTATAGAACACTGTTTTCTTTTATTAGACGTGAAATCATCTGTCGGTTTATCGGGACGATGGCCCGAGAATCGGACACAAGTTCCAAGGTAGGTCATCTTAGTTAATCTCCATAATTGGTTAACATAAATATCGAGTCACAAAATTGCTGGTTAATTTGGCTGTTTGTTTCCTGTTCGTGTCAAGATGAGGAGCTCATTACGTGATATTTGCATGATTGTGTATTTGTGAAGAATAGATGGCGTGTTGTGACGAAATATAGAGATGAAAGTAGAGCATGGAGCCGAGTTAGAAACACAAGCATCACTTTTGTCAAGACGGAAGCTTAATTCTTGTCGATCTCCATGATCTGGTGCTACCCAATTGAATCGGAGTGCTATTTATAACGAGATGGAACCATCAATGCTGAGGAGACATGCCTATATAAAGATGGGATAGTGAACGAATGCCTCACATCTGCCAGCCCGCGACTGATAACATCTCACATCTCCATCTGATCAAATCTACAAACACTCTACGATTAAGTTTACAGCCAAAATGAAGCTGGCCATTGCTCTAGTTGCCCTGATTGGACTCTCGGCCGCCAATCCCAGGCCCCAGCTTCCAACGCCCGCCACGCCCCCTCCGCCACTCTCCTCCAAAGAGCCGGAACCAGTTCCTGAGTCTTCGACCACCACCAGCACCTCGACTTCCACCTCCAAGGACGCGCCACCTCCTGCGGCTACCAGGGAACCTCCCGTGCCGGAGGGGCCCATTTGCGAGTGCGGCTACACCTATTGCGCATCTGTACTAATGGGCATGAGTATGTCATGCATAAGAAATTGGAGTCTCTAATAGATGAGTGAAGCTGATCCAAATACTCCATAGGAAAACCGTGGTCTCAGAAGCAACTGGCCGAGGCATACTGCAAGACTCCTCACGCATCTTGCAACAACAACGTTCCCGCAACAAACACTTCGTCTGCGCTGTACATTTGTCTCTGCGAAGATGCCGATCAAAAGGTCGGCACGCACCTGGATCTTGTCTGCGGGTGCGACAAGTGCCTGAACATTGGGCCCGATTTCCGGGGCCGATGCGAGACTCCGTGCCACGGGGGGAATTGCCAGATGGAGCTGTGATGGCTGAACTTGTGTCTTACTATAATCCTATACTCTTTTCCTTGGATGGACGTTTTTAAATGCTGCACTTGAAGTTGGCTCTTGCCACTAATACCATTAATATCACGATACAACAGATTAATCACCACTTGATGCGCGAGTTTGGGACTCCAAGTTGCTTCGAGTTGATTACTGGGTTCATACCAGGTGCTGCAAACCTGGATAATATCTAGTAATAGTAGCTTCTACAGCCAATAATGCCTAATCCATATCCCATTTTATCGCTCCCTTCCTTGTTACATTTTAGTAAATCACCCGGCAATATCCCACTTTAAATCTCCTGATCTCCCCCTTCCCCTCCCGCATATCCCGCGCATTCAGCTGTGCTCTGAACTGCATAATACGCATAGTACACACCATGGAATTAAGCTCGTATGTACGCTCGGCTGCGTCGGAGCCGCCTCGCATTGCAACCACCCCAAAAGCACGATTCCAGCCTCCCATCAGCGCAAATCATCCCAATACGGCCTGCTGCCGCTTCGTGCTGCCCATGTCGCCCTTCCCCAGCTTTTAGCGCCGATAATTCCCCCGCAGTGGGGGATCATTTAGCGGCCGTGCCGCCTAAACTCCCCTCACGCCCCCCTGTAAGCTCTTCTGATCCCCCTGTAAGTTCTTGGAGAGACCCCCCTTTGGGGGACCCCGCACCTGATGGCCGTCTCTTTGTTAGTGGTAACGTCAGAAAAGAGAAGGTTGTCCGCGGACGAGTACCTTGCTGGCCGGCGCAATTCTGCTTGCGACGGCTGTATCTTTGGAGAACTGGAAGTCAAAGATGCTCCGACGATGTCACCATTCTTGTATTGATGTGATTTATTTTTTTTATCCGGCCGTTAAAAACTTGGAGTCGGCGGAGCGGGGGTTTTAACGACCGAGCTTGCTGTAGAAGCCACTTCTCCTCCCGCGCACGCGTTGCGATCGAGTGATTTTCTTGCTCTTCTTATCTTTTTCTTCTTTTTTGCTTCTTCCAGATAGCTATTCTTTGCTTTATCGTGAGGTGATTTCTGTTGCTTTGACAGATTCGGCAGATACTAAGCGCTCTTATTGCAGCTCGCATGAGCTCTGCTGACGACTGTCGAGACATCAGCCGATGTGAGCTCGTATAGCTGATCTGGTATGTTTTCGGCGATTATCAATAAATATCTCTTCTAAATTCTTGTCGCATACAGGTACATTTATAGCTAGAATCTTGTGTGTGTCACGTCCAAGTCGCCTCAGATGAGGGTCGATTCGTGATGGCGTCCTCTGTGCTTCGCCCACTGGCCACCGAGCTCTACTTTTCGCCTACTACTGCTTCTTCGTCGCGCTTCTTGCGCTCTCGAATTCAAAGTAAGAGATAGAGACCTTTCTCGTGCGCAAATTGCGCCTCTACAGGCGCCAGCGAGCAACGACTTCTGACTCTGTGATACTAGATGTGAAGCCCTTGGTGAGTTGCCACCGCCAATGGCATGCCTCTTCGGGGGCTCAACGGCAAACTGCAGTTGTCGCCGCGGCAGCAAAGTCTCTGGCGCTGGTCCGCCGTGACTCTCCGGTTCCACGAGTTCCCGCTCTTTTCCCAAAGGCCTACTCGACGGACGCGACCACTGTGGTGCCGCCCACGACTCCTTACAGTCAACTCACGGTTGGTGTGCCGCGGGAGACGTTTCCAGGAGAGCGCCGGGTCGCATTGACTCCAACTAATGTGGCTCTGCTCCTAAAGAAGGGATACTCCAAGGTCTTGGTCCAGCGCGGAGCTGGGGCTGCGGCTGATTTCTTGGACGAGGCCTATGAAAAAGCTGGCGCTACTCTTGTCGACTCCCCTGATGGCGTCTGGTCTGCTGCCGATATTGTACTCAAAGTTCGAGGGCCTTCAAACACCGAGGTCAATGCCATTAAGAAAGACCAAACGATCCTCTCTTTCCTCCAGCCTGGCCAGAATAAAGATCTTGTTGAGAAGATTGCTGCCCGGGGTGCCACTTACTTTGCAATGGAAATGGTCCCTCGTATCTCTCGTGCTCAGGTTTTTGATGCCCTTAGTAGCATGGCCAACATTGCTGGCTACAAGGCTGTCCTGGAAGCCTCCAACGTCTTTGGTCGATTCTTGACCGGCCAAGTCACGGCTGCTGGCAAGATCCCGCCCTGCAAAGTTTTGGTCATTGGAGCTGGTGTAGCTGGTCTAAGCGCAATCGCAACTGCTCGTCGCATGGGTGCCATTGTCCGCGGATTCGATACCCGTCCTGCGGTCAGAGAGCAGATTGAGTCTCTTGGTGCTGAATTCATCGAAGTCGACATGCAAGAAGATGGTTCCGGCGCTGGAGGTTATGCTAAAGAGATGAGCAAAGAGTTCATCGAAGCAGAAATGAGACTTTTCAAGGAACAAGCCAGGGAAGTGGATATCATAATTACTACGGCTCTGATTCCTGGAAGGCCTGCCCCAAAACTCATCAAAATGGATATGCTCGATGTCATGAAGCCCGGAAGTGTTATTGTCGACCTCGCGGCTGAGGCTGGCGGCAACTGTGAGGCCACCAAAGCAGGCGAAATGATCACTTACAATGATGTCAAGGTTATTGGTAAGCTGCTCATAAGTCCCTGATGTTCAAACTTTTTATACTAATATGGTAATGTAGGATATACTGATCTCCCGTCTCGCTTGCCGACCCAATCGTCTACTCTCTACTCAAACAACATTACCAAACTCTTGCTTTCAATGTCTCCCAAGGAAAATGAATTTGGAATTGATTTGTCTGATGAAGTCGTCAGAGGCGCCATTGTCATGCAAAAGGGAGAAATCTTGCCGCCCGCTCCTCGTCCTGCCCCTCCTCCAGCACCAGCCAAACCCGCAGCCGCCGTTGCAGTCGAAGCTGTGGAACTCACCCCTTGGCAGAAAAAGACCCGAGAGGTGGCTACTGTGACTGCCGGAATGACAAGCATGCTTGCTCTTGGAAAGTTCACCGGACCCCTCTTCATGTCTAATGCGTTCACCTTTGCTCTGGCTAGTTTGATCGGTTATCGCGTCGTCTGGGGCGTGGCACCCGCGCTGCATTCTCCATTGATGAGCGTGACAAATGCAATTTCTGGTATGGTTGGTATTGGCGGTCTGTTCGTTCTCGGCGGAGGCTACTTGCCCGAGACAATTCCTCAAACCTTTGGCGCTCTCAGTGTTTTGCTGGCTTTTGTGAATGTTGGTGGTGGCTTCGTCATCACCAAACGAATGCTCGACATGTTCAAGCGTAAGTCTTTTGTCAATTAATTTGATAAGCGGACAAGCTAATTATCTGTTAGGACCTACTGATCCCCCTGAATACCCCTGGCTTTACGCAATCCCGGCTACTCTCTTTGGCGGAGGCTTCATCGCTGCTGCGGCGACTGGAACTGCTGGTCTTGTCCAGGCAGGTTATCTTATCAGTTCTGTTCTTTGTATTGGATCTCTCTCAGGTTTGGCATCCCAAGCAACTGCTCGCATGGGTAACATGCTCGGTATTCTCGGCGTCGGCACCGGTGTGTTGGCCAGTCTAGCTGCCGTGGGCTTTTCTCCCGAGGTCTTGACGCAATTCACTGGACTCGCTGCCATAGGAGCCATTGCTGGTAAGTTATCTATTATCTATATCTGGCCAGTGATTATGGCTACTAAAAATGTTTTAGGCATGGTCATTGGAAGGAGAATCACGCCTACTGATTTGCCCCAGACTGTCGCTGCCTTGCATTCAGTCGTTGGTCTTGCAGCCGTCTTAACCAGTATTGGCAGTGTCATGGGCGACATTTCTGACCTTACCACTCTGCACATGGTTACTGCATATCTTGGTGTTCTGATTGGTGGCGTAACCTTTACTGGATCAATCGTTGCATTCTTGAAGCTCGCAGGTCGCATGTCTTCTCGCCCCAAGCTCCTCCCTGGCCGACATATTATCAACAGCGGACTGCTAGCAACCAATGCTGCTACGTTTGGTGCTTTTCTTACCATGGCGCCTGGCGCTCCAATGATTGCTGCTGGAGCACTGGCAGCTAACACGGCGCTGAGCTTCATCAAGGGATACACGACAACCTCTGCAATTGGAGGCGCTGACATGCCCGTCGTCATCACAGTGTTGAACGCGTACAGTGGCTTCGCTCTGGTGGCTGAAGGGTTTATGCTGGATAATCCTCTCTTGACGTCTGTGGGAGCCTTGATAGGCGTTTCTGGTTCTATTCTGTCATACATCATGTGTGTCGCCATGAATCGTTCCCTGACCAACGTCCTATTCGGAGGTTTAGGAACTCCGACGCAAGCCTTGGAGTATAAGCCAGAGGGCCAAGCGACTGAAACATCTGTAGAGGATGTTGCAGACCAGCTAGTGAACGTTGAGTCCGTCATCATAGTTGTCGGATATGGAATGGCCGTTGCAAAGGCACAGTACGCACTCTCCAGCATTGTCCAATCGCTGCGGTCCAAGGGCATTACTGTCCGCTTCGCTATTCACCCAGTTGCTGGTCGCATGCCTGGGCAATGTAATGTGCTGTTGGCAGAAGCAAGCGTTCCTTATGACATCGTCCTGGAAATGGACGAGATTAACGACGACTTCCCCGAGACTGATTTAGTCTTGGTAATTGGTGCCAACGATACTGTGAACCCGATTGCTATGGAAAAGGGCAGTTCCATTGAGGGCATGCCAGTTTTGCATGCTTGGAAGGCTAAGCAAGTTATTGTGATGAAGCGCACTTTGGCCAGTGGTTATGGTGAGTGCCCTTCTTTCCTTTCCTTCTTTTGAATCCTTTAGTGCGTGTACTATGATAACGATGCTGACACGCAATTGATAGCTGATGTGCCGAACCCGATGTTTTACATGCCAAATACCAAGATGTTGTTTGGCGATGCAAAGGTTTCTTGTGATGGTAAGTATCAGGTTTCACGGCGTTTCAAAATTCAATTTGCTAATGATTTTATAGCTATCAAGTCAGCTGTAGAAAGCAAACTGTAGAGTTGGGTCGTAGACGCTGTGACACGGCGTATGGATTCCGAGCTTGCTTTGATCATGTGTTGCGCCGCAATAGATGGGATTAGATCGTACTGAGTCTTTTTGTTGATCTTTCCAGCTTGATTTAAAAGAAGTAAAATGTTTTCTTGAATAAAACACACGTTTCAAGTCTTCATAATTGTCTCTCTTGATAATCACCGAGTAATGCACGCGTGCCCGTGTCTATTATTCGATTTCTTTTTTTTGCTGTTGTGCGATTTTCAAATATGTACACCATCTGTTCCTCCCAAAAACCACTCATACCCGGTCCTTGACCACTGGCTCCCAAACGTTGATCTTCGGCTGCGTTCTGTACCCCCTCAAACGTTAGCTCAGATCCATCACTGTCTATATAGCCCGTCGTCCCCAGACAGGAACTCCTGCTTCGTCTTCAACTCACGTGTTGTACGTCTTGAAAGCGCCCCGCGTCATGGTATAGTTTGGCTTGGGCAGCGCCGGCTCAAAGTGTCGTGTGCCCGGCAAAATCAGGGGGTCCTCGGTGGGCGGCTTGTCGACAGCGTAGCTGATCCAGGCGTGCCAGCCGGGCTCGATATGACTGGCGTCGTAGTCGTGCTTGGCGTAGTCGACCCAGCGGGTGCGAAGGGGCAGTTCCTCGTTGTTCTCGTAGAACTTGTTGCCGGCGCGATCGGTGCCGATGAGGGTTCCGGCCTTTGTGTCACCTGTTTGCTGCAGTTAGAGGGGATTCTGTCGAGGGACGGGGAGAGACGAGGATGGGCGTACCGATGTACTGTTCGAGGAGAGGTGCGAGCGCTATGTGTTAGCTATGCGTCGTCGCTTGTCGGAAGGGCTGGATGTTAGAACATCCGGAGACGTACCAGCATCTGGCGGAAATAATCCTGCGCGGCAAATGTTAGCAGCTGGTGGCAATTGAGAGGGATTGGCGAGGCGCTTACCTTGATGCCAACCTTGCGCAGGTTGCCCAGAGTCCTTGTAATCGTCGACATGGTGGCGGTAGCGGGCAATTCCTACCGGTGATGAGGTTTGTTCGCTGGAATCTTGGCCGCGGGTGGGAAGAAGAGGTCATTGAAGCTTGGGTTGAAGATTCCCGCGAGCGCGGCAAAAGCTCGGCTGAATTGATTTGCTTCAAGCTCTAGATAGATAGCCGCATGCCGACGGGGTTTTTTTGGGCATGCAGTATTTGGATGATAGAGTTTTTGTTCTTTTTCTTTTTCTTTCATTTTGCAATTTTCATTGTCAATTGAACGCATAGAGCATGATTGTGCGTAGCTGCGCTCGTTGCGCCTCCAGAGCGCGAGTCCTTCGATCGAAGCCGAGCATTTCACCACCGCGATACCAGTTCAGAAGCTATGCGACACCCCATGGAGCTCCCACAGCGCCAATTCACAGCGGAAGCGCAGGGTTGCTGGCGCCGTTTGTGAGCGAATTGGATCGCATGGCACCGAGTTTCGATCTTCGGGGCGACCAGATTCGAATATTGAAAACACCGACGGAATTCTACGAGACGCTCAAGGTACGATGCGACCTACATAGAGAGACAAGCAGTTTAGGAGGCTGATGGAGTTTTGATGACTAGGATCGGATACGAAATGCGAAAAAGAGGATATTCCTGTCGACTCTATATATTGGAAAGTCGGAAAAAGAGCTCATTGAGACGCTGCGAGAGGCGCTGAGGCAGAACCCCGACTTGACGCTCAGCATCTTGACGGATGCGCTGCGCGGCACCCGCGAGTCGCCGAATCCATCCTGTGCTTCGTTGCTTGCGCCGCTGGTGGAGGAGTTTGGGGCTGATCGGGTGGAGATACGGATGTATCATACGCCGAACCTGACGGGGCTGAAGAAGCAGTATGTGCCCAAGAGGATCAATGAGGGATGGGGTTTGCAGCATATGAAGCTCTATGGCGTGGATGACGAGATTATCATGTCTGGGTATGTTGATGCTGCTGAACATGCGATTGATGGGCTTGAAACTGACGTTGGTGAAAGGGCGAACTTATCTATGGACTATTTTACAAACCGACAGGATCGGTATCACCTCTTTTCGTCCAGCGAGGTGACGGACTACTTTTGGAAGCTTTATAACGGAGTTACGTCGTTTAGTTTCCTTGTTCAACCGTCAAAAGAGGATGCGGCCGGTTTTACTCTTACATGGCCGGCAAAGAACTCTGCTCCGTCACCGCTGGAGAAGCCGCAGTCTTTTGTCAAGAGCACTACATCTACGTTACAAGCGTTGATATCTGCGCCCGAAAAGGTTCCAGATAATGATTTTAAGGATACTCGTGTCTATATGCTCGGCCAGATGTCTCAAGTTATGCGACCAGATACATCGACGGAGCTTCCTATACTGACGCGGATTCTGGAGAGGTTGTCTGAGCCAGCATATGCGGGATCGTCGTGGACGTTCACCGCAGGATACTTTAACCCTGCGCCGTCATTAACAAAGTTGCTACTGAACACAGCTTCGAATAACAACATTGTCATTACAGCAGCGCCGGAAGCCAATGGCTTTTACAAGTCAAAGGGAGTTTCTGGGTTATTACCCGATGCATATGTGCTACTCGCACGCCGCTTTTTGTATGCTGTTCAGCAACGTGGCCGCGAGGGGGACATTACACTGAAAGAGTGGCGCTTCGGCACGACTGGCCAGCCTGGCGGGTGGACATACCACGCAAAGGGCTTGTGGATCACGATGCCTGGCGAGGCGAACCCGAGCATGAGCATAGTGGGAAGTTCCAACTACACGAAACGAAGCTACTCGCTCGACCTGGAGGCTGGGACATTGATTGTGACCCGGAATGAGGCGTTGAAGGCACGGCTGGGAGAAGAGCAGAAATGGCTGCAGGAGCATGCGGCTGGAGTTACGATGGATGATTTTACAAGAAATGAGAGGAGGGTTAGTCTGAAGGTGAGGATTGCGATGTGGATTGTAAAGGTTGTGGGAGGCGCTTTGTGATTTGGGATACCTAGGGAAAAATATGGCGTGTTTGGATGTGAATGGCATGGGTTGGGTAAAAAAAGAGAGAGAGGTTATAAATATGAGATACCCGAATGGGATGAATAGATCTGGTGAGTACTATATGGGACTGTAAGAATTGGCGATTCATATCATTCTCCTTGCATTGTTGGACTGGCGATTCTGATTAACGATCCTCCACTATACAACAATTAGTCAATAGATGCTAAGTAAAAAGGCCCACTGTGCAATATTTTATTGGAATATCATATACGACACAGGCATTGAAGCGGCTATGAAACCAACCATGAAGCAATTGAGATGTTGCGCTGAAATTCCTGTCGGTTTCCACCTTCGAACACCACGCAGTTGTCACTTAGCCCATTTACGTCTATTTCAAGTCACCATGCATAAGGATCGATTGTCGCAAGAGGCAACCTAAAGTACCCTGTCTTTCTACAAATGAGGCATATTTCAATTGAGTTTACGGCGATAAGGATCAGCTGTCCGATGATGCCTGGTAGCCTAAGGCGCCCGCGATCAGCTTGAATCCTTCGCTCGTGGATATAAAAATGCAAACTCCATGACGTTGTCTAGACTTGAATTTCCCCGCACTGCACTCATTTTGCGACTTACACCACTATTCTGAGCTGCGCAACGTTCAAAATGGGTTCAACCGAGAAACCTATTATTCTGTACCATTATGAGGTCTCTCCTTACTCAAAGCAAGTCTTGTGGTATCTTGCTCTTAAAGGAATTAAATTCCAACAATGTGTATGAATGGAGTCCAGCCCTACAAGAAGGATATCTGACCACTAAGCGTAGATGCAACCACGCATAATGCCCCGGCCTGATCTCAGCCGTCTGGGCGTCAAATACAGACGTATCCCTGTTCTCACCATTGGAAGAGACGTTTATCTGGATACACGGCACATTATGGCAAAGCTCAGCGCATTGGAGCCAGGAAAAGGCGCTCGCCTTTCTGTTGCGACAACTCCTGAGCAGAAGGCGCTGCAACGACTTTTCCAAGTATTCATGATCGATTCTGGCCTTGCTAGATGTTTTGTACAGCTTATTTTATATAAAACTCGAGGCATGATGGATCCAGAATTTGTTAAAGATCGTACCGAGCTCATGAACGGTGCGTCGTTTTTCCTGCCTGAAGCTTTGGAGGCGATGAGGCCAGATACCATACGGAGAGTGAAGGATGGGTTTGAGTTTCTAGAACAGACACTGCTATCAGATGGGAGGGACTGGCTGCTTGGGACAACAGGGCCGACTGTTGGTGATATTGAGATGGCTTGGCCGCTGCTGTGGATGGAGAGAGTGCCTGGAGCGAGACCCGAGGAGTGGATTTCAGAAGCCAAGTTTCCAAAAGTATTCGCCTGGATGGAAAGATTCAAGAGCACTGCACAAAAGGCAGTGGATGAATTGGAAGAACTGAGGACGTTGACTGGGGAAGAGGCCGCAAAGTTGATACTGAGCTCGGACTTTCATGAAGTGGATGGGCAGTTTGACGAGACAGATGTGCTGGTTCAAAAGCAGAAACTAAAGAAGGGGCAGCTTGTGAAGATGTGGCCAACAGATACTGGATCGAATCATAAAGATGTGGGAGAGCTGGTGAGTGTTAGTGATAAGGAGGTGGTTATTGAGGCAAAGGTAGAGGATGGTGGGTCGGTGAGGATTCATGCGCAGAGACATGGGTTTGCTGTTGCACCTTGTGAGGACTAGTGTTTAAACACGCTGATATTATTTAAAGGATGTGAATATGACTTGAAAAGCAACTAAATAAAAAACTGGTTATTGTTTCGTTCCCCCTAATTCCATAATAGTCGCACTGATATGTAATACGAGTCAGTCTGCTCTTCAGTTCCGCCAACAAAGTTACCAGAGGTTGCTTAGATCACATTCTGGCCATTTGCTTCAAAATTTCAGCCACAATCTTGAACAGCGTCAGTAGGTAGGCTTATGGTCGCGACTATAAGAGCTGGGTCGTGATATGATCTTAATCGTGATCCTCTGGGATGGCTCACAGCCCAAAAGGGTGATCCTTCTCCTGATTGGCTCACTGCTCCATAGTTTATCCATAGGTATGTATCTTATGGTTGTTGGGTTGTAACACTTTCTCTCAGATTACCATCTCCCAGCGGGTTTTATAAGATCAGCCTCCGCAGCAGCATCTTTAAAATCAGTCAAAAACCTCCATCTACTAGTCCCCTTCCAACCCTTCTGTTTCCACGCGTTCACTGTTTCAGGAAAGAAGTCAATGACGTCCAAAAGGGTATTATCATGCGCAATTATGACAAAAACATCTTGACTCTCATCGAACGCTATCATCTTCAAGATAGTTGCTTCGGCCTCAGGCACATCGCGTCCCTCCGCGGCCGATAATTGGGTGTAGTAAGGCTCCGTGCGACTTTTTTTGGGGTGAATTTCTGCAAGGAGAGATCCAGGACAGACAGAGCCTGGTGAGTGTGGGGGATTTGAGAATGGAGATGGTGAGACTTCTTTTGGTATCGGTAGTTCGTTGGCCGGCCTCAGACATCCGCAATGGTGACAACCGTCTCCACCCATGAATATGAATGTCGTAGGCGTGGTCCGTGCTAAGGCACACATATGCCCGATGGCATGCTGAAGACGTCGATGAGCTTCTTACACCAATACGTAGCGAGACAAAATCATGACTTACACCGGGGGCGTCTAACAAATAAAAGCTGCCGTCACCGAAAAAGTCCATGGCGCGGAATTGACCAATCTTCAGCCCAGTGCGAAAGTCGATTTCACGTAGTAGTCTCCCTCTGTTTGTAGCATAGGATTAGCACCAAGCCGAGCCATTTGATGAACTGGAAATTGGAGACTGAACATACGCATGGTCGCTTTCAAGGATTAGACCGTTGGGATCCGCAGGATATCCTGGAAGAAGCTTGTTCTTGAACCCGGGGCCCACCACAAGCTCTGTAGTGGGTGGAAAAGTAGATGGGTCACCAGTATGGTCTGCATGCCAGTGGCTGTTTGTACGTGGTGTTAGTCTAAATACTGCGTAACTCATGCTTCTCATCATACCTCCATATAATGCTATTGATGTCGGCAAGTGCAAGACGGCCATCATCTTTAAGAATAGTAGCGACATCCTTCTCAGTCTTCATAATCAAATTCGCCATACCACTGCGAATTACTGGAGGGAATGACACCGTATCCTTCCGCAGGCCCAAATCAAAGAGAACTCTTTTTCCTTGATGACTCTCAATAAGAAAGACGTAGGATGGACAATTCAGGGTATCATGTCCAGTCAAGGGGTTTCTTATGAAGAATCCCAGCGGCACCTCAACATGAGTGGTACTGTCAATAACGGATACATCAACGACGTATTGAGATGGCGGAATTCCTAGGCTTGATACGGATTCATGTGTTTCGGCCATTGCTGTTAGAGAGAAGTACGGGGATGTGTTCTGAGAGTGAGGAACAAAGGAAAAATTCGGAGGGACCTGGGCAACAGCAGGGGAGCATATAAGGGATTGGGGGCGGCTGCATTTCTAATACGTCCAAAGAGTCATTGAAGTGGTTCCAGTACAGAGGAGCTTCAGATTCAACTTCGAGAGGCTAATTGTGTGGTTTCCACGCTGTGTGACAGGAGAGCTGCTTCCATGCTCTTGCTGCTGGAGTCAGCGCCACAGCATACGATTGATGCAACCAACCAATAGGAGAGTGGTTTCCCAATTAAGGTTGAGGGCAGCAGAGTTATCTTGATGTTGGCGACAATTAGTGCAACCAATGGGAGAGTGGTTTCTCAATCGGGCTGGTGGATAACAGCGGTGGCGGGTCGCCCCATGCCGCTCCACTCCGCAAGTCCGCCGGGCGAGTGGGACACGGACCCGAGTATGACGCCGGAACTGAACGCGCTTACACTGGCGTCTCAATCTTGTGTTAGTCCCAACCCGCACGTATGGCCCATGAGGTTGGTGCGAGGTATGCCTCACCATTGTGACTGGACGAGCTGGAAGGCCAAAAGTAGCTGGTCAGCGCTCTTTCCTTGTATGCAATGCGAGTACTTTATCGACAGGGACAACGGTCTTGCAGAGTACCGATACGGTCTATTACGCACTTGTGCACAAGCATTTGTATGCACTGGTACAGTAGCTTCCTGTTAAAAACAGAGACGAACGCAGTATCGTTGATCAGAACGAAGCCTACAACTGTTATTAACAGGGGGGCTTCTCCTAAAGGAAGAGGCGCCAGCTTGCCGCTCCCGGCGGGATGTCGCAGGCAGGTCCGCTTTTTAACCGAGAATATATCTTCAGCCGCCAAAACAGCCAACGAGAGAGAGGCTTCCTATTTCGGATAGCTGGGCAAATGGCTCTTTGAATGGGTTCCGCTAAACCGTAAGGCTTTAAATACAGCATCGTCTATCTTGCCAAATGGAATCCCAACAAAAGAAAAACAATCTGGTGTATCTTTTACGCCTTAATTATTTGGAATTCACTTCTGAAACCACGTTTCATTCTGGCGTTGTCCATACCGACTGAGCAACAATGAACTTTCCACAGCCTAAAGTCTCTCCATTACCTTCGGGTATCAACCTCCAAGGCAGAACAGTGTTGATAACAGGTGCGACAGCAGGCATGGGCTTAGAGACAGCGGGACAGCTGCTCAAGCTTGACGTAACGCACCTTATCCTTGCTGTGAGGAACGTATCAAAGGGCAATTCTTGCAAAAAGGAGCTGCAGAAAATCAATGCCAACGCAGCAATTTCCATTCTTGAGCTCGACATGGACGATTACGGAAGTGTACAAGCTTTCGCCAAAACGCTGCAGGAACAAGTCCCCACGATCGACGTCATGCTCCTTAACGCGGGTATTGGGCTGTATCATTTCGAACGTAGTCCGAGTGGACATGAACGGGTTATGCAAGTCAACTATTATTCAAACGTCCTGTTAGTTGCTACACTCTTGCCGTACCTTACAGCGAGTGCCGAGAAGACCGGACGCCCGACTCGCATCACCTGGGTCGGCAGCCGAATGTACTTCGACACGTCTTTGGAGAAGAAAGCACCGATGAAGGATAAAGAGTCGATACTTGAGCACATGGATTCAAAGGACTTGTTCCTCCCTAGCCAGAGATACAATGACACCAAGCTTCTATGCGCAATGTTCCTGTACAGTCTAGCTCCGCGACTCGATAGGAGCAAGGTTGTTTTCAACATGGTTTGTCCCGGTCTAGTCAAGACGAATATGAGTGACGTCCTGCCCTTCCATCTACGCATGGTCATGAATGTCATGAAACCTCTCCTAGGGCGACCAATCGAGGTTGGAGGTCGCATTCTCGTCAATGCAGCGGTGGTGGCAGGACCGGAATCGCATGGCGCATTCCTCGGAGATAAGGACATTATTGAGTATGACCTCCTTCGTCGTTGCATTCGAAAAATTACCTGGCAGCTAATCAGGAATACTCTGCAGCCCATCTCCATATCTTCTGTCTCTTGCTGGCAAAGCCGACCAGGAGAAGCTGTGGAGAGAAACAGTCACAGAAATGCAAGAGCTGACCCAGCTACCCGCCGAATTTCTTTGAAGGAGGTCTGAATAGACGTACGGGCCAATGCCGGTACGACTCCCCGTTTGGGTATTTCGCCGCCACTTATAGGAGGGGGTTCAGTCTCCTACGTTGTGGGTATAAGTCTGCCGAATCCAGAGAAGGTGCGACGGAGCTTGCGCCCCAAAGTAATGGAGGCAGGACGTTCCAGTTTTTTTATATCTGCTTTTAGATGAAGGTAGAGAGCGGCGCACTATGGATAGACTTTGTACTCTGTTAGGTTCATGAATAATCCAAGACTCGTCATCTGTACCGTAAAGGCTCGAATCAATGTCTACAGCCAACCGTAACGCTACGCCTTTCAATCCCGACCACACTACGATGTGGGGCAGTCAGCTACGTAGAATCGAGAAAACTCGGCTGGACACTCACGTGCTGCTATGAAATGCCGCTTGCGGCTCCGAAGCAAATCGATCCAATGCGAAACTAGTACTGTCCACCCAACTGCTGTATCTTCATTCGTCGTCCTATTCATTATGCCACTCGAATTCATCAACAACGAGAGCCTCCTTGACGATAGCGTGCGTAAACGGATTCGCCGACATGCGGCCTTGGGGAGAAACAAGGGAAAACGGTTGGATCGCACGTCGAGAAAGACGTCCTTCATGACCTCGTCTTTGCTCTGCAAGCCGGCGACCGTACCAGGAGCCACAGATGTGTCCGAAAATGTCTGTGTCATCGAGCGGCCTATTTCTGACGGCTTGATTCTCCCAGTCTTGCAAGCTGGGGAATCTAAAGTACGCGTCAAGGAAGGTGTGTCCACGATTCCACAAATCCGACATCCCATGGTCTTCACCTTGGCTTATTCGAACGCTTAGTTATCGCATTCATGTCTAGTACACAGCTCTCCCCTGCTCTGAGCAGTGGCCTCGACTACACCGGCCTTGGAAGCCCCCTTTGTGTACAATATATGCTTAGCGACGAAGCCTGTACATACCTTTTGTCCAACTTTCTGTATGTTTAAAGTAACTTTGTTACAGGTTTTCACTCTACAATGGCTACGGGTACCGTAAGCCTCAACCACTTCGTGAGCAAGCCGGATGGCGCATCGCAGGCAATGCAACACATGTCAAAGGCCTTCCGCCTGGTGAATCAGAAGTTGGCTAGCCAGAACGCGACTTCCGACTTGACCATCGCGGCGATAGTCAGCATGGCGCAGTATGAACAGCTATGGAATCGATATCGGGAAGGGTCTGTCCATGTACAGGGTTTGCGCCGGATAGTTCAGCTGCGTGGCGGGCTGGTGCGACAGCTTATGACGAGCCCATCACATCTAGTGCAGAAAATACTTCGGTATGTTTGCTCGGACCGGTTTTATGCGATGGCTCCTTGTATTGAGTAAGCTGTTCTAGTGTTGACCTCGACTACTCCTTACAATTGGGTTCACCAACTATGTTTACAGTCGATGAGGCCAAGCTGGTTTGCGATGTCGAAACTCGATTTCCTAGTTCACACTTGCGAGAGGAGGGTGAAGCGGACACCCTTTTTCTGGGCCAGTACGGGTTAGTGGGGTTGCCAGCAGCTTTTCAAGGCCTCGTCAGAGACACAGTGTTCCTGGCGTCACTACTTAACAGCAAAATTGGTGGCGCTGTGCCGAAACTGCACGCCGTTGAGTTCTACAAGAGCATGCTATTACTTGGATATCGCATAGTGGAGCTCAGGCCTCTGTATTTGTGCCATGGGGTCAGTCGGAATCATAAAAGGGTGCATCTGGGTTTGATTGCCTTCCTGCTCACGTTCCTGCAACGACCGGATCGTGAGGTTGCTAAAGGTGAGCCTTTGTCTAGGATGCTTCTTGAAGAGATCGGAAAAGATTCATCCACCAGGCAAGAGTCACAAGAGGCTTTTCTTTGGCTGCTTTTTATGGGCGCGGTCTCATCGTGCTTGCACGCTAATCCCTCTTGGATTTCAATAACAGCGCATACTTTGGATGGCTTGGGATTGAAGACCTGGGAGGATGTGAGAAACACGCTCGCTCATTTCCCTTGGGTTAATACTCTACATGACCCGGCAGGACGGGCGTTTTGGATACATCTCCAAGGGACACAGCTCAATGAATCAACGCCAGTGTAATTAGTCGCCGGCACCTATCTCCACCGTGCAGGAACAGTTGCTTGCTAAGGGACGTATCTAAACCAATCTTGCATAAACTGGGCCCCGGCGGATGATGATTCGTCTGGGATCTCGTCCTGAACAAGACCGTATTCCTGCAGAGCGGGAATGGCATATAAGTCTACCCACTCCGTGCACCTCCAGAGACGTTGGATCCCTTCTCCATCGTTATAAAAAACGTATTAATGTTCATAGATTTTCTCTCTGAAAGGCTCAACTCGGCCGTGTTTTTCGGGGGTTGAAGCTTTCTGCTACGGGGAGTGGTAGAGAGCTGGGAATCGACAGCAAGACCCGCAATTGATCTAAACCGAATAATCTTATGAGGGTTTACAGAGCATTTAAATTAAGAATATATAAATGTCTGCGCTGACTGATCTGTGTTTATTATTCCCTTCTTTTGAAGAAATAGACAGCTATGATCCTGCTAAAATGATTAAGGAACATTAAGAATGATGCCTATAATAGCAATCTAGGTTTGGTAACTGATAACTGATGTAGCCTAACTTATCGCTCAGCTAAACTCGAGCTTACCTTTTATAGTAGTGGAGTAGCCTATACGCGGTATGTGCTCCAGTCTTTAAAGATAAGAAGTTTAACAAAAATCTATAGGTCCAGATCCAGAGCGTTTAGCACAAGGTAAATTCGATACTTAGGGAAGCTCGCACCAGATCTTTCATATTACTATCTAATGAAAAATGTACACTCACCTAACCGCTCTGCTACAAAGTTTCACAACTTGTCTCACGCTTGATGTTTATCGTGTCATTTCAGGAAATGCTCCAGTACAATCCTCTGAGACCCTGAGATTCGGTGGCAAACTGGCCAAATTGTGATTGCCGTGCAAATAGGGGCCTACCAGATGTCGTCTCAACGGATGCCCAGTCAATAGCAGAACAGCTCGAAGAAACAGACTATCCAAAAAATCAGGGCAGCAGCTAAAGTTTTAAAACAACGAGCCGCTCTGCCTGACAGGATACTTCAATTAGTAATAGAGCAGCTTAAGAGCGATGAAGTACGAACACGGAAGCCGCCATGAATTGTCTCAATGCCCAATTAGCTCTTTCCGAGGATGTACTTCACTCAATAGCAGAACAGCTCAAATATACAGAGTACCCGATAAACAAGGCAGCAGCCGGGGTTTTAGAACGTCAAGCAGTCCTGCCGGATAGAGTACTTCAGTTGATGATAGAGCAGATTAAAAGCAAGGTCAAAAGTGCAAGAGTCGCAGCAGTCGAAGCGCTTAGCAGCCAAACCAACTTATCTAAGAATATGCTTCAGTTGATAGCAGAGCAATTGAGAGATGAGAACTCGAAAGTAATCTGGTTCGCAGGCCTAATTTTGAAAAATCAAGCATTCCTGTCTGAAGATATTCTTCAATCAATTATCAAACACCTCTCAGACTCCAACGACCACACAAGGGTAGCCGTTGTCAACATATTAATCAGTCAAGCTGACTTATCACAAGAGTTGCTTGAGCTGATAACCGATCAACTTATGGATCAGATGCCTGGAATACAAGAATCTGGGCTCCGTATTTTTGCGAACAGAAAAGGTCAGTTTGTACCGAAAAGAATCATTCAATTATTAGAGGCACAACTCGAGAATTGCTTCCGAGGCTATTGGCAACTATATGTGATGCTCGAAATTTTAGCTAGTCAATCATCTCTGACTAAACGAATATTTCAGCTAGTAGTACGGCAGCTAAATCATTCAGACCGAGACACTCGACGTGTAGTAGTAGAATTTCTCGAAGATCAGAGAGTTTTGCCAGAGGAGGCACTCAAAGTATTAGGAGGTTTCATTACTAAAGATCTTTATCGTGGAAAAGGACAGGGAAGAGGCAGCTAAGATTCTCAAAAGCTATTCATTTTACACGATTTCATATTAAGCTTGGTTGAGAGGCCACTTTACGCTTTTCATAGCTTCTGTTCATATTCAAGTTCTGAAGCACTTGAAACCCTCGGAGCCCAAGCGGTACTTTCTGAGGGGAGACTACAGCTAATAGTGGAATCTCCCTAAACGCGGAACAGTGGGAAACTAACTGAAGTGGTTGACGTTCTTTTTAGCCAACCTGAATTGTATACAGGAGTCTTGGAAACACACCTGATTTCATTTTACGTGACTCTACTGCGAAAGAGCTTCTCTGAACATCTGGTGTGGAATAGTTTGGTTTCTGGATCGTATCTGGTTGAAGATTCCAGACAGAACCTGGCATAAACTAGTGTCAAGTAGGAAGGAAATAGAGTTGGTTCAGGAAGTGCAAAAGAGGTTATATGCGGAGTGGAAAATGCCAGATAAGGGGTTTTCATGGAAAACATTATGGCATTCTTCCTAGTGTAAAATGTTATATATCAACTCATGTTAACGTCGTTATTTTTGAGAAAAATACTAAGATATACTATCAGTGTTACAATGTCACAACCTAGTCCCTTGGTATTTACCTTGTGCACTATCATTACATTTCACAGAGCCCTTAGAGTTTGAATGTGAAGGCGCCAATGGCCCTAAAAATTAAGGTTTCATTTCCACTGCTTACAGTTCTCTGATAAAGGTTTGATGACTTCTTTACATATTTCACCCCAAAACTCATTTGTATTCCAATCAGCTCCCTTCTTAGTCGACACTCCGTAGACGCAATATCGTATAGCATCTTCATACAGCAGCGGTGGAGTATTATAGTCGTCGTCTAACCACTGAGCAGCGAGAGACAGACGAGAGAAGTATCCCCCAGATATTTCGGCAGTTTTATCGGGGAACTGGTCTTCTAAGGACGTTTGGTGCCATATCTCTAGTAGTAAGATTCCAAGTTCCAAGAGAATAGACCTTGGCTCAGCATATTTCACCCCATCGGCCTCGCTATTGTCAATTTTTGCGAATACAAAGGCTCGACTGAAATCAACAAGAGGGGCTATTCCCTCGGGAATTGGATGTAGTATGAAGTATATCGAATTTTTGGACCATGTATGGCCCGACCACCGTGTTTGAGAGAACTGAAGCAAGCTCGAAGCAATCTTCGACGCGAGGAGCATGCTTGAGCGTAGAGGAAGCTTCATTGCGCGTGGATTATGTGATTCTGAAAGCACTTTTTCCAGCGTAATTTTCTGGCAGTTAGTCTTTTGCATAATGGTCTTCTCATTCGCTGCCACGGTACTCATTTGACTACTCTCGTGCAAAACGAAGGCGACGTGTTGTGCTTTATCGTGAGCTGTTACAATTGCAGCGCAAAAGTCGCTCACCGGAGAGAATTTCGTGAGACAATTTGGTTTTGGAGATTCTTTAGGGTCATGTCCAATAATTTGCACTCGAGATGGTTTCGATGGTTGAGCCCTGTCAAAATTGTCGTCTTGTATGCATTTGACAGACAATTCATGCCACCTCGCCTGAAACGGTGCAAGGAGCCTCGCAGTAAAAAGAAGCTGGAAAGCTAGCAAAGCCTCATTTCCTTCGTCCCACTGCTGCTTGGAGCTTAACAGCTTAGTGGCCGCATCAATACGGTCTTCGAGAAGGACGTGCGCATCGTGTTCATGTTCGCTGTGACACGTTTGAGTGCAAGAGGAAAGGGCAGAATATAGGCTTTTTGAGTATTTATGAATCCGACGGAAAGCTTTAGCAAGCTTGACATGATTAGATGATGGAAGCGAGTTGACTGGTTCGTGGCGATTCATCAATATTGTCTGCGAAAATGTGTGCAGAGTACTGGTGGCTGTATCGAGTTCGCCGATGCTCTGCTTTATCTCGCTGCTTTTAAGAGCAACTTTGAGACGGGGAAGGAAATCTGGCCTGTATTTCTTTGCAGCGAGATTTGCTTCTATGATTCCAGTGAGATCGTATGGGTTATCCTGCAAGAAACAGTAAAGGTCGTTTAGCAGATGTCTCCAAATGAGCTTTCACCAAAAGCTTCACGAACCTTGTGAGTGGGAATGACGCCGTCTAAATGCCTAGCCACTTCTTCCAACGTGGTTTGCATGTCTTGCAGTCTTCCGATCAACGCTTTGTAATTCTCGTCGCCCAAGAAATCCAGCACCTGGATCTGAATGTCCTTGTTTTGAAAGTATGTAAGAGGGTCCTCGTTCAGCAGCGACTCATCGTGATTACAGCCGCTGCGCGTAATAATGAGCCGAACTGTCTCCCGAACTGTCTGCTGCTGGAGTAGCAGAGCATTGGCAAGCTTGTTGACATATTGCCGCTTGCGAAACGCTACCAGGCTTTTATCGCTCGCGAGAAAGCCGGCACCAGAAATGAGGATGGGTATTGTCCGAAGAACAATCCCAAATACTTCAAATGTCGACATGTAGAATCTTTGTTATTCTAGCGCTTGTTATCATCTCATCATCTCATTGTCGAATGCATCAGCTGTTTCGTCGACGACATTCGTGCGGGGATAATCAGACTAGAGAGGATCTGATGGAGGTTTGACAGGGCTGTATAATTCGCCCCTCCCAGGCTTATAGAGAAGATACAATGCGTGAGATTACAAATCGGAATTGACAAAGAGAGAAAAGTCTTCAAAGAGTCAATAATTCACTTCTTAGACTACAGCTCACGTTCTGATTTGACAATATGAAATAGGATCGGTCAAAAGCGCGGCGCAGCATGCGTTTCTCTCCGTGCAGCGCTGGCTTGAGACTCTGTCCACGAGCGGAATCCAAGTATCAGGCTAATATTCGGCTTCCTGCAGCATGCGCATATTATCACGCTGATCAATCTTCCAATTGGCCTGCTCTCCCCGCTTTCAGCTGCTAGAAATGGCGATTTTCCACGTTGAAACAAGAGCCTAGCATTGCATTGTCTCATTGTTACACTACAAAACGGTTTACCGCATAAGTCGAGCAAATGCTATCCCAATTTTCAGTATCGCTATCTACGGAGACATTTCCTCTTTACTGATCTCATTCAGAGGCTGCCATGCCAGAGAGTCCTTTGTCATGGAGTCACTCGCCGATGTTGGTCTCGTAACCGTACAGCGGTTTAAGCTTCTTGAAGAAGTAAAACAGCTGGACTTGGTCACAAGCCAAATGCAAGAATGGCCAGCGAATTTATTTCGTGCCCAGTTTGACCGATTTGAACTTTGGGCGGTAAATCTTGGCCTGTTTGTTATGGGCCATGGATCGCTAGACTATAGAATTCGCGATTCTGAAAGCATGAGAGAGAGCATTTATAAGATGATACAAAATCTAAACAGATCTCTCGATGATGGTAAGAGCTGACTCACAGGCCATCATCAAGCAATCAGCTCATTTTTCGTATGAACATGCTCTCTAGTAGATATGATCTAACATTTATATCTCAGTCCTAGATTATGTCAATGGCAACACCGACCAGGGGGGCGAGGACTCCGATACAGACTCCGAGCTTGAATCGGATACTGATCTGCTGCTTGGTAGCATCAAAGACCCCATTGATCGCTTATACAAGCTGGCCGTTTGGATCCGCAATCCTGCAACAAGGCTGACGTCTTCTAAAGCTCGAAACTACAAGCAGATTGATGAATATTCCAACATAGACCTATTCGATTCTTATAAGAATCATGACTACGATTATGTTAGCTCTCTCTTTTTAGAGTATGAGAAGCATAGAGCTTTGCAAGAAAGCACACCAGTCGAATGCGAAGAAAAAGCTTCAGTTAGTGGCGATGCAGAAGTTGACAGCAGTGACCATGTCTGGGAGCCTATCCAAGGCGTCTTGAGTCTTTACAAGGACAAAGTATCAAAGGGCGCCGAATCATATCTTGTTCAGCGCATAGCCCGGGCCAACGGACGCAGGCGACAGCAATTTGCTTATTGGAAAAAACATAAAGACAAACTTCGCGAACATGCGTCGAACTTTGTGGAAGCTCCTACGCGCCAACTCATCGATGAAGAGCATATCATCAACGGCCATATGGGCGAGACAAAGACACCTTTATCAGTCACAACAGCTACCCAATTACGGCTCGCACAGGCTGCTGGACAAGATATTCTTGAAAAAGAGGGCGTGCTTAAGCTTGACGTCTCTGAGTATGCTCCATCCGCGTGGAATCCTAGCAAGGATACTGTCAGCTTTCCTCCGCCGCCCACAATCTCTACATCTGACAGCTTTTTCGAATGTCCATATTGTTTTACCATTTGCCCTATTTCTCTTCTGTCAGAGAAAGCGTGGAGGTAAGTCTCTCTTTACGAGTGTCATGACCGATGTCTCTCAAACTCTCCAAACTAAATTATGCTAATTTCTGGTCAAAACAGGGCTCACGTCATACGCGATTTGCGGCCTTATGTTTGTACTTATGAGCAATGCCTAAACTCTGAGCAGCTGTATGACACTCGTGACGACTGGATTCAGCATGAGATGTCTACGCACCAAAGGGTATTCCGCTGTTTCGAACACGAAGAAGAAGTATTTCCTACATTGGCAGCATATGAAGGACATGTTCAGGCTTGTCACAAACACAACGCAGTCTCTGCAAAGTTTGCAACCTCAACTATGAAACATGTCCATCGAAGCTGTCCTGTTTGTTCGGTAGCGCTGAGGTCGATGCAAAAGCTACAAAGCCATATCGCTCTTCACCTCGAGCGATTTGCCATGTTTTCCTTACCGCGACATACAGAGGGTTCTGAGGACAGAGAGACTGGTAGCAACGTATTTACTGATCACTCAGAAAATGAGGAGTCTTTTAAAATAGATCTAGACCTGGAATCGAATGTCGCTGATGAGTCCAGGGACAATCAACCCATGCCTCCAACCAGTATGAAGAGTGGAATCCCTTCCATCTTCACTGAGGACGAAAGCAGCGATGAAGACAGAAAGGTGCTGCATTGTGCAGTCTCCGGGTGCAACAAGACCTTCAAGTTCTCCAAGGAGCTTTCATATCACAAGGTCACTGATCACGAAATCTACAAGAAAGCATTGTTCTGTGAGTTCTGCATCGGAGCTGGTTCTATGACTGACACGTCCTTCCCCGATCCGGATTACTGGATGAGACACCTGAGAGATAGCCATCATAAGTGTACCACTTGCTACAAGACCTTCAGGAACGATCAAGCCTTTAATGATCATCTGAATCATTGTTCGGGGCCTCCGCTACGGGAAGAGGGCATTGCGCGCACGAACCTGAAGGAGTCCCGCGTCGACCGCCTCCCCCTTCAAGACTCGAAAAGCCACGATGAGGAGGACCTTGAACACGAAGCCCAGATACAGCGTCTGGCTGCGCTCATGAAGGATCTGGACACCGCCGGAGGAAGCCGCCGAAGCCGCGTCGTCTATGACGATAGCACTTATCGGTACGACGATTCTCCTAAACAAGTCCAGGATGGTACGCATCCGCAACTGGAGTCTACGGCTCCCTCAGTTCATTCAGAATTCGAACTCACAGAGAACACTCCACCGGTTTCTGAGGCGCTTCTGCCCATCTACAGCCAGCTCCTAACTCTTAAAAAAAATCTCTTCAGAGTTAGAAACACTGGTGGCGTCTCTGCAGGCAGTAGAGAGCTTTTACCTTACAACATGAAGGTATGGATCATCGGAGAATTACAATTCTGGAGCGGTAACTTGTTCCTGTACTGACATTTTCTTCCTTTCTTTTCAATAGCTTAACTCTATCGATAACCAAAGGGTAGAGGGCAAGTTTGTTGTTGATGGCGATGTTCCTGAAGGCCAAGACCGTGTCAATGAGCTCCTTGCCGAGTGTTTCGACCTCAGCCACGATATGAGGGCCAAAGCAGGCACACCAGAGCACTCAGTTGGTCTCCCTCCCATTGATTGAAACCATATGTCTAATTGACCAAAGCCCCAGCCCGTGTCTGGTAACTCTGTCGCTAGCGACTATCTTGATGCCGACCGTCACGATGAGATGGCTCAAATCGCAATTTCGAGCCGCCAGGAGTTGGCTGGCAGAGACAAGCAAGTAACTAATTATACAAATAAAGTAAAAGTAAGTACATATTGCACATGCGCCTTCTTGAAACTGTTGGCTAAAACAACATTTACACAGAGCCATTTCCAGGATAAGCCTGAGATTTATGAACGATTTCTCGACATCTTACAAGTCCATCAGAGAGAACAAAGCCAGGCACAAGATCTTGTCTCTCAAGTGACTACCATCTTTGACTCGGCACCTGAGCTCTTGGAGGACTTTAAAACGATCGTTTCGAAGCTTAACAGCGGTGTATCCGATTCAGAAGATAAACAGCGCCGTGGCGCCGTCGAATTTAACGACGCGATTAGATACGTTAACAAAGTCAAAGTAAGGATCCATTCTCTACTGCATCTACGTATACACCGTTGACGGATGAATTCGTACAGCTCCATTTCCATGACAAGCCTGAGATTTATGAACAATTTCTCGAGATTGTAAATACTTGGCAAAGAGAAAAACATCCAGTCAAGGATATCTACACCCAGCTTGGGACACTCTTCAATTCTGCACCTGAATTGTTTGAGGAATTTGACATATCATATTTAGAGCAAGGTGCAGCTGCTGGATCCAGCTACACCTCTCAGCTACACAAATCTGCTCACATGGGGAGTTCTCCTGAGCAAGTCAAGGATGGTACGAATCTGCAAGAGGAGCCTCAAATCCCTCAAATGGACAATCATGACGACGATGAATCAGAAAATCGGGATGGACTCTCAACAACTGAAAAATTTAACTCACTGGAAGTGGCCGAAGCCGCCATGGCATCTGGAGAACTCCCCCAAACTGTCTTGGAGAACTCTGAGAATATCATACAGTCGAAGCCTCTTTTAGTAGGCAAGAGCAGCGAACTGGTCCAGCCGGCTCTACGGGGCCACGATCGGCCCTCAAGCATGCCTGGTAGCCCTCAAGATGCCAAGGCCGTTTCCTCTGATTCCAATCCAGAGCATGCCCAACACCTCCTTTCGGACGTCCAACCTCCTGCCGCTAGTGTTGAAAGCGATGCCGGATCTAAATCTGGCCACATGGGGAGTTTGACTGAGCGTGCCGCGGAGTGGACGGATGAGGACGAAGCTACACTAACCCAAACCGTAAGAGAAGCAAAGAAACTAGTTGAAGAAGAAGTAGAAACGTTTGGCCTTATGTGGAGATCACTGGACAACGATGTTGAGAGAGAAATTGAATTGGAGAATGAAGATGGGCATGGCGGATCAGAAGCACTAGACTTGGCACGGAAAATGGGATTTGACAGGTTGGAAGTTGAAACGCTTAAAGATCAGTTCGACAAGGAAACCTTAAGCGGAATGAAAATCGAAAGGGCGCGAGACCTGTCAACTAAAATCAGATCCTGGGATTTGATTTACGTGCAAAAGGTCATAAAAGATATACAAGCGAATCGGGAAAAGCGGGAAGCGAAAAGGGAACTGGAGAAGCTTGAAGCAGAGCATAAAGCGGCTGTTGATGAGCTTGACAGAAAGTCAGCGGCATTGGAAGAAGCCAAAAGAAAGGCAAATGAAGCTGATGAGAAAGGAGGAGCAGAACCAGCCCCCATCAAGTTTAAAGATGCTGTCGGCCGAAAGTTTAGCTTCCCCTTTCATTTGTGTAACACTTGGCCGGTATGTTCTCGAATAAGGCTTGGGTCTACCAAAATATTTGCCTTGGTCTCATCCTAGTCATGACAAGCTAACATCTGTATAAACAGGGCATGGAAGAATTGATAAAGCAGGCGTTTCTGCATGTCGATGTTATAGGACCTCACGTCCAGGAGGGCCACTATGACTTGATTGGCCCTAACGGCGAAATCATTCTCCCAGTTGTTTGGGACAGAATAATTGAGCCGGGCTGGGATATCACTATGACCATGTGGCCCCTTGATAAAGCTCCGCCTGTCAGTGGCCCTAAACTGCCTCCGGGGATGCCATCATTATCGCCGAGGCCGGATAGTCATGGTCCTCCGCCGCCGACGATTGGAATTCCACCGCTCGGTCGACCACGGCCTGGTATCCCAGGGATGCCAATGCCGCCTCCGCCTCCACGTGGGCCACCAGGTATATCTCCCAACATTAAGATAGTGAACGCTGCGCCACAACAAAAGAAGAAGAGCAGCTCCAGCAGCCGCAAGCAAAACACTTCCATGCTCAATTTCTTATCTGGAAACGTCCCTGCCAAAAAGAAGGGACCCAAAAGGGAATCAGACAAGGATGATCCTGGGTCCCCAATTAGCCGTCCCGACAACAGATCAGATGGCGACGCAGAAAACAGCGGCGCAGAAAACAGCGACGCAGAAAACAGCGACGCAGAAAACAGCGAAGCGGAAAGGCGCAATGCGGCGGATACCGCTGTCATTAACGCCGCTTCAATACAGTTGGCCAACATTGGTGCCGAGTTTCGATTGATATTGCGCCCCTTATGTTTGGACTACATTGATGCGCCCCCAAAAGACCCTAAGAAGCGGGAGGATGAATATAAGAAATTATCTGAAATTGTCATACAGCGAATTCTTTTGAAATTGGATAGCATAGAAACTGAGGGCATTCATGAGATTCGCCAGAAACGAAAAGAACTCGTTCGAGAAATCCACGAGATGCTCAAGCGACTGGACGCCGCAAAGGCATCATCGGAGGCGGAAGGTGAAGATGCGGCTGAAATGTCTGAGAAAGAAGAAGAGGAAGAAGAAGCGGATGGAAGCGAGAGGGCGGCTCGAGTCCAACTACAGAAACTTGCGCAAGCTAACGCAGATTTTTGGCCTAGCATGCCTAACAAGCCCATGGACAAGGCAGATGAAACTCGAAAAGACGCAGACATGAACATAGAAGATGTGGCCCGTTTGAATGGTCGGAATAGGCCACTGGAGACAGATGGAAAAGTAAACTTGGAGGAAGTAGCTGTAAGAGAGGCTGAAGCAGTAGTCGCAGCCGCAGCAGGGACAGGAACCAACGACAGCGCTCCAGGAATGATATATATACGGAGGTCTAAAAAGTCTATGCGAGAGTAGCTCTTTGCGTTTTCATCTTTCTTTCCTTCGGCTTCTCTTTCTTCTTTTCACTACGTGTCCTATCTATTGTTATTTTCCTTTGATTCTGTGTGTGATATACTTGGCTCATCCTTATTGTTTGAACGTGTTTTGTTTGAACGTGTTTTTCTCCCCGTTCTTACTGTTTAAGATACATGAGCGAGAAAGCTTTTTTGCCTTTTCTTGGTATAGATCTTTGTGTCACTAGCAAGCAACAACAGCAACGAGAGCAGCGGCATCTTCTTTACATATCCCCACAACCCCACAACTCCCTTTACAAAGCTGTGCAGAGACTTTGACAGGTCATGTGGTTCGTCTTCGAGAAGAAGAGGCTCGGTAAGGGCACTCTGGCTACTCTTAGTGCGACAAGTGTACATGAATGATCAGCCTTCTCACGTTTCTATGGTTTTCATAGCCACAAGCGTATCTAGTCTCAAAGAAATCCAGACTCCACAAATTCAGTGGCAGCTTTGCAGAGTGCAGATGTCTTTCAAGTGTGAGAATCGGTATTGACAAGTTATTTCGCCTCAGGATCGCCTGGAAAGCTCAAGCTGTCTAGCGAATAGTCCGGACTAATACCTCCGAGGGTGTGATAGTGACAACCAACTTTTGTTCCATGGACGCTTGTTATCAGCCGATAATGGAACACGGCGTTCAGAAGTAAAAAAGCCACTTACTAAAAAAATGCTTTGAGATATTCTGGCTCCATTACTACGAGAAGCGAAGCAAGATCAGAACCATTGTAGTAACGATCTGGATGAAGACACTCATGAAAAGAGTTGCGCATACTTAGTTTTGTTAGTGAGTTTAAAAGACGCACGTTTTGTGGTTACTTTCAATGCTTTAAGAGACGCAATAAACGCTGCGAGCCGGTAGTTCATTTGAAAGCCAGCTAGGCTGAGAGAATTGAGTGAAGTAAGTATATCTAATATGAATCATCAGGTACAGGTTTCGGGATGCCTGAGAGAGCCAAAACTCTCGCCATTAAGCTCTCTAGCTTTTCGTTGTCCGCTCCTCCTATTGTAACACCGCCATGACTCAGCCCGATGGTTTCCTCGCGTACCCAGCTGCAGATAATAAGCGCTCCATCCGCTATTTCAGCTTTGAAGGCCCTTTCAAAGTCAGATCTTGAGCACGTAAAATATTCTGTTATCATCGTGGCGTTATTCAGCCCGCGCTGTGTAAAATGTCCGGCAAGCGGACCCAGAGGATGCGTCCCAGTAACGCGGACATTCAGATCAATTGTATAATGCTTCCCATCGTCGCCTGTCACAATATCTGCGCCAGCAGGTCCATAGTAACCACGTTGATACAAATACTTGGCGATTTGCTTCATGGTTTCAGCGTACTTGTGCTTCAATGCCTCTTGCTCTGGGTAGGAAATCTGGCCTCCGATCCAGTAGCCTCTGCTATCGAAACGTTGTTGGCAGCAAGCGTTGAAAATTGCACGGCCTTTTTGCGTGATAAACATCGATAGGGCCACTACTCTACCAGGAATATAGTCTTGTAAGATAAAAGAGCTGGGATATAGGTGGCTGTTTATTTCATTGATCTGCCGAAGCATTTCTTGAAGCTGCCCGCCAAGGATCTTCTTAATTTGTTCTCGATGAGCCTCTGATGTGACGGCAAAGACGCCTTTTCCTGAAACCGATTGATTCAACTTGACGAAAAAGGGAATTTGATATGTTTCGAGGGGCTCTAGCATTCGCTGCGTCGCTTGCTGAACCTGTTGAGGGTCCTGGATATCACCTGGACCTATTCCCGCGTCAACGACGACCGTGGGTGGCGTTGGGAGCCCCGAAAGTGCCAGTCCTCGCTTTGACAAGAGCTCATAATGAGTGTCAGGATCTACTACATGTGGAATTGTCAATATGCTATCTGTCGGTACAACTACTGCGATTCCAGGTTCGGGGCTCAAGACGATGTCGGCAGGGCTAGTAACGAAGCTTAACTTGGGTATCTGGTCGTGGCGCATTTGTGAAAATGTTCTCTCGAGTTCCACTTGGTTTGGGCTCTCTTTCTTGTCTCCAAATGTTGAAATAGGCAAAATTATGTGAAGCTTGCCAGCGAAGAAGCCATATCGCTGAGCTAGGCCCCTCACCACCATTTCCATAAGAGCATTAGGATCAGCTGTCGACTTCATCTCCGTCTCTAACCCGAAGTTGTAGACAAACTTGGCAGGTAAGCCTTCGTCAGCCTTAAATCCAAATGGATAATAGAACAGATCCGGGCGCGTGTTGCCATCATTGTCGACAGCATATAGATCATACATAGTATAATCGAGCGAAACCGGGGCCTGTACCAGCATATTTAGAACAGTAAGTGCGTTGGATCAGTTGAGAAAAGATTTGTTTTTGACAGCCAAGTTCAAGCTCATGTCTTTTCTTCCCTTTTTCTTTTTATATAGACTACTTGCTGCTCTTAGGGCTTATATAGGCTTACTGCTATGTTTGTTAAAGCTTGGCGATAGTGGCGATTAAATAGAGTTAGATTACAAAACACGCTGCCATTTCCAAACCTTCCTGAAGATTGTATCATTGTTGGCCACTGCTTAAGTTTCTCATGCGAGCATACTTGAAACGAAACGAAAAAATCAAGATAGCTTTGACCATAGTTAATTAGCCATAATTCTATCGCTAACAGTAACTGCATTAGTATGTATGGCATTTCTGGACTGCCTGCTTGAAAATTAAAACCCGATTCAGACTCATCTTTTTACAATTATAAACTTAAAATTCGCTTGTTCGAGCTTCACCGTGCCAAATTCTGACTTGTAAGCATTACGCTTACTGCCTACCTCCCATAAGACTGGGGCCAGAGCACTTAAGTAGTGTTATATTGACTTTTGACTACTCGGATATAGCGCACTTGACATATGCATTGTGTCTCTGCTGGTTGACGTATATTTTTATTGTCTCTAGAATAGCACTAGCAGTGTGTATTATGAAACTGAGTCCGCCGTACGGCCAAGAAGATATAAGCCACAATGGTGTTTCTGCCTCGTGATGCCAGCAGCTTCAAGATTATAAGATACAATGGACTCCGATATTAGACAAGACCATTACTCGCATAATTAGCATTCTACGCTAGACTCTGAGGACAACAATTAAAGCTGTCGCAAATATGGCATCATGCAAGAAGTCTTCGCTCCAACTTCATTTGTATCCACAAACCACAAAATATTCGCGTTCCGAATTAAGCTTGCAATCCAGGCTTATATACAAAATAAACAACTCAAGTTACAAGTACACAATGTCGACAGCCCATAAGCATCAGTCAACTGCCAGAAATGGCAAGTCATTGTAAAAGTCAATCTTTCTGCCTCCGTGTCCCATAATTTCTTGAGCTTTCTCTCTTCGGAGCTTGGTAGCTTCAGCATTCGTTACCACCACAAATTCATGTTCTAATAGTTTCATTCCTAAGGGGACACCGCACTTTTCCGCCATAGAGTCAGAAGTGACTTGTTCGACGTCGACAATCAGCGATTTCTTAACCCCAAAGACAGGATCATGCGACTCGAAGCGATCACCCCGTATTGTGAGAGCTCTAAGAGGAGAAAACCCGGTTAGCGAGTACGATACATCGGGGTATAGCTTCATTGCTGGAAACATACGTGATGAGATGATCGTATCCTGGTTTATCAAACATGAAGTGAACGTGGGCTGGTCGGTATGGATGGCGGCCCATAGCTCTAAGAAAGTCACCAACAGGGCCATCCGTTGGAACAGGATATGCAACGGGGACAATAGCCTTGAACCAGACTTGGCCGTTTGCATCAGTTTTCAGCACTGCACGGCCATGTGGGTTCTCTCGATTTTTGTACTGCACGTCGTAGAAACCCTTGGAGTCTGATTCCCAAACATCCACTTGCATGTTCTGCACCGGCTTGCCGTGGAGATCTTTGACAGTGCAGTGAACTAGCATTGGGATGCCATCGGGATCAGTCCCAATGTCATCTCCATTGGACATGTGATGTGCATCGTGGGTATGAAAAGGGCCGAGCACTGTGCCTTCAGTTGCACCGTCAGGCTTGGGATGATCAATAGAGTCCACGAGAAGCGAGAGGCCAATGACATCGGACAAAAGAACAAACTCCTATATGACGATTAAAAGTTGTTTAATTCAAGACTCTTTTTACTCTTGCAAAAGTAAGAGTATTCGAGTGACAACAAACCTGTCTTGTTGGAGAGCATTTCTGACCACATGCAGCTAAGAAGTCTACTGCGTATTCCCATTCTGCCATACTCAATCTTGTCTCGCGTGCAAAGTCATGTAAATGACGAACAATAGCCTCAGTTAAATATCGTAAACGAGGATTTTTAGCTCCACTATTGACAATATTAACGTTGTCCGTGATGTTGTCAGCAGTCAAATCCTTCATGGGAGGAAAGTCGCATTGGTCGGGATCCATGACTGTGACCGTGTTGGTTTGGTGACGGTATAGGGACGCTATAAGACACAGATAAGAAAAAGAACTTTAGGGAAGATGCATGGGATGTTTGACTGATGGTAGAGAATCTTATATGATACCATGATCTTACCTCTTCTTATAGAAACTCAGTGTTTATTACCCCATAATTCCCCGTGTTCCCCAATGCGGGGATGATGAGACAACTCGCCACTTTTTTTGTGTCAACTCCGCATTTGCCCAATGCTCTCATAATAGAATATGGAGTGATCTGAATGTTGAACTGATACGTGTCTGTAGCCGTATGAGCTCAATTATTGATCTCGGGACCCCGGTATGAGCGGACCGCAGCAACCGATCCGCCTTGACCCGAACAATCCTACCTTGACTCGACCAGCAGTGCCAATTACCATTCTATGGATAAGTATTCAAGTGAATAAAAGTATTACGTCTTAGCATTCAAAGTCAAGGCTCTATATGTGACACATTGTTCAATTCCAAGTGTTTGAAACGAATGACGGCCGTTGGCTCTTGGATTGCAGAGCAGCGAGGCTCGAAATGTACCTAGGGGAATTGATTGAGGATGTCCGCTTTTATAAAATAAATATAATAAAGAATCCAAAAGCCCTACTCCGATTTTAATTCAATAGCTGTAAAGTCACAATGTGACTCTATAGCGACACAAGTTGTTACAATTATGTTAGAACTGGGCCGTAAGGCTACTTTCTGATCTTGTACTCCATTTTCACCAGATAGATCCAGCATCGTATTCATTCATTTTAGCCATTTAGACAAGAGAGTGGATATGGTACAAAGAACTAAAAAGTCCTTCTGCTTTTGATTGGTGCTTCGTGTGCTCGGAGAGGCTCTCCGCAATAGCCGCATCGGCGCCGGTGGTCTATACGAGGAGCGCGGGTGCGACTCAAACCATTAGCTGAATGGTATAGTAAAGCAGTGAGATATTTTTATAAAAGCAGTAATGTATCAGATATATATCCAAATCTTTGGTATTCTCAATGCTGAATGCCAGGCATCCACTAATTCTATGACGTACTGCAATGTCTTCTTCAATGCGGCATTCTCTCAAATCTGGATTGAGATCTAGCAGAGCCCAACCTAGGCTTTTACAAACCTCATCATGGAGACAGTCCACTTTCGGTAGCCAGCGAACATTTGCGACATCTGGCATGTGTCCCGCTATAAACAAGATCTGTGGTTCAGCTGCAGAGGCAATTGCGGACATGAAAAGCAACAGCACTGTGCTGGTAGGAGGCTTTGGGCTCTGTGGTGTTCCAAGTGGGTAGCATACCATTTCACCAATCGATAATTATCACTAACCTGGGATTCAATATAGACACTTTGATCAATGAAGTGCGCGCAAACAAATCACGTATCACCGGTCTTACTGCAGTTTCAAATAATGCTGGAACCAACGGTTCCGGTCTCAGCCTGTTGCTGGAGACTCGACAGATTAAGAAGATGGTTGCCAGTTACATCGGAGACAACAAGATATTTGGATCGCAATATGGAAATGGAGAACTAGAAGTGGAACTAACTCCTCAAGGCACGATTGCTGAGAAGTGCCGCGCAGGTGGTGCAGGTATTCCAGCCTTTTACACTCCAGCTGCTATGGGTACTGTCGTGCAGACCGGTGAGCTGCCGACAAAACATCATCCAGACGGCACACCCGCAGAGTTTTCACTACCAAAGGATGTCAAAATCTTCAATGGAAAGCCTTATCTTCTTGAAGAGGCAATCAATGGAGACTATGCATTCATCAAGGCGTTTAAAGCAGACAGACTGGGTAATTGCCAGTTTCATCTATCCGCGGCCAATTTTAACGGGCCCATGGCACGCAATGCCAAGATGACAATAGTTGAAGCTGAGCACATTGTTGAAGTTGGAGATCTGAAGCCAAACGAGATTCATTTACCGGGAATATATGTTAAGCGCGTCATCCTGTCGCAAGTTCCCAAGGCCATCGAGAAATACGTGAATTCGAAGGAGTTGGACGTCTCGACACATTTAGCTTCACCGGCCCCTTCTTCACCAGGAAACAACAACAGAGAAAAAATTGCACTTCGTGCAGCCAAAGAGTTCAAGAATGGCATGTATGTCAATCTCGGAATTGGCATTCCGGTGTTGGCGAGCACTTTTGTGCTCCCTGAAGTCGAGGTCTTGCTCCACTCTGAGAATGGGATTCTCGGATTAGGACCATATCCAAAGAAAGGCGAAGAAAACCCCGATTTGATCAACGCTTCCAAGGAAACAACTACAATTATTCCGGGAGCCTGCACTTTCTCGAGTGATGAGAGTTTTGGTATGATTCGATCTGGCAGAATTGATCTCACCATTCTTGGTGCCATGCAAGTAAATGCGACCGGAGATCTTGCTAACTGTAAGTATCCTGCTAAAACTAATTGACAAACTAGTCACTAATGATTTACAAAGGGATGCTGCCAGGAAAAGTAAAAGGCTTTGGCGGAGCCTTGGACTTGGTTTCCAACCCTGAGAAAACCAAGGTTGTCGTGACTATGGAGCACACAGATCGGAAAGGAAACCCCAAAATCGTCCGCCAGTGCACATTTCCACTCACCGGTAGGCAATGTGTTTCGACCATTATTACAGAGTTGGTATGTATCCTTACTCGTTTCCCCCTGTCACATCACCAGACCATAGACCAGGAATCTGATGTTTAACTAGGGAGTGTTCGACGTTGACTGGAAAGAGGGACTGACACTGCGGGAAATTGCCAGCGGTGTCACAGTCGATGAAATTAAAAGCAAGACTGAAGCCCCGTTCAAAGTTGTAGAAGACCTCAAGATTATGGATAGCTAGTGTGTATCTGCTAATATAAATATATACATTTATCCCTTAGGAATCTCCCTACCCTATAATGTTAGATCTAGGATCTAGGGAATAGATATTCCCTATACACAACTAGTTGCGCGCGTATAAAATAAGTACAGGACTAGAGCGCGCGCATAAGATAAGCACAGGACTAGCGCGCGCGCGCGAGATAAAAAAAGATACCAATAATAGAAGGAGGGTTAGTTTTCCAAGGGTAATAACCCTGGCTATACTATACTTGGGTTTATATTTAGCGGGCGATCAGATCGGTCAACGGGCAATAGGATATCTGCCTTATTCGCCCAATATAGAAAGTGTTTGTGGTAAGGTGTAGCTAATTGGTATGATATCAAGTGAAAATACTTCGCGAGGTTAACAAGATTAGCGGAATTAGCAAGCTATATTTGCCGCGGGGCATGTGAGCATTCGCCCGAAGAAATGGTAATATATATTTATTAGCATTCTAGTCTAGTTAGCTATATTTGTAAAGTAGGCCTTTTCATGTGACCGATAGGTATAGAAAGATTCCATAGCATGCTTATATGGTTGCCATTAATCCGCGAATTAAAGTTGGTAAAGTTTCTGCAGTAGGAAAGAGGCTATTCCTATTTTAGCCCTGAGACCCGGAACCTAGGAAGCGTCTTTGTTTACTTCTGAAGTTAGCAGAACCCAAGGGCATCAGTTTGGCAAGCAGCGCTTCTAGGTTTTGACCAATTCTATCGTGCACAAGAAATAGGCTACAAAGAAATTTCATTTTATCTTCCACGAATCATTTGGGACTGAAATACTGCTATATTAATCCTTACATACCGCAACCTAGAATCTTACATTAGACTAGGGAAAACAAATGTAACAAGCATACTGACATGGATCTGCGCTATAATCCTTTGAGATATATACTCCATTCGAATAGTGGTCTTAGCCTATGTTAGTTACCTTCTCTGCGTTGTTGGGGAAGAGTCGAAATGTATGTCTACGTTTATTCTGTGTCGGCTTACCGCATTTACTTTAAGGCTCGGGCATAGGTCCCAATCAGCATCGTATCAGCAGTTACTTGCTCCATACTGAAAGGTGAGGCTTCTCATGATTCCATCCACATGAGGGCCAAGGATAATGTCACAAAATTTCATTCCCTAATCTAGGAATTATAAATATCGTCGAGTGCCGGCCTGTCTCCAAGTCAAGCTGGCCACGTTCACGCATCAATCTCAATCAATCCCAAGCCACTATCACTCTATAACAATCACTTAAAACCTTCACGATGAAGACCACAACTTTCTTCTCGACCACAGTCGCTGCCCTCTCAGTGCTCATCGCTCCCGCAGTTGCTGATTCGCACGCTGACTTTGTCCTCTTTCGCGGCCAAGGCTGCACCGGAAGCACCCTCACGCTAGATGAATTTCTAGGCGACAACGCTGTCTCGTCCCCCTTAAGCGAAGGTTTCTCCTCAGCTAGACTCCAGAATTCCGACAGCGGCCATGCGTTCGGAGTCTGCGGTCAGGGCTTTTCATGCGGCGGAGCTCACGTCATCCTCGACACTACCAACTGCTTCGAGATCGTGCAGTCGAATGGAAACTTGATCCACCTCGACAAGACTTGCGTTGACGGTGGCTGCTTCTCCTAAGCGCATATTGTTAGAATGGCGCTGAGACTTATAGCACACCGGCACGACGGGGCTATCTCTTAACTACAAGTTATGGCGGAAGATGTGAGGGTTTCATAAAAGTAGATAAAAATCAATGCAATCATCTCTTTGCATGAAATCACTAGCTCGTCATGTTGAAAAAGTACCTCTGCACGCACACATACCCATAGCATAGGACTGCACGTAGAATCCTGACGCAGCCTCAATCGGTTGACTCTCTAGACTGGTTTGCAGCCTGTTGTAAATCTTTCGAATTCCGTGATGTAAGCGAGACTTGGTAGGGTAGCTTGTAAAAAATACCTTGACTTGCCATTAGAATAGTCGTCGAATTAACGGTGGTAATAACGAGGTCAGCCGTTGCGGTGTCCTGTTCACACTTAACTTTTCTCTTCCTTGCTTAGTCACAGACATCGGAGATTGTATGACAGATTCAAATCATTAAATGAATAAAGTAGCAACTTTACACCTATCGTCAGCATTTCAACTAACATCATGCACAGAAGGGTTAGCCGTTGTGAATAATTAGTAGTAGTATTCCTAAGTCTTGTAATAAATGCCTGTGTCTGTTGCGAAACCGGAAAGCGGAAATCAGTGGTGTAATCGATCAAACTTATCGATCTGAGGGGCAGGATCTTTAAGATTTGATCCGTAAGCCTATTGATCGATTAAATCGATATCGTTGAGGATTGCTTAGTAACTTTATACCATTAAAAGGGTAAGAAACCTCAAATTCAGGAAACTTAATTAATCACTCAACCCATCCCTCTTGCAACCTCACCGCTGCCGACCTCAGTGAATAATATTTGTTCAGATATTGTAACTTTTGTCCGTATCCAGCTGTTTAAGCACTCTAAGCGCTCAATAGCACCAGATCCAAGACAAAAGCGTGTCCATGTTAATTGTCCGCCCAGCTCCAGAAAAGATACGCTCAGGCTCAGCGCTCATGGCAGGTATGGAGAGTATATCTACTGCCATGTAATAAGAGTAATTTTATTGGACATGTATTGTGACTCTAGATCAGTTACCTCCTAAACGGCTCGGGTGGGCGAGTTGCGGATGTTGCGGCCCGTTAGAATCCGCGCAAAGGCTGATATGTTTTGTATAGGCCTTTGCCGACCGTAGCTCGTATATAATCTCCATGTCAGTAAATTGCTATACTTAGATAATGAATCATTGCGGAAAATTTCGTTTCAAAGTACTACAGAGGCGGGTCGTTCGACTTAGCGAATAAATCTCGAACAGACATATTTTCCATTACCAGAATTATCCTTACTCTCACATTATCAGCTACTCTGCTCACCATGGCACATCTAAGAAGGGGCTTAAAGGCTATGCTTGAGAAAAGCCCGGATGACATTGTCTTCTTGTCCGCGCTAAGAACTCCCGTAACACGTTCCTTCAAAGGAAAGCTTGCGAGCGCCCATGCAGAGGAACTGCTTGCCACTGTAAGAATTGCAATCTAAATAGCCATTGAGTCAATAACAAATAGCTTACTAATTCTTCGATCCAGGTTTTACAAGCCACGAGAACTCAGCTACCCAGTCTAGATCCTTCTGAGGTATCAGACGTCGCAGTGGGAACTGTTCTCTCAGAGCTAGGCGGGCAAAAGGCTGGTCGGGCGGCTCTTTTGCACGCTGGATATCTCGACTCAACAGCGCTTTACACTGTTAACAGAGCATGTTCATCTGGCTTACAGGCGGTAACTAATATTGCAGACGCGATAGCCTCTGGTCGTATGGACATGGGCATTGGCGGCGCAATGGAGAGCATGACGAGAAACTATGGCTCAAAAGCCATCCCGACTGTTGTATGGGAGAAACTGCGCGAGTCTAATGTACAAGCAGCACGAGACTGTTTGCTTCCAATGGGCATCACGAGCGAGAATATCGCGCGCCGATACGGCATTTCACGCGCGGACCAAGACGCTTTTGCCCTGGTTAGTCACACCAAAGCTGCGAAAGCGCAAGCCGAAGGTCGATTTAAAGATGAAATCGTACCCGTTGAGTTGCTTTCAGATACAGGGGATGTCATCGCCGTAATTGAAGATGATGGGATCCGACCCAATGCTTCACTGGAGCAATTGGCGAAGTTGAAGCCGGCCTTTCTTCCAGACGGTGCGTCTACTGCTGGGAACTCGTCTCAGGTTTCGGATGGCGCATCTCTTATCTTAATCGCTCGCCGCAGCACTGCTACTCGGCTCGGACTTAATGACCATATCTTAGGCAAATGGGCTCGATCAGCAGTGGCGGGTGTTGCGCCTGATGAGATGGGAGTTGGCCCTGCTGTTGTTATTCCCAAGATGCTCCAGTCAGCCGGAATCTCAGCCAGTGAAGTCAATGTTTGGGAAATCAATGAGGCTTTTGCCAGTCAAGCGCTTTATTGTATTGACAAGCTGGGCATTGATATGGACAAAGTGAACCCCAATGGAGGAGCCATAGCGTTGGGCCATCCCCTCGGAGCTACTGGAGCGCGTCAGTTGACGACGCTTCTGCATCACCTCAAGAGAACTGGGCAAACCGTTGGAGTTGTCTCAATGTGTATTGGGACAGGCATGGGCAAGAGTGCTCTGATTCTCTCTGAGTAAGGGAGTTACTAGATAGGGTATACTACACATACCGTAGCCTTCCTAAGCAAGTGTATAGAGAGAAACGAAACAGTTCAACATTTAAGTATTATACTAGAATAGCTATTCCAGTTACAAGTACTTGATACCAGTAAATTTTCCTTTGCGCACTTCTTCATAACCAATAAAGGATTCAACATGCCAAGTTACTTAAGTAGAGTCCGACTAGAACATTCCGCTTACATCAATCTCGGGTAAAACAGGCTTCAGGTTGTTGTTCATACATTGAATATCTCGGAGATATCTTCAAATGTACGTAATAAAATATATAACAAGTACTCTTCTGTGACAGCCCGGCCGTTGCTGAAATGGCGCGGCTATTGCGGAGAGAGGCGCACCACGGTCATTGGGCGGGTATTGCGGAATCGGTGTGCTATACAGGGTCATAGTAACATATTATAATCAGTGTCATCTGGTTTGACTTTCTCTTTATGCAATTGGATTCAATTTAACATATTTGGAGCCATAACAATTTGAAGCATGGCAAGTCCTGTTGCTCTCATTACTGCTGGCAGTGCTGGCCTCGGAGCCGCCACTGCAAAGGCTTTTGCAGCTATGGGCCTGCGAGTTGCCATAAACTACTCGTCTAATGAATCTCGAGCCAATTCACTTGTCTCTGAGTTAGAAAGCACTTCATCGACAGCTTTCGGACAATGGGCCAACGGGAGGGTTGAGACTGGTAATGGCAAAAGATTCATTGCTATTCGAGCTGATGTCTCCTCTCGCCCTGAAGTTGATAAACTGATATCAACTACAATCCAAGAACTAGGCCGATTGGACATTGTGTTTTCGAATCATGGGTGGACAAAGCTAACAAATTTCTCAAATCTGTCAGAGAATGTGAATGAGGAAGATTGGGATAAATGCTGGAACATGAACGTCAAAAGTCATTTGTGGCTGTTTAACTCTGCAAAGGGTCATCTAGAACAGAGTCCTATGAGAGGGGGTGGCTGCTTTATCACTACCAGTTCTGTCGCTGGAGTTGGCGTAATGGGGAGCAGCTTGGTATGTCAACAATCGCCTCCATTTCCATTTTAACCTCTTGATCCTAGGCTCCAACAGTTATTCCTTTGCATACAACATGCGTGCTCCACACTGACATGAGAGCAGGCTTATGCTGTTACAAAATCAGCCCAGATTCATTTAGCCAAGTGCCTTGCCTCTATTTCTGGCGCCAGCAACATTCGAGTAAATTCTGTCTCGCCAGGAATGATGATGACAGAATGGTCGTCATCATTCCCCGAAAGCAAGCGCAACGCTGCTATTAAAAAGACCAAGCTAGGTCGATTGACCGAGGTTGAAGTGAGTTTATATACAGTAAGGTATGACAAACACTTTTCATGTACTTACAGATTGTCACAGGACGTTGCAGAGCAGGTGTGTTCATTTGTGAGAAACTCAAGTATCACAGGGGCCAATGCTGTGATTGACTGCGGGTCTATCCTCTAGACCGCACATACACATATACATGTATCAATAGATGTACAGACCTTTATCTACTTCATTCCCTATAATGTCTCTTGCACAAACGGAAAACTTTTCCCAGGCAGACTAGATAGGGGTTACTGTACTCCTGAGATATTCCTCTCCTATATAAGCATGCCCGTCCAGATAATTACTCGTGCTTCCGTGGCATACGGAAATTGATTCAATTTCGTGTACTGCGATTAGGAGTCAGTTTCTACTGAACATGGCGACTTGATTAGTATCTCACCTTGGACAAGACGGCTGCTTGACCGATGCCCATGTGTGCCCCAATCCATGCCAAACAGTTCCGTGCGTAAACTTTTAACTCTTCTTCAACCATAGGCAATGTGGCCAGGACGAATAAAGTGTGCATTGACAACAACCCTCCGATTGGTTAGCCCGGGACTATGGGAGGGGATCCCCTGGCGGCGTTCTCAACAAGTGTCGGCAAATCTGCTGTTAAAAGATATGGAATAGAAGATATGATCCCCTCCCTCTGCTTTAAGATGTCTTTTTGTATTGAGTCTTCGAATATTTGGTCGCTCAAATGGCCATTGATTCGATAGTGGCATCTTGATATGATGCTCAACATCAGCAGAGCAGCTTTCCGATAGTTGTTCCATAGCGAAGCAACATATACTATAATATGTTAGTAAATATAGTTATACTTGAAACGTGACTTACAATCGTAATAGCTCAGAATGGTTGTTGGCCAGTAGCCAACTTGGGGCCTTTGGTACTAATGTCAGCAACAAAACATATCGAGTGGTTATTTTCGGATGACGTGATGAATGACACAACGACAGTCGAGTATTGTTTAATAATTGGCATAGACTTACATTGTGTCTTCAGTTTTAGGTGTAATATGCCCTACTGGCTTGGGTATCCATTCTTGAGGTACGGTGGCTGGCCACGTATCGTACGCCTCTCTCAATTGTTCAGCCTCAGATTTGAGTTGACAAAGTTGGTCAACAGTGACTTCGGCTTCGTTTTCCAACAAATCCTTTGCTTTCCGCACCAAAGACACCGTTGTTGCGTAAAAGAAATCTATGGCTGAACTTGACTGATTAAATAGCGGTGTACAAAGAACACTAAATTTCTGTGATACTTTGTTGACGACTGCGGAGGAATGTGGAAGGGATGAGGGAGGCTCAGAAATCTCCACTTCCAGATCCTCGAGAGGTGTCGGATTAGCGACTCGGAAAAGCGCGCCATCGCACAGCAAGTCAAAAGGCGAAAATTTGCTAATAAGAATGGCTGATATCCCTTGGGCATGAGCTGCATGAGCGCGAAAAGACGTACCAGTACTGGTGATGATCTGTAACTGTCAGCTCACGACTCTTATCATGATTCGTGAAAGCGTACTTCGTATAATCCCAGTAGCGTGGCGGTAATTAGTGACTCCACTGTGGTGAATACCGCTTGATTTGAAATGCTCAGGCGGAAGGATCGCAACAATGAGGAGTACAGGCTTTCCGCTCTGTGTTTGTGCATGGAGTTTCCGAGTTTACTTCCTAGATTTGCCAAAGCAATAAGTGTACATGCCTGTACAAGTTCGGACTTTGGGCCGGCCTTAGAGACCATGGCCCGAAGCCCATGTAGATATCCACGAGATAGATTCCTATTCGATGAGAAAATGCAGTAGTCATCGAAGAACATTAGACGAGCACTTTGTTCAATATCGGGCCAATCCAGTGTCCCAAGGCTATCGGAGATTGTGACTGGGTGCCACAGCTCAGAAGGTGTCTGATTAAGCACTTGAAAGTCTTCTTTTCCAATATAATTTACAAACTGTCGCTCTTTGGTGGACTCGTATCCAGGACACGTGCGACGTGCTCGGCCGCACCTGAGACAAGACTGTTGGAAGAAATGAATTAGCATCAAGTAGTCGTAGTACGACCTTTGGGGGTAAGGCTGCACAGAGGCATTGTTCCCAGACGACAATATCTAGCAACACATACAGGACGACTTTTGTCACACTAATAATAACTCAGCACGCTGGTAACAACCAATTGGAATGACGTTAACATACCTTTTTACGCTTCTCCCTGCATGCATGGCAGGCTCCGGATGGTCCATAGTTCACCATATTGCTATATCCCGGGTTGGCTGTTTGTCCTGAGATTCCGAGGTTGAATGGAAGACGTTACGCTCGAGCAAAGGAGGCGGAATCAACTTATATACCGTAAAGAGTTAGGTTTTGCGCGAGTACGCTAAACAGATCGCAAGCGGGGGGCCTTAACGAGATCCCAGAACAAATAAGCATCTGGGTCTGGTGAAGTTAGTAACCCAGGTCTGTGTTCTATAAGAGGCTAGGCTTTGCGCGAGTGCGCTAAAGAGACAGGGAAGCTCCTTTCCAATGACTTGGGATTCAAGCATCGACCACTCAGATGTTGAGATCCTGCAGACGATTCTATTCATATTTCGTCAATAAGGAGTAAATTCAGGAATCAGTAACTTGTATCGCGATATTGAGATGGAGATAGCTAATAAGTCCGTGTGTAAACCCGCGTCCTTGGACTTGGACTATTTGTATAAAGAGCATGCACAGACTGCCTGGTGTCCTTTATCATAGGTAGGCATTTCACTCATCTTCACTTGTTACTGGTCTTTTGAATCAATCTGCCATCAAGATCTTATAAAACACTTACACGTACATCATGGCTATTTCTCCCTCCTCGAAAATCGCCCTAGTTACAGGTGCAAATCAAGGTATTGGTTTCGAGATTGCCAAGTCTCTGTCGTCAAAGCCTGGATACCATGTACTTCTGGGTAGCCGTGACCCTCAACGTGGAATTGAGGCCGCCAAGCAACTCCAAGGGCAGGACTTGGATGTCGAGCCCATTACTATTGAGTATGTTGCCCTGTGATGCCACAACTTCGACCCCTGGAGGATGCATGCATAGACTGTATTGTATACATAAACAGTGCTAACAGTTGTTACCTAGCATCACCTCTGAGAAGTCCATTGCCGAAGCTGTCCAACAAGTAACATCGAAATTTGGTCGTCTTGACGTTTTGGTCAACAACGCTGGCGTATGCCTTCCCGCCGAGAGGGCCTCTGCCCCTTCACTTCGCAATTTCCAAGATACGTTTACGGTCAACACCTTTGGCACCACGCTCGCGACCGAGGCTTTTATTCCCCTTCTATCCGCATCTTCTGCGCCTCGAATAGTCTTTGTATCCTCTTCCATAGGCTCACTCACTCTCCAGTGGAATCACCCAGTCGGTTTACCAATCTATCGCAGCAGCAAAGCAGCGCTCAACATGATAATGCTTCATTATGCCTTCAAGTATAAAGACGCCGGATGGAAGATTAACGCGGCTTGTCCTGGATTTTGCGCTACCAATTTGAACGGCTATGCTGGCACCGATACTCCGGAAAACGGAGCTTTGAACGCAGTAAGACTGGCGACCTTGGGAGATGACGGCGAAACAGGAACGTTTTCGAATAAGGAAGGCATTGTGGCGTGGTAGAAGGACATATCAACTTGAGTCAATTGAAGGATGGGAGCCAGACTGTAAGATATTCACTACGGCTGCGGATAAGGGTCTTGATTGACTCTCTAATCTAGTACCCTGTTTCCTATAGCCCTTTAACAATTGCACTGTAGCTTACAATAGTTACAACTAGGCTGCAAAATGGTCTTGACTGCTCTCCGATTCCTAAGAGAAGGTGGAAGTTTCGTTCAAGGTAGATTTGAGTCAGTGTTTTCGAATTTTCGTTAAACGCAAGACTACACATCTTGCACCAAGTGACGCGCCATTGGTGTTATTAAAATCATGATAGTAGCTGTCAAGAAAATCCCCTATTGGAGTCTAAATAGAGCCATCAATATCAGACAAATTAATTTCATTTAGTAGCATGCAATTCGTACGCACTGGCAAGAACATGAATTTGATCAAGAGCCGTGGCAGGTATGTAGCTAGTCTGGATTGAGTGCAGCAATGGCTGCGAACATCCGGGCTCGACTTACATGCCATGTTGAACAAACATGTGAGGAAATAGATCTTCAAAAGTAAGAATGGTGGCTTGGTATCAGCAGAAGACGAATAGAAGAAAATGGCGTGATTTCCAAATTTGGCCTGTCGTGTTAAGAGGGATGAAGATAGAGATGACCGTAGCAATTTACACAAGACTGACCACATGTATGTCAAGACTAAGCTACTAGTGTTATGCGATATATAATGACAGTACAATCTCAACCCTTTTTACTTTCATCTACTTAACGACAATATGATTTTGAGCCGGGATTTTCCATTCTTCTCGAAGCCATCAACCTCATCCATTGCCGTCTGTAGACAATTAAAGCAGAATAAATTCCTGTTGTACAGAGTGACCACCTATAGTCGGAACTCCTTGGCCATAAATCAGAAAAATCATATCGTCGCATCGCCAGACAAGATAGCCTTGCTTCTTGAGACGCATGCGCATCTCCCAAGGGAATTTAAGACCAAGGTATGTATAGTGCCTATATTCTATACGACTTGATAAACTCGACTACCTACCTATCTATGTATGCAAGAACAGCGACACGACTAGAGAAAAAATGACTATAAATTCAGGCTAGGTTTCATTTTATTACTTGCGAACATTGCCCAGCAAGTTACAACAGCAGCCGATTTGCACCTGACTCTTTGCGCGATAACAGAGCCCAACGCCGAGAGTTCGGCGAACCCGCCACGAAAGAATTTTACAAAACGCTAGTTTCCCGCGCCAATTTCGCCACCCATTCGCACTTGTATATAAACGCCCAAATCCACTCCAAAACTAGCCAGCGCAAACCATACATTGCAAGAAAAAGAAGCGGTGGCTGGAGCTGCTACTTCGCTTTGGACGCCACTGCAGCAAAGGTTCATAAGCCTAATTCTAGGGGTTGCAGGTCACAGGCCCCCGTGGTGGAGTGGTTACCACTTAACTCTTATAGATCCAGCATTGCATCTTGGAGATATGTTAAGGTCGCCAGTTCGATCCTGGCCGGGGGCACCACTTTTTGCGAGTTGAAGCATTGCCGAATGCCCTTTTGGCAGTGCGAATACATTCTTTTTCTCTTTTCGGGTTTCTGTATTTTTTTCTGCATCTGTCGAGCTTGCAGTCCACCGCATCAGGAAAACGGACTGACCGGACTGGGCTTGGGTGCAACTAAATTGCCGAGTACAATTTAGCAGTGGAATGATCGGTCCTGTATGTTCAGCGCAAATAACTATATGTATGTATGCATACATGCATCTTTGGCAGCGTTGGATAGGATCATTCATGTATGAAGCGTCTCTATGTGCGTGTATGCTAGATACATACTTGTGTGTAATTTTTCGGATCTGTTGTTAAACTTGCGATGCCTAATATCGATTTCTGTAGACTGTCTCACTAGTATTGCTGTACCCTGGCAATAGGCAGACCGTCGGGCCACTCGTACAATCGAATGCATCAATGCCTTTCTTCTTCACGAAGCTATTGGACAAGAGAGAAAACAATTCCCTGCGCAGATTTTTGTATTAATTTAATAATTGAATACCTTCTACTCAGTGAAAGGATAGTTTACACGGCAGGCAGCCTTGCTTTGTGACACGGCTGTAAGGATTCGCATAGCCGCCCACCTTGTTCTTTTTATAGTATCCGTAGCCGGGGATAGGTTACAGGCGGCTATGCTTGCCTGTACGCCGTACGGCAATCTTTCCCTCTGATATGATACTGCAGTTAATAAGGCTGCGTGCGTGTAACTCTGATGGTGAGGCGGAAATTGGGATTATTAGACACTAAATGCCAACTATTCGCTCGCTCTATCTGTAACATAATGCGCCGCAATCAATACCCTATTAATTTGAACAATGTAGGCCGACTCATATTCATTTCCTAATCGCCAGCCCTCCAGCTGCACACAAATTGGAAGTTCTTTGGCGTCTCTCTGTCTTGCTTCTGTTCTGCCTCTTTCGCTTCACGCTTGATGCAAGTAACCACATGAGAATAATATGCCTTCGTCCGAAGACACTCCTCTGCAGCAGACTGAAGATGTCGCCACTGTCAAGAAACACAAAAAAGGGAACAGCACCAAAGCATACATATCTATAGTCCTGCTAGCTGCATTACCCTCCATTATCCTCTCAGCAGCAACCGCGCTTCTTATCGTCTTCACATTCCGCAACCGCGTAATTCTTAGCGATGGCTCAAGCGAACTACAGACACCCCATACAACGGGCAATTCATCCCTAGCCTCGAAAACTGTTAGAGAATTTATCAAGACTGGAGGTTCCGATGCTTACTATATACAATTCAACCCGTCTACTCTAACTACAATTGCGTCCATTACTGGGAAATTTGTCCCATACCTATCGAGCGCTATCATGGCGCTGGCGGCACTTTTCGCTGCAGACTTTGTTCAGAAAACATCGCAAAAAGAGCAGAATGACAAGCTTCTAACGCCAAATCAATTGTCGTTACTAGTTGGACTCTTTTCTGGCCGATTGGAGGAGTTATGGAAAGCTGGCCGCGCGCGAAAGAGCATTGGGGGTAAATTCGTGGCCCCAATTTCATCTACACTCACTATTCTCATTATTGTCTCGGCCTTGGGGTAAGTATCATATCTTGTATTTATAAAATTACAGACTGGATGGCGCATCCAAAGCCGTTACGGATAGTCGCTGACCATTGCAGTGTCCTTATTCCAGCGGTGGATACTTGGTTCGGCATTGTCGTCAAGCCAAGCGAGCAAACGCAACTAAACTTCACCACCCCTTCAAACCACTCTTTTAGCCGAGGATTCTTACAGGGAAACGATTGCAGCTATTCCGACTACCACTACCCTTGCGAAGCTTTGGAAGGATATGGGGCGGACGGCAACTTTACACCATATCTTCCAACCGACAAGGAGCCTTTCAAGATTCTAAACAATATTTCCACCGAAAATATTGTATCTAATCTTCCCTCAAACTCATCACAATCCCTCTTCTATCTTTTAGATGCAGCAGCATCATCAAACTTGGACTTTAAAGCCAACGCCTTCGCCATCTCTACTCAGTGCGCTATCATAAGCGTTCGATGCCAGCAGGACGGTCGGAATGTTTTCGACTGTACAAAGAAGCTTTCCAATCAGGTCACTTCAGTGACCAAAGTCAACTTCAAATTCTACGACGACTCAAGCCTGCAACAAAACATTTCCTATCCCAATTATTCTTTCCTCAATCCGCTGTACTTTACTGTCTATCTCACTGTAGGAACACAATTTGGACCGGCAGGACCAGGCTTGTTGACTGGCACGTTGGGGTTTGGCTGCTCCAGCACAATATTCGATGCCACCTATGCGTGGGTAGACGGGTCTATAGCCCAATTCAACGTTACCCCTACGAACGGCTCTATCGGCGGTGTCATGTCTGCACCATTCATCAACGATAACGCAAACATCTCGCAGCAGGCTATCATGTCTTCCATGGCTAGGCTCAGCACCAATTACTCGGACGTTGTCCCTCTCACAGCAGCTGCTTTCTCTCACAGTGCGCTGGCACTATCCCATATTGGAATGGAAAAACGAGCAAATATCGTCGAACAGTCCCGGTCAATGCTATCCCTCACGCGCGTCCCAATTGTACCCTTTTATATCCTGATTGTGCTTAATGCGCTATATGTCTTGTGTACAGTGTCGTTGGCTACGGCTGCCATGATTTGGGCGCATCCAAAGGAGTCGACGGCAGTAAAAGCACAACTTACCATGGAAGGATTCATGACGGCAGTCTTCAATGGAGAGGGTATCAGGGCTCAGACACAAGACTCGGAGAGTTCCGATGGGTCATCAAGCCGTACAGTGGTTGTTAAAGAAGTGCCAAAGATTGCCATTTTGAAGACGGACCAAGGAGGTTGGTCCTATGCCACAGTGATGACAAATGGCGAGGGAGCAGTAGTAAAGTTGATACAATCAAGTAGAAATATCCGTTATACAGAATTGGAGTGAGCATTCACGCGCTGTCAATGGCCAAGCAGGCAATATCCTATGAAGCCTCAGCTTGATTCCTGATGAAGCGCGAGTTACCCTGTAAATTATTTGTACATTGCATGTTTGACATTTTGTTGCTTTTCGTCAAGAACTGGGAAAATCAGAGAAGAAAGTGGGAAAGTAAGAATGCGTGAAAATGATAATTGAGAAAGAAAAGCCGTGAATAATATTACAAATCGAGTACCAATAGAGTCGGGGGGCTGTTGAGACGAAACGTTAACCGGACCCAGTTTCCGACGCCGTCCGCTTCACGACCGCTCCACGTCCGCTCCTCGCTTTACAAACAGACTCACGGGGTAGCTGAGACTGAAATTAAGTTCAGAAATCTCTGATGATCCCCGTGATAGCAAACCTAGTCATCAATTAGCAATTGATATTCGATATGCTCTCGTGTCCAGGCGCAGTGAACTTGACACCCTAAGGCCGTAAGCGGCATCTCCGCAGTTCCAATTACGGGTCGTGAATTTGTCTGGCTCCGGATCTCAACTCCGGCACCAGAAAGGATGGTTAGTGCCGGCAATCGTTCGACTTGATGGTCAATTGATAGCCACTAGAGATCGGTATGACTCTTTTGATGAGAAACCCACGTGGTAGCTAATTGACATGTCTAGTATATTTAATCTGTTATGAGGGACTCATCACCCCGGAGATATAAGCTTTAGACCAGTGGCCTAAGAACAACAGCGAACGCCCATCTCTGTAACATTGTAGACATTGGAAAATCAAGACGCCTAACCTGTAAGATGCAGTGGTTCAAGGCGCCGCCATTTTACGTATGGGCCAGTCTGGCGGCATCCAGCGTATCTATACTCTTTGGGTATGTGAACAACATCGTAACGATGTTTCCCCTTTCAGGCCAGGACATTACTGACATCTTGCGATATAGCCTAGATACGGGCAACATTGGCCCTGTGACAACGATGCCTGCCTTTCGCAAGACCTTTGGCGACTTTTCACCAACCGTCCATGGAGTTGTCGTTTCGTCTGTGCTAATTTCTGGCGCCTTCACAGCCCTCATCGCCGGCATCCTAGGCCACCGCTTCGGACAGGTCCGCATCTTCGCCATAGGGTCTTTTATTTACGGCGTTGGAGCAGCCATCCAGTCTTCCGCTACTTCGCTCGGCGCTTTCATCGTTGGGCGTCTTATTCAAGGCATAGGCGAGGGCTTGTTTGTGAGCAATGTGTGGGTGCAGGTCTCGGAAATGTCCCCGACCAGAGTCCGAGGCACCTTGACAGCACTGCCGCAGTTCACAATTGTTGTGGGCTTGGTCTGTGGCTTCTTCATCTGCTATGGCACTTCACGCCTAGGCGAATCGACAACGCTCAGCTGGCGACTTCCGCTGGTTGTCTCAGCAGCCCTCGGCTTTCTGCTATCGGGAACATATTGGTTTATCCCAGCTTCTCCGCGCTGGTTGCTTGCTAGAGGTCGAATGACCGAAGCGCGCGAGGTTCTCATTCGCCTTGGCTTTGACGACGTTGAGCGTGAAAAGCTGCTGGAGGAGTCCATCACCCAAGTACAGGCTCAGAATCCCGATGATGTCGCAATCTGGCAAGAGTTCAAACAAACCTTTGCCGGGTTTAGGGAGGCCTTTTCAGCTCCGTTCCGCGCTCGAACCATCTTTGGCTGCTTCATCATGGGTATGCAGCAGCTGGCTGGGATTGACGGCGTCTTTTACTATGCACCGATTCTTTTCGAAAAGGCTGGTCTAAGTGGCGAACAGGCGTCGTTCTTGGCTTCTGGCGTCTCTGCACTGGCTATTCTCGGAGTCACAATTCCGGCCACCTTCCTCGCAGACAAATGGGGACGACGAACTTCGAGTCTCTTGGGCGGTATCCTAATCACCACGCTTATGCTGTTGATGGGATCGCTGTATGCTGCCGACAAGGTTCATGCGGACAGAGGAGCTGGCAAGTGGGTGGTGATTGTGTCCATCTATCTGTTTGCCATCGTGTTCAACGGAACTTGGGCAATTGGCTTCCGAATCTTTTTGATTGAGAGCTTGCCCAGAAAGACCAGGAGCAGCGCTTCCAGCCTTGCTCAGAGTGCCAATTGGGTATGTAGCTGAAGTCTTTTGGTGACATAAACGAAGCTAACAGGTGCAGTTCTCGAATTATCTCGTCGCATTGATCACGCCGGTGCTCATTTCGAAGACCACGTACGGAGCCTACTATCTCTTTGCGTTTTCTTCCCTCTTCACCACAATCGTTGTGGCATTGCGTATGTTTGAAACGAGGGGACACAGTTTGGAAGAGATTGAGCAGCGATATACGCAAAGCAGAAGCATTTCGACTGGCGTGTCTATACCAATGCTGAGGATAAGACGAGTCCAAGCCGCGCAGTAGTGGAGACTGGTAGTGACTGGAGCTGTGTTGCATCCATTGAGAGTCGAATTCTTTAACTGGCAAGCGAATCACGTCTTCTATAGGTAGAATGGTAGAATAGTCAAGAATTGAGAAACAAATTAATGAATCAACATCGTAAACATAAAGGGAGCTGTGAAATGACATGTTGATTCCTTTGGATAATGAGGGATGATGCCTGAGAGCTGTCATGTGATGCAGCACGTGCAGTGTCTCTTCTACTTGCAACCGCGCCATGTTTGGCGTGTAAACATCGGTACAGAGGACCTGGCGCGCAAGGCTCCACCCGTTGCAGTCTGGGCATTTTAGACGTGGAGCTGCTTTTTTCCGAACATCTCAACACCACCAACCATCGCAACTCTCAAGCTTCCCACGAGGCATCAGAGCAGCGACGACGAGGCTGAGGAGCACCAGCTTTGTCAAAAAACACACAATCAATTTTTTGAACAAACAGAGGAGCTACTACCCGTAGCATCTCATCTTCAACATGGCGTCCAACAAGCTTGGCAAGATGGTCAGTCCCCTCGTCCTCTCCCAGCCACTCTCTGAGCGTTACATGTTGACATGGTTAGACTAACGAGACGTGAATATAGGCCGGATACGTACGCAGATGCTCCCCCTCCTCGATTGCTCGTCGAAACTTGACGTGAATCAGGCACTGACGATTCCTCCCAGATCAACTACCGGATGCGTGTGACGCTGCAGGACTCGCGCCAGCTGGTTGGCCAGATGCTCGCCTACGACCGACACATGAACCTCGTTCTCGCCGACACCGAGGAATTCCGCCGCGTTAAGCGCAAGCAGAACAAGGCGGCGCCCCCTGGTGGCTCATCGGCCGGCCAGACCGTGGTCCAGGAGGAGAAGCGAACGCTAGGCCTGGTGATTGTTCGCGGCGCCCACATCATCTCTCTGACCGTCGAGTCACCGCCTCCCGCCGATCCTAGCGCTCGACTCGGCAAGACCACCACTGGCGGAATTGCCTCTACTCTTCAGGCTGGCCCTGGCGTTGCTCGACCTGCCGGCCGTGGTGCTGCCGCTCCGATCTCTCTCGCCGGCCCGGCTGCTGGTGTTGGTGGAGCGGCCCCCCCTCCGGGATTCCCTTCTTTCCCTGGCGCTCCCGGCGCTCCTGGTGCTCCTGGATTTGGTGGACGCGGTGCTCGTAAGTTATACCATCCTCTCTATCCTGTCCCAGGCTAAATTGGTACTAATTGCTGTGACTTTAGCTCCTCCCGGCTTCCCTGGCCAATTCCCTCCTCCTGCTGGCTTCCCCGGTGCTCCTGGCTTCCCTGGCGCCCCAGGTTTCCCTCCTGGCGGCCCTCCTCCTCCTGGATTCAACCCCCCTCCTCGACGATAAAGAAGCTGAAATAGCTGCCTCTAATTTCTGCGATACCCACGCAAAAGCAAGTCTGGTCCAATATGAAATCATGGATATAAAAGGGAGGGGAGAAAGATATCTGCGGCTTTTAGAGAAATGGGAGATTTGGAATATTTTTCGCTCGGAAACCACTGTTATGATCAAGGGTGGCGTTTGGTGATGCTCAAAATGACATCGGGCTTGTAATCTAGCATCGGCCAGGTACATTAAGCTATGAATCGGAATTTTTCTTCGGCATATGATGTTTTTCAGTGTATGTGGATGTTTGTGTGCTAAAAATCTGCCTCTCGTTTGAATATCTACTTGGAGTTTGATCCGGGAAGGATCTCGAGCGCCTTCTGCACGTTGGAGAGCATTGAGGCTTGCCATACAAAGCCGCGTAAAACCGGTCATTATTGAATACTAACTCTGTCATCATGGAAACCAGATAAGCCGCAAAGGACCACGTTGATTAAATCGTATTAATAAGTTATTTTTTATATGGTATTCACTGATATATCATCCATGACTAGTATACATTTATTGTTGAGTACATCTCTCCTTCATCTTCGTCGTCTCGGTCCATACATCACATCTATAAACCCTCATTGCCATAATCGTCTCCTTTTTACATTTACAACTCCTTCTCGCCCAGCGCTGGCCCCCCCTTGGCAAACCCATTAATGACAATCCGGCTCACCAAGTCACTCTGGTGCTGCTCAATCATCTCCCGCAGCACACTCCTCTCCATCACCACCTTGCCCGTCTCCAGCAGATCCTTGACATCCACATCCTCCACATCGAGCGCGCGTCCATCCCACGGCACCTGCTCCATGGCCTCGTACAGCCTGTCTCTCCTATCGCCAGTGACAAACAGTGTGCGGCCGTCCTCACGACCCAGCCCCAGCGTATTCAGCATGCCAGACATGTACTTCTTCAAGTACGCCTCCCTCAGTCCATCCTTCATGTACTTATCCGCCACTAATTCAAAGTCCTCCGGCATCGACAGCTCCATGCCGTCCTCGCAGATGATCAGCTCGCCCCGTCTGTATCGGTAGCTCAGCGCCGTGCGCCACGCCTTGTCGTAGACTTTACGGTTCAACCTCGTTCCGAAATCGCGAGGGTGAGGACCGTGCGATTTGCCTCCGCCGCGGAGCAGCGGGCTCTGTCTGGTGCCCTGGCGAGCTCGGCCGGTTCCCTTTTGCGGCCTCATCTTGCGGTGCGAGCCGTGGACGTCCCAGCGGGTTTTGGAGGACGCGGTGCCCTGGCGGGTATTGTCGCCTTCGTAGACGACGGCGAGGGGGAGGAGGTCGCGGCGGAGGGGGAGGGAGAGATGCTGGACGGACCATTGCTCGAGTGACTGGGGCTCGAGGGATGGGAAGCTGTGGATGGTGACGGGGACGGTAGAGACTGGTGGAGGGGTTAGCGGGAGCTTTTGTCATGGATGAGGTCGTCATACTTGGGTTCCAGGATTGGATCAGGGCCTGCGCATTGGAAGCTGATCTCGTGATATCTTTTGCCGGCGCCTCTGTAGCCATTGACCGTGCAAACTGTCTGCTGAAGCCTGTCGTCGTCGCCATCTATTTCCACAAGTCAGCCAAATACCACCCCATTGCAAAAATCTCAACGCAGAAAAGACGTACCTTGGGCGCAGATATCCTCAGCGCACCCAGCGCCTCGCTGAGGCACCCAATTCCCTTTCCAGCCATGTTTGAAGACGATATAGCCCCAACTATTCGGTGGTGCTGCTCTTGGTAGCAAAGGCGAAAATCAATCCATTCAACGGTGGTGCAAGCAAAAGCGCAGCGGCGTTTTCCGCCTCCGGCCGCCGAAAATTTTAGCGGGGCTAAATCGCAACTTTGCACCACCACCAGCCCTCAGGTCTAAGATATCGAGATATTGCATTCATTACAAAACTTGTTATTTCCATATAACAGCAACACACACAGCGTCGACTATGTCGCGGTGCCAGGCTGTTGCGAGGCCATTGGCACGGCAATTGCGCCCACAATGCGCAATCAGGCCCTTCACCACGGGTGCTGCCCGCGCCGCCGCTGCTGCTACCGAAGAAGTAAAGCAGCCCAGCGCTCTTGATCTCGATCCCAACAGCGTCCTGCCAGAATTCGAAAGCGACCTCATCAAGGCGGGCAAAATGCCCATCGGCTCCCGGAGACGAAGAGTCGCCATGCGCACCACTGCCAGCCTTCCCTTTGAGCAGCTGCCGTACCAGGCCTTCCAGGAAGCACGAGCCATTCTTGCGGCGGACCGACAGGAGAAGGTCGCCAAGATCCAGGAGGAGCTGGAGAAGATTGCACTGCTAGAGAAGAAGGACGCGGCGCTGGTGAAGGGCGGACAAGCAATGAAGGATACGAAGCTGGCAAGTCTGAGGCGATATGTCGAGCAGCTCAAGATCCAGGCGGACATCAACGACCCGCTGGTCAAGAAGCGCTTTGAAGATGGACTAGGTAAAAAACAAAACTCACATATCTATAAAAAGTAGGAAAAATAAACTAACTGTATGCTCAGGAGACATGGACAAGCCCATCTACCGGCACTACGCCGAGCGCAAATGGCGCTCCTACGACTACCGCCTCATCACCCAGCGCATCAAGCAATTCAACATCGTCCCCGACGTCCTCCCCAAGCTCGACCCCGTCGCCGACGTCCAGCTCTACTTCCGCCAATCCAAGATCCCCCCCGGCGAGATCGTCGACTCCCTCATCAGCGAGAACCCTCCCCGGCTGCGCGTCCAAGTCTTCAACAAGGGCCCCCGGCTGGTCTCCCTCGTCGTGCTCGACTCAGACGTGCCCGACGTCGAAAAGGACGCCTTCTCCAAGCGCTGCCACTTCCTCGCGGCGAATATCTCGCTCAGCCCCAACGACACTTCTCTGCCGCTTAGCAAGATCCGCGCCGACGACCAGCTCGCTGTTCCTTGGTTACCGCCTACCGCGCAAAAGGGCAGTCCGTACCACCGCGTGGGCATCTACCTCCTCGAGCAAAAGCCCGAAACCAAGCTCGACGTTGCGAAACTCAAAGAGCTCTACGCTTCTCGGGATGGCTTCTCCCTAAAGTCCTTCCGCGACAAGTTCAGCCTCACGCCCGTGGGCTTCAACATGTTCCGCAGCGTCTGGGACGAAAACACCGCCGGCGTCATGGAGCGCCACAGCGTGGCTGGCGCAGACGTCGAGTTCAGGCCGACGCGCGTGCACAGCTTGAAGCCGCCCGTCAAGCCACGTGGTTGGGAAGCTAAGAGACAGGGTCCTGCGTATAGACATTTGTGGAAGTACACGAAGCGTATCAAGGGATTGTCTAATGCCCGGGGATGGACCAAGAGGAGGTGAAACTAGTGATGGAGATGAGAGAATGAGTGGAAAAGGGAGAAGAGAGCAAAATAGAAGTCATGACATCTGTACGATATTCTTGTTATGTGTATAAAAAAGGGAGTGGTTGTAGATGGGCTAGGGAGGTATCGCATGTACTTGCACGAGGAATAAAAAAACATATTACATTACATCTCAGTAATTAAAACATCAAGTAATGTTGAATGTGAATACCAAAAGGTCGGGGATGTTTTCACAAGTACAAAGACTCGGGACAAAGTATTACGCCAAGGTTGAATCTGCCTCTCTTTCGAGGTATGTATTATGTTGAATTTGATCTGTCAGTCAACTCTTGTCTGTACTTTCAGAGTTGAAGCTGTCTGTACTATCAGAGCAAACGCCGAGACACAAGCCATGAGTGCGTTTCTTTGTTTTCTTCTTCTTTTCTTTGCTTTTTCTTTCTCTTCACTATTTTTATGTACAGAGCTCTTACTCCGCAAAAGCTAGAAAAATCAGCCCTCATATATTCGGGTCAATCAACTCCTTTCCATACATAGATACATGTATAAACGCCTAGCTCGATAATTCCCATTCCTCCTTGACTATTTTTTTCCACCGTGGCATCGCCACCCTTTCCATTACTCCCAACCTTGTTGCTCCCCAGTAACAAACAAGAAAGCATTGCGATACAGCTGTGATATATTGATTTTCCCTGTCGGAAAATGCCATCTCGTTCCATTCCTTCGGCCACAAAAATCCACGCTGAACTTGCTCTTGGCCGCAATCATCTCCTGTTCCACCTCCTAATTTTCTTGCCTTGTTGTATTTTCATTTCCCTTCAAACAAGGTCACCGGTCAGCAGCTCGTCGGGCATATAATCGAGATTGATACCCCCTTCGGGCCTGGGCAGAGACTGCTCCTGCTGAGACCGGTGAGACTCTGCCGGCGAGGGCAGTGTGCTAGATCCAGATGCGGCTGCATGGTAGGTTATGGTCAGCACAAGGGTTTGGGCATTACGAGTATCTACCCCCATATAGTAGGTTAAGCTCACCATTCCCAACCATGGATGGACGCCGCTCCAGCGGGTCCATGCATCGCTCAACATACTTGAGCGCTTCCTTTTCGATCCAGAAGTTGATGTTGGGGTCTTGGCACTTGGCATGGGCCATGAGCTCATTCTTGATTCCTGTGACTTCGCCGAGAAGCTTGAAATACTCGATTCGCAGTTCGGCGTGGCGCGCCTCCAGGGTGTTCTTGGTGTCCTCGAGCTCAACCACCCATTCCTTCTTCTTCTGGCGGCATTTGGATGCGGCAATGCGATTGCGTTCCAGGTTCTTGGTGCGCTGGGCTACATCTTCCTTTTTTGCTGTTGAACCTCGCCGCGCGGGCTTTCGTTTCGGCGGCGAGGACTGTCGTTGACGCTGCTGCGGCGGACGCTGCTGTTGAGGTTCTTGAGGCTCCAGCTTGACGGTGATGGTCGTCTTTTGCTTCTTGGCGCGAGGTTGAGCTGTTGAGCCCGAAGCATCCGTGTTCTGGGAAGAGGCCTTTCTTGTCCGTGTTACTATGGGAGACGTATTGGCGGGTGGCTGAGGAGCTGCCGCCGGTGTTGTTGTTGTTGATGATGATGTGGATGCCAAAGCAGAGCTTGGGATTGCCTTGCTCGGCTTGCTGTTGTTGCTTCTGGCATTGTTGTTGTTGTTGTTGTTGTTGTCGGTGTTGTTGTCGGTGTTGTTGTTGGTGTTGTTGTTGTGGTTATGGCCGCTGTGTTTAGCGACAGTGTGATTGTTAGTGACCGTCTCATGAGGGGCGATGGTTGCTTCGTCGAGACTGCCGATGCTGTCTCTGGGGCCGGCAAAGTACTCGTGGCAGCTCAGCGGCGAGGACCCGGACAATTGCTCTGGCGACGGGAATGACGAGTTGGGCGACGAAGAGTATGGCGACGCCGTCAGTCCGGGATCGACGGCGAGATTGTCGATGGGATCGTCCTTGTAGAGGTCGAAGTACGGGAAGATGGGACCTGGGAGGTTGTGGATGCCCAGGCCGAACTCGCCAAAGAGAGGACTGTCGCACATAATAGCCGGCTCGTTTTCTTTCTTTGCCGTCTTGCGTTTGTGTTTATTTTGGGTTTCTAATTCAGATATTTCCTGATGTTTTTCTGTTTTTCTTCTGGTGGTAGCTGTTGTGAAAAGTTGAAGAGCAGCAGGTGTTGATCGATTGGCGTCTGTGTCGCTCCAGAGAGAGCCGGGGCGTTTGACAGCTGCTGGTGAGGGGGGTGCTGGAGCTCAGAAGCCGTAGCGGGGCCGTAGCACGGGAATCCAGCAGGGGGGGGGCCTGATCGCTGATCTGGAGAGGGGAAGCTCAGCAGCTGGCGTGTCGCAGGGCCGAAGGAGCTGGGGTGGAGCTTATCCGGCAGAGCAGATCCAGCTGAGCCGGTTGGGCGCAACGAAGTCGTGGGTTCAGACAGACGACGACGCTTTCGACCTGGCGAGGATTGGGCGAGGAGCGAGATGGGACCGGCAGCAAGTCGACTGTTCCGATTCTGGTCCTACTGAAAGGGTTGAAAAGGTGGGAGGACGGATGCGGTGGCAGAGGTGCGCGGGCGGCAGGCGATAAAAGCATCGAGCCCGGCACGGGATTCACAGCGAGCTTGGCCTTGGGAGCCAAAAGCATCGAGTGTACCGCCAAGTACAGCTATGCCTAACCCGAGGTAGTGGCCGGGCTGGTATGTGGCAAGCAGTAGCGGCGGCAGAGTAGCAGCAGTAGCAGCAGTAGCAGCAGCAGTACTAGTAGCAGTATTGAGCAATAATGCTAATAGCAACAGCAGTGGCCGTAGTAGTAGTAGTAGTAGTAGTAGTAGTAGTAATAATAATAATAATAATTGTAGTAGTAGCAGTAATAGCAATAGGTAATCGTCGTAGTAGTAATCGTAGTAATAAGAGCAGTGGCGATATGAGCAGTGCAAGCAGCACGCTATCCTGTGTCTGATTATTGTCAGACCAGGCCGTATTCTTTGTGATTCAGCTCGAGATGAACACACCTTGATAAGACCACAGGTCATATGTCCAGCCCCAAACGAACAAGGAGAATGGAAAAGAAGCAGACGAGCTACAACTCGGCTGGCGTCTTAATCGGGGGGTATTATTAGCAGAGCTTCCAGCGACATACCTCGCTCTCTGAGCTGCACCAATCATGATAGCTGAGCACCGCGTAGGGAATAGCTGGCTGTCCCAGTCGGGATGTGGAATAGCTGCGGCCGCCCAGTCAGGATACGGAATAGCATCAATCAATTCACAGCATTGGCATTGGCAAGGGTTTATATAGATGGCAACGAATCAAACGACGTCCAACGGCGGTGGAGAGAGCAGACGCCACCAAAGTTGAATGCTGAAGTCAGATATGGGAATTATGGAAATGGCTCATCACCGTAGACCGGAAGCAAGAATCGGCGCTTCATGCCAGCTATACTTTACAACATCTCCATAATACAATCGAAAAATATTGAATTTTTCCTAATAGACAAGGCGCCATTAGGAAGAGCGATGAGTGCTCACATGCCGCCTCTTGTGCTGGAAATGGTGATGGCTTGCGGCATCAAAGCCTCTCAACGAATAAGCATCAAAGTATACCTAAAGAATATTCTACAAAGCTCATCTAGCCCAAGCTCCTGCCAAGTGCTGCTTGCTTGTGTGTTTGTGATACTGCTACCTGTAAATATGTCGGTAACCGTTGTATGTTGTATGTGCCAAGCATCCAATCTGCATCTCTTACATCTTACACCTTACACGGCATGCTTGCTCAACACGCCAGCGTTTTATATACGAAGCAGCACCGCAACGGGCCGTGCCAAATAGACAAGCAGCGAGTTTCAGCAGCAGCAGTAGCTGTAACACACATATAGCTTGAAGCTCTACACGCCTATGGCGTATTCGAACGCGTATAGCTACCAAGCCAGCCGAGGTACACGTATTCATTCCGCGCACATAGGAAGCAAACGCGTTTTGTGGCGACACCTTGATGAAAGAACCGGCCTAGATCTCAACAGCTTCACTCCTAGGCCTAATCTATAGTTTCCTATTTTTTCCTTGTCTTGCCTGTTCGGTCTGACTCACCCTCTGTTCAACGACTCAATTCCAGAGTTGAGGCAACCTTGTTCAGCCTTCCGTGGCTTTCTCGCTCTCTGTGGCGATCCCTCCCCTTCTTGCGTCTTGATTTTAGTGCGATCGCGATCCGAGCTCCGATCCCATTCACCCTAGACAGGGTACCAGATTCTGGCCCCCACAGGTACCCCCCTGGTACAGCCTGGACAGCAGCAGGCATTGAATCGCATTGATCCAATCGATAGGTAGCTTCAATACTTGCTGCCTGGTTGCAATGCGCAGTGCATGCATGCAGCTGCAGATGCACGCCCTAAAGCTCGCGCCCAGTTCTCCTCTTCTCATCCCACTGCAGGCCGCAATGCGTCTTATAGAACCTCGCAGGTACGTGTTATGGGCTTGGCCTCTTCTCGGCCTGTACTTGGAGGCCGCCTCAGCAGCAGTGAAGCTCCGACGGCCGGCTTAGCGCTCATAACGCCTGGAGTGCTGCGATCGTTTGCGGCAGCGGCAGGAGGTCACTAGGGCGCCTCGAATCGAGCCACAGCAGCTACGCCACTGCCTGCGCTTCAACCGTGAAGAACCGACTGCTAGAAGCATCCATCTTCAGACACTTCCCTCTCCTCTTATCACTACATGTCTCTCTCCATCCATCCAGCCACTCTCCACACTCCGTGCTTTTAGGAGCTTGCGGCTTAGTCTCTCGATCCACTGTCAAAGTATCCTTCTAACTGGAACAGGTCTCGGCCGTTCGCTTATTTCTCCCCAACGCTACGATGTACTTGTTTGCTTGGCTGGCTTGGCTGAGAAGATGCTTTCTAGATGGTTGCGCGTCCATCCCGTCTCCGTGCAGCTACCCATTCTTTTTGCGTGAATATCGCAGACATCGAGCTTTGGGCAGCGACAGAATTATAGCTGAGCCGAATAGGACGGACTGGGCTGCACCAGGCTGCACCAGGCTGCCTCGCAAAAGGCAAAGTTGCATGATAACAAGGCCGTTTGCTTCAGAACCCAAACCCTGCAGCTGCCTCGAACTAAAGAAATAGTGCATCTTACTGGAGCAATAGACGAACAGCCCGAGCAAATACAGGGTCCTCCTGTCAATGGCTCCAGCAGCTTTCCGGCGAGATCCAGACCCGTCCGTCAGGCAACAATTCAATATCCGGGCATCTGTCCTTGCAGCTCCGGGCAGACAAGACCCCTGGTCAGAGCAAAGTACACGAGCCAGTGGCGCCCTGTTTGCCATGCTACTGACACGCAACTTGCCAACTCGCATGCCTGTACCTACCGGTTTGCCCAAGCTTCCCTCGTCGCCATTGGTCGTTGCGCAACTTTCCACGTATCACAAGAGCCAAGTAGTGCTCCAGACTGCTTCCAAAAGTCGAGGGATGGCTCCCCTGGCTTGGCTGACTATACTTCGGCTTTGCCTTTCACAAAGCAGGTTTTTAGCCTTTTGGCGTCTGCTGTCCCCAGAGAAAGAGAGTCGGCTGCTACAGTACAAACTTTGCAGCGATGAGATATACATCAAGGTTTTCCCTCTCCTATGCCGTGGGCGCCGGCCCCTCCCTCTCATCCCCATTCCTGGGAATGTCTCCGACAGCTAGACAGCTCCATTGAAGTTTAACAAGCGGGCGTTCCTGGGAATGGGATGGAGCTGAATACTATAAGCGAAAGCGGAGCTAGGTTCCCACTGCTTGATACTTACTAGTGGACTATGTCCAAGCCATTTATCCGAAAATAGCCTCGCTCGCTCACTCAACACTCAAGAAGAGACAACGAGGCCAAGCAGAGTGAGTAACCGACCCAAAAGCTTCTTTTCCCATTTGTCACGAGAAGAAAAAGAAAGGAGAGTTGTCGATTGTGGCAACACTAGCAGTCGTTTGGTTGGTTGATTTGATGCCACTGGAACATGTTGATTTGATGCCCACTGAAACATGGGCTCACAATGGCAAATGTCGCCCTTAGTCAATCAGTTCATCATACCACCTTGTTTCCCGATATCCAATTCCCATTCTACAGCGACAGAAGCTTGGTTTCTCAGCAGCCCTTTTCGGACTATTGCAGCTCTAGTTTCGCTGTTGCCGTGCAACTAACGTTATTCTTGGAGAGGCAATGCGCTGACTGGCAACTGAGCACACTTTGATTTGAAGCTAAGCCTGTGATACCATACCAGTCCAGTATATATCGCTGCCCCGGACAGCCTTCTCCGATGCCAGCCACTGAAAGTGCGTAGTTTGCCAATTCTGCCAAGGCGCTGGCGAAGCCATCAATATTAAAAACATTGATATAATGCTTGAGAATTCTCGTAAACTGAATTTTTCAGAAATTCGAGCCGAGGACTCCGAAGTTACTTGAAAAAGAGAGCTCATGCCATGGCGCCCAGGCTTCAAGTAGAGCCGAGGCTGATACGAAGTACAGTAGCAAAAATCTCTCTGCTATGAGCCAAGCCAGGTCGCACTCACAAGACAAAAAAGAGAAGCGAGCTTTACAAACTACAAAAAGTATAGAAGTCTATTACCAACAGTAATAGGTGGGATACCATCCCGACGCCGATTGCGCTCTCTTCCAATTGGCCTTCTCCCACATCCCTTCGGTAGCATTCCGTTCTACACAAGACAAGCTTCCGTGGCTTCACCAAGAAGCATCCTATCAGGACGTCCTTCTCTCTCACTTCTCTTCGGCGCTCCGAGGGAAAAATGCAAGGCAACAAAAGAGAGAAGAGGAGGGGAGGGAATGCTTCCGGCTCCCAGTGCCTGGCGTAGGTCGGCGCCAATGCTACCTAAACGTTATCAAAGGAGGGCACCAATCATGGAGGAGCACGACGAGACGTCCCGTCGGGCGAGGTGATGGTGTGTCCCACCTTTTGAGGGAATGGGAAAGCTTTCCAGGCGGGCACAGTAAGGCAAGTTTTTATTTCCTTGCATTTTGGATAGGTAGGTAGGTTGGATTCGAAATGGGGACCGATGGAGCCCAGGCCAGTCATGAACGAACAGGTGTGTGTGCATATACACGTATTGTGTGTTTGACGTACGGCGAATAAACAGGGAAAACACGCATCCGAGATATCACGCCGGCCGGCATCGAGTTCCAACGTCTGGATCGCTCGGATATAAACAAGCAAGAGCAAGTACCGGTATGTACTTGTAGCCGGCAGTATCCAGCAATACATGTCCCTGCTAGCGCTCTTCACAAGAATACTACACACTATCCAACTGTACTGTCAGAAAGAGAAAAGGGCTCGCTGTCAAGTCAGTTTTACCCGGGCACAGTGACTGAGTCCATCCATCCATCCATCCATCCCAGCCTGGGCCGTGATCTACAACACCATGTTTAAGAACCGAGCCGCCGGTGACGAATCCCGGCCATCGACAAGCCATCAAAAGCCCATTTGCGAGGCGATGCAACTCGCGGCTTTAGTTCCATCCAATTGGCAGGCCACGGTTCGTCTCGGCCAACTCGGTGGGCAAACGGCGAGAGGATGAGATTTTTGCTTACCGGTGAGAAGCTGAAGTCTTTTGCCACTCCCTTGCAAGCTCAAGCTTTGGAGAGGTAAAGGCGCTGCGGCGTCAAGATTGGGTAGTGCTAGAGTTAGAGTCGTAAGAGTGCTAGTACCTGGTAGTGCTCATAGTGCTGTAGGATACCTGCTACAGGCGGGCAGTGCTGCTGTCTTGGGGGGCGAAACGTTCTGTAGCTTATCTGCACGTGATAATGGGTGGTGTTAACGAGCCTAAATGCTGTGTCACCTGATCTCGCGATACCTCTGCGCGACTACACTCGTGTAACCGCGTTGAGGGGTTCGTGATAGAAGCTGAGCTGAGCTGAGAATCCCACATTTCACAACATATCACAACACAACAACACACTGCTGTTTCTTCTTTTTGCTCCATAGTGTAGTCGAATTCAAAGATCCAGTTACAACACTGCTACACCAGCTATCGCTTCCCTGCAAGCACACAAACACAACCACAAACACAAAACGCAGCATCTCCAACAACCTCAAAACACCATCATGGCCGAGCAAATGTCCACCCCGCGCATCACCGCCGCCTACCTCGACAACTTCGTCGGCCGCACCGTCACCATCGTCGGCAAAGTCACACAGCTGCGCGGCGACCAGGCCACCATTGACGCCGACGGCGTCGTCACCATTCTCCTCAACCGCGTAAGTCTTTACTCTTTACACACACACACACACTGATAATAGGTGTTGATCATCATTCACTGACATTCTTTGCAGGACTCGCACCTCGCCAACGGCAATGCCGCCCAGGTCATCGGCAAAGTCAACCCAGACCTCTCCATCAAGGCCCTCAGCACGCGCGACGTCGGGTCCGGAGTCGGTGCGTTTCTCTGAAAACATCTCTATGGAGATACTTGTTGCTAATTTCCTCCAGACATGACCCTCTGCTCCGCCGTCGCCGAACTCACCCACCGCCACAAGGAAATCTTCATCTCCGAAAACTGACGCGCTCAGCCAGGCCACGGCGTCTCGCCGCTCCGCAACCACGAGCCCCAGCACCAACCGCACATCGCCATGGTCTGGCCATCACCACCAGCTTTAAAAAACCCGTCGTCTTCGTCTTCGCCTGCACCGCATCGTCGTTTGTCTATTGGTCGCCTGCATCGCACTGCGTCTCCGTCTCCTGTTCGCACTTCTTCAAATCGCAATCCTGATTCTTCTTCCTCTTCTGCGTCTTCGTCCAACCAGCGAGACTGGCAGCATCAGCGCCAGCAGCAGTCGCTGGATCTCATCCCTTACGATCCTCCTGCTCCTCCTTCTCCCTCGTTTGAACAACATCAGTATCAGTCTTCTCAGCAATCTTTTTCTTCAATGCCTTCAACCACCTACCAACTCATGCCGGGATCTTTCCACGACTTCGAACCCGACCTCCCATCCTCCGAAGAAGAAGACATGTTCCGTCTCGCTCATGCTACCTCACCATTCACCAACATTTATAACTCACCATTCGAACCTCGAGAAGAGCTTCAAATCCAACCCTTCTCCGTCCTCCCCTCTGCTCAACCCCACTCCAGCTTTCTCTCGTCTTCTTCTTCCTCGCCCCCATTCGCAAACATGTCCACCTACTCCACTCAAGCCGCAAGCTATTCTCTCCCCTCACCACCAACTTCCCAGCTCGAACGACCTGAATCGCCCTTCTCTGTCGACTCTCAGCCTACGCTCCGTCAGGGCGATTCTCGAGTCCTTTCTCCACCGATGAGTCCCATACCAAGGCCCCAAAACAGAGTCAGTGGTGGAAGCGGTAGTGGCAGCAGACATGCTCGGAACTCAGAGGATGTTGATACTCAGGCGCTCAACGCCGTTGTGGATGGCATTGGGAGGATGCAAGTCAATATGAATCTGGACCAAGCTGGGAGATGGAGGATTGCGCGACGGCCTGGTGCTCCTTGGTAATACAAAAGAGCATCCGCGCCGCGAGGGCAATTTCGATGGAGGTATTCACGGTATCTGAATAGAATAGATTAAGATTAATTGGTCATGAAGCGTTGGAAAAGCAATGTTGAGATGATGTTTAAAAAAAGATAATGAAATACATAACGAGTATCCTAAACAACCAGTTGCATAATAAACTTTATTGGAATCCCAATGTCACCTGAGTTGAATCAGAAGACTCAATCGCTCCATGCATCCATTAACCAAAATATCAATCAAGCAAGCAAGCAGTCGGCCAAAACAAACAAGTAATCAACTACGCAATCAGTCAAAGACTGAAGCAGTCAAGCAGTCAAGCAGTCAAGCAGTCAATCAAGCAACTCACTTACAAAAAAGCATCTGTTGAAGAACGCTCATTCTGTGTCAAATCGCTCGACTGTTGAAACGCCAATGACGAAGATGAAGACGAAGACGACGATGTTGAAGACGCCTCCTCCTCCTCCATCTGCAGCAACTCCTGCACAACCATCCACAGCTCCACCATCCCGAGTCGAAGCTTCAGCGTTTCCTCGTCGTCTCTGGGACTCGCCACGCCATCCATACTCTGTTGTAATAACAGCGCATCGCCAGTGGCTGTCGCCATGGAACCACCAGATGGCGAACCACCAGGGGACCCGTTTCTTGCATGCATCCGGGGATACAGACTCTGAAATATCTTCACCGCAATGGCATCTCCATCTCCCAAATCTGTGCTCTCGTGGTCCCCGGTGGCCTGAGTTCCTCTCTCAATAGCCTCTAGGGCCCTCTCAAACCGAACGCCATGAATTAGATAGGATCCTTGTGCGTCGCTCTCTTCTTTGACTGCCAACTCGTCGTCTCCGCTTTGACGAGAGGATTCAGTTAAGAGAGAGCCATACAGATGTCTGACCCGCGTCGTAAATTTTTGAAACAACCTTGCCCTTCTCTCTGCAGCCAGGGCTCTTTCTTTCCACTTATTCAAGTTCCCGCTTGCGTCTCGCAGCTGTTGATGCAAAGCGGGTATGTCGGACTCTTTCAACTGTTGTATTTCCGCCTCGAGCAGTATCATCCTTGCGGACTCCTTCTCATCCCCCGTCATAGAGCCATTCTCTGCCTTGGTACTAGAGCCGTCTGGACGTGAAACCAGTTCGCTCTCCGTGACGGCTGAGTGGTCCATGTAGCCATCTTGCGTAGGCGCTGATACCGACAGTGATGTTGATTCATCCTCCATCATATTAGTTTGCGTGCCTTTCTCAGACACGTCTATGAATGTACCTCCCTGTTTGCTGCTGTTGCTGCCAGATAAGTGCTCCGCATCCTCCGTCTGAAGAGCTATTGTCCACGTAGTTGGATATGAGCCGTACTTTGCTTCTACCTCATCCTTGATATCGGAGTGGCTTTGCAAAACCTTATCCGGACGTAAAGTCTTTTGAGGCCTGTTCTGTAAAAAAAAGGACGCTGGCTCAACGTGCTCATGCCTTTCCACGTAGGCGGCACCATCCGTGGGCGCCGTACCTGTCCAAGTCTTTCCAGTCAATGAAGAAGAATCGTATTGGCCCTCAAACATTGCTGCCAAAGCCCGGACAGATCTCCTCTTTGTAGGAGTTTTACCCCTGAAATGCTATTTGCTGGAATTACCCCTAGAGGTTGACTTCGATGCTCCAGCCTCATTGTTCTCTTGTTCAAAGACAATGGGAACTCTGTTTCTGGCGAAATCTATCAGATACCGAGGCTGCATGTCAGTAATTGACAGATCGTCGTCAGCGGCTGTTTCACCATTTGGAAAACGCGGTGGAAAAGGACTGTATGGACGGGTGATAGTAGCGTGACGCTGCAACGGCAAAGTTGACGATCCATCAAAAGAGTTTCTGGGTTGCTGTATGCCACAGTCAAACATCTCCGAGGCGTGAGTCAGAAGCGAATCCTTAATCGCCTTCCCTTTTCCGCGCAACCTGGCTGGCAAAGGAGGTCTAATAATCTCGCGATCGGGCTCTTCAACAAGCCTCTCACGTACGATTATCAGGGACTTATCCGCAAGTGGTCTTTGATTGCTCCCTATTTTTGTCGACTCAGTTTCATCCGCCGGTGGCATTTCAGAGACCCCAAAATGAACGGTGTACCGAGAAGATCCCCGCGCAGGGATAGCATCCATAGACACACTCTGAGTCAAGCCATCGGAGGCATCTCCAGCCGGTGGCTCAGTAGTCTCTGTAAAGCTGCGTGAACTCGTCCGAGAGGTTCTACCCGATTGTCGTCGAATGGCGCCTGAGCGAGTCAATTGGCGGGAAAGCGACGTAGTCTTCAGGCCACCCCTGGCAGCTCGCTGACCATTGCCCGCGGCCGGTGTTGCAAGGAACAGAGTCTCCTGACTGTCAACAGAATCTACCTCAGGAGAAACATCCGAGTCCACAAGAGGATTTCCTATGTCTGGATCTGAACTCAGTGGAGGCATCTCGCTATACTCGAGATGTAGGGTCGCCGCACCATGCCGAGCCTGTCTGTTCAAGTCCTTTAATTGATGAACCACGTCTCGCCAATGAGTAATAAGCATCTCAGCAACAGCAGCTGCAACCATGGCACGCTTCACAATTGCCTCTCTAGCTTCGGCATCTCTAGCTTTGTCGTCGTCGATTGCCATCTGCGTTCGCCGACGAAGCAGCTTTGAAGACCATGACAAGGGAAGCCGTCCGGAGGTTGGTTGGACCGGTTTCAACGGAGGATCATTGGTTAGCAGCGGGCCAATACAAACTCCAAGACCTTTATAATCCAAGAACTGCTGGTCTGGATGAAGAGGTCGGCCATCAACACTCTCTTCTGGCGACAATTCAGTAATTCGTCCAATCATGTTTAGCAAGCCAAAGACGGCGCAAATCACATGGCGGATAGACTTTGACTTGATGGAATCAATAGCGAGTGCTACGAGTCGTGCACGAAGCCAGGTGCGGTATGCACTCGGAAGCTCAGACGGCCCATCCAGCTTCTCATGGATTGCGACAAAGGCATTAAACAGCGTTGGAGATGCCAAGACGCCTCCCGGCAGGCGGGATAGGAAGCGCTTGAACGTAGAAGCCACATCGTGGATTGTGTGCGTAATGTGGGCCGGCAAGGTATTTGCGCGGACTGTCCCAAGCACAGTCGCTTGGTGAGTTGAATGAGGATCGTAGTACCGCGAGAATTCTTCGACGACCCTTTCAGAGCCAGAAACTCGAAAGATGCCCCGGGTATTGGCCTTCTCAGCAATGGCTTGTGCACAGGCACGCAAGCACATTGGTATGGCCAAGGGAAATGGAGCGTAATCTGGATGCAGACGCAGCAGGCTTTTGCTAGTCAGTAGTTCCAATGATGCAAGATCAATCGGCGTGTATACATCGGGCTTGTAACGACGGTCATACGCCAAGTCTGCGATGCTCCGCCTGTTCAAACCTCGTGATGCTGTATCCGGCCTACTTGATCCTGAAAAGATTCGATGGAGCAACCCAGGCTGCTGAGGTTCTGGGATTTCCAGATGCTGCAATACCGAAAACATCAGAAAGGTTGTCCAAGTAATAAGTCGGCCTAGGTATGACTTACAATAAGGACAGTGTCGCCAACGACAAGTAATGGTAATCCATTCTAATAACTGTCAGCCACAATTCAGGTTAATCCTTTTTATTCATGTTTCCATACCCCTTCTGCTAGATTGCTGTATTCTTCCCCAAACGCCGCCTGAGCTTCGTCTTGGTTGTTTTCATTCAAGAAGTCTGGCGTTTCAGTGGCCGGTGTCCAGGTGCGGCCACTGGGCCAGGGGTTTATGCCAAGCAACGCTTGAGCCTCTGGGTCGAGAGGTATCGCGCGTGCTTCGCTGATAGGCGCCGGCTGCTGAAGAGCCTGGCGAAGGGAGGCTCGGCGCATCATCTCTCGCTGCGATGAGTAGGAGCGGCATAGAGGCTGAGATGCCGATGGTGGAAATTGGGGATCCATGACGACAGACGGAGAGAGTCACGACGAAACCCCTGATAAGGTAACCACTGGTGAGTGATAGATAGTCTGAGAATGATTGTCTAAACGCAGCCAAACTGGGTAGGATAATTTGATGCTTCAGTCAAAACAGCCTTATCAGACTAGAAAATACATATTCCATGGGCTGTGAAATCGCAGGTAGAAGAATCCATTCATGATCCAGGGCTTGACAACAGGGGCTCGCAGGTTCCTCAGATTTTAATTCGCGCATCCAAGGGTGCGGAAGGAAGGTTCAAGTTTTGTTTTGTCCCAAGATTCGAAAACAGCATTTTGTGTCCTAACAGCCACAGCATGTCCTTCCGGATTTTCATGCAATAAACGTTGCAATCGCTTAGGGAAGACTCCTGCTCCGCCACTGCAGTAGGGCTGCTTAAGCATATATCAGCTTCCAAAGATGTCTCGATGGCGCTGATACTGGATCCATCGCACGTGAAGGCTGAATTCACTTTGCAGGCACGAAGCAAAGCAACACGAGAAATCTATGATAAGAGACAGAGGTTAGAGTACTCAAGCCTCTCTCGAAGCAAAGTGAGAGCAGAAGAAAGTGCAGCACAGGAGGTATAGGATTAAGGTATCTCGACTCGAAAGACCTTCTCATTCTACAAAGCTCAAAGTTATAAGTTCAACTCAATTTCTAGCCAAAAAGTCGCCGGCCACTTGCGGCGGATAGTGAAGCAGTGACCCAGAGTAACCAAAAAGAAACTTACCTTGCAGCATTCTATCAGTAGATAAACAATTAAAAGGGGAGTGAAATATATGTAGCAGAATCTTAGCAGCTCTCCTGGCATGCCTCTCCTCGTCATCAAACAACCAGTACGCCACACCAGATGCATCCATTAAACCTCCGTATACCCAGCCCAGTTCTCCAGTATAAAGCCTCTTTGCACCATAGATAGAAAAGAGGCGCTATGACTTTGCGAAGTCTTCCTCGTCGTGTAGCAGTACGTACTTGAGGATATCGGAAAGTGAGATAACGCCCTTGAGCTTGTTTTCGTCGTCTACGACGATTAGCCTATGCACGCGGCTCTTGCGAATGGTGTCAAAGATAGAATCCAGCCTATCGTCTTCGCTGCAGGTGAAGATGCCCGGGTTATCTTCCGGCCGTTTGCACAGCGCCTCGCCCACAGTCCCGTTCAGGTCGTCGTAAGCGCCCCCTTTGATGCAAGGAATGACGTCGACGGCCTCAAAGGCGTTGAGGACTCTGTTTTCGGAGTCGACGATGGGTACGCAGCTGATGTTCCTGTTGACCATGAGGTCAATGACGTCGAGCACTGTGCTCGCCATGCGCGCAACGGCGAGGTCTGTGTACGTGCCTAGGTGGAGTTCGCGGACCGTCTTCTTGAGTAGAATGGTGTTATGCTCGTTGTTGACGGCGATGAACTTGAGGATTCGATACTGCGTAATGACCGAGATGACGGTTTCTCTGCCAGTCTCGTCGTCGACGTCGACCAGGGGGATTCGTCGCGCGCGGGTCTTGAGCATGCGTCGAAGGGCCTCGTAGAGCGGTTTCGAAGGATGGACAGAAACAGATTCAATGGGGGTGGCCCCAATTGCTTTTTCAATGTCTAACGTCATAGTCAGCCTCTTGAGTGCCGTGATAGTATAGCCAGTAGAGTAAATATTCACCTCGTAAGCTGCTCAGGCGGAATTGGTCCAGCTTGTTCATTTCATCGGGGAACTGGCAATGGTACTGAATCACATTGATGTAGTCGGTCGCGGTCAGGATGCCGGCGAACCGCGAGGCGTGCGAGTCCCATAGAGGGGCAGACACAATGGCTAGAGGAGAGTCAGCATCGTGACACCCAACGGCCAGCCCAATGCCGGAGCCCAGCCTAGCGCGGGGGAGGGCGCGGGGCATCAAAGCTGGCCAGAAGATATGATGCGGAAATTTCTGCAGCGGCTTACAGTTTTGGATCAAGATATTGAGGCTCTTCTTGATGAGCAGGTCGGTGTCGAGCACAATGAGGCGGAAGGACAGCGGCAGCACATCGTAGCTGGTGCGCTTGCGGAGGAAGTCTCGGATGGAATTCTGCAGGAAGGCAAGATGCCAGGTTAGCGGGTGATTGGAAGTTGTTAAACAAAGCAATTGGAGATTTGGGTATGAATGGTGGGCTGGAGGGACGGATTGGATGGATTTGGGCGCGGGGGAAAAAGACCCGGCACGATCACGAAGCACAGCATTGCCGGCAAGCAGGCTGCCGCTGTTGATGGCAGATGCAGCTGCTGGTGCCGGTGCTGGTGCTGAAGAAAGAGGATAGAAATGCACTTCTAGCAGTAGAAACAGCAGCAGATTCACGCACCAGGCCTTGTCGCTGCTCCTTGTCCAGAGGGCTCAGCGATTGCGGTTTGGGGTCTGGCGCATCGGCCATGATGCCGCCAGAGTGGGAGTTGGCGTGGAAGCGCAGATACGACGACGGGGCCACAAAGGGCGGCGGCAGGGCGATGCTGGTCGGGCGCTGCTGCCTGCCGAGCGTGGGAGGACTCGCCGACGAAGATGCAGATGCAGATGAAGATGCGGCTTCAGCCTCGTCGCAGCCGGTGTCGGGTCGGTTGCGGGATGCAGATCCAGGCGATGGTGATCCGAGGCCAGATGCAGGTGTCGATCCAGATTCAGGCTCCGGTCCGGGTTCGGCTCTGGAGGCGGCAGCGTTGGTTGTGGCTGGCGCGGTTGCTGAAGCTGACGTAAACAGTGGTGGTGGTGCTGGTGATGCTGACGCTGATGTTGTTGGAGTTGTCGACGCCGCAGCAAGTCGGCTGTTGCTGCTGTTGTTGTTGTCGCTGTCGTTGCCTGGTCTAGACGACGCAGGTTCAGCTGCTGGAGCTCTGCCACTGACTCTCCCACTATCGCTATCAGCAGCAGCCGGTGCGGGGATTGTTGCTACTGGCTGCTGCAGCTGAGCGCTAACGGCCTCTGCATTTCCCTCCATTCCAGCGTCTCACAGGCCCTGGAGAGGCGCCCCAGAAACCAGAACCGGCCTGATTGGGTTGGGGGTGATGTCAGCGGGTTCTCTTTTTCTTGCCTGCTACAGTTCGTCAGCAAGCTGCATGAGGCGAGGCGAGCATAAACCAGCGGCGATATAGATTTACATGCAGTAAGGCTTATGCCTCTTGGTGTTTTGGTGTTTTTTTTTTGGGCCACGGAACATTTAATTGTCATGTTAGATGCGAAGCTGGACGAAACGGGCAGCCCTCTGGTAGATCTCTATAACTTTTTTGATTACCCGTACATGGACCTACATTGTGAGGCGGCGGCTGCGGCTATTTCATTCCGCGCAAATAAAATCGGCCACAGCGCTAAATACAGTAGGAGCGAGCTGTTTAATCTGAGACAACGAAGTGGCGTGGTCTTGGGCGCGGTATTTTGTTTCGTGCCAATTGAATTGCCTTGTTTGCATTGGGAAAGCGGAAGATGCCGTTATTTGGTTTTGTGTTTTACATGTTTTTATATTTTACTTTACTGCTTCAAGTCTTCTTGTTGGTAGGTTCACGGCCATTGGTCAAGCCAAGGTTTGTTAATGGCAGTAGATGGACTCCTATCCCCATCATTGCAACAACAGCGTCCTACAAGCAGAGCCAAACGTCTCAGCATTGGATGGCGTTGCCCTCATATTCTGCCCGATTATAGTGGGATTGAGTGCCCTAATTGATGCTAAGAAAGCCACGACATCGTCGTCGACTCATGTTTCTATCACTTATACGCAATTGATATCCGACAGTCTTACGCCCGTGAAGAGTCATCATTGAACCCTTCTCGGTCTGCTGACGTCACCGCGGATTCATCGTGGACCCCAGACCCTTGATACTTTCTCTTTCCTCTTTTGTTTTCTAATTTCTTCTTCTTCTTCTTTTCTCTTTTCTTGCTGAGTGTCTCCGTTTACTTCTGATCGTAAATACTCGTATTCCTGCAGGACCCAAATTGAGCTCCCGTGCAGCTACATGCTGACTGATCTGCTGCAGAGCAAACTTACCATCCCACTCCCGCAGCGATAAGATAGCAGGGTTACACGTATGTGCATACATGATGCAGAATGTGATGCTTTAGTTTCTTTGGGGTACCGCAACCATCGATTATGTCGCATGAAGTCATATTTGGGGCTTATCGCAGTTTTTGGAGGGTCCCCGAGGGTCTCTAGGGTAGCCAGATGTGGATGGATTCAAGTCCAAGTACCTACCTATAGTACCTACTGTAGGTACCTAAGGTATACACAACATCCGCCTAAAAATAGCTTGGTCGACGCATTCAGCAGTCTCGTTGTTTCTAGCATCCACGACTTCGTATTGCGTGGCTACATTGTCGAGTCGTGAATAGAAATAGAGGACCAACCAGGGCGTCCACGTACCTACATCCAAAACCTCAATCACATGGTCCCGTCAAGGTGTGCAGCCAAGGTTCGAGAGCCAAGTCCACTCTCATCTAGCGATGGCGCATCTCCGCCTTTTTGGCTTGCGACCATCTTTTTTAACCGACATATGAGCACATGTATGCACTTCAACGGCGAGACTATCGGTGAGCCTGTCTGCATATACGCATATATGTACGCGTGTCGTGCCGGGAAAGGAAGAGAAAAATTCTGACAAATGGCAATGACTGGCCTAGACAATCAATCACCTTGCCTCGCCCCATCCGCCATTATCGTCGTAGCCGCCTTTATCACAAAAAACCAACGGCACCAATGGGCTCCATGACAGCTGGACTCGCAGGCCCCAGCCCAGCTGGTTACGCTACATTCGATTTTCGCAAACGGACTTGTACATGCATACTGTACTCCGTACCGGTATCTAATTGTGCCATTACATGCAGCAGACTACATACGTGGTTTGCGGAGCCTCCCCCTCCAACTGATGCGGTGCTCTGCTGGCTAGCTGCTCATCAGGCCCCAAGCGCTGCGAATGAGACGGCACCGGGCAGAGACCCTTGCTGTGCATAGAAACTCTCCTTTGTACGGCATGGCGTGAACACGTAGGATCCCGAGCACTTGTTCATGCCGCAGAGCAGAGATTTTAGCAGAGCCAAGTGCCCATGGGCCACTGGATTGACCAATGGATGGACCAATGGACAGGAACAACGAGTCAAGATGCTGAGGGAAGAGTATACTTTAGAGCACTGGAGTAAAGAGGAGAGGGCATTCGCTGTCGTGCATATGCAGCATATCTTGTACAACAATAGGCTGCATGGTTTGTTTCATCGACATCATGCCGCTCACCAATAGTCACTAACAGACCATCACCAACCAACCAACCGATGGATGCCTGATGACTCGTCCAGAGCCCCCCAATCTGGAGACCTGATGCGACGTTATCGACAGTATCCCACGCTCAGCCTGTTGGACGGCAGATCCAACCTCTGCTGCTGGTCTGACCCCATCTCGGTATCCTCCATCCAGGCATTATAAACGTAAATGTCCCCCGTCCATATGTACGAAGTCAGGCGCGTCCTCTTACCGCACGGTGGGCCAGCCATTATCGCCAGAGCCCGCCTCTCTGAGCCCTTGGCTAGTGCCTTAGTGCTGCCAGCACTCCGTACTATCCCCAAAGGCGCCCAAGCAGGAGGCATGGGGGATGAAGATGCATTGGGGGGATGCGCAGTCGTGTGTACTTGATAACTGCGTGTGAATTGTGTAGAGACGTAAAGTAAACAGTACATCCTGCTCTCTTCATCACAGGCCAGGGTCTCTTTTTTTCTGACGATTTCCAGTCGCCCCCTGCAACCCAAAAGCGCCTAACAAGTCGTTATGCAGCAGCAGTCCCTTTCCAGCCCTTGCCTTTTTCTTCTTCTCAGTTCTTTCTTCCCTGGATCGGATCTTAAAGGGCATCGTCGCTGCATCGTCACCGCATCGCTTCCCTTCTCGATTCTGCTTGCCATTTCGCTGCCCCTCCTACTCCTGCTTTACTGTCCTTTTGCTGTGCTGCGAACATCAGCTGCTCGGCACGCGCCTCTTCCAATTGAACCGGACCGTTTATACACGGGCAATTAAGTACTGGGCCTATTGACCTCCAGTCCATTCATCGACTCACTGCTGCTGCTGCACAGGCCCTAATACCCGCCAGGCTCTAGTTCAGTGGCCCAGCCAGCCCAAGCAGAAAAGCAGCTGCTCCGAGGACCCGCCCTTTCGTCACGCTCCCGTTGCCGTGGCCCATCCTGGTGCTGCACTCGCCGCAAAGTACCCCAGCGCATCCACTCGCCGCAGAGGTACTTGTGCTCCGTTATTAGGTGCCGTAGCGCTGCCCATTTAGAGGTGACGCTAGCGGTAGCAGCTCCATCACCACCGCCTAATAAGCACAGCAGCGGCATCAACAAAGAACCTTCCAAAACATCTGATCAATTTCCGCCCATTTTCATTCTTCGCTCTTCTCTCTTCCCGCCATCCTCTGCACCCGCCCGCTCTACAGTCGACCAGAAGCCCAGCCGCTGCCGCCATGGGTATTTGCCACTCGACGTGCTGCGGAGGTGAGTCTAGGCGCCGGCCCTGCTGCTCGCCGACTTTTGCTAACGGCGGATTCCTTGATTCCAGGGCGAGCTCGCGATGGCCTCTACGAGCCCGCTCTCGCCGACAGCGAGCGAGAGGCGGTCGCCGATCTGCTCCAGTATCTCGAAAACGTGCGTCTATCCCAGGCTTTGACGACGATGATGCTGCTGGCCGATGCTGCTGGCCGTTGTTCCTCCGTCTTTGTTGTGTTTTGAAGCTGACCCTGTCCACCCCCGAATTGCAGCGCGGCGAGACCGACTTTTTCTCTGGCGAACCGCTCCGAGCCCTGAGCACGCTCGTCTTTTCCGAAAACATTGATCTACAACGCAGCGCCAGCTTGACCTTTGCCGAAATCACAGAACGAGGTATGCCGTGTCGCCGGACAGCTTTCGCAGCGGTTTCCGGAGCTGCCACGCAAGGGCGGTGACGCAGGTGCTAACTCCAAACCACACAGATGTCCGCGAAGTCGACCGCGATACTCTCGAGCCCATCTTGTTTCTGCTACAGAGCCCCGACATCGAGGTGCAGAGAGCGGCCAGCGCAGCGCTTGGCAACCTCGCCGTCAACAGTAAGAGAGCTCTTCTGCATACATGTTGGACAGAATTCTAACCGCCGCGTGTCGCGCATACAGCCGAAAACAAAGTTCTTATTGTCCAGCTTGGCGGCTTGACTCCTCTTATCCGACAGATGCTGTCGCCAAATGTCGAAGTCCAGTGCAACGCCGTGGGATGCATCACAAACCTGGCTACACACGAAGAGAACAAGGCCAAGATTGCCCGGTCAGGGGCTTTGGGTCCCTTGACCAGACTGGCCAAGTCCAAGGATATGCGAGTTCAGAGGAATGCCACCGGCGCTCTTCTGAACATGACACACTCTGGTGCGTACTATTTAGAATTTCCATTCAAAGAGATTCCTTGTGCCTTGATTTTTTTTTTTCCGTTGGTGCGCCGAGGATATGGACTCCAGCTAACCCAGTCTACCTTGATATCAGACGAGAACCGGCAACAGCTTGTCAACGCCGGCGCCATCCCCGTCCTTGTCCAGCTTCTGTCTTCTCCAGATGTCGACGTCCAATACTATTGTACGACCGCTCTTAGTAACATCGCTGTTGATTCCAACAACAGGCGGAAACTGGCTTCTTCAGAGGCAAAACTCGTCCAGTCCCTCGTAAACCTCATGGACTCGTCGTCGCCCAAGGTCCAATGCCAGGCCGCTTTGGCTCTTCGCAACTTGGCATCCGACGAAAAGTACCAACTGGATATTGTACGAGCCAACGGACTGCACCCACTGCTGCGCCTCCTCCAGTCATCATATCTCCCTCTCATCCTCTCCGCCGTCGCCTGCATCCGCAACATCTCCATCCACCCCATGAACGAGTCTCCCATCATCGAGGCCAACTTCCTAAAGCCCCTGGTTGATCTTCTGGGCTCCACCGACAACGAAGAGATCCAGTGCCACGCCATCTCAACGCTACGAAACCTGGCTGCCAGCTCGGATCGCAACAAGGCGCTGGTGTTGGAAGCCGGAGCTGTGCAAAAGTGCAAGCAACTGGTGTTGGACGTTCCCGTTACCGTCCAGTCGGAGATGACGGCCGCCATTGCCGTCCTTGCCCTGAGCGACGACCTCAAGTCTCACCTGTTGAACCTCGGAGTATGCGACGTCTTGATCCCTCTTACTCACTCGGAGAGCATCGAAGTACAGGGTAACAGCGCTGCTGCTCTGGGTAACCTCTCTTCCAAAGTTGGCGACTACTCCATCTTCGTCCAGAACTGGAACGAGCCCAACGGTGGCGTTCACGGATACCTGTGCCGATTCCTGCAGTCTGGCGACGCCACTTTCCAGCACATTGCTGTCTGGACACTGCTGCAGCTGTTTGAGTCTGAAGACAAGACGCTGATTGGCCAAATTGGAAAGGCCGACGACATTATCGAAAACATTCGAGGCATTGCCAACCGCCAAGTCGAAGCGGACCCCGAGGCGGAAGAGGAGGACGAAGGAGAAGTCATCAACCTGGCGCAGCGATGCCTCGAGCTTCTTGGGCAGAGCAGCCAATCAAAGGCACATATCGAAGGCTAAATGAATTCACCTCATTTTGCTTTTCCCGACCCCCGAAGAACGACGGTATTTGACTTTTATAAATGTTGCTTTAAATCCAGTAAACTAGATTGCGAGGAGGATCAGCGTGGCATGGCGAGGGCGATGGTGTTTTGGGCGTCTCAAGCTTTTTGATCCAGACTAAGCCATGAGGCTCTTTGCCTTTACATCCGAGCTTCGAAATTCTCCTCCCGTTTTGCTTCCGCGGCTTTTTTTTTTGATTTGATTTTTTTTTTTCGTTTTGGTACTTTCACCTCCCCACTTAGCGAAGAATTCCCCGAGGGCGTGTGCTATTTCAAAAAAAAGAGTCCGATTTAACGAAGACGACCACGACGTCGTTTACCTCATCCAAAAGAGGAAAGAGTGATTCTTAGGAGCATGCAAGACAAAGCGCCATGCTCCCAAGATGACGGATGCTTGGCTTTTTCTCTTTTCTCTTTTTCATTTTTTTCAGTTCTTTTTTCCTTTTGTACAAAACATATTACGCAGCCAAGAACTGCGACTGGTTCAGCATGCACGTTGGAATGAAAGTAGAGACAACAAACACAATGATGAGGGTGGACTTGAGAGATGTTTGGGTTTGAGCAAAGCAGATGTACTTAGACAAAGGATATTTTTACATGTTTGACACCCGAATGCTCGCCTGTTTTGCCCCGTTTGTCTATCTAGATGCTGGTGACTGGACTTTTTTAATGATGCTATGCGTTACTTGGTACAACCATGCCGTGCCCCCTCCTTATGTGTGTATGTTTTGGTAGGAATCTAACGTGGCTAGTTGTTGGATATCTTTGATGAATGAGAATTGTAGTAGCTGAATGTTGTGTGTTATGAGTCTATTTTGAGTCTATTTTGAGGAGGCCATCGCTGGCCCATTGGCGGTCTTTCCAGGGCAAGATTTTGCCGATAATCTTTCCCTGGATTAAAGCCAGTGGCAGAGGACCGAACTGTCGTGAGTCTCGGGAGGCTGGAAGGTTATCTCCCACGATCCAGCAATGGCCCTCGGGAACCTGGAAATGATGAGTCTCTGTCTACATAGTTGTAGTAGGATTATCCATTCATACCTGAATCATCTGGTCCTCGCCCCTCTCCCCCGGCGTGCCCAGCGAGACGTAGTCGCCCGGCAGGCCAATGACTCGCTTGACGCCGTGCTGGCTGGCAAAGATGGGGATCTTGTAGAGGACGAGGTCGCCGACTTTAATGCGGCGGCCGAGGCGGGCGGTCATGTCGGCGGCGATCCAGTCGCCGTCGACGGCAAAGGTGGGCAGCATGGAGGGGCCCTGGGCGGGGGAGACTTGGAGGAGGTGGGAGAGGGTGAGGTGGGCGAGGCAGGTGATTTTGAGGGTGGAGATGGCGAAGCGGAGGGGGTGGCCGATGAGGTGGGAGATCATGATGGTGATGGTGTTTATGGTGTTTATGGTGTTTATGGTGGTGAGAGAGGATATGGAGGGGGCATTGTTTGTGAGGGGAGGAGTCAAGATTTGAGAGAAGAGCTGAGAAGATGATTGTATGATATGAGTTGAGATGAGTTGAGATGAGATGAGGCGGAGATGTTGTAAGCGAGCATGCAAGACTGAGGTTGAGATGATACGAGGCTATTCACAAGCACGAGAGCGGTTTAGGTGCTCGCTGGACCCTTTCACAGTGAGCGTCTCTTATTGGCCTGTCCAGCTTTTAGTGCTCCAGGGGTCCAGTAAGCTATGACGCTATTTTTTCCGGCTCTCTTCTATTGTCTACCTACTTGCAGACACGGACGGGCCACTATCTTCTTCCCCTCTATCGCTGGTACGCCAGTTATAGCTTTTGAGTTGGAGATTTTCTTTTGTCCTGCGGTTCCTACTCAATTGGCACGCCTCGTCGACAATGGCTGCGTCTCGCTGCATCTGCGACTCTGCGAGATTCGTCGCCTCCAGAATATCCTGCAGAGCTCCCCGCCAGAGCTTGCTACCGCACGTGTCCGCGATATCCTCCTCGCCCTCTTCCACATCCTCGTCCTTGCCATTCTGGCCCGTCCAGCGTCAATTGAGATTCTACGCCGGTGCTTCGAAGCCCTACCGAGGCGGAAACAGAGGCCCGACCAGCGCTTCTTCCGGAATCACAGACGACAAAGACCGTGGCTATGACCGGCGCTTCACGACGCAAAAGGACATTGAGCGCTCCGGCCGCGACCGTCCGCCGTGGGACCACGAAATCACCGATCCGCAGATCATGGTCATTGACAACGGCAGCGCCGAGGGGCCCCTCGCAACGCGCTACGTCCTGACCAAGCTCGAGGAGGGCGAGTCGCTGCGCATGGTGACGCCGTACGTGCCCGCCAACGCGGAGAACAACACCCCCGCGAAATACGCAGTGTGCAAGATTGTCAACAAGCGCGACGAGTACGAGCGGCTGAAGCAGCTTAAAGAAAAGAAGAAGGTTGCTGTGGCGGGGAAGCCGAAGACGAAGGAGATGGAGCTGACGTGGGCGATTGGCGGACACGATCTGAGTACCAAGTTGCGGCAGATGAGCGGGTTTTTGGCCAAGGGGATGAAGGTGGAGTTGATGATTGGGAAGAAGAAGGGCGGGAGGGCGGTGGAGGCGGAGGAGGCGAGAGAGGTGTTGAAGAAGGTGAGAGAGGAGATTGAGGGCCAGGGGGCGAGGGAGACGAAGAAGATGGAGGGGACGGTGGGGGGGACGGTGAGGTTGTATTTGGAGGGGGTGAAGAAGACTTGATTGAACGGAGGATTGTAGGATGTAGAGGGAGAGATTGGTGTATATTTTGGGGTATCCTGTATAATAGAAGCATATATATGTATATGTATGAGTGTGTACAAGTATAGAGCCTATATAGCCTTGAGCTTTGATATATCTCAGGCGGAATTCTTAACACATAAAAACAGCTTTCTAGATGAGCTGTATATTCATCTTCCAAATATGATCATGCCAGTCTTTCCATTTTAAGATGCCTGCAACGCCCAAGTCCCACGAAGAAAAGAAGAAAAAAGTCCATTCATTAGTCGCCATGATTTTGTCGCCAGTCGTAAACCCATCATAGAATCTCGTCATCGTCGTCATCCAGCATTGGTGCAGCCACCGTTGGCTGAACAGCAGCAGCAGCAGCATCAGCAGCCTTGACAGCATTCTCGCCATCCATCTCCTCGTCCGTCTCCCACTCCCTCTCCTCCTTGTCCTCCTCATCCCCCTCCTGCATCAGCACCGCAAAGGCATTCTCCTTGCTCTTCTGCGCATCTTTGTTGATGTCGTCCCACTTCTTGGCCCGCGACTGCACGACGCGCGCCCTGCTGAAGCTCTTCTCTAGCTTCTTGCTCGTGCGCTCGACGATGGCCTCGGCCATCTCGAGGCCCTTTTCCTGCCGCCGGCGGCCCTTTGCCGAGACGGCGCGGCCGCGGCGGACTTTCTTGGTGACTCCGGCGTTGTGGCGGGCGGCGAGGACGGACGGTCGGGGGGCGGCGCTGGAAGATGAGTCTGGGAGGGAGGCGTTTTTGAGAGACTTGTCGGTGTTGATGGAAGGGGATGTTGCGCGGCGGGCGGCGCGGGAGCGCCTTGAGGGGGCTGGAGTGGTGTTAGCTTTTTTTCTGTTATGGCATAGCTGTTGGATTGAATTACCTGTTTTCTGAGTCTTGGCCATGACGGTGAATAGAAATACAGGGAGGAATAGGTGGTTGTTTTGACGATTTGGAGATTTGGTGGTGTAACTTTTTTTACTTTGCGATTGAAATTTCCCATGCTGGCGGGCAATCGATAACGGATAAGGCCCCGCTAGACGGGAGGCGGCAAGTGGGGCTTTTGAGAGTGACATGCCTCGAGGTACGTACTTTTTAAAGTGCCTCGACTTCATGAGTTCCAGCATTCTGTTGACGGAGATTCAATGGACTCTTTCGGGCCAAGGTACGATATTACTGCTTCTTCTTAAAGAGTAGTACCTAATACGTAGTACTTTTATTGTTGTGTAGAGCTGTACCTCTGAATCAGGCTGTATCGCGTCGTTCCACTATAAAGCAAGCGATGGTGAGCCAAGATGGCGTCGTTCTCTCAAGGGCGAACTCAGACCTCTAGGTAGCATATAAAAGTGCTTGATAGATGGTGTCTCTCGGCCAACTTTGGTTGAACTTAATGTTATAGTCAAGTACAGGATAGTAGCGGCACTGCTTCAGCTCATATGAGTTACATGTCAGTATGTTACTTAGACAGCGTTTCAAGGGCAATTGTCAGCCTGTCTGAGCCAAACCTGTCCCTGCAGATGGGATAAGCTTTGCGCTACCAAATGGACAGCGTCTTCTGGGGAGTTGGGCGTCTTATTCGTCCAAACCCATATGCTACTGACGCAAATATCCTACTCTAAACTCAACGTGACTACATACTGCCACGTATTTAAGGCAGGGCGACTGCACCGAGGTGGTGCTGCAGTATGCGGCTTCAGGCTAGTTTGGCCACGACAGTGCAGGCAAACAGGGTCTGGTGTATTACGTGTCTCTGATCTTCGACAGCTGGTACACAAGGCATTGCTCAGATTCAATCATCGTCAGACTATCTCCTGGGCCAACTGTTCCTCTATAAATAGCCAGATGCAGCCGTACCTGGAAGCAAACCTGCTTTTTCACTCATCTTCGTCCCAAGTTTGTTAATTTATATTTACCAAGAAATTACATTACATTATATCCATATGAAAATGTCTGATGTTTTCAGTGGGAACTATAAACTTTCAAAGAGCGAAAACTATGACGAGTTCCTCTCAGCAATAGGTAAAGTTTTCAGGAATATCATGCCTGTACTGGACTTGTACTTACCCCATAGCAGGTCTTGGGATGATTAAACGCGTATTGCTACAGTCCATCTCGCCAGTAATTACCATCAACAAGGACGGAGATGAATGGCACATGGCGGCAAAAACAGCATTGAAGAATTCAGGATTCAAGTTTCAGATGGGTCAGGAATTTGATGGTACCAACTTCGTTGATGCGAAAGTCATAAACATCATAACCGAGGACGGCAACAAATGGACTCAGGTGCAGACACCGGTGGATGGCAAGCAGGTTGTCACTACTGTTTGCGAGTTTGGAGAGAAGCAGCTTACGGCTACCATGACTGTGGAGAATGTTACTGCTGTCAGGATTTATGAACGCCTCTAGAGGAATGATTCTATGTATTTGTTGTTAATATATCGTCTATGCGTCGTCCTCTTTTTTCCGTCTTAAAATATATGTCTTGTTGTGTAGAAGCTACTTTTCAACATGTCTGCAAACTGTCTATTGTGAGTGTGTGAGTGTGTGAGTGAGGTGAGGAAGGCAGCGTGCTGACTTAGCCGAAAGACCTAGATTATCGCTTTGTATCATGTCTATAACTGATCTTACACATATTATCATCCTCTTGTCCGTATTCCCACACATGCTTGTGTACAGTATTGCCCTGCGCCATGGTATGATAGAGTCGAGTGTTTGTCACCTCGTCCAACGCCCCCCCCGCGAAAAAGCACCTTAATGTCTTATACCCACTACTTATACATTTTCATCTGCCCCCGTCCACCATGAAAAAGATGTATCTGGCTGTATGGCCGCCATATTCCAGTATGCCTGCAGATTGTCCATTGCCATCAAGTTGAGGGTATCACTTCCGCAAGATACATCTTGAAGACTCGGCTCTGGAATCGACGGTGTTTCTGGGCTTGAAGATGTCTGATGAAATGATGGTTTGACTGGCTTAGTATTATTGTTGTTATTTCCCATAGGCAGCCCCAAGACTTCGCAGGCAATGGCTTGAACTTCGTGCAGGTTGCTCCCGGCCTGGGGCCACACATTGGCCATTGCCTTGTGACATCCGATGCTCATGCGGATCTGGTCTCGGGCTACGGCGAGTTTCTGGCCACGGAGAGTGTATCGACAGGCGGCGAGAAGAGAGAGCGTTCCTGTGGTGAGCATGCAGACGACGAATGGCGTGTGGCTGCATGGCTTCGTGGGTAAGGCGAGGAGGCCGATTTGCGCCTCGGCTGCGCGGATGCACTTGATGGTGTGGATGCTTTTGAGCTCATTGCTGGGATCGGAGTGAGATCCTGTTGCTGAGGGCGCGGAGCAGCTTGAGATGCATTCTAGGGGATCGAATGCGCAGTTTGAGAATGGTCTGTGGAGTCCTACGGTTGTTCTTAGATGGTAGCATCATGTTAGCAAAAGGCTGTGAATAGACAGGCAGCATATACTAACGCATGGAGAGCCATCATGGCTTGGAATAACAGCTCATCAATCTGGCCGTCTGCCGAGAAAATGTCTCTTTTTGACTCTGGCAAAAGGAGAAGCCACCCTTCGATGATGGAATCAACGGATTCCAACACTCTAGGTGAAGAGTCACCAGCATCAAGCGAGTTCTTTTCCAGTGAGAGAGCTCTGAACATGGCATCAGCCATACCGCGGACGCCTCCGATGAGATAGGAAAAGGACGAAAAGACTGTGTCTTCCGAAAGAAATTCCCGAGAGTCGAATTCTTGCCATGTCCTTGGGCGGGGAATAGTCTGAGGTGCAATAGTTAGCAGTTGGATTTATGTGTAAGTACGACGATGATTCCTTGTCCTTACCCCACGCTCGTAATCCTCTTCTTCACAGGGCAAGTCTGTGGTTGCTTCGATGTGATACAATGGAAAGTCGGCGGTGCGCCTGATGGCAGAATAAAATGCGTCGACGATGTAAACTTGCCACCAGGTCCGCCGCAATGATTCTTCCAGGACAGAGTCGCCGTTGCCGTGGTCTACTGCGAATTCGCGGTGGTGCATGCCCAGGTCGAGCGCGAGTTGTCGAGCTATGCCCATGTGTATACGTGATTTGGGGACATTTCCGCGCCAGTACAAGCAGATGGAGTAAATGAGATGGCACTGGACCATGAAGAAGTTCATCGACGTCGTCGGCGTGTGGGCAAGCGTCGAGGATACCAATTCTTCCAATTGAGAGCACTTTGGGCGCAGTGAAAGTTTTTGGGAGCTTAGATAGATGCTGCCGACGAAGCGCATCAAGTATACCAGCGGCTTCAGCTCATCTTGCCGGGTCGGATCCCGTAAGTACTGCTCGAAGAATCTCCGGGGAAGCACACAGGGGTGATAGCGGTGGAAACAGTTGTAATAGGCGTTGATGAAGGCGTCTTTGGTGATGTCAATGGATTGCAGGTCTGAGGTGGGAAGGACGACGCTGGATGTCGACCATGAATCATCTGGAGGAGTGAAAAGGCTGGGATCCAATGGCTGATTCCTCATCAAGCTATCCCCAAGTACATCCAACGAAGCCTGTGAATCATCCCTACTTGTCAAAACATCAGGCGTGCTGCTAGTCCCGTCAACGCTACCGACTGGAGAGAGATGGCCGCCGTTCTTGGCTGCGGCAATTTGACTGCGGCGAGCTGCCAGCGCTGCTCTGTCAAGGCCTCCTCGTCTCGACTTGGTGTAGCTGCACTCCTTGTTCTCTTCAACGCAGCGATTGCACCGCGGCTTCTTTGCATCGCAGCGCACATGGCGGCTCCGGCAGGGCAGGCAGGCCAGCGATACGCGGGATCCGGAGCCTCCTTTGGGGGAGCCAGTCTTGCCTGACGACCGCTGTGAGGCCTCTGCATCTGGATCTATCTCCTTGTCTCGTGGCATGATCACCGACAGGCTGAGTTGGTGGTGGAGCGTGATGTGATTTGCTGGCGGCAATTTGATGCCGTTCAACACAACTGGATCGAGGGGCTGGCAATCAAAAACGGGCGGATATCCACGATAATGCGGGCAGACACCCACTTAGCAGAGAGAAAGGCAATGTGTTTGCCAGTCCTGGAGCTGTCAGAGGTACAATGCGGATATGAAGAGGGTGGTTAGCGACTTTGCGGACTCGGGGTCCAGCACGTTGTATACCGCTTTGAGACGGCCGGGTATCCGATCCGGGTATCCGCCGCCGCCGGCTACCCGCGAGTGATTCAAGCTTATATCAACCTTTTTTTCTTTTTCTCTCTGCCGGAGATGCACAATCAGGACTAATGTTTCAAAAGGCGAGAAACTTCGAGGCGGACGGAATGTATAGAGAAGATTTCGTGCTGGAATTGGAAACTGGTTGATGGAAAGCGGAATCGGAAGCTTTCGCTGCAATGTTTTCAGCGCAGTGGCTGTCGGCGTGGAGTTGAGGTGATAAAGACGCATACTGTGCGCAGCTGATGTCCTACACTGAGTCACAGATCGGGTGAAACGGGATGTAAAGCTATAAGATTTCCTCAGATTTTTTATCAGCGCCGAGAGTAATATGTTCCATTCATAGCTACAACTGCATGTTGGAGGATATCTGGCTCTATAGTATTGTTGGCCGACCCGAACAGGATGCGAGTCGACCGAGTGAGTTGAGAAGACTTGCCGCATCTAACAATATGCCCACAACCTAGAAAGCTACTGGAAAAAATCCAGAGAGTCATAAGAGACTAGTAGTACTAGCCGTTTACTTCACCCTATTCATATTTACCCTTCTACTTAATGACATCGTATGGTGACACTCCGCTTAATAATAAGTTCGTAGCTGCCTTTAACAACTTACGGCAACGCCCTTCACTTTGATCCCTGTAGTCCATATTTTCGCCTGTCTGCCACCGTCGTTGATCAAGCGATAACCGCCTCAGCCGGCTTATTAACGTCGGCACTCCTGTTGCACGAAGAGCGATTCAGGGTGCTCGGGAACCGATTCCCGACGCTGCAAAGTTTGCTAGATCGCCCTTATGTAATACTGGACGGCCCGAGGAACCTTAACTCTTATTAGTCTTATCAATAGCATTTCCAGTGAGAAACACCAAGACATCCGTATAGGGCATATAATCACATCCTTCCGCAAGAACAAGCACTGAACATTTTCTGTTCTTGAAGCCTCTCTCGAAGGCAACCATGCACTATGGGTCCTTTTCTACACTGATACCGGGCTTCGGGCCCATAGTTTGGCAACTATAGCAACCCGCTCGGGTATCCGTTTAGCTTGGGGGACTACAGGCGCCGAAACGGCAAAGCGATTTCAATCGCGCAATTGTCCGTTTATCGAAATGTTTCGGGATGTCTTTGAAATCATGTTTCTTTCATATTTCAGGCTGATTTGCAGTGGGACAAGATTTCTTCCTTTAAAAAGGGCTGGCTAGAGCTCTTTTTCGACAACGACCTTGAGCAGTAAAATCAACAACATCAACTCATCAATCTGAATATAGCTTCTCAGCTCATTCGTTTTCATCTGCTCAACAGCGCACTCGTTCTTATACACTTAAAAATGGCTCAAAAGATTGTCATCGTTGGCTCTGGTTTCTCCGGCCTTTTCAGCGCCTTATCCGCCAGAGGACTCATCGGACAAAACAAGGACCGCGTTAGCAATGGCATCGAGGTTATCATGGTTGCCCCTGAGCCTAAGCTCGTCGTCAAGCCACGTCTTTACGAGGCCAACGCTGCTAGCATGTACGCGCCGCTAGAAGAACTTTTGCACGCTACGGGCGTCCGTTTCACTCGAGGAGTCGTCGATGTGATCCGGACCAAGGATAAGCAAGTAGAAGTGGTCAGTCCTACAGGTGAACGCTCGAATCTTTCATACGATAGACTGGTTCTGGCTGCTGGCAGTCGACTGGTGAAGCCAAACGTCTCTGGTTTGAGGGAGCACGCGTTTACTATTGATAACATCGCCGATGCGGCAGACTTGGAGGCTCACCTCAAACGCTTGGCTTCTCTGCCCTCGACTCCAGAACGCAATACTGTTGTTGTGTGCGGTGGCGGATTCACTGGTATCGAGCTTGCCACGGAGCTGCCTCGGCGCTTACGGTCTGTTTTCGGCATGCTGGAGACAGTAAGGGTTGTTGTTATTGAAAAGGCAGATGTAATTGGACCTGACCTGGGAGAGGGTCCTCGTCCGGTCATCACTCAGGCCCTCGGCGATCTCCAAGTTGAAACTAGGCTTGGCACTGCTGTTGGCTCGATTGATGCCAACGGTGTTGTCACCTCTTCCGGAGAACGTATCGACGCCCTCACCGTTGTTTGGACTGCTGGCGTGGAGGCCACACCGTTGACGAAGCAGATTCCTGGCGAGACGGACGATCGAGGACGGTTGATTGTCGACCGTGACCTTCGTGTTCCGTCAAGTCCCGATGTGTTTGCCACTGGTGATGCGGCTTGCGCCCAGACAGACGACGAGGGCAACTTTACGCTGATGTCGTGCCAGCATGCAATGCCTCTTGGCCGCTCGTGCGGTTACAATGTTGCTGCTGACCTTCTCAAACTGCCCAACCAGCCGTATCACCAGCCCTCGTATGGAACGTGTCTCGATCTTGGTGGCTGGGGAGCCGTCGTGTGCAATGGATGGGATCGAAATATCATAAAGTCGGCTGGACCGGCAAAGGAAATCAAGACCTGGATCAATGGCTGCGTCATCTATCCTCCCAAGGCAAACGCAAAGGAGGCATTCGAGGCGGCCGACCCTGTGCTTAACCAAGTTGCGGTGCTGGTATGAGCTGTTTGGATGTTCTTGTTGATTGCCTATGATGGTTGGTCTTCATAGTGGGTAGAGATTAGAACTCAAGAATATAGAGCGTGTCTAGAAACAAGGTAGAGCAAGAAAGACTAGAGTCAAGCCAATGGATTCGATTCTCACATACACCTTGCATCTTCACTGCTACATAAGGCGTGTGTAGGAAATATAGGACCGAGAGATCAGTAACTCCAAATATGAAAAAGTAATATTTCCCCGTCTTTCATCATAGCCGCGCGGGAGGAAGAGTAGAATATGCTAGTTTGGCTATAGTCAACGAGAATAGCTGCTAGAGCTAACCCCGCGTGCACCAAAACCGACTTACAAAGAAGAACAATCGCCTTTATAGGCTAAATATGATTTCAAATAGTAACTCATACCCTGAGCGTGACCAGGAAAAGTAAAAAGCGTCTGGGGCATTCACATTCACCTGGCTCTATTCGTTGTCTTACATGACCTGTGGTGCAGCCCCTTTTCTTTGGCAGCATTCGTATGGATCGATTCAAGGCCATTTTCCGTTTTTGGATAATCCCCTTAAAATCATAGGTGCGCCGTTTCGATATGACAATGATAATTATGTAGGTATTATTGTGGTATAAGTCGGGAGGTCCAATAAGAGGTTGTCGAGATAGCCGAAGCGGATCAAGAAGTGGATTTTTTCGGGGTTTTGCGGTAAATTCGAGGGATTGATCTGGCCGCAATACTCCGCGGAGAATCTGCCGCTGGCGAAAAGCCACGGGAATGTCCGCCATGGCCTTGTGGGCATGATGCTATTTCACTTACAATGGGAAAACCCCATAGAAAAAGTAGAAAAATATTGAATTTGTCATCAGTTACAGTTGGTTATGTATAAGAGATACAAGTGACCTATAGATCCGGTGAACGGCGCATGTATATAAGGCCCTGGGCATCCTTGACGTGAATGATAATGAAGGATCCAAGCGTACTTTGAACAAAGGAAAAAAAAAAAGAAGGAGAAAGAAAAATCATCCAGATAAAATCGCCTGAAATCGACAACATGACTGTCACAGATCCTCTTCACGGTCTTCCAGATGACTACGTCGTCACATCTCAAGCTTTCACCAAACAAGTCTACCGAGACGTATATCCCGCCATCGATCCATCAAATCCCGCCTTATCACAGAAGGGAAAAGTTGTAATCATCACAGGCGCAAGCAAGGGCATAGGAAGAAAGGTATATTAGCCACATCACGACTATCAGAAAGACATACTCATCTTGTGTTTCAGGGATTTGCCCGTTCCTTTGCCATCGCTGGAGCCAAAGGAATTGTGCTGGTTGCTCGTAGCCTCAGTCAGCTGCAAGAAGCCGCTGAGGAATTGGGAAAAGAATTTCCCAAAACTCAATTCCTGCCTCTTGCGTGCGATGTTCGAAGTGAGACATCTGTCCAGGCGGTGTTTGAGCAGATTCGAGCTACTTTTGGAACTGCTGATGTGCTGGTGAACAATGCGGGCGCCAGTGACGATGGCCAGCCGCTACGCTCTGTCTCGGCAGCCGCCGTTTGGGAGCCTTTTGTAAGGATAAAAGAGACTGCATATTGGTTTTATGATGCTAACGTCTTTGTAGGAGATCAACTTGAAGGGTTCTCTCCTCATGGTCCATGAATTCCTCAACCTTATTGGTACCTCTAACGAAGCCACCGTTATCAACGTCTCCTCTGCAATGGGCTTCATCGTCATGCCAGGAAAGACCAGTTACTGCCTATCGAAACTTGCCCTGACGCAGCTCTCTCAGTTCATTGCCATGGAGAATCCCAATGTGCGAGCCGTCAGTATTCATCCGGGAACCATCATGACGAACATAACCCCCGATTGGCTGGCCCGGTTTTCTAGAGATACGCCGGCATTGGCTGCTGGCTGCGCGCTTTGGCTGACGACCAAGGAAGCTGCTTTCTTGAATGGACGATATGTCAGCGCCAATTGGTCTGTTGAGGAGCTTGCGCAGCGTTCGGCGGAGATTATCAAGGGGAAGAAGCTGTTGGTACAGCATACTGGAGAGCTTGCGTATTAGTAGCTGGCGAGTCATTAGTGAATTTTACATGCAGATAGTCATAAATCTATGCGCCAAGTGTCAAGAAAAATGAATACAAACACTCCCACAATATCTAAGCGGTATACTACCTACGTAAGAAGAGTATGTGCCATGATACATGTATGTTTCTTGTCCTGAGAGGACACTAATCGCAGAGTACACCGCATGCACATGATTCAGATCTAATTACGTGCAAATATGCATACGTCAGTCATTGGCAACTGATACATACATGCTACTATTTCCTTGGAATTTGCAGCGCCCTAGATATAGATGCACCAGGTTGTCATTCCTTTAAGTTACGTATAGGTAGCATCCGAACTGGAAATGTGTGACCTGCGGACAGGGATTGAAGCGCCCCCAGCCAATCACGGCGCTCAGAGTGAGACAAAGCGTATAGAGCAGCAGGAAATGAGTTTCAATAAACGGCAGTCTCCCGCGTCTCCTATTCTGGTGGCTTTTTCTTTTTCCTTTTCTCTTTATTTTTGGTTATTTTGGTATAACTGAAGCGTGTTTCTCGTGGTTGTCATCATTGGGACGACATCGATAAATACCTCGGATGGGGGCGCGGGGCCGGCTTGGAAAGCAGATCGATCCCCAATTATATCGCCTTTAAGCTTTTGGCTGCCCAAGAGCAACGCAAAAGCAGCATCAACCTTACAATGAAGAATCTCTTCACCGTCGTCGTTGCAGGCTCTCAGTATTTGCTGCATCCTCAAAAATTGGTACGATAAGACGCGTCGATTGCAAGCTGCGAGAGCTCCGTGCGTGCTAACATTGAGTAAATCTATCTAGGGCACGATTGAGCAGACAATCAACCCTGATGCGCTTATTCCAGTCAGTCTCCTCACGACCAGCGAGATCAATGGCGATGTTGACGGCATTTTGGATCTGTTTGCAACGGTAGATGACGTTTTCCAGTCTGATTTCGGCGGCATTCTGGTAGAAAAGCCAGACAAGGACACCACCATCGGCCTCGTTCAGAATATCGGTCCCCGGAGCAGCAGGACCGTGGTCAGGTTGCAGCAAATCGAGGCTGATTACAAAGCCGAGGCTGATGAAGGTGGTTTTGGAGATTTGCCGTCTGGTCCTTATTTTCTTCACGGGCCGAACCTTTACCAGGCATGGAGACTCTATGATGACGTCTTGGATGCATTTACCTTTGGCGTGATTCCCAATAGTATAAACAACACTGAAGAAGGGTATGTTGCTCTACCTCGTGCCCAGCCGATTGGCTATGTGATCTAATGTGAGAATTCAGCTATGAAGCGCTGTCGTCTCTCTCAGACAATGGATCGTTCAAGTCCATTGCCGTACCATCTCGTCTCTACCACCCGGCGCCGTCTATTCGCAAACCATTGTCTGGAGTCCGAATATCCATCGCCGATGCCGCGTCACTCAAAGGTGTTCGCACGACCTTGTCGAGCCGGGCCTGGACTGAGCTGCACGATACTGAAGCAACAGAGACGGCAAAAGTTGTCGAACGCCTAATTGACTTGGGTGCCATCATTGTAGGCAAAACCAAATCATCACAATTTGACTCTGGCCGAGAATGGGTCGATGTCGAAGCTCCATGGAATCCGAGGGGTGATGGATATCAAGACTCGGGTGGAAGCGCAGCCGGTGCTGGAGCCAGCGTGAGCGGCTACGACTGGATGGAGCATGCTATAGCGCAAGATGGTGAGCAGATCAGGCTATTCTTATTTTGAAGTTGGAGAATAAGTATTGTACTAACTGTCTAGGCTTTGATGGAATCCGTGAGCAAGCGCGTGTCCATGGTGTATATTCGATTCGACCCTCAGCCGGCGCTATACCTCTGGATGGATGGCAGGTTGATTCCCAGTAAGTCCAATCAAAATATCAGTCGAGAAGCTACGAAGATGAATTGTATACTTATGTATATACAGGAATTACTCTGCGGCGGGCTTCTCGAGTCGCAGCCTCAAGGACTTACTCAAAGTTGTTCAGGCAGCATCAAACATGACAGCTGATAACGGCGCATTTCCCAAACGCATCATCTATCCTTTGGATTTTGCTTCCATTTTTGAAGAAACTCAGGGCCTAACAGACAAATTTGTCGCTACGTTGGAGGAATTCCTTGGCATTCAAGCTGACAAGATAAGCCTGTCGCACATTTGGGATTCCAAGCCGCCAAGCGAGGTCGATGGACAGAGCCTGGAAGAATATATGAGGCAGGTGAGTGTATTCATGCTAGGCATCTCCTACAATGCTAGTATCGGCATTACTAAATATGACTCAGGCTCCCTTCAGCTCCTTTTGTGCCGACTTTTACCACCAGTATGATGATTTTCGCCAAAGGTACAAGGAGAAATTCGGGCATGCGCCTTATGTCGAAGCAACTCCCCGTTTCAGATGGTATGTCTTCCACGGGGCCAGATCGGACACCTGCCCTGCAGCCCAGCAGTTCGTCTGATAAGCCGCGCAGCAAGCCAAGATGCATATGCTGAATAGGGAATAACCATTGATTAGGAATATCGGCGAAAACGAGTCCGCAGAAGACGGCAAACGCCACCGCGAGCGAATCGAAGTCTTCAAAACGTGGTTCGGCCAGAACGTCATGCCGACCCTCCAAAACTCCGACAGCATCATGATCCTCCCTTTCGGGCCTCACCATACAGTGCATTACCGCGACGACCTACCACAGTGTGTTGACAATTATCCATTGCATGAAGGATTCCAGTGCATGCAGCTAATGTAGTGCAGAACACCGAGCAGAATCGATGGCATTGGGCCTGGGGCACTCGCTCCTCTTCTGGGACTGCCGCATCTTATCGTGCCTTGTGAGCTTCCTCTTCCCTCTTTGCTGACGCATTTGCTTGCCACCCCCTTCACTTATTCTCCCTTTTCATCTCCTTTTTCATATTTGCCGAAGAATCATGAATCATTCGAATGGGCTAACCAAGAACAACGACAAACAGTCGCACAGACGACATATCAATCGCGAGTAACCGCTAGGACAGAGAGCCGTCCCTTTAGTGGCTCCGTCATGGGCCCTTCCGGAAGCGACATGATGCTCATTCAGCTGGTCAAGGCGGCGTTTGAGCATGCAAAGTGGCGGTCACAGGTCGATGCCGGGCGCCTGGCTTTTCCAGAAGGCTCTAATGCGGCGCGAAGCAATAGATAAAGGGTCGAGCCGAGTCGAATCGTGTCCAGGTGTCATGGGTTACGGCGCTGATGGCGTTATGCTAGCTTATACTAGTGTACTCGTAGAACACGATGCTGGGACAGGCAGATCGGAAGAGGTCTTTGAGGCGCTCAGCTGCCCTCGATTGATGCTACAGGGGCTTCGGATGTCTTGCCTCATCGTCGCGATTCCTAGCATGCGGGGACAATGAGGCTGCCGCGTTACTGCATTCGATCCACGACCGGGCGCCACACTTAGTGGTTAAATGCGCGTCTCTCCACCCTTGTGTGCCACTTGCTGTGCGTCTCCCAGGCCTATCAGGCGTGGTATAAGCAGCATCGCGTTTTCCCCCGAGCCGGCGCCCTACAGGAACGCACAGCACAGCCCGCAAAGACGTGCGGAGAAGCAGACAATAGGGCCACGGGCAACGAGACATCCGAAACTCGGGCGTTGGATTCGTGCCACCGTTACGCAGGACTAACTAACTGGCCTCTTTTCTTTGAGACGTCGATAACGACGATCGGCCGCACCCGACTAAGAGCTGCGGAAACTGGGGCTTGAGCCGCGGGCGGCTCCCAGACCCTGTCAGAAGAGCGTGGTTGCATTGCATTGGATTGCATGAGCAAGGATGGCGCCAGGCAAACTGGCCTTCGGACGCTCTCCGGGGGTCGAGTCCGATGACCCTGCTTGTTTCGTTTCTTTCGGCGTACTTGTACTGTAGGTGTATGAATGCGTTGGGAGGAAGCTAGAATGATGTGCTGGAATTCGGACTTGTAATTCTCTCACGATGAAGGCCAGGTCGAGCACGATAAATTGCAGGCATTGGCCGGTTGCCATGCGGCGGTTTAGCCAGATGCTGTCTCTTGCGTCTGTTAGTGCTCGCGCGGAGTCTCACAGCGTGTCTTTCGGCGTCTAATTCACGCACCATTGGCTTGGTGTTGGATGAGTGATTCAAGTATATATATATACAGCAATCATTCACGACAAGTACGCCGTTGAATATATTTCTGACACTGTTCCACACAATTACCATTATTTCTGCTGTCATTCTTCATTCTTATTTACACAAAGAGTCAATTAGGTGTATATCAGCATCAACGCCACAACCGTAGCCATGGCGGTCGGATCTGCGAGGGACAAGTTCCCCAACGACTTACTTCTGGTGCAGTTCCTGCGATCAGCCAAGAGATGCGCCGGCCAGGGGCCTTACATCTACGATCACTTTGGCTTTGAGAAGACGCTTGAGGAGCTCATTGCAGATATCCTGCGAACGCGCGACCTCATGCGCCAGCAGTTACCGGCGTCTGCATTCAGCGACCGAGGCATCTTTGACGACAAGAGGCCGTATGTTGCGGTGCTGACAAGGAGCGGCTATGAGTTTATCGTGGCCTTTTTTGCGACTCGAGTGCTGGGAGGAGCGGCGATGCCATTTGGTGCGTGTAAAGCGCATAGCATACTATGTAAATCCAGCTAATTTGAGGACATCTAGGCTCTGGTATCCTCCCCGAAGAGGCGCAACATTTCGTCGACAACGCAGAGTCACTCTGCATCCTGGCTGGCAAAGACTGCTACGAAAAGGCAGAGCGAATTGCGTCCCTCTCCGGCATCCCAACGGGTCTCAAGCCCGTAGCCATCCCCATCTCATGCAATGCCGAGCCCGTAGGCGCAATCAACATCACGATTGATGAGACGCTTAACATGGACCCTCGTGGCCCGGGCCTGGTCATTTTCACGTCTGGCACGACCGGACCGCCAAAAGGTGCTGTTCTTCCGCGAATATGCATGGTGTTTCAGCCAGATGCGCCTCCAAACTGCCAGACGGTATGCTTTCGACCGCCTCACTGGCTTGGTGGCGCAATCAGCCTGGTCGAGCCCATGCTCACCGGCAAGAAGCTTCACATCCTCAAGGAGCGGGCTGGAGTAGGACGCATCTGGGAAGTCCTGCGCAGTCACCACATCACTGGAACGGGATTCACGCCGGGCATCTTGCGCGAGATGAAGGAGTGGCTGGAGGCACAGAGCGAGGATGAGCAGGAGGAGTATATCAAAGCGTTTCGCAATATCAGCGTCATTCATTGCGCCGGCGCCATGGTCTCGCCGTCAGTGTTGAAGTTTTGGAAGAACAGAACCGGATTGCCGTTTAATAATGTTTACGGATCGACAGAGGTTGGCGGCCTGGCGACATACAAGCTTCTTGACGGTACAGAACGGTCGGTACGTTTTCACCCTTTTGTTCCAACTTTGCTGTTAAATATACAAAAAAAGAGTCTAACATGACGGTATTCAGGATGCAATTGGCGCTGCGTTTCCCGGCATTGAAGTCAAGCTGACAGATGGCGATCACGGAGAAATCTGTGTCAGGAGCCCATTCATGCTTACGCAGTAAGTTCTGGGTAATAGCAGTGCGATTGTGAAAGTGGGATAATACTAATGGATCTATCAAAAGCTACATTGGAGACAAAGAAAAATCAAAAGCCGCTTTCGATGCCGAAGGGTATTTTAAGACGGGAGACTTTGCGGAATTGAAGAATGGCGAATTCATCTTCTCTGGCCGCGCCAATGCTGACTGTGAGTCTTTTGCTTGCAACGTCCTCCTTCTTCTCCTCCAATCTTCAACTTCGTGACGTCGCATTGCCTGGGATGCTGATTAGTGCTCCAGATATCTTGTTTCGACACTACCGAATACCGAGTGTCCAAGTCGAGGTTGTACTTACAGCTCTCCCCTACGTAACCGAAGCCTGCGTTTTGGGCGTGCCAGATAATGAAGCCAAGGAAATATGCGCCGCCGTCGTCCGTCTCACTCCAGAGCAAGAGCAGCTACAGAGCAGGCATTCTGAGCAGATAATTAACCTCGCACGCCTCCGAAAAGACATGAACGAAGCACTACCGAAATACATGCTCCCTGTGTTGGTGAAGATTCTTGGTCCCGGGGAAGAGATGCCGCAGACGGTTTCGCAAAAGCCTATCAAGAGTCAGATCATCAAGAAATATTTTGGCGTGGACAGGTCGTGGTCTGCTGAGAAGTCTGTTCGTGGGGTGGAGTATTGGGGAAGCATGCCTGCACCGGTAGAGGCGGACACGAAGTTGTGGGATTGGCTTGGCTTACAAAGGGCTGATTTTAAGGGTGAAGCTTGAGGGTATTCAAAACAAAGGAAAGGGGGGTATTGAGCCGATCATATGTGGTCCAGCCATTATGACGGTGAGAGCTGAAGCTGCGGTGGAAGGGTGGATAGCTTGTGTGTCGAATTGTTGGTATATGGGATTGGATCAAAGGCGCATTGGCGGTATACTATAGCAACATTGGTTAATTAGTTTCTCTGATAGGCAGATACTGCTTTTAAATCATGATACGATGACACTCATACTTGATCAGGGACGTGGGATATTCTCCTGGCTATTCGGAATGATTTCCATCGTTCTTCTATAGGCGATGGTTCTTGTCGCTCCTCCGCTGGGCTTTCTGTTCCCAGTCCCATGTTTCATGACGTTGGGGGGTTTTCAAGTACTCTTTCAGGGAGTAGCTTGGTTCCCTCTTCTTAGAGCTGCATGGTTTCATCAACACTGTTCCCTTTTCTTTATCTCGTCGTATCATATAGCTTACCTGGATGATGATTCTCCATGTTGTCTACCGCCCGAGCTGCTGCCGCCAGTCGGCTTCTTGTAGCTTTTGCTTGAGTAACCTTTCTTGTCCATGCTTGCTGCTGTTGCGTGACTGTTGTATAGGAGAGAGTGAAAGTGCAAACTGTAAGGATGTTTCTCGAGCCACTCCACGAAAATGCTTTTCTTTTATAGCTACAAGCTAGAATGATCGCCATGATCCGAATGGATTGTCTCGCCCTGCCTGGCAGCCAGGTGGGTGAGGCCTCTTCATTAGAGCAGATAGACCCCTGGATGATACTTCACTTAATTTGCACTAGGTGATGCGTTTTGGCGAAAATTCATTAAATCTCTTTCGAGTTCATGCTTGTGATGTAGCAAATCTACAGAATCTGAAGAGAAACGAAGGGCTTGGCAGGCACTGCCCCTGGCATCTCGTGGCGGGGCTGCTTACTTCGTCTGTAAGACAGAGCTGCGCCTATGCTTTGCTCCAATCTGCAATAAAATATACGTGTGGACCACGACCTAGATCATATTTCAGGGCAAGAGACAATGATTTTTTTTTCCTGTCCCACTGTTGATGAGGATAATGATGCTCGCCGGTAACCAGTGGTTGGAGATTAGATATAGCTGGTAGAAGTGATTGGGCACAATCGACATATGTAAGCTGACTTATACATGAGCCGCAACCTACTCCAACTATTTCTGTGCGGTTCAGTTACTGGTGGCTGCATGTGAAGCGGTTTATTGCGACGCCCTCACATGAAAAATCCCCGACTAGAAATAAAAATGCCAAAACTACAACTACGAGGCATTCAGGTAAAAAATAGCGGAACACACTTGCCGGATCTCTCGACACATTTTCCGTCGGTGCCTGATTTTCAGTTTCTGGTGGCGTGGGAGCCTTGAGGCTGATTAGTAGGCAAAACGGGCTACGTGCTTGAAGGGGGCCCGTTTTGTTCTCGCCTTGGATCCGAATTTGACGTTTGGGCTTGGTCTGCCTGCTATTGTGGCTTGTTCCTGGTGCCTCGATTTTTTTTCAACTACGTATTGTCGACGGACGCCCCTGCTGTCTAATATGGTGATTGTATGACTGTCCTGTATGACGAGCTGATATGGTTAGGCTTGTGCCTGGTGGTGGCAGCCACCGGATATAAAACGTGAGGCCATATGGTTTTGAGTGGTAAAATGCAACACATTTTATCATGTCACAAATGACAGGCAGATCGATCTTTAGTTTTAAATGGCGAAGCCAACCTACAATGTATTGTTGACTAACGTGACGGGGAAAGGCTAGATTAACTGAGTAAATATCTTCAAATAGTTTCCGATTGATGCTCAAGATATTACACTCATGTGCATAGTTACATAATGCCACTTTTTAGAAAATATATTATTCACATATGTTGCTCTTGCATTTATTCGTATCAACATAGATCGAGATCTAGAGGCAGTCAAAGTTCAAATCTTGTATTTATGCATAGGCCAAGTCTAGATCATATGCTGTACTATCCAGCCGGGGAATATCATTTGCGCGATGACGGTGCTTTAGGATCCTTCACCACCATGGATGTATATGTCCAGTCTTTGTTGCTGATTGGAAGAAATAGATGGGTGCCCTCATTCTGAGTCATAAAGTCCTCTCTATAATAATAGGGCGACCTGATGATCTCAATATCACCACTCTTACTATCCCACTGGTACCCCCAGTTCCAATTTCTCCGGTCGGATTTGATAAAGTCCAAAACATCCTCTTGTTTGACAGCTCTCGCGACCCATTCAAGACTACAGACTTTCCAGTTGTGCATAGTCACTACCGGAGTGCCGTGATCGTCGTCCAAGTTGAGAACTGCAATGTTGGTGCTCAGCTGAGTGCTGGTTCCCTGGACCAGTGACATGACGGTATGCTTAATAACCTTGTTATCGTTCTTTGGGTCGAATAATCCAAACCCAAAACGAGTGATAGGATCGGCCCCTTTCCCGCCTTGGTCTCTTTTTGCTTCATAGAACTTCAGAAACTTTCCATTGTTATCGAACCAAACGAATGAGCCCGTAGAAGGAAGCCCATGGCTGGGGAGCCCTGAGCCACCCTCATTATTACCCGTGGGAACTAACCCAGGTAATTTGATATAGCGGTAAAGATTCATAGTTTGAGGCTCAGCGAACTGGAAAGAAAACATATCTTCCACCTGCCATGATCCTTGCGAAGACGGGGAGCTATTGACAATATTTGTGACCCTAATTATGCCAACTCCGGCAGATGGCCGAAAATATTTCGTAATCTTCAACACATGCCCTTCCATATACGCTCGGTACATGAGGATCTCATTACCGCCACTTCCAACAGCGCGTCGGCAAATGCGATCTCTCGGGTAGAGCACCTTGGTAATGGACTTGCCAGGATCTTCGTGAAAATTGTCATGCCCCGATTTGCCGGCAAGAAGCAGTCCTATAATACCAATTGCCCATCCTACTGAGCTCAGAGATGGCGGTGCAGCACAAGCGGCAACTCCCAGGAGAGAGACAAAGAGTCCTGCAGCCGCCATGCCTTTGTTGTACGTGTCATTTGCTGCACCACTCTCTTGGATGGTAACAGTGACAAGTGACGGCGCAATGCCTTTGTCGTTGTCAGCAGTATCGTTCCACACTCGTGTGTGGCGAGCTTCAGCAGATCGGCGCACGATGGTGTGCATGGAGTTGTTGTATTTGCCGATAGAAGGATAGCTCTGCGTTGTTTGCCAAGCTGGCTCATCGGATTTCTCATCAACCTTGGCATTAGCCGCAGCCTCAGACTTAGTAGTAGACTGATTACCAGACTGAGGCCGAATTTGCAGTAGCAACTCTGGCGGAGAACGACGCGGGCGTCTCACCATCCCATGGAAATGATGTTGACGGCTGTTCAAGCTGAAGCAGAGATTTTCATCATGATCGGGAATGGTGTCCTTGTCTTTGCTTTGGCAAGTTTGAACTCTTGGGGGTATCTCGGCCATGGCAACCTCTGCACCCCATTCAATCAGAACGCTGATTGGCTTTTGGGATCCCTTTTCATCTTTCTCGCAGAGAACCAGAGCAATAAGGTTCTCACGGCCCTTGTTCTGGACGATGACGGGCCCGCCAAAGATGGATGCCTCAGATTGGGGAGAGGGAGTCTTGAACGGGTCGCCAAGAGCCAAGGTCAGGCTTATGTGCTGAATTTGGCCGCCATGAGTAGGCTGGAAGCTGAGAGACGCAGTTTTATGATCTCCGGTGAAGTCTAGTTCTAAGTTGGATGCGGCCGACTTGAACTTGGTGTTCTTCTCGTCGTTCTTCTCTAGAATCGCTTCAAAGTTTCCAAAATTGGGGGGTTCTCTGCTCGCAGCTTTTGAACTGGTTGATGCGGTGGTGGCTTTGCGCCATAACACAATGCAAGGCGCTCCAGCCTCGGCCTTTGTTGGAAGAATGGCCGTGACCGATTCAACTCCATCAGGGTTGGCCTTTGGCTGTCCTTGGTAAACGAGCATGATGGCGAGGAGCTGCCTTTCCGCAAATCAAGACTAGTTTAAATGAGAAATATCAATATTTTCCTAGAATGGCCTTGGTACTGATGGGCCAACCTTCATACAATTCTTACAATGGATTTCTTGAAGCCATGAAAGAGGTGCAGCTTCCTTTTATAAAAAATTACGCCAGCTTCAGCTCGTCGCTTTGCCTTAGCTAGCCACAAATTCTTATGGGCGCATTCTCAGCTGCCTCCACGAGCAACATTGCAGCTGAGACGCGAAAAAATTTTTAAGAAAAGATTTTCTTTTTCTTTGTGTAATTGATGGTATTGCTGCAGCGGCGGCCGATTAGCTAGCCTTTGCCCTAATGATAGAACTGTCTAACAAGACACTGACTCCAATTAGTAGCTACAAAGGGCACAATATGCGGATGATAAGTATAATGACGTATAAGCTAAGGCCCATTTCATACAATGTCAGCTGATCAACGTGTTGACGATGTGCATCTTTACAGCGTGTATAGAGGCTAAGTGCAGGGATTGTTGTAAACATCAGCTTTGGGCGATTATAGCCATTTGGATCGCAGGACGGGTTGAAAGCATTAGCTTGTGGCTTGTATTCGTGAATCTGAATCTTTTGTAAACCCAATAGAGGCAGAAACTCATTGAGTACAATTACTCTTCCGCTTGCACTCAGCTTTATTACCACTTTGCACCTCAGTCTGTGTTGGAATCAGTAAAATCCCTTGGAGGGGGCCTACCTCGTTCGGTAAGGGCGGGGTCCGTTTTTTATCCCACAGGTCTGGGTTCACCTTATTGCTTATACAGATAAGTGGGCTGCTCGTCAGAACCATACGAAGACCATAAAATATGGAAATTGGAAAGAGAAGTTTATGGAGTGATACTATTATTATATGGTAGAAAATACATTAACCGGGATAAATGCGCTGTCTTAACCAAAACCTAAACTCCTTCTCTGCTGCCCATCGAGGCTGGATATGCAGTCGATTAAGAAGCCTCTTCAGTAGGGTTTAGATTCGGAGCCTTTTTCCAAGCAATTGACCCGGAGCGATAATGCGGTTCAGGCAGCCAATCGAGGACAATGGAACTGCTGACCATTGGCACCACCAAAAGTCTGCTTATGATCAACTCAAGGTTGAGTGCAGGCATGATGTAGCGATCCCATATCATTGCAGTGCGCGAGTGCCAGGCGCATATGCGCGTTGTCTTGGCCGAGAGATCGCCGAATTTCTTCATGAGTTTCGTTCTCTCGCTTTGATACTGGGAGAAGATCGCTTCGATGGCCTCGTTGTCATGCAGACTTCCCCCCTTGCTTTGAAGACTTCGAATGCCATTTGCAATCGCAGCCAAATCCTGCACGCCACTGTTGAAGCCCAATCCAGCATTGGGAGTCACTTTGTGTGCCGCATCTCCGACAAGAACAATATGTTTCCACCACCATTTGTCGAGAATTCCTTCTTCGAGATCAGTTGCACCTGAGGCACCTCGCTCCTTGTACAAGTCTCGAAGATGGAGCCCTTTCGTGATACGATGGTCCGCATGGCGAGCGGCAATTTCATCGGCATCCTTCTGCGCATATGATTTGTGCTCAGACGTGGGCTTATCGAGCTTTTCATAGAGGAAAAACCACATTATGTCGTCGCCTGTAAAGACCTGGGTAGAGCTTCCGAATCTATGACACTCGTAAACGGTGCCAGGCTTGGCATCGCCAATGCGTGGACAGTTTCCAAACAAGAGTCGGTATGTTGTTTTGAAGTCCTCATTCTTCCCAAAGGGCTCGTTTTCGGAAAAGCTCTTGCGAGCAAGTTCTTTTGTACATTCCCGCACTGCGCTATGCGATCCATCTGCCCCGATGATGAATGAGCCTTCAATCTCATGTCCATCTTCACAACGGACGCTGACGCTTTCTTCTCTGATATCAATAGCGACGACTTTCTTGTTTACCAAGACCCGATGCTTAGACTGTTCCGGCAAAGAATCGTACAAAGTTTTGAGAATATCGTACCGCCAGAACATTGATGTTTGATAACCATATCTATTTAGAGTCAGCAATTGCCATCTAAAGGAATGGAATAGGTATAGCACCTTTTTTCGTTTACAGAGAATATCGAACCTGAGTGAATGATGCTTCCTTCTTGCGTGAAAGATATCTTATCGTACATTGGCTTTACTTGTGGATCAAATGCGTCCCACAGCCCTAGTTGATCAAGAATTCGCAGTGAAGGTGCCCACATGCCGATACATGCTCCAATGTTTGGGGTCACGCTGTGATACTGTTCGAGGAGTACAAAATCTAGACCAAGTTTGTTGAAGATGTGGGCAGCCATTAAACCAACTGGGCCGCCACCCACGATAATGACAGGAAGCGTCTTGGATGACATGTTGGGGATATCATAGGTGTACTCAAGAGGGCAGAGCAAGTCAAAATTCGATGCTGATATGTAAACAAGTTTGGAGAATAGGTTGGATTAAATCTGGGAGAACATCTCGCGATCGTCTTTAAGAAGCCCTTTAATGTCACTGATTCTAAGGCACATGTATGCTAGAACCAAGCTAGCCACCTACGTGAATGCATGCAGCAAGATAGAACATGGTTTGGCGCGAAGCTAGTTAACTAGACTATCTAGAAATAGGACGCGAAGGAAGAGAGCAGATTGCGAAGGAAGAAGCGAAGGAATGAAGGAACTAGGGAATAGACAAATATATATAGTATATACGAATGATATATGCAGGGAAGCAGAGTTTTATTTACTCATTGACCTCAATCTTTGCATATCTTAGATATCGCCATAATCGCTAGTAGCAGTATGGTCTCTGATTCAATATTGAATGACTTTGGTTATGTGGCGTACAACGAGCTAGAATATCTATAAATCTCACTTTTTAAGACGCCCATTCATACTCTACGACGTATTTACTTGGTACCAGCACTTCCCCAATTCTGTTAATGCAAAATCGTTAGTTCCAGCCTTCCTTGATTTGCGAAGACGCACATCATTAGCTGAAATGCTACCTCACCTCGCTGCAGGGATTCCACCTATGACATACAGCCATGTGTTGGAGTGGCCTTGGTCCCGGAAACACGGCTCGGATGGTGGGCCAGTAGGATCTCAAGATTGATGGAGGTTGAGATGGCCGTGGCTAGTCATGTCTGTCATCTGGGGTAATGAGTGGATGTCACGCTATCGTGCAAGCTCATCCTTCAAACTCAATTGAGCAAGCAAATCACAATTAGGCCACCATAGGCGCCCGCTTCAGAGTATTGCCTTGGTTATGCATATCTAATAGATACTGCGTAATAGCCGCAATGTTATGGTCTCCCCACTTGAAAAATAGATCAATGACATATAAATTGATAAAAATAACTTGTCTTCGCGCTCAGGCAGGGGTTTTCGTCATATGCTATTTTCACCTGGGTGCCACCACGTGTAGAAGCTAAACGACGATGTAAAATCCTACAGCAGAAATGCGGGGCTGTGTGCCTGCCCAAGTGTGGCCTCCTTCATCTTTTTTATTCATGGTTAAAGTCATGCGGTGTAACTAACGAAACATCAGCATTATATAATATGGCTGGCTGTTGTGTAGCTTTTGGACTACATATGCGGGTTTGCTTCCATGTAAGCAATTTTATGCCCAATATTGAACAGTATCATGGATAATTCTTATCATCGCTTTGATCCCGGTGCTTTAATCTTCTTGCCCTTCTATCAATCTATATGGGTATACTGAAAGACCACTGAACTTCTTTAGGAGGCTTAAACCTTAGACAAGACTGCTCTAGCTTTTTGCTAGCACGACTAACTCGATGTTCGTCTTCATTCTCAAGAATTGCTCATCAGCCAAAACACCTAGAGAAGGGAAGTGTTGCTAGACGTCACTTTGCTTATGATGTTGTTAACATACGATTGGCTACTATTTTTCGAAACAAGGGATATATAAACGCAGCAGTGTTTATCCCTGTAGATTTTTACAAGCTCAATCAAGTTCATGTATATTCGCCATTTTTCTCATGCTTGTGAGAGTCTGTTAATAGCGGCATTGACAGTGGGTCCAGATTCTAAAGTCCGCGGAAGAAGCACCCTTGAAGCCTCGCTATCGCGGCTATACTGGTAAATCTCTAGAGGAGTTCATACAGATTATTAATTATGGCATTCTGTGTCACGTTTCTCTTCTATTTGCATGCAATTCCTGTTCTATGGCATGCTAATGAAGGAGAACAAAAGTTGACTTTTATCGGGCTTGGCGTCGCGGGCCGCTGCGCCACAGACTACAATGGCGCCGGTAGATATTTTGGCTCCAAAAGCACCACTAATTGATGAGCCAGGGCGGGGATGGAGGGCTACAGCTTGCTATTGTGTTGGGTTTTCTCTCAAATCTTGGCAGCGTGCACTTGCTATAGCACCCATATAAGCCAAGAAGATCCGAGCATTGGGTAACTACGGCAATTGGGAGCGGAGAATGAGACTTTATCGGAGGTTAAGACCTTTAATAAAAGAATGAAGCTAATATAGCGGCTTGATGACTTGATCATGTCTTGGCATCAAGCCTAAGCATCTAGGCTATGACATTCATGAAATAATACTTACATGGATTAATTACATGAATTGAAAGTGACTTAGATGATGACTGCTCAAATGTGTTACATAGCATGCGACTCACCACGGGTTATAGTCTGTACAGAAGAGAACCACAGCGCCTTATCTCCGAGGATTAGGAAGTATTAAGAAGTGATTCAGTTGCATTTATATTGAGGGCAACTCGATTCATTTGACCCTATTCTTGGCAGCTTCTTATACATTTCTTCTTGCTTCTGCATCTTCCGCTTTAGTTAGAAGCGCTTCATCATAATTGATCAAATACTATGGTTCACTTTTACAAGTCTCTTTCTGAGGACCTCAGAACATGGGCGCTGCAACAACAAATGTTTTTCATAGCATCGGCCCCTCTAAACGGCCAACACGTCAATCTCTCCCCAAAAGGTCTAATACAATCGACCTTTCACATTTTCGACTCAAACCATGCAGCGTATTTAGACACTGCTGGCTCAGGCGTCGAGACAATCTCCCATCTATACGAGAACAAGAGAGCCACTCTCATGTTTTGCAGCCTGGATGGCAAACCTCGAATAATGCGACTGTTTTGCACTGGCTCAGTTGTTGAGAGAACTGATCCAAGATTCTCGGACTTGATGCAATCTATTGGCCAGGCAGGGGATTTCCCTGGAATAAGAGCAGTCATTATGCTTGAGATATGGAAGGTTGGTGCACTCTCACACACGTTTGACTTTATGTACCTTAGATAACGAAGAACTTACTGTTCGAAAAAGGTTCAAACCTCCTGCGGTTACGGTGTGCCTGTACTGGACCGCGATTCTCACTCTCAACACTCAGAGAAGGAAACCTCAGTAGATTGCTGTTGCTACAAAGAACGCCCAACCCTCGAGAAAGCACTGGATAAAATGGTGAGAAAGGGCGAGATCGACGCATATATCCGAGACAATAGCAAACGAAGCTTGGATGGCCTTTTAGGTCTGCGTGAAGCGAGAAAAATGAGCGGAGAATGGCTATTAGCTGGCGATATCACTACATGGATAAATTGCCAGCTTGCACAAGTTCCTGCCATTTCGCTTGGAATATTCATTGGCCTCTTCCTTTGTATCTTGGGTCCTCAAATTCTGCTTTACGTTATTAATTTGATGTTTAAGGTGTTTAAAACACTACGCAAGGTATAGTGAAATCTTGGATGATTTACGTGTGGTTTCTCATTTCTTTTTCCTTATTCAGATACATTTAGTCGCGAGCTAAATAAAGAAGTGCTTTCTCAATCTAAAGTAATGGGAAGTATTCTTCCGTGACTATTAAAGTATTGAAAGAGACCTTAACCGTTCTAGAAAATTAAGTAGAAGCAATTCATCGCCTGTACATCGATGGAAGTTTTCTTGCTCCTATGTAGAACCTAGCGCATCCTTGATCCCAAGAACAAACCCACCAAAGCCAAGAAGGCTCCTATTCAAAGAGTATTTAAAGGCCAGTCACATGGCTCATATCAATCCGCTGACGTGATTCCTTGAGCATCTTAGTGGCCCTCGGTATGCTAGTAGCATCGTACGCTTTAACAGCTTCTTCCAGGCTCTGTGAGCCGCACAAGTGCGTTGCAAGATCCCAACCGTCTTTCATGGCGAGACTAGCTCCATACCCAGAGAATGGGGTAATTGCATGGTTGCTGTCCCCTATGAAGATTGCCGGCCCGAGCGAGAGGTCATGGCTGAAAGGCTGCTTGTCTCTGGCAGCTAGCCGAGACACAGATTTGGGATCCGTTGCATCAAGAATGCTTTGGAATGGTTCAACAAACTCCTTTCCAAGCTCCTTGGATTCTTCTATCACTGACTGAGCTTCTTCGATGCTGCTGATCCTCAATGGCTCTTCAATCGTTGGTGCGCGATAGCTCAAGCCCCAAGACACGCTCGTTTCATCGTATGGCGACAGGAAGCAAGCTACGCCTTTGCCCGAAGAAACTATTAATCCCCACTTTTCGTCAACAGGCTTCGGTATGCCGTTTGGAAAGATGGCTAGGCCGCCTTTTTGCATGATTCCAGTGTATTGCAACGTATCATTTGGCCGAAGACTTGCTCGGAGCTTGCTGGATGCCCCGTCCGCGATGATGAGAAGGTCACACTCGGCTGTCGAATCATTCTCTGACAGATGGCTTCCGGAGAGTTTGACGAGCATCCTCCCGTTATGGAGCCTCTCTGCGTCCACGCAAGTCGTGTTCCATATAACCCGCTCTCGGCCGACAACATCGGTCAGCACTTGTCGAAGCTTTTTCCTTGCAATTCGGATCCCTGACGCAGGTAGACCGGGAGCAGGCTCATGCTTTTGAGTCAAGAGTTCGCTCCACGAGCTATTCCACATTGTGAACTCGAACTTATTCCCGAAGCTCTGCACGGCGTGTTTCATAACGTCGTCCAGTATACCGAGATCACGAGCTGCATAGAGGCCGCCAGTCTCGTCATGGCCGGCAAGGGAAATTGTGTATCCTTCTCGGCCAGCTGGCACGACGTTGGCGTCGCGTTCATAAACCGTGATGCTTGGAGGTGTCATGTTGGCGGGCCAGAGGCGCCGAAGAGCGAGAGTGAAAGACAGGCCCGATATCCCGGCACCCGCAACAATTATCCTTTTGCCTTCCAACAAGTGTGATGCCATTGCTTTGATATTGATTGATTGTGTTGATGTTTAGTTCATTTGTCGTTTTGCAATTCCATCCCATAGTCCTTTATTTATACATAAAGCGTCGCGATTTGGGCCGCTGTTTGACAAACCCGAGTTCCGGCAGAACAAAGCATGACGACTTCCTTGATAATGACGCTGACGACGTGTCTCCGCTTCGCCTTCTCGCCGCTGTCGACTAAAGCCCGAGTTCCGGTAGCAATTTCATTGGTGAAATTGCCTTCATTAAAGATCAGGCACATGTGCAATAATGAGTATACTGATTCGTAATAGCTGACGACTACATGGTTATAACCAGTAGTCCTCAACGACAATCCTTGTCTTATGAGTCTTATGAAAAGTTAACTGCCATCATGGAACAAGTCATTCTGTTTCACGTCACAAGTATGGACGAGGAGTACGAAAACAGCATAGATGTGAGAAGTTGGGGCGCTTTCCGGACCTGATCTACCGTGTCAATAAAGGGGAGATGTGTACTTGGTATTCTCATAAACTAAAGTCAATATCATCGCTCTATGCATCAGATGGAGATTGATATAAGATCAAATGAATGGCACTTTCTTCAACGTAGTTCAAAACGTTAAACTCCTGAAACACCTTCCTGTTACAACCAATTGTAACATACAATCCAGTATGTAGTCATCTAGTGAAACACTATATACGTCGTATAAGCATGATAGCACGAGTTATGACTCAGAAAAAGGCTTGTGGGCCACCGCTTGCATCCGGGCAATCGTTAGAGAAGCCTCCGGTAAAAGCCATCATGTCATCATCCAACTGCCAGGCCATTGCAGGCTGACCGCTCTGATCTGGTTGACATTCACTCAAGTTATGCCCGGGATCGCTTCCTGTGGTGCCAGTTCCTGTGGTGCCAGGCCATGCACTGCTATTACTCGATCCCGGCTCGCTGCCCGTCCCTTGGCCAACAGGTGAGAAGTAAAAATGTGGTGAATTGGTTCGATCGACAGGTGCAAAAGCTCCAGGTGTAGGCGCACGGCCAATATATCCATTACGCAAGGCCGCCAAAAAGATCTCTGCGTCTGTATTCGCTGCAGCCTGAGAAGTCATAGGATCTCGCTTTCTTTTGTTGATGTTATCAGTGGGTCGGGGTGCCAGGTTTCTGGATATGGCGCCAAAAGTCGGCCGGAAGCTCTCTGTAATACCCATTCGGCCCATTTGTGCCGTCACAGCAGTCACACCGGTCAATAAGGGAATGGATTTTGTCATTCTCAGGTTCGTCGGCCGTAAGTGGCCGAGAGGGTTACCCAGAGGCAGTCGCCCAGGCAGCGGAGAACTCATTTGCGTGTGTTTTGAAATGGGGCTTCGAGCTAGCAGGGGAATGTTGGAAGCGGGGCCGCCAAAGAGATTGCGGTATTGGTAGAGGGCGGGTATTTTGATGGTTGATGATAGGCCGTTGTTGTCGATGTCGAGACAAGCTTGCTGCAAGAAGGCACATGTAACCATATGTATACGACCGATAGCCTCCATGGCATTGACGATGAGTTCAAGATTGGACATGTCGACGGGATTTATTCCCGTAGCTGGGTCTTCTTTGGCTAGGTAAACGTACACCGTTGTTGCACTATACAGCGAAAAGGCGCACAAAGGATTGCTCTGTGGGTTCCGTTAGTCCTGTAAGTCCTCAACGTAGTCGACAAAAGATCTTACAAATAATGATGAGCGATGGGATGTCATCTTGACAATGCTTGCAATCTCGTCCGCGGCATTCTTCAAAAGGTATCGACTGTCTTTTCTCAAAGAATCGCCAAGGCCGTGCTTTTCAATGACTTCGAGGGCAACATGATGCAAGCAAATTACACATGCGTGAAAGTTGAGGTTGATGTAGGTTGCCAGAGGATTGTGTAAATTCTCGGGGAGACGGAACTTGTCCGGCATGAACATGAACAGGGTCGACAGCTGATTATCCAAACGGCGATGCCGCTTCCAAAAATCTCCGTGCGTGGGATCTTCAGGTCGGTCAGACGGCCTGATGAGATGCACATGTCGCATGATGGCCTTCAAGAGGTGGTTAAGAACGAGAGAGCCGGAAAAGCCGCTGTAGGATGCGCCTTTCATCACATCGTCTAAAAAAGGGCACTCTTCTTCTTCGCCAGATATGAAGGCCTCTTCACTAGCTGGAAGTCGAGTCATGATCTACTCAAGTTAGTTAGTTTCATGTCCCTCCCAGGCCTAAAAAGACAAGCTTACATCATCAGAGTTGATATAACTTGGCCAGCCAGTTGCCATGCTTGATTGAGCATCGCATGAAAACGCCACCCAGAAGACTCTTCTGCGCTCTTCTAGCTCTATCCAATCCTGTGGAGGACCTAGAGTCTCTGGAGCATCGTCATCTGGACTGTCAATCTTGTTAAGGCCAAGCATGTGCACGAGGCGGCAGCACCTGGCGCAACTCATTCCCGCCCTGGTATAAAGCATGGCTCTCGCTTCATAGCAAGCGATGAGAGCCCAAGCCTGAGCGTGTGCTATCGTGATAAAATACTCTCCAGACTCCTTGGGTCTCAGTTAGTTACGTGATAGTTCATAATTCGGGTACGGGTGATAGAGCTGGCTTCTCACTCTCATTTCATCAGCTTCGGCGTAATAGCGAGATCTTTTATAGAATACATCGGCGCATCGGTCGTACTTGGGGTGCCACAGTGCTCCCATTGCCCAAATAGCATACTGTAGGCACATGGGTGGTTTCCTCATAGGGCCACCATAAAAGGCCTGGTAATAGCGGCAAGATTGTATAAGCGGCATGTAGTGGTACTGCGTAGTAAAGAAGCATTCATGCCTGTCCAATGTATAAGTCGGGTTAGAAGAAAGAGGAAGAAGCTGGGCATGATACAACATACAGTTCTTCTATAATTTCAATAGGGGGCAACGTCTCTGACATGCTGAGGTCTATCAGCTCGTCATTGCTGTATTGCTTGCCATTCAGATACTCGAAGCTAGACGACTCAAAAGGAAGGCCGTCACCAGATTCGGCCTGGTCAGCGAACTGATTGGGGTCGGTGAAGTGCCCTGGTGGGATAGGCTGCTCATCCAGCGCAGCAACATCTTGTTCATCAGCTGCCGTCGCGGCTCTCGGTCGACTTTTCGTACCATCGTCACTGTCTGGATTGCCGTCGGCTTTGCCTCTTTTCACATCTCGACTTTCCTCGGTAGCCTCCTTGAGATAGCCCTCTACCTGAGCTGTTGATTGGTATAAGTGTTAGGTGCCAATGTGCTTACACCATAGTGCGATAGGTTTGTCGTATCCGATACGCACCTAGTCTAGCCTCCAATTCCTTGACATTGCTTCGCTGGATGGTCGGCTTGCGTCTTGCTTCTGGGTATATGCACTCGCTGCCGGCTTTGGTGCACCGAGTGCAAATTGGCTTCTCGTGGTCACATTTCAGCTTTCGGAGCTTGCAGGAGATGCAGGATAGGGGCTTCTTGGTCTTCTGAGGTTGTTCCTGGGTATCAAGCTGCGTTGCTGGGTCCGCTGATGACATGGCCGTTGCGGACTTTCATATTCCTAGGTTGGCTGTTCCCTATCCCTGAAGTGATAGTCGGTCTCGGATAGTCTTATAGCGGAGTCGCGATAGAGAGGCCTAAGACTGTGTGTATTATAAAGACGTTTAGCACGCGACGATTCAGGCCATCGGCATTCAAGTTGTTATTATAGCCCGCCTACGGCCAGGCTCCCCAGGCATCAATTCGGAGTTACGTTTTAGTTCCTAGCGTCAATGTGTGCTTACGTTACGGCTCCGAGACGGGTACTCGATCCAGCAGATCGGACAGATCCGTCAGTGGCAGTCAACGTTGCAAGAGAAGAACAACACGTGTATCAGGTTAAATTTTAGTTTAGGTGTAATCTTGTTTAAATTAAAGGAATGTACTGAGGTGATCAGTTGCGTAGGTGCAGATGCAACTGCGTGCGTTTATTAGAAAAGCCTAGCTGAATAATGCTTATTAACTCGAATTGAATCCTGGCCAATGTAATAGGATGACTCACGATTAAGTAGCATCAGCTGTACTGTTGTAGACAGCTCAGGTTTATTGGAAAAGGTCAATTTATCTACTTTAGCCTATTATTCGTACATGTTATCTCTACTGCAGGTCCTCTGTTCCCTAATTTTTTTCTCATGTGATCCTTTGCGCAACTTGAAACTCATGTTAGCTCAATTCTCTAGGTTAGTGCACAAGAATGGAAAACCTAGGTGTCTTCTACGGAAGTAATCAGATAACTTTACAACGTGCTCTACTGCTTAATTTGTAATAGCAGAGTTGAAGAGTTCTTTATATAATTCGTCTTTGTTAAATAAGAAAATGAATCGTACATTAGATAGATTCAGCGTGCAAAGTGCAAAGTACATGCAGTCTACCCTGAGACTTTTCCTATTCAGAAGGGATATGAACCACTCCAACACCATCCTCAATCGTAATTTGTGTTCCAAATGGCTCAGAGTACTTGCAAAATCGGCCAAGAATTTCGTTGGCAACCTCAAGAGTAGGCTTTGTGGGCGTTCCAGTCATAGAGCCACTGCGAGGAGTTTTCCCCAAATCTGCCGGATAGACCATTACACGCAATAACTTTCCGTCGGCGTAGTCAGCCGATATGAGCAGTGCCTCTCTATTTTCCGACTCATTCAGCCAAGCCCAGCGCACCTCATTGGCCTCGCCATCTCCAACAATGGGACCCTCCAGGGAGGCCGGAGCTCGTCCAGCGGCATCATCGCGCCATGAGCGAAACTGAGGATTTTGGAAAACAAAATTGGAGATGCCGTAGAATATTGGCTTTCCCTTGTATATCTCAACTCCCTTGAGTGTATGAACGCCGTGGCCGAAGAAAAAGTCGGCGCCGTTATCGATAACTGCACGGGCAAATTTGATCTGATAATCTGTCGGATAATGGTCGAAGGAATAGTGCTGGAAAGAGAAACGGTTTTGATGCCAATGGATAGTAACGCTGAGAAAATCTGAAAACTGTTTCCCACCACGGACCTCGCGAAGAATATCGCGGAAATCTTGGGGCTCCATCTCATAGCTATACTCTCCTATCTTTGGACCGACTCGGAAATGAACACCAAAAGCATCGAGAGTCTCAGAGCTGTCATTCGTATCGACACCTGCAATGGATCGCAGCTGTTGCATTTGCTCAGTAGTGACGCTGTGGCAAACGTTCAGACGGACCGAGTTATTCTTATAGGTTATCGTTCCCTTTGAGTTCAGATGGTGTTCCAAGCGCCGTTTAATACTGTTTATCTGATCATCAGCGTCAGCACTGGCATTTTGCAGCCTGAATTGACGTCCAAAAACAAGCACAGATCCTTCAGGGTCTGCATCAGGCATGCCGATTGGCGTCTTAATTTCAGCACGCCGAGTAAGAAGGTTATCGCGCATTGCTCTTAGTTGAGCAAGGTGGTCTGGCTTCACAACAATTGGGTCTTTGGCGGATATGCCAAACAGCTGAGAATGATCTTCTGTTTCGGCATAAGCTCCAATGAAACCCACGATGCCTTTGGGAGTGGTTTTGAAGCGGGCAAGTCTCGCTTCTGCGATATTGTAGTCGGTGCCAACATATTCAATACCAACGCGGCGAAGCTGCTCGAAGTTCTGGACAAGACCAGCGTCGCCACAATCGAAGGTGTGGTTGTTGGCTTTTGTGACCATATCGATGCCCATTTCCTTCCAGTCATCTGCGATGTGCTTGTCTGCCTCCATGTGAGCGATAGGGCCGCGAAATGTGAGGCGATCCACAACTGTATTCTCGTTGTTGGCAAATGTGATGTCGGATTTTTGCATCAGTTGGACAAGAGCTTGGATATCTGGATCATTTCTGTTGGCAAAAGGCATCGTTTGAATCAAATCTCCAACAGCCACAACATTGAAAGGCTCTTTGATGCGCATTTGGAGCTCGCTTTCCTTGTCCCGAAGGCTGGAAGGCTTCCGTGGCGTGAGTGAGATGGGCATTTTGTATAAGTAGTTCAAAGGTTTGAGCTATACTGTGAATGGAGATAGTGAAAAGAAAGAAAGATGGAACTGTGACCGAGATTTGGCACCAATTTATATCTTTTCTGTAACATCCTTTGAAGGTGGATTTGAGTAAAAGTTTCCGGAATCCGTGTCATACTCAGGAGTTAAGTATCGGAATACTGCTTTGTTCCTACGAAAGTCCGATGTATTCGGAATCTGGGTAGTGAATTGCCATCAAAAGTGGCTAATTACGGAGACCGCTCGAATCTCGTCACGGAGCCAAGCATCTCCTTAGCACGTTCCCACTGTTTGTATCCTCGAAAAGGGGGCACATGCCAGTTAAACTAACACCGGTTGATCCTATCAGCTGTGGTATACCCGTAATAGCTCAACGTCTCCGTTATAATACTAGACAATATCGTGAACAAGGGAAAATTACCACTTTGGGCATCTTTTGAATCCCTGTTGAAGCTACTGCGGCCATCGCGATAATTACCTATTGTGGCAAGATGCGCAGCCCACCTTTTGCCCCATGATTATTGTAGCGCAGCGCTAAACTCATCATCTTGTACACTATTATCCTTGGCCTATCGAGTTCATGACTTTCAGTCTCAGCTACTTCTGTAATTCACGTCCGGCAATTCGGATCTGGGGTTACCGGCACCCGTAGTAGAACCCCAGGTTTTCGACGCTCCTATAATGGGCTACCAGATCATAGTATCTCTCCAAGAGCAATGTAGCTGTCTATAAAAGCACTAGAAATTCTGTTTTTGCTGCTCATCTTCATTGCCTAGTATCCTAGGGCTAAGTCATTTGAGCTATATGATACAATGAGTTCCAACGAAGTCACCATCGAGAAAAATGAAGTTGCGATCAAATACGTTGATGACGGATTTGTAGCGACTGATCCCACCCAAACGCTCAACGAGAAGAAATTACAGAATGGCCTGCTCCTCAAAGTTGATATCATTCTAGTTGGCATGATATCTCTCATTATGCTAGTCAATCAATGGGTAAGTAGCATAACATCTTATCATATTTAGGAGTGCCAATCTCATCATTTGATTGTCTAGGATCGAGGAAACATTGGAAATGCTCGCCTTATGGGCCTGCAATCTGATCTCCATATATCGAACGGCCAATTTTACAACGTTCTTTCTTTGTATTGTAAGTTTAAGCTGGTGAATGCTAGTGAGATTTTTCTTACAGTAACTAACTTAAAAGACGTTGGATATATGCTCTTCATTATACCTGCCTACCTTACTGTTCGTTCTTTCAAAGCTAATCGACAGATTGGTGGTTGTGTCATCTTGTTTGCAACATTTTCTTGTTGCACGGCAGCAGCCAAAAATGCCACTACAGTTCTTGCACTTCGGGTATTAATCGGAGCCGCTACTGCTTTTCTTCAATCACTAAGCCTATATACGAGCCTTTGGTATAAAAGAGATGAGTTGGCAACTCGCTCCGGTAAATCAGCTTATATCCATGTGATATCTTAGTACTAACGTGATAGGGCTCTTTTATTCCGCTTCAACCATCGCCGGGGGCTTCAGTGGCTTTATTGCATACGCCATACAACAAAACTTGGACGGATCCTTAGGATACGCAGCATGGCAGTGGCTATTCATTATCCAAGGATGTGTTGGTATCTTTGTCGGCATATGCTCCTGGATAATGCTGCCTAATCCCCCGGATCAAATTCAGGGCAAAAAACACTGGCTATTCTCGCAAGAAGAAATTGAACTCGCTGTTGAGCGTCTCAAAAGTATGGCACTGGCGGTGATTTATAGGAGAACGAAACAGCTGACTCAGAATAGCTTACAACACTGTCGGAGCCGGTTTCGATTGGGTGCAGGTGCTGGTTGCCTTTAAAGACCCCAAGTTGTATCTTTTCTCGTTGATCAACATTGGGATATCCCTGTCTCTTTCTTCTATAAGCTCTTTTTTGCCGACATTTATTAATGAATTTAACTATTCGCCTGGTAAAAATTCTCTCCGATTCCCGGCTTTAGTGTCTAAATTGCATTCGCTAATAGTTTTCAAGTGCAAACGCAGCTCTTTTCCATCATCCCGTACGCGTGCGCTTTCGTTACCCTTCTCGTCCTCAACATTGCCTCCGATCGCTTGAACATCAAAGCGCCATTTTTGATGCTTTGCCATATTATCTGCATCATCGGTTACATAATTCTCATGCTAGTAACCAATGATAAAGTCAAGATATTTGGCACTTGTCTTATAACCACTGGAGTCTTCCCATCTTTCACTATAGTTGGCGCTTGGACAGGGATTAATATCGGAGGATTTACTAAGCGGGCAATTACTTGGGCCGTGACCCAGGTGGTTGGCCAGTGCTTTTCTATTATGGCATCTCACATCTACACGGATCCTCCTCGCTACCTCAAAGGCCACAGCACTTGTTTGGCATTTCAAGTTGTGGCGTTGCTTTCAACTTGCGTTTTGTGGTTCTGGATGCGACGTCTTAACAAGAAGAAAGACGAGGAGGCGGAGCATCATCGCACAGCTGGAACGATTGATCCAAAGATTTGCCTGTCGCTTGAGGAAGCATACGACTATCATCCCAACTTTCGCTACATCTTGTGAACAAAGAGAGCGAAAGCATGATTTCAGCGGATTCTGGATCTCTTCGTTTCATTTGGTCAAACTGGTGAAGCATGATCGAGAACAAGGACAATTAAATCTGACTTCCTGTTACAGGCTTGGAGGTAACTAAGCACTAGGGTTGACTTGTCGCACTTCGACAGGCCTAATAAATAACTTGTATAGCTGCTTTTTAATCATCGAAATTGGTGACGAACGTGCTTGAAAAGCGTTGTCTCTCCTCATTATGTACAGTTGCCTGATTGTCACGCTTCTCCAAGACTTGCAAAACCAAGATGCATAGCGTAAGCGCTTTCAAATATAGACACAATGTTTTGTTGGATTTGTAATGATGCTTTGGCCCTCCTTTACTGCTAGTACTCAGAATGGTGTAAGTCTTGAGATGTTTCGCTTTCTCAAGTGAGCAACTTAATGCCTGTGTACACATTACGCGCAAACATTTAGCGAGAGAACTGCTAGTTTGGCGCCGCCGAGACGCCGGCTCCAGGCTAGGGTCAGCCATTCTACAAGGGTTAACCGGCAATACGAAACAGTCGTCATGGCTGTGGCTTTTCCCTGGTTCATGCATCTAGCACCCCACCATGAGGCTCGCCAAGCAGTGCATTGTCCTTCTGTCGGCAGCTTGTCAAGTCCACTGTAACTTTGGTAACTTTTGGTGACTCTCTTTCTGGAAGCAAAACAGAAGGGCATTCTATACACCGCCAAGATTCAAATTCAGCCGAACCAGAGCCACGAACTGTTATCAAGACTGAGACCACTCCAGCCTCCGTTTTCAAGGCAATGTCTGCGATAGTTGTTCGCCGTCCACCGCGTAGCAAAGGCTGCAAACAGTGCATTTCACGGCGCGTCAAGGTAAGTAAAGTGTCTATAGCCATCCTATCACTCATAACATAGTTGCCCTTAATTGTCGGTTGAACATCTGAAACTCACTCGATTGGCGCAGTGCGATGAGAGGCCTGGATGCTGCAAACAATGCGCTCGCTTTGGACTGTCTTGTTCAGGGGCCATTCGCGGAGCAGTCTTTCTCGACATGACTGAGAAGGTATCCCATAGTATGTTGAAGCCAAAGAAGAAGAGGAAAAAGAAGACGACAGGCACGCAAAAAGCTACAGAGGATCTAGGATATGAGTTCGTTACCGGAGATGAGATTGCAACATGCTACGTCAGTATGGAGGAGAGCAGCTGCTCAACAACCTCGCCGTCATCCTACGGTCCTATGGCGGAAAGCGAAGATTCATCTCTCGACCTTTGTCAGTCTGGCGATGAGGATAGAGGCGGTATGTTTCAAAGTGGTATGATGGACACATCCATTAATGGGCTTTCATTTCCTCTCGGCAGCGATCAATTCTCCAACTCAGGCGTCTTAGACTACGACGCATCTATTCCGCCGGCTCTTGTCACCTCCGCTTACGATGAATACTGTTTTGTGAGCAAATTTACTCAAACGCTTACCAGCTCACGGCGGAATTATTCCACTCTTAGACCAGAATCTTGGATACCCAAGCTTCCTTACCTTGTTGCGACAAATTCGTTACCCTGTCCACTCAAGTATGCGCTACACGCCGTTGCGCTCTTGTACCATGCCGTCACTCGTGATTCTAGAGCCGAAAGGCCCGCCATTAGATATTACCTGGCTGGCATAGAGAGCTATCGCTCTGTGGTACTTGGCAGCCAAGCGAGACAATCGCCGACGACTTCAGTATCGGAAGAAAATACAGATTCAGAAATGCCTCCGTCTTCGGATATTGTAGCAATTTGTGGCCCAGTGCTATTTTCATTCTACGAAGCGCTTCAAGACGCTGGATCTGACGCAGAGCTACTCCATCACTCAATGGCTATAGAGATGTTGCAGGCTCGTGGCCCCGCTAAATGCGTTGATGGCCTTGCTCATATTGTGATGCGGTCAACGAGGGTTAAAGAGGTTAGACATTACAAATCCCCATGCTTATACAAAAGCCGAAGCCTTTGTGGTCATTATTCACTGACTAGTTTCTCAGGCATTCCATTCCATTATGCAAAACCGATCTGCCAGTTTTTCTTCTCCTGAATGGCTATCTATACCGTTTCATAAAAAGCACAAGATTTGCTATGACAAACTAATTGATATCCTTCTCTCTTTCACAATGACACTGCGCCTTCCGAATATGAATCAGAAAGGCGCAAAATTGAGAAATTCGATACACCGCATCCACGATCTGCCCACATCTCGCAAAAACAAGATTGAAGAGAGAGTAATGATGCTTCAAGAACAATTGCAACGCTGGTGGTCAGAATTTCGAGATGAGCACTTTAAGATTATTGCACAAAACTCTGGATCCTCGCCCGTTGTTGATGCTGCTTATGTAGCTGCAGATTCCCCATCGTCTGTGCTGCTTCTATCGGGGCCATGGATGGTGGCTAATAACGAAACACTCACTTCCAGTATGGTTTCCATATATAGCGGCATTCACATCATCCTCCACTCCATTCTTTTCATTATCTCAGTATCTAAACCTCCAGGCTCAATTCGGCCCAACGGCCAATCGGAGGTTGATAATCACCGGGCCGCAATCTCGATGTATGCAGCAAGCGTCTTCAATGCTGCCTTGTACCTCAATATGGTCAATCCTTTTTGTGGCGATGCTGCCCGTACAAGGTTCTCTATCAATATTGTTTCTCAGTTTGCCTTGGAAGACTCGCAGCGGGATGAAGCTCAACGAATGCTCTGCCAGTGGAAGCTTCGAGACACGACACCACCTAGATGATTTGGAGTAGTATACTACGATCATTTGTTGTCAATATACTATCCTACTAGTTACAGACGTCCAAGCAAGATGCGCTAATGGCCTCAGGCTATATACAAAATAAGCGATAATTATTCATAATGATCTACATCTGTAAGATACAAGCTACAAAAGGCACTTTGGATTTGGAATGCTAATAATAGCTTTTCGTGCAGAGTGATTCTAATGTATCATTTTGTCTATAAGATATAATAACAATACAAGTAGACAGTCACATGTACAGTCGATCCAATATCCAAGCCTCCGCTAACTTTTACTGAACAAAGTCTCCAGCGTAGAGTGCATCTCCTGGCTCATTCATGCGCGACCATAGAATTTGTATATGATCTTGCAAGCTCCGTTTGGTTGACACAGTTACAAGCTTCGCCTCTGCGTTATCAATCTCGACCTCTACCTCTGCGTTTTCAATCTCAAGCTCAACTGTTCGGAGAATCATAGTCAGCAACATAACTTAACCTTGCAAAGTCAGCGACAATGACGCTTACCTTGAATGTGGACAGCTGTCTTCTTCCCACTATACATGGCGTGCGGAATGTTGGTGACGTTATCCGAATTGGCATCTCCAATGGCGAATATGCCATGAATGTTCGTTACCAGACCGTTTTCTTTATCTGCAGCGAGTCTACCGCCATATAATGCCACACCAGTCTCTTCGCCCAAGGTTGACTTTTGCGCAGTATCAAAATTAGTCAAAATAGCCGCACGAAGAACCGGCTCGCCAGTCTCGAAGTTGAGTTGAAAGAGGTCATGCTCAGGATGAGATGGTAGGCTGGGATCCTCGTCTCCATCTGTTCCATTGGAAAGCCTCTTGAGAGACGTAATAATACGGTTATCGATGTTTATATTGCGCAGTTTCAGATAACTCTCCCATGTTGGAAACCCTTTTTCTGCGATAGCTCGCTCCTCGGGAGTATCTGTCCCGTTGGCGAACAAGATAATGTCCCGATTAAGAGTGATAATTTCGCGAACTGCATCAACGGCGCTGGAGAAAGGCCCGAGTATTCCAAGTTGTTGATCTGCATGTTCATGTCCATCACACCATGGGCACCAGAAAATGCCCTTGCCCCAGTTCTCCGCAAATCCGGGCGTTGATGGAAGCAAGTCCCGTACACCAGTTGCGAGAATCACTTTTCGCGTAGTGAAAACGACCTTGTTATCGCCAGGATATTCAGCAGATACTGTAAAATATGAATTGTTGGCTTCCGGCTGGATCTTGGTAACGGTGCCGTTTACTAAGTTGACAGTGCCGTAATCTAGGATTTGTTTGCGAGCCAGCCATCGGAAATATGCTGGTGTGACTCCTGTCGATGGATCAGCTAGCTGTCACGCACGAAATGCACATCTTATAAAGTATAAAATTGTAAATCTTATGAGCCAAATAGACTGACTCACCGTCAAATCCAATAACATCGTGCAGATGCCGAGTCTGAGCATTGCGATATTCTCCCGAGTCGACTAACAAAACGTTTCGGCGGACACGGGCCAGACCACTGGCTGCGCTGAGACCTGCAGGCCCTCCTCCGACGATGATTACATCGTAATCAGCCTGAACTGTGAGGTTGCTAGTCCCACTATTTGGCACAGCTCTAGAGAGCCCAGCCAAGACAGGTAGAAACGTCAAGACGCCTGATAACTTCATTTTGGAGCATGATATCGCATACGCTAATAAACCAAATCAAAGTGTATTTATCTATGTTCGCTTTTGAATCTGTGGCATAAGTTACAATAGCTGGCCCGCATGGGACAGAATGGCGTCTTATGCTCCAGCGCCCCCTCCCCAGAGCGTAAGATTTGCTCGATGGCATCATCATCGCAGACGTCACTACCTGTATGCTCTGCCGCGAACAAGTTACAGCACCCTGTTATTCACAATCACATCGCCAGATCAGCCTCAGGTGCAGAGGAAATCCGGCAGCTGGTGCACGGCATTCATGTTGCCTGTTTAATGTGAGCCCCTGTCTCGTTGCAGTCAAGTGTTCTGGCATCTGACCTGGCAAAATGATCTCATATCCAGTGAAAGCAGCGAATGCAGCCGATGAGGCACGCGGATGCTACCCTTTGATGCTACCTACAGATGGCGTGCGAATACATCCTAGCTGCAGTTCTATATATCTGGTTCCTCACGCCTGAGCCTTTTCAGTTGGGCGAGTCGCACATCTTAACACATGAACACGTGTAGAGAGGTATGACATGCGCAAATGACGTCGCTATCAAGTAGAGGTTCAAATGCTAAGACAAAGCACTGGCTCTATTTTGGTCGAGCCCACTCACGTCAACTGCGAGTCGCTTATTGTTGCGATTTGCGGTCCATGTTACAAAGTTTCTTCTTGCCAACGCCGTTTTCCGCATTTGGAAGTAGAGATGTTTTCATGAGAGTTAGAAACGAAGAAAATGTAAGGACACGTCTTACTTGTAGGCCACTAGGTACTTGTTTAACTTGTCGCAATGACGAGCTCTCCATATCACATTTACTACCGTCTTTACATCTGCATGTGTGATACGATATGCTAGATCATATGGATATGTGCTCTTAAGTACCACAGCACAAAAGAAAAAGTAGAATTAGCCTGTATGGTAAGCTTGTTAATCTTCTATTGACCCACCTGTACATTGAATGCATCCCCACCAGCGGGGCTGCGTCGAGAAGTTGCTAAAGACTTCCATAGGTAATCGTTGATACTTGTTTCCATAGGTAAAGGGCTATTAGAGACCGAAATGGCTAGAAATGGCTACTAAGAAGCTAAAAGGGAGGAACATCAGACTATCACAGATTTGTCGCAGCTGGGACATTTTGGCGGCACAATAAACCGTTACTGAGCGACATGGTAATGATGACAAAACGTTAAATGTATTTCTAGATAACCTCTAATAAAGACTCGCTGGCCGAATTCTCATGCCCAGAATTGACCATTCAGATAGACAACAGTGTTGCCGCTTTCCACTTCTCGTCCGACGCTGCAAGCTGCTCTGCGGCCTGCTTCACCAAATCCACAGTCTCAGGGCCCAGCAGAAGTCGCAGCGGAGGCTCCTCTTCCTTGGAAATCTTGACAATCACATCGGCCACCTTGGCCGGCTCAGACCGATGATTCTTGTACTGTTCCCGTATCTTCATGAATGCTCCGACGGTTTCTTGATACGGCTCGCTGATGGTAATTTCCTCGTCTGCAAAGCCAGCCCAATCAGTCTTCATGCCGCCAGGCTCCAGCACCGTCAGCTTGATGCCGAACGGTGCAACTTCTTTAGCCACAACCGACGTAAAGCCACCAACAGCCCACTTGGCGGCCTGGTAGGCCGATAAGCCAGGCGTTGAGAGCCGGCCGCCGACGGAGGAGACTTGCAGAATGCGGCCGGACTTTTGCTTGCGCAAGATGGGAATCACCGCTTTGGTGACATAGACGGTGCCGAGAAGATTGGCGTCGATTTGTTCTCGGTAAATGTCAATGGACGTGTCTTCAAGTGCTCTTGGAACCGCATAGCCGGCATTGTTGACAACAACGTCGATGCGGCCAAATTTCTCGACTGCAGCCTTGACGGTGCTCTCGACTTGGTCGTTGTTGACAACGTCGAGCGCCAGAGGCAAGATGCGGTCCGATCCATACTTCTCGACAAGGTGCTTCACCGTGTCGGGGTTTCGGGCAGTGGCAACGACGTTGTCGCCATCAGCGAGGACGGCTTCGACAATGGCAAGGCCGAGGCCCTTGGATGAGCCGGTGACGAACCAAATGCGAGCCATGTCGATGTATTTGGAGTGTTTGTTGGCTGGATTATAACTTCTTGTAAATTCGGTTGGCGATGACTTCTGCGCACTGGGGACAAATGTTGTGATGTAGAGATGGTAGAGTCGTGTGCTTGTTCTTTCATTAATCTGCGCGGCATCGTCTTCCTCTTTATAGACCTGCCCACAGATCTAAAGCTCCTTTTTCTCATACCATCCACATAGCTTAACTCCGGCAGAGAGGCCATCTTCATGTTGGCCGTGGTGATGCTTTACGACTCAAGTATTCATCGAGAATCACTATCCCCGAAGCGGGAAAAGCCCGCTCAAGGCGGCCGCTCAGCTCCAGAGCTCCGCCAACCCACTTTCCATTAGACTGTACACCTACAAGACATGTAGATACTTAGTCTGTTGAGACAAAAACAGCAAATGCTTCAATTGTTGGTAGAGATTATGGCTTATATCGATTACATCTACTGTTTGCACTGGTCAATTACATTAATTCGCACTCAAGGCTTTGCTCAAATGACTGAGAAATTCGTCATCTACTATCGCTGTGATACGGTTTAAACTTGAATGTCGAATCTATCTGGCACTAATACAGCTCGGTTATCCCTAACTGATCGTAGGCGAACAGAGAGGCACGAACCATCTAATCGCAACAAGGTGCATGCATAGCAATCCTGAGCACTACAATTCGCCCACCACGATATCCTGTAGCCTATGTTCTGGCCCTGCTCTGCACATCTGATGGAACACAGAATCAAACTGAGCAAGTAGCTGTTGCATGTCTCCCGCACCAAAGACAGCGTCGTCGAAGTAGACGGAAACGGCCACGCCGGCGTCATCTAGGTAGCAGTCCATTAGAAACTGGCAAGGCGCTGGGCGGAACAGGCGCGCGGAATGGAACTGCAACCCGGCCAAGTTGCTGTTGCTGCTGGCTTGGGGATGAATAACCATTGGCATGGCTGCATCACACGCTGTCGCGGCGTCACTGCTCAGGCCCCGGATTCTGTCCCAGCCGAGATGCTCAAACTGGGATACTTCAGCCCACCAGTTTTGGGTGTCGCGGAGGAAGCTGCGCGTGTGCTGCGCCTCGCCGACTCGAAGCCGGTGCGGCACCATTGTTGCCGTGGGCGCCATCATCTGTTCAATGCCAGCAATCGGTGCATTGCGGCCCGTCAACGTCAGCTTGAGCGTCACTTCGTTTGAGTGTGTATAGTTGGCGACGGTCACTGCCCACGCTGCCTGCAGTATTGTGGCAACTGTAAAGTCCAGACTCGTCTTCTCCGCATTGACAATGATGTTGTGTCGCAATGTTGAGTTTGCGGCAGGCTGGTACGAGGCTGGCCAGCGTCCGAAGGGTTTGGATGCCGAACCAGCGAGTTGAGTATGCCAGAAACTGTCCGCATCAGAGCAGTCTCCCTGGGTCACGTAACGGACGTACTTGTTAAACTGCACTCTTCCTACTGACGGCGTGGTGTCGCGGTAGGCCCTCTGAAGCTCACTCAAGAGAAGCTGTCGAGACCAGCCGTCGTACGTGGCGTGGTGTGTGGTCCATACCCAGTATCGCTTGCCACTGGCATCTCGACTGACTATGGCAGAGCGAGTCAACTGCTGTCCCAGGCCAAGAGGCTTCTTCGCGTCCTGGCTCAGATAGGACTCTAGGTTTTGCGCATCGGTACATGGGCCTGGAGACTTTGTGACCACTTGGAAGAAACAAGACGACGACACGATGACCTGTGTGCGAAATATCGCGTGAGAAGCAGCAACGATGTTCCATGCTCGACTTAGTCGTTCTAGATCCATGTCGTCGGGAAGAGAGTAGACGAACTGGATCGAAAAGTAACCCGGGTGCGCCAAGGAGTTTTTGAAAAACTCGACTTGCAGCGGCGTGCAGGGGTATACGTCTTCGATTTCATTCCTGTCAACTCCACATTGCTCAACTGCATCTTTCATAATCATGTCCAAGCCTTGTGATTCAGAAAGAAGAGAGAAAGGCTCCATCTCATCAGCTGCATCTGGTCCTACAGCCCCCATCCTTTCAGCCAAGACAGCAAGAACGGGATATTTAATGATGTTGCCCACTGTCAGTTGAAAGCCGCTGGTCTGAGCAAGACTCGACAGGCGCATTGCATCCAGAGAATCTCCTCCCAGGCGGAAGAAGCTATCCCCGGCCCCAATCTTGTCCATGTCAACGCCAAGCACTTTGTGCCATAGCTTTTGCAGCTGGACCTCGGCCTCGGTACTTGGAGCCACCCTTTCATTTCCTGTGGCCATGAATGCAAATAACTGTTCCTTGTTGAGCTTGGATGCGGAGTCTCGCAGATATTTACGATCCAGTTTGGCAGAAGTTGACAATGGCAGCCTAGTTACCGGAATATAAGCCGAAGGGATCATGTATCCGGGCAGCACGTCAAGTAGCTTTGCCTCTATTTCTCCCACGGTCTCTTTCAGCTTGTTTCTGGATACTTCCGAATTTGCAATGATCTCAGCATCAGCACCAGCATTAGCATCAGCTGCTGCCCTATCTTTATCTCCCATAACGATAAAGGCAGCAAGAAGCGCTGAATCCCTTGAATCTGCAGGCGTGACAACTTCAACGGCTAGGTCAACTGGACTAGTGAAGCAGTTCTTGAGCTGGAATTCAACCTCTCCAAGCTCGATTCGCTGCCCTCGAAGCTTCACTTGAGTGTCCTTTCGACCTATAAACTTGAGTGTCCCATCAGCCATGTACTTGACAAGATCTCCTGTCTTATAGAACCGCGGCGGAAGTCGTATAGTTCCCAAAGGCAAGGTCCATTTTGGATTATTGATGAATGATGCATTTGTCCTTGTTTCGTCTTTTAGATATCCTCGAGCGACTCCAGGGCCCTCAATGACCAGCTCCCCAACAGTGCCAATAGGAGCCAGCTTAGTGTGATCATCTCTATCAACCACCCAAGTGACGGCGCCGACGCCGCGGCCGATTCTCGCGGGGTCGCCCAGGCGTTGAAGATTGGGCTGCCCTGCGCACCAGATGGTACACTCGGCAGGCCCGTACATGTTGATGAGGTGAGTATGCTCGGCCCACTGGTTGAGCACGGCTTTTGTGGCAGCCTCTCCGCCAATCGTCATGACTCGGAGCTGGCCGACATCAACCGGCTCAAGCCGGGCTGCAACCGAGGGAGTGAGCTGGATATGGGTTGCTTCCAGAGACTTTATGGTGTTGGCCAGGCCATTCAGCCTCTCGTGCTCGGTGGGAACACATACGCAGCCTCCACGCAGAAGCGTCGGGAAGATGTCTCCCAAGCTAATGTCGAAAGTATACGCTGCGAACTGCAGCACCCGAGAGCTTTTATCCAGCAGCATTGCAGCGCCCAGCGCAGCCGAGACCGTGCTAAGAGCAGAATGCTCAACGACGATTGTCTTGGGGAGTCCTGTGGACCCGGATGTGAGGACTGCGTACGCAGCATTGGAGGGCGAGACGCTGGTTTCCGGTGACGACAGATTGGGCGACGGGTCTTGAAGAAGTAGCATACATGTATCCGCGTCGACAACAGTGACGTCCAGCCCCAGATGCCGCATTGCAGCAACATGTGTCGCTGAGGACAAGGCGATGCGCGCCGAGGTCGTCTCCAGGATGTATTTGTGCCGACTCTGGGGATGGGATGGATCCAGGGACACCCAAGCCGCTCCCGCCTTCATCACAGCCAGCATGGCAACGACGGCCCATACTGACTTTTCAAAGCATAGAGGCACAAACATTTCGGGGCCGACGCCAAGTTCAATGAGCCGGTGTGCAAGCCCATTGGATGCCTGGGCGAGCTCTCTGTAGGACAGCCGCTCTGTTGTCGAGACCAGCGCCGGTGCATGCGCATATTCTTCCATCCGGCCGTCCAGCAGATGATGGAAGCATGTGTCGAGCGTTTCGGGGATTTCAGCGTTCCAACTGGAGATTTCGAGTTGGTCTTCTGGGCTGAGCATTTCGACATCTCCGAGGCTAGCTTCTAGACTGCACTCGGAGAACTGTTTAATCACATGGCTAAACTGCCTGACGATTCGATGCATCTGAGTCTGGCTAATAACTGTAGAGTCGAACTCCACCTTGATCGATGCGCCATCAGAAGTCATGCCGCATTCCACGACAAGTGCGTGGGCATGGAATCTGGTTTGGACCACCTCGACAGGCTCCAGCCCCTGAAGAACAGCTTGGTCCGTGTCGTCGCTGCACGAGATGCATTCACTGCCGGCGTCAGTCCCCGAATCCACGGCGTTCTGTATGACGAGCATGTTTTGAAACTGGCACGCAGCGTGGGCGCCCGCTCCCATCCTCCTGATGTTCTGCAGACCCGTCTGTTCAAACGGGATTGCCGACACCGACAGGCGCTGAATCTCCCTGAACAAGTCACCCACCTGCCAGCCACGATCAAAGCGGACTCTGAGAGGCACTGTCGCAATGGTAGGGCCGGCGAGGCGATCAACCCCGAGCATGGGCGCTGCCCTTCCGTTGGTTGTATGGCCAAACACAACATCTGCAGAGTCGGAGTACTTTGAGAGGACGAGAGCCCATGCTCCCTTGATAACGGCTGAGACGGGTATGTCCGCATCCGCCCTTTTCGAGAACTTGACTGTATGCGTCAGGCCGGCGTCGGTGACTGGGTGGTGGTTGTCTGATGGGAGCTCTGGAAAGCTGGGCAATGGAGAGTCTGCCAGCTCCCTTTTCCAAAACTCTTCTGCCTCGGCAGAGTTTACCTGGCCAATGTGCTTGATGAAGTGGTTGAAGCCGAGGGTTGGTTTCAGGCCCGTGCCGATATATGCTCTCTTCACATTGTCCTGGATGAGCTGGGCCGTCCATCCGTCAATCAAGGCATGATGTGCGGTCCAGCAGAAATAACGCTTGTCTGGCTCGTTGACAATGGCGAAACGAATCAGCGGGTCCCCCAGCTGCATGGCCTTTTCTCTGTCGCTCTCCAAGTAAGCCTGCAGGCTGTTGCCAACCTGCCACTCAACCGAGCTGTCCAGGACGAGCTGCATCAATCCCGAGCTTGTATCGACAATGCGGGTGCGGAGAATGGGCATATTCCGGACTGCAGTGTCCCATGCTTCTCGATATCGGTCCACGTCCAGCAGATCTGGCAGTGACAGCGCAGCTTGAGCAAGGTAAGTGCCCGGCTCTTTGATTGAGATGGCCACCAAGCCATCCTGGAGTGGCGTGCAGGGATATATATCCTCTATTGCGGACTTTGAATACCCGTAGCGGTTGACGACTTCGTCAACAAGGGCGCCGACGTCCTCGACATTGGGCACGGCCTCGAAAGGGAGCATGTCAGCAATGCCAGGCTGGTGCTGGTCGGTGAGCTGCACGCAAAGTGCCAGTTCGGACAAGACTGGATTTTGAAAGACGGTGGCCACGGTGAGTTGAACCCCTTCGGCTTGCGAGGTTGCAACCAACAGCATTGCACTGATAGAGTCTCCTCCTAGCTGGAAGTAGTTGTCGTCCAGTCCGATGGAGTCCGGATCCAAGCCCAGATTATCCGCCCAGAGGTCACGGACCGTGGTCTCGGCAAGGGTCGAAGGCTGTCGAATTCCCTCCGTGGCTGACGCAAAGGAGCTTATCTGCTCGACACTCATCTCGGAGACGATACGCCGCAGTCGGTTTCGATCCGTCTTTCCTGCCACCGAGAGCGGCATGCCATAGAGGGGGATGAACAGCGACGGGATCATGTACAGAGGAAGCGACTGTGCGAGGCGAGAGCTCAGGCCCGTGGTCAGCAGCGAAAGCCTTTCTCTCCCCGCTGCAGAGTACGCGACTTGTTCACCTGGGCTTGTGGAATCGCCTTCGCCGCCCACGACAACGAATCCGACCAGCATGGGGACGCTTCTGCCAACCGGCGTGATGATCTCTGCGGCAACTTCCGTGCGAGGCAGGCAGACGCGAAGATGGTGCTCAATCTCGCCGAGCTCAAATCGCTGCCCGTGGAGCTTCACCTGGCTGTCCTTGCGTCCTATGTAGTAGATGGTCCCGTCGGCAGTGTAGCGGACCAAGTCTCCGGTTTTGTAGACCCTGGTGGCCTCGGGTCGAAAACGCCGCAGCCAGCCGGGGGCTTGAACAAACACCGCCGCTGTCTTCTCGGGGTTGTTCAAGTACTCTCTCGCAAGCACATGCCCCTCGATGAGAAGCTCTCCGACGGAGCCCAGGGGTGCGAGGCGCTCATGGTTGTCGGCATCAACAACCCAAGTCGCGCAGGCGACAGCACGGCCAATATTCCTTGATTCCGCCCCGACGCTCAACCCAACGTTGATGACGTTGGTGACGGAACACTCGCTCAGGCCGTAGGCATTCACCAGCCGCAGCCTGGCGGCCCAGTAGTCGATGTCGTCTCTTCGCGGCGCCTCGCCTCCCAGGACCATGGTCTCCACGTTGGGAATGCTCTCGGCGCTGATCATCCTCGCAAAGGACGGGGTTGGATTCATCCAAGTGACCCTCAGCTCGTTGATCAGTCTCGAAATGTCATTCAGCCTGTCAATCTCGTCTGGCACGCAGATGCATCCGCCGACAATAAGTGTAGCCAGTATCTCTTGTATGCTGACGTCAAAACTGTACGATGCAAACTGCAGGACCCGAGACTCGCCATGGATGTGAAGCTCCCTGGCGCACTCCACCGCACTTGACGAGTATGCTTCGTGCTCGATGATGGCGCCTTTGGGGTTTCCGGTCGATCCTGATGTGAAGATCACGTATGCTGCATTGCAGGGCATGACTCCCGTCTCCAGGACTCGATCCGCTTCGGGAAGCATGGCCATTGTCTTGGCGTCGACGACACCGATCTTGGCCTGAATCGATTCAGAGAAGATTGAGCGGGTCTTGTCCGAGGAGAGAACAATCGTGGCTCCTACGTCGTTGACGATAGCCTCAAGTCTGTTCACGGGATGCGAGGGGTCCATTGACACAAAGGCCGCACCCGCTTTCAAGACGCCTAGTATGGCCACAATTGTCCAAACGGACTTTTCGAAGCAGACTGGCACCATATCGTCCGGTTTGATGCCAAGGCCAACTAGATGGTGTGCCAGTTTATGTGCTTGCTTATCAAGCTGCTCATATGTAAACCGACCGTCCCATCCCACAACCGCCTCTTTGTCGGGGTGCAGCCGTCCTCGCTCTTCAATCAGCTGGTGGACGCAAGCTTTCACCGCGGGAGGCAAGCCACGATTCCACTGTTCCAAGTGCTGCATGTCGGCGGGACTTGTCAAGCTGATGTCGCCGACCTTTCCGATGCCAGATTCATCGTGTAGTTGAAGGATGACGTGTTCCACTTGCTTGGTGATCCTTTCAATCTGCGTCGAATCCACGACTTGGGGGTCAAATTGGACATGAATCTCCATGCCCTCTGGGTAGGTGTTGAATAGCAAGTTCACAGCGTACGTATGAAAGTTGGCCAAATCTGCGCTCAACTCTCGAAGCCCCAGTATGGTCTTTGCGCCGGGCTCATTTGAACTTTGAATATTCAGCAGGACTTGGAAATCGCACGCTCTACGGCCATCAGCGTTGAGTGCTCGGATGTTTTGGATACCGATATGCGCGTGAGGCATCACATCGCTGCTATGCCTTTGTATTGCGCGCAAAAGATCTGAAACATTTTGGTCATGTTGAAAAGAGACTCTGAAAGGGACCGTGGCCAGTGTTGGGCCAACAATCCTCTCTATGCCCGCCAGAGATGACGTTCGGCCGCTAAAAGTCGTGCCGAATATCACGTCGTTCATGTCAGAGTATCGCCCAAACACAAGGGACCAAGCAGCAAAGATCTTGGTAGAGAGCGTGAAGTGTGATTTGGAACCATAATTTGGCAGCGGGACATAGTGTCGAAACTCTGCGCTCGCGAACGGGCGATAGTTGACGGACGGAAGGACTGGGAAACTCTGCGCAGGGGAATCGGAAACCTGTTCGGCCCAGAATTGCTCGGAAGAGGATCGTTCGGAGCTTTGGAGGTGCTTGATGAAATGGTTGAATCCTACAGCGCTTCCCTGAATGCCATCGGCGTATGCATCTTGCACATCTTGGAATATCTTGGGCAGAGACCACCCGTCATACAAGACGTGATGTATTCTCAAGACAAAGAATCTGTTTCCCGTCTTTTGGCTGCTGATGATTGCACAATAAGCAAGAGCGTCGCCGTAATCCATAATCACTTGCTTATCCTGCTGTAGATATGCATCCAGCTCCATGTTTCGCAGGACGAGAGGAGGAGATTGCTTCATGACGGCCAACACCGTCCCCAGCTCGTTTGTGCGTACCATGCGAGCGCGAAGAATGGCGTGGTGTCTGAAGACGGCCTCCCAGGCTCGTTGGAAACGATCGATATCTAGGGTGGCGGGCATCTCAAACACCAACTGCGCGATGTAAGCACCGTGATCGGTCAAAGAGAGGGCCATGAGACCCTCTTGTAATGGTGTGCATGGGTACACGTCGTCGATGCCGCTTTTCTTGACATTGCATAGAGCAGCAATTTCTTCCAGATAGTACTCGACTCCGAGCACACTCTGGCCTTGAATTAGTGCAAATGGCAGGATTTCCGCCAAATCACTTTCCTGGACTGCGCGTGCCGCCAAGGCCATGTCTGCGAGTCGGGGCTGCTTGAAAATATCATGTACAGAGAGAAGCATTCCCCCGAGTCTGGCAGCAGTGACGAGCTTGATGGCCGTAATGGAGTCTCCGCCGAGCTGGAAGAGGCTGTCCTCAACTCCAAAGCTTTCGGGGGGGATATTGAGCGTCTTTGACCAGAGAGCGTGCAGGCGACGCTGCATTTCCGTCTCGGGTGGCCTGACTTGCTGAGACGAAGAGGCAGATGAAGCCAAAACCTCTGCTACACTCATTTGGGCCGCAAGTTTCTGCAGTTTCTTGCGATCAATCTTGCCAGATGTCGAAAGAGGCATCTGCTGCAGAGCCACAAAAGCGGAGGGTATCATGTAGCTGGGTAACAGACTCAACAGCCTTGCTTTGATTGCCGGTACTTGCAACTTCAACCACTGGCTTTCCTGGTCTCTCTCTTTAACATCTGAGGAACCCGGTTCTCTGGTAGCCAGTTCGTCTGCTCGGCTCAGGAAAGCTGCAAGCATTGGCTCCCCATCAAGAGGAGTTATCAGCTCCACAGCCAGCTGCACCTCTTCGCTCGCAAGGCTTGATGCCGGGATGCACTGCTGGAGGTGATGCTCCACGTCTCCAAGCTCAAGGCGCTGGCCTCTCAGTTTGACTTGCGTGTCTTTCCGGCCAATGTATCTGATGGAGCCATCGGGATTGTATTTTGCCAAGTCGCCGGATTTAAAAATTCGGTCGCTGCGACGGCCTTTTGCATCCTGAAGCCATCTGGGGCTACTTGGAAACGCTTCTTCTGTTTTTTGGGCGTCTTCAAGATATTCTCGTGCCAAAATGTGGCCTTCCACAATCAACTCTCCTATAGCCCCGATGGGAACTAGCTGGCGGTGATCATCCCTGCGGGCAATCCACAAGGCTCCTCCAACGGGCTTCCCAATTGTTGACGGATCCGAGTCTGGCCCCAGCCATGCGTTATAGGCCGACTTGACAGAACATTCTGCCTGGCCGTAGCTGTTTAGAAGCTTGACTTTGGTGGACCATCTCGCTACATTGTCCTGTGTCATTGACTCTCCCCCCAGCTTCAGATACTCGAGGCAGGGCACCTCTGAAGGATCTAATAGATTTGCCACAGCTGGCGTTAGGCCCGCCTGGTTGACTCGCTTGCTGCGGATGAAACCAGCCAGATCGTTGAGTCTCTGGAACTCTGACGGGATGCAAATGCAGCCACCGTACATTAGTGTTGCAAAGATGTCGCTGATACTAACGTCGAAAGTGTAGGCGGCAAACTGTACTACACGACTGTCACGACCCAGGCATTCGACAGCTCCATGAGCATGCAAGCTGGTGCAGAGAGCTTTATGCTCCAGAACAATGGCCTTGGGCATACCGGTGCTGCCAGAGGTATGTAGCACGAATGCTGCGTCACTCGGTTGAGCCCGGTCAGCAATAGTCTTTGTCGGTGCCTGCTGCTCGAGGAGACTCTTCTCCAACACCAGCACTTCTTGAGGCAGATTCGTGCAATCCGACGCATGCAAAGGCGAAGTAAGCAACATCCGAGTCTTCAGCCGGGCCAAAATGGGTTCGAGGCGCGCTCGTGGGTATGAGGGATCCAGGGGGACGCAAGCTGCCCCTGCTCTCAAGACTCCCATCATGCCAATGACTGCCCAAACGCTCTTTTCGAAAATGAGGGGCATCATGGTGCCAGGGCCAACTCCGCGGCTTGTTAAATAATCCGCCAACCTGGAGGATTGCAGCCTCAGCTCATCGTATGTCAACTGGCCATCCCAAGAGTCGACTGCTACGGCGTTGGGATACTCTGTTGCGCGTTGATCTATGCAATCATGTATGCAGGAGTCGACCACGTCTGGAAGTGTCCCGTTCCACCCGATGACTTCTGCCAAGTCTTCCGGGCTGGGCCTGTTGATATCTCCAATGTTTAATCGAGCATCTCCACGGCACAGTGCTTCAAATACATGTTTGAAGTGGTTCATCACCCGCTGCATTTGCACGGCAGGGATCAGGCTCGAGTCAAATTTGACGTCGAATGCCACGTCGTCTGCCCCCAGGCTACAGACAAGAGTGACTGGGAATCTGGTAAAGTCGAGGCGATTTCTAGAGATATCCTCCGCTTGCAGAAACTCATCGTTTCCATCCATGTCTGCCTGCTGTTGTTGTTGTTGTTGTTCAACGACGAGCAGGGTCTGGAAGTCGGTCGCCACCCGAGCCTCTGGGGACGCCAGCCTAATGTTCTGTAGGCCGGTTTGCTCGTATGGGATCATTTCGTTGGAATGTTTCTGGAGGTTCTCAAGATATTGCGAGACATCATCGGCGCTGTTCACTTTGACTCGAATGGGAACGGTCGCGACAGTTGGGGCTACCATCCGATCTATGCCCACGACAGGGGCGTTGCGACCGTTTAGAACGCAACCGAAGATGACGTCTGACGAGTCTGTGTAGCATGAGATTACTAGAGCCCATGCACCCCGTATGAGTGTTGACATTGTGGCTTCAGAGCGCAGTCGACGCAAGATTGGTACCGACAGTGAGAGCGTCTTGTCCGCACAGGGTTCGTATGCAGTCGATAACGAGAAGAGATCTGACGGTGAAGACCCAGAGAACTGGGCTCGCCAGTACTCTTGCTGAGCAGCGGTGTCAATCTGCTTTAGATATCTCACAAAGCCTTGAAATTGCGGCGGTTGATATGAAGCACTGGTGCCGAACCCATATTCATCTCTGAGATGCTTAAATACCATTGGCAGCGACCAGCCGTCATACAAGGCGTGGTGGCACGTCCACACAAAATGATGCTCATTCGCCGACTCATTGTTGACCAGTTGATAGCGACTTAGGCTATCTCCAAAGTCCATCGGGGTGCGTCTATCGCTCTCGAGAAAGCTCTCCAGCTCAGCAGCTTTTGTGATCTGAAGCTCGGCCACTTTGCAAAGGACAATCTGAATTGTGCCGTCAACTTCCGTGTGTACCAGCCTAGTTCGTAAGATAGGGTTCTGAGCTACGACTGAATCCCACGACGCGCGGAACCGGTCGATATCGACGTTGGCACTCAATTTCAGTATCTGTTGTGAGACATATGATCCAAGATGTTTAGTGGAGAGAGCCATGAGACCCTCTTGGAGCGGAGTCGCAGGAAAGGCGTCTTCGATCAACATTGGATCAACCCTGCAGAGCTTGGCAGCCATCTGTTTAATATCGTCCACTGCCCAGCTCGCTTTCATGAGAGCAAACGGCTTTATCCTGCCTTCCATCTTGCTCTGAGGCACACTGGAGATCCTCTGTGCAAGAGCAGAGAGCTCTGGGTTTTTGAAGACGTCTTCAACGGAGAGGCGAATTCCCATCTCGTCTGCAGCAGAAACCAACTTCATTGCCCGAAGCGAGTCGCCACCGAGACGCAAAAAGCTGTCCTCGGCTCCTATTAGGGCTGTTGGTATATCCAATACCTCCCCCCAGAGGGCTTGCAACTTCAGCTCCATCTCGCTGGATGGTGGCGTTTTCTCTTTCGTTGGGTGCGCGGTGATGAGCTGTTCCAATGAAAACCCAGTCGCTAGATCTCTCAGCCTTTTACGGTTAATTTTCCCAGATGTTGTGAGAGGCATGACGGCCACAGGCACGAAGGCGGATGGAATCATGTGCCTTGGTAGGAACCTCGATAGTCGAAGGCCAACTTCAGGATAGACCTCCTGCAGTGACCGTGGCGCAGGAAGGATTTCGTCGCCTTGCTGCTGTGCTATCTCGTTCTTGGGGTTCTCGCAGATGAAAGCCATGAGGACCGAATGGTTGCCGCTCGAGTGTTTGATGACATCGACAGCAACCTCGGCAGCCGTTGGCAGAGACCGTTGAATGTGGAATTCAATCTCCCCCAGCTCCACGCGCTGACCACGCAACTTGACCTGGGTATCGCGTCGGCCGAGAATGATTATCGCGCCGTGTGAGTCGTACCGCACAAGATCCCCCGTGCGATACAATCTGGGCGCCTTGCGCTCAGAACTGCCGGGATGCCAGGCCGGAGCCTCTATGAAAGCGGCGTCTGTTTTCGCCCGGTCATTCAGATACCCCGTGGCCAGAACAGGGCCTTCTATGACCAGTTCACCAACTGCTCCTATGGGGGCAAGCCTGTTAGGATCCGCCGCGTCCGTGATCCAGCTGATTCCGTTGAAGCTTTTGCCAATGTATCCAGTCGGCGTGTCGCGGCTGACGCCGGGATTGCAATGAGTCCAGATTGAGCATTCCGCAGGCCCGTAGCTGTTTATCAAGTACACGTCATTGGCCCAGGTCATGAAATTCTGCCGCGTCGCCGGCTCGCCTCCAAGCACGAGCGTCTTCAAGCCGGGCACATCCTGGGGTTGCAAAAGTCCGGCAACAGAGGGCGTTAAAAACATCCAATTGACGCCCATCTGCTGGATTGCCGCCGCCAGATTGTTCACCCTATCGTGACTGGATGGCACACATATGCAGCCGCCGCACAGCAGTGTGGTGAATATCTCTCCAACGCTGACATCGTAGGTATAAGCCGCAAACTGCATAACCCTCGACCCATCATTTAGCCGCAGCGCTTTTGAGTGCGACTTGGCACTGGTACAGTATGCCATGTGGCTGATGATGATGCCTTTAGGGATTCCGGTGCTGCCAGAGGTAAAAAAGACAAACGCAGCAGAGCTGGAGGATACTGGCTCTGGCTCGGGGGATGCAGAAGCAGCTGACGGGATGGCGTCTAACGAGGCGGCATCAACTGTCAAGACGGCGGACTCGGTCTGTTCAAGTGTTGCTCTTTGGGAGAGAGAGCAAAGCACCAGGTTTGCTCCACAAGTCTCTAATATAGACTTCATTCGTAGCACTGGATGCGAATGATCCAGCGGCACTATGGCGGCTCCGGCCTTCAACACAGCCATCATGGCAACGACGGCCCATTTCGATTTCTCAAAGCAGACTGCAACAAAGGCATTGTTTCCAACGCCAAGTCTGCCAAGATGATGAGCCAGGCGAGACGAGCCATCATCAAGCTCCTGATAGGTGAAATCTCCGTCGTGTGCGTGGACTGCAGTTGCATTTGGAGATTTCTGTGCTTGCTGCTCGAACAGATGGTGGACGCAAGCATCTACGGCATTTGATGCCACGGTATTCCATTCCTGGATTTCGTTCTTGTCCTGGGGAGACATCATGTCGATCTGCTTCAACTTTTGCCCTGGCGCATGATTGAGCAGTTGCCGTATGATGTGGACTAATTGGTTCAACATGCGCCCTGTTTGCCTCCTGTCTATCACGTTGTCGTCGAAAAAGGCAGTGACGTGTAAATTGCCGCCAGTAATGTTGCAGTTCAGGACCAAGGCGTGCTTCATCCGCTTATTGCGCGGGACTTTGGTCTGAGAACCGAATTCGTTGAAGAAGATTGCGTTCAGGGGGCCATCAGTCAGCCCAGAGCTGGATCTTTTGTGCCCGTTGCCAACTTCCTTCTTCTCAGAGCGCTTTTCATCAATGGCCACTTGAAAGTGTTGTTCAAAGTCTCGCATAAACTGGTCTATGGATTGTTCATCGTTGACTCGCACCCATAAGGGCACCGGTAGCTCATTATTATCGCCACTAATCTTCTCTCGGGCTGAAGAATTTGAGTCAGATGTCTCAAACACCACATCGTCGTTGTCGGTATAGCGAGCAAGGAGAATTGCCCATGCAATCCGTACCACAGTCGAACTTGGAAAGGGAGAGAGAGGTCCGAATTCAAAGTCAGAAGCCACACGTGAATTCCCACGGAGTTGGTAGTTTGCGGATGGCAACGTGGGAAAGGATGTGCCGACATCTTCATCCAGCTTGCTTCTTACAAGCCTGCAAGTGACATTGTCGTCCGCAGCATTGGGCCTTTCCACATCATGTGTCCCAGGACGACTAACATGTCCATTGAGCTCCGATGCCGGCTCGGCAAGGGAAATTGTGTCGTTCATGATGTGTTGATTGATGTTTGCTACTCTCTGAGACTCTGAGAAAGTTGTTGAAGAATCGTCTGAGCTTGAGGTACGATTTACCATGGGTGAACTGGCATATTGGTTGCCGCAAATACTTCTCTTGTTAATGAGTATGGCTTACCCGCCTGAGTCCGCACATACAATTAACTATTAGTAGTACTTATTTCAAGGTAGGGCTAGCTCGCCTACGTGGAACATGAACATGTAGCTCGCCGAAATCGCACTGACCAGACAGTGCATCCATCAAGTTACGTATGTACATCCCATTGCAGATATCTCTGGTACTCTCTCCATGGGATAGTATGCGCGCAGAAATGGTATTCTCAATGAAGATTAGTTCCATTGTGAAATACATCATATTTTCTTATATCCACCTCACATATCCATTGCCCCACAACAGATTATAAGCCCGAAGGGGTGTCTGTAGATGCCATTTCGTGCACCCCTGTGCTCGCAGTCCCTTTTCCTATTTTGCATCAATATATAAGAATTGGGCACGTAGGGTGGAATTAGGGACTAATCATAATTTTCGAATAGGCGATCCTTTATCTTTAGGTAGCTGGGGGCTTCCCTTGCTTATGGCCAGCATCAACCGTTGCCGCATGTTGACACTCCGGTCACGCGTACTCATAGAACGGTCACTGATTATCCTTTTCACGGCATCTTCATCCGGTACCTACCTATATCCGATACGAAGCTGCTTACGGTACCGACTATGGCACCCGGCCCCAGTAGCTGAGGTGGGTGGGCTCAGTACATGTACATACCTTTGACCCTTGTCAAGTGCTTTTTAAAACATGGGTGGCCCGGCGGGAGTATTTAAGAACGCTAAATAAATAATATTAATATTTAGTCTGCTATTGAGCTATTGTATCTTCCTTACCATGTAGGTCCTTGTGCCAAGTGCTTACTCTACATCGCTATGTACCAACTTTTCGCAGCCTCAATAGGTGAATCTAGAGGCTGTGGCAAAAAAAAAAAAAAGCTGCTTTAACCGCTGCAACAAGAAAGCAGCTTCCGCCTGTTGCAACATAGTACCTACTAACTTCGTACTTGTAGCTCTACTACCCAGGTAAAAGTAAGCGCACAAGAACTTGACATCTATTACAAAAGTACCACTAATACATTCATAACCACGTTTTTTATAATATTAAAACCTAATAAAGTTACTATATGTTTATAAGTGTATATACCTAGTATATCTTATGTAGTCCTAATCCGAAATAGTATATAATATCATGTTATAGCATACTATTATTTAATATAGTATAACTTAAAAGGCTTTCTTATTATTATTAATGCATTTAAGTTATTGTAATCAGTTATTATTACCTAGTACCTACCTATGTACATGCATGTATTTTCTCCATAGACTCTCCATGTGTTCTTACGTTGGTGCGTAGTACTATAGAGGTTTGCTGACATAGCACTCCAGGTGTAGGGGTCTACGGTAAGCTTTACTTTGTTACCAATCTCTTTTAGCTTGTATTTTACTTCTATCAAGTATGCCAATGTCGACGGAATCCCGCTCTTCCCTCCAGTCGTAAGACTTTACTTTCAAGTACGCTCTCTAATGGTGCACGACGGTTCAAAGACCCCTGATTCGGGGATGGTCCATGAAAGTGAGCTTGAGAAGTCACCAGCAGCAGTTGGCGATAGCCTGCCTGAAGAAAGCCAGAATGCAGTGGCCAGCCACACAGATGACTCTCCTGATCCAAGTGCTCTCCAAATCAGTCTAATCTTCATAGCTCTTGCGCTATCCATCTTTCTCATAGGACTGGTAAGTTACAGTATCTCTGTCAAGATACAACGCTTACCTTGGCAATAGGACGGTACTATTGTGGGAACAGCCATTCCAAGCATCACCCAAGAATTCAAGCAGCTCAATGATGTGGGTTGGTATGGCTCTGCTTAGTATGTCTTTCCACAAATGTATATGGCAGCCTGCCATCTGCTTCAGCTAACGGTTGATAGTCTTGTCACGACATGTGGGATGCAACTCTTCTATGGGAGGCTGTATACTATTTTCCCCGTCAAGATCTGTTTTCTTAGTTCAATTTTCATCTTCGAGATTGGGTCTTTGGTTTGCGCCGTTGCACCAAACTCGGCTGCATTTATTATCGGGCGTGCGATTGCCGGCCTGGGCTCCGGTGGCGTTATATCAGGCGTGTTTATGTGAGTATAGAGACTACTGAGCACTTCAATTCTTGGACTCGATTCATCATACTGACACTTGTTTTCTATAGAATCCAATCGTATGCCATTCCGCTTCGCTTCCGGCCTACCACAGGCGGTCTTCTCGGAGCAATGGAGGGCATTGCAATGGCTGTCGCGCCGCTTATATCTGGTGCCCTCACTCAACATGTCACATGGCGATGGTGCTTTTATATAAATCTTCCTCTCGGCGGCTTCTCTTTGGCAGTGATTACCTTGCTTTTCCGCAACCCGAAAAACCAAGAGCTCGTTCCAATGTCGTTCACAGAGAAGCTATTGTCTATGGATCTGCTGGGGCTTTTCCTTTTCGTGCCCAGCGTTGTTTGCCTGCTTCTGGCACTGCAGTGGGGTGGAACAACATACGCCTGGGGCAATGCGCGAATCATCATACTTTTAATACTCGCCGCAGCATTGTTCAGTTCCTTTGTGTTCGTACAGAGATACAAGAAGACGAATGTGACTCTACCCATCCGAGTCTTGAAACAGCGCTCCGTCATTGTTAGTATTGCATATGCGTTTTTCATGGGAGGTTCGATATTTTTGGTTGAATACTACGTAAGGGTTCCCCTATCATTCTTGTTAACCGGCATGAAATCGCTAAACAAAGCCTTCTCACAGCTTCCCTTGTGGTTTCAATCAATTAAAAATGCATCTCCTGCTCATTCTGGGATCATGCTGCTTCCGATTCTCATCGCCTTGGTCCTAACAGGAGTTACGACCGGCTTCATCGTCACCGCCCTGGGTTACTATGCGCCCTTTATGATCGCCGGCAGCGTATGCATTTCAATTGCGGCAGGGCTAATGACAACCTTTAAAGCCGCTACCGGCCAAGGCAGCTGGATTGGTTACCAAGTGTTGTTTGGCATTGGAGTGGGCATGGGATTCCAACAGTCCTTTCTAGCTGTGCAAACCGTATTGCCACAAAAGGACATCCCAATAGGCACGACGGCAGTCATCTTTGCCAACAACTTGGGCGGTGCAGTTTTTGTCTCTGTTGCGAACAACCTCTTCACCAATGAGTTGTCAAAAAGCTTACGTCAACGTCTCCCAGCACTGGATCCCGCAGCTATCTTAGGAGCAGGAGCTACAGGGTGGAGGAGCAAGGTCAGTGATGCCATTCTAAGTGAGGTCCTGACGGCATATAACACTGCCATCACACGAACATTCTTCTGTCCCATGGCTTTAGGTTGCGCCGCAGTCGTGGCCGCCGTATTCGTTGAGTGGAAATCTGTAAAGGGCAAAGGTGCTCAGGAGGAGAAAGGTGGCTCCCCAAGCGTGGGGTCCGCAGAGGGTGAGAAGATTGGCGGCTGATCCGATGATGAGAAAGGGTACTATTGATCTACAAGTATGTCCTTGGACTGGGGTGAATATACATGGGTTGCAGGGTTAAATTACATTCATTCAAATGGTTCTGAATAATGTTCGGAAAACTTCAGTAATCAACTTCGGTAATTCAATTGCAATAGTACAAAACGATTTTAGATACTATTCGGAAACCTTCAGTAATCAACTATACTAAAGTGTAAATATTAGTCTAGTCTCCGTGTTATTGAAATTTCCATCCTTACTAGGAGCAGCCTAAAATCTTACCGCATTCAAGCTTTTGCTCCACGTATGTCTACTTCCGGTACACGAGCCGTGCCGCGTTTTTAGTCGATGGATACCAGATCTAGAATATCTGATTACTATTAGTTAGATCCCACCACTGAGACAAGAGTTCAAATGCGCCGAGCCCATGCCGACCGCTTGGGCCATGCAGGCCTACCATGTACTGGTAGAGGACTGTCCTTTCGGAAATATTTTTCCGAGATATTGGAGTCAGTTTTAGACCAATCTAGAAAAGCTTCGGTTGCTGACAGGAGCCACGAAAACACGGACTTTGAAAGCAATACGACTATTTCTTACATGTGTGTTCTTAGCCGTGTATACCTCCATTGACCTGTTGAAGAAGTTACATCGCTAGGAAAATCCCAGCACTTCTGACATGTGATGGCGATCACCCAAAGAACGAATACATGTGCCTTGAATCAAATATCGGCCCCTAATTCTTCACGACAGGAGTCCGTTTATCTCACGAGGACAACCCAATTTTGTCTTAAGCTTAGCGTCTGGTCAGCACCATGATGGTAGTGCTTCTACACACATCTCACATGATCTCCTGGATTCCCACCTGTTAGGGTAACATCCGCGGTGGGCAATGAATGCGGCTTGGCATCGTTGGATTGCGCGCGAATCTGATGAAACGGTAATTTATATGCATGTCCCTATGAGCGATTAAGAGTGACTGAACGATTTAACAACTTCAAGACACATCACAAGTCCTCGTTTAATCTTTGTGTTACGAGCTGGTCCCTCGCAAACGGTTACTCCCTAAGAGACAGCCAGTTCCTTTACAGTCCTAGAAAACTTGCGAGTTTGTATGGCGGGCAACAATATTTTCAGCAGCGTATCCCTAAGTCCGCTTCCCGCTGGCATCAACCTTTCTTGTTACACTTTGAGACTATGTAGCTAGGAGTTTCTTCCGTGCTTTGTGCGCTCTACCAAATCTGTCACAGCTCAACTCCCCTCTACTGTGCGCCAAGGTATTCGTATACGGCCTCACACCAGAATGGACGCTTCTTGTAGTCTCCCAGCTTTTCAGGCATGCTTTTGATAGCACTCAGAAGAGACTGCCCATTTCCTTCATTTTTGATATCGGCCAGCGAAGTAAGATATGAGCGTACACAGAAGATGACCGCTTGGGACTTGGGCAGCCGGTTCAGCGTTTGGTGCTCTACCCTGAGATAAGACGTGGAGAGATCAACACTTTGCTCTGTCTCCGGCTTCTCTTCCCCTTGTTCAGGGTAAAAGTTATTGCCATCAAGACGGAAAAGGTCTGAGCCATCGACCTGAAGACTCCACTAGATTTGGGACATGTAAGAAATTAGCAATTGGCCTTCTAACGTAAAGGAGTAAAGAAAGAGTACGACATGAGCAAGGAGAAGGGATCTTACATTCATACGCTCAATGTAATTTCCCGGTGCGAGTCGTTGCAAGTGACGATCGGCCCCTTTCCCAATTCTCTCTGCATATCCTGGAACCGGCTGGTGGATCTCTCTCATGGACATTCCCACCTTTGCCCGGCTCAGAAATCCTCCCGGAAAACAGGCAATGTATCCTTGAAGACGAATCTCCCCTTCCTCGTCGGGGCACATGATGTAGAAGTCCTCTTCAACGCTCTCGCCCAAGTTTTGTAACATGTCGGCGTGGCTGAGTTCCTCAATGTTGATTGAGTGCGATTTGCCTGTAACGAGGTTGCGCAATGTGGTTCCCTCAATGCGAAACATTGTAGGGAACCTGTGTGGGAGATGATTGACCATGATTGCTTCATAGAGCTCTGCAATTGCGGGATTGACGATATCGCTGGTGCCAATCGCATCGGCTGCATGCTCACGCATCACCATCTGCCGTTCCTTTATGCGATTCATGTAGCCATGGTCAATACGAATCCATTCGTTCCGAGACATTTTTTTAATTCCTTGATAAGTCAATGGGATGATTGGGACGAGAGGTAGGTCATGGCTTCTTACCCATGGAAACATGAGGCATTGTAAGGAATGGCCTGTACTGGATAGGATGCACTTTGGTATAGTCAAAGTCATTCAGAGGCTCTATTTCTGGAAATTCCAAGCCATCACGGCCAGCGGTTTTGGCATCGTTGCTTTTCCATGGCTCAGATGCCTTCTTCCCAGCCTGCTTCTGTAGCACGGAGTCAGGAATAATTGCTTGAAACGGTAATGAAAGAAGGGAATCACAATGCAGAGAACTAGGCGCCGTGAAACATACCAATGCTGAGAGCTTCCACAGCACATAGGCCGCTACCAAAAGAACAAAGGATGTAGCTATCATTCTTGACACTGGCTCAGTGTAAAAGCCGTACACTACCTGTTAGAGAGAAATGGTAGAAGCCCCGACAGAGCGAGACGATAGATGCCCAAGGAACGAACATTCAATATCACAGATGCCGAAACAATTTTATAAGCGTCATGTAATCGACGGTGACCCACCATCTTATCTAAGTCGTACCAAGTTCGTATATCAATAAGGGGGATCAAATGGGAGCGTATTTGTCCATTTAGCTTGCCTATTACTGATCCTACCTACGAGGGGAAAGGTGGCGAGTACGTTCGTTGTGTCTTGCCGACGATGCTACAGAATTTGCGATTGAGCGTGATGGTTGACCATCCCACTTCTTGCTTCATGGCCCCCCAATTGGTACTTGGACTTGGCCAAGTGCGGATGGCAAAGCGTGGGCGATCCACAAGACGCAATGAACTTTTTTCCCAAGTTTTTAAGAAATCAAATAATGATCCTTGGATTGTACCTTGTAACCAATAAGCCCCTAAATTGAGGCGTAGCTAATTAGTGTTTAATTGAGGGCGCCATTCTTGAATCGGGCCTTGGATGAGTGCAATATGCTAGTGCTTAGTCGTAGGATTTGAGCAAAGGAGTGTTTACATAAATTGTGATAGTCAAGGATTCAACACCCCAATTAGACACCCCACGAATTACAGCAAAGATCAGATATACATTCTTTTTAATGTTGGTACCGAGTACGGGTATTGACGACGCGATGTGTGTGTAACAGCATTTGTAGGCTTGTCACACGTAACGCCACTCCAAGTGAATAAGAATACAAGTCGAAAAGAGCAGCACATGATCGAAATATGAGATTTCAAGGCGGTATGGCGACGCCAGAATTTGCATAGGAGGTGTCTTATACAAGCTAGATAAGTTCTGACCGACGTAGTACAAAGGAGGCAATTACGTGATGGGATATTAAATGTCATAATGGTAACAAAGTTTCGTCTGTTACTATATGAAGAGCTAGACGACGATTTACGAGAAGTCATCAAGGTAGTCTGACTGGAAGTCATCTTAGATATATTCTCAATAAAACTCCAAGTTATAGCTACCAGGGGCTTGGCCTCGCAGCTGCAGACTGCGCCTTCGGCTCTACCTATTTTCCCTTTGGCCTTTCAATTCCCGTAAAACAATCTTTAGATTGACTACCTGACAAAACTCGGTATCCAGGCCGGACAGATGAACCGAATGAACAGTCTCAGCATCGTAATATCGCCCACCAAAAGTGGTATCATAAGAGCCCGTTGCATCTTGGACAAGCAGAATACGCCCTTTACTGTCTTCTCCATCAACCCCATCAACAACGCCTAGATCAGAGGCCATTCTCAACGTAGAACTAACACAATGTTCCGTCATCAGGCCACAAACAACGAGAGTGGTAATTTTGCGCTCACGGATGGCCTCCTCCAGATTGGTGCCGTAGAATCCCGAGTTTTTATGCTTGGGAAAAGTTGGCTCAGAGGGCAAGGGAGCAGCATAGGATTGGAAATCCACTGCACCATTTGCCGGATGCAGTGGTGATTGTGGCAGAGTTGAGTGATGGCAAACATGGAAAATGTTGCTGGGTGCAGCAGCCCGGAAAGCAGCCAGAAGCTCTTTGACATTTTCCTCAAAGTTGGGTGTTGAGCGCTTTCTTCCCCAATGATTCGGGTCATTAAAGCCCTGTTGAATATCGATCAAGAGAAGACCATAGTCTGAGTTGGTGGAAGACATGGCTAAACGATGAGAATAGAAGGCGGGAAAGGAGAAGGAGTTCAAACAATGATCAATGTGTGTTGCAACACTCTTTGAAAGATAGATGGAGGGGCATTTTAAGTATTATCGCACCACAAGCAGTAAGAAAATTGCGATGCCAGGGAGTAGATTACATGTGGGGGGAACAATATTGGGGAAAAGTTTGCTGTAACAGCGCCCGCGAGCAGGGTACGTGTACGGTAACAAGCAATATAAAACAATGGTAGTATGTTAATGTTTTACAAGTTATTATAGAGTCATACTTTGCCTATTTCTAAGGCTCATATACCTAATTAGGTAACTTAATTCGCAATGTGTGATACATATTCTTCTTTATATAATGTAATTACATAAAGCCTTATAGGGCCCTAAAGGTACATAGGTAGGTTATTACACCACATGTAAATGTACCTACCTACATGTAGGAATCTATCATTTAGCCCCCTTGGGGTCAGTCCTTTACAAAATTCAAGACCAGGTGCAAGATCCAACTATGTTGTCTTACATATACCCCTTCCATGTAGTGCAATAAACACGCGTATGCCTACCTAAGTGGGTACTTACTGACTCCAGTAGTCGAGATACTGTAGAAAAGAAGTGGCAATACTAATGCAAGCGTTTAGTAAACTACCGAGGCAGGGGCAATCAAAAGTTCTTGTCAGCATGAACTCCGGGCTGGTCAGATCACTGCTAATAGACGTCCAAAGGCGGATACGCAGAGATCCTCCACGGTCTACAGTATTACCGCATACTAGACGCATACGAGAAGCTGCCTGCAGTAGCGCATATGCAGGGGGCCGCAAGCGATTCCGAGCGCCCAGACAACAATCGAGATAAGTAGACTATCTACATGTACTAGCGACCCGAGATTACGTGTGCCCCACTGAATGCATCTACACAGGTAAGAGTACTGTAGATGCCAGGTAATAAATAGTCTAGGTATAGTATTCGGCAGTTTTCGTCCAAGGAACATGCACTGGCAAGGGGTGGAAGAAATACACCACACCAGCATGCACTGAATGTGGTGCTTTAGTGTGAAGATCCGTCCGGTGTTATCTTTTCACCGTCTGACGGGTAATCCAGACCCCTCTTGATCCTCCAACAGCAGCGAGGCTTGAAGCGAGGCTTTAGGCTCTTTGGAGTACCTATCAATTGTCCATGTACCCCGCACATGTGCAACTTGAAGAGGAAACATCCACTATTATCTCCGTGATTACAGGTACATGTAATAGGCCGAGCCTTCTACCTTCCTAGGTATCTACCTAGGTAGTTGAGAATACACCTGCGAAACGCCCATCTAGCAGCTGCTATTGTTCTTCTCAGAGGGCAAGTCTGGTCTTCACAGTCACTTATCCCACCTTTTTGCTCTCAGTCACGCGCTGCGCTACAATCGCCGCCAGAATGGACCACCCTCCAGAGGTCGTCGCACTGCTTGAGAAATTTCCTGTGCTGAGGAAAGCCTTTGAAACGGGAGTCGAGGTGATACTCAGCCTTCTTCGAATCTGCTCTCAACGTGGCTGTAAAGGAAACCATTGCTAAGCTTGCGCTCATTAGTCTCACGACGGCCGCGAAGAGAAACTGCTCTCCTTTGTCCTTTCGCACCCCGATATTGACAACTTACGGGGCTCTCCCACCAAGATACTCTCGGCCATTGATGAATTCTCGGCCAGCCAAGACTTCCTCATCAGCATTGGTGGTCACAAAGCGGCAGTTTTATCTAGGCTGATTGCTGAGGAAAAGCCTCAAACCGCCGTTGAGTTAGGTGGCTACCTGGGATACTCTGCCATATTATTTGCAGATGCGATGCGCCGCAGTAACCCTGCCCAACAGCTCCGCGTTTTCAGCCTCGAACTAAGCGCCGAGTTCTCTGCTATTGCTAGACAACTGATAGAGCTTGCTGGGCTCTCTGACATTGTAACAGTTGTCACAGGCCCGGCCGAAGAGTCTCTTCGAAAACTACATGCGCAAGGCACTTTGACCAGCCTCGATTTCTTATTCTTGGACCATGGCGAAGAATTATATCCTGCAGACTTCAAGGTCTGCGAGGGTCTGGGTCTTTTCCACAAAGGAACGGTTATTGCCGCAGACAATGTTGTACGGCCCGGCGCCCCTGAATATCGTAACCTAGTGAGAAGCCACTCAAGATTACAGAGTACTGGGGTGAAAGGGTTAATCCAACCAGGAGATTTCGAGGTAAGAGTTTGAAGATGAAGTCAATTTGGCCGCTAACTTTGGTAAAGGACGAAATCGAGATCAGCCGCGTCATAGCTTAACCGTGCCATCAGTACTTTGTTGCTTGAAGATTGCAACAGGGGCGGAATGAATCGAATGCCTGGTTAAGGCCTAGGATGTAGTCTAGTCTACAATAACGGTTAGAACCGTTTTCAGTCGTAAATCAACTACATCAATACTACTTGATACTCTGATCCCCCCTTGGATTTTGAGTCATAATGGCGACGTATCTTCTCATCATCATCTTCAACTTCACAAGTCTACATGTAGTTACGTGTGAACAAGCATGTAAGCACCCCAAAGTGACTTAGACCTGTGACACTTCAAGCTTAGACTGAAAATGTCATGGACCGGAGTATTCTATACTAGTAGCTCAAGGATTGCTGCTCACACACCGCCCTCTATTCTCCGCAAAGCCAGGATGATACCTGGTCGATTCAGCCACATTGGAGGGCACAGGGCTGCCAAGCGGTCAGGTACGTCTAATCCTAAATAGGCACTATTGGCTTCAAGGATCTATAACGTCAGAGCAGGATCGAAATCACCAGTGCTTCGTAAAGGGACTTTTGTTACTGACCTAGACGCGAGGTATTTCTCGGAGATTTTCATGTTGCCATGCTGTCTAGTAAGCTGTGGGATGGAACTTTTGCCACTTGGGAGGTATGTTGAGTGGCAGTGGCGGAAGTCAGAGGTAATCATCGACACGGTACTGTAAGTCAGGTTTTCAAATTGGACTATCTCTAGCATGTACAATCCCCATTGGACAGTCTTTCCTAACTTGCCTTGACCAAGATTATACGCAAACACTGTCCTTCACAATGGCTTCTCGTGTGAGGCGCATGCCGCCAATCAAGGTGGATGACTATCGCTGGCAAACACCCCCTAATGACCCAACGTTGCGAGTGCGTCGTGCCTGTGCGACTGAGGCCATGTTTGGCATTCAAGCAAGTGCCCAGCATGGCGAGAACGACTTCTACATTGCAGCTACTGTTCACTTACATGCTCCGTTTCCCGGATCAGAGACGTTCACTCTCCGTGACTTGGAACGGAAGACGCAGTCCTCTCTAGTGGAGCTCAGGTTCTCGCAGCCACAAATAGCTGTGACTCTCTCGTGGGACAAGCAGGGTAATTGTTCGCTTCAATACCGAGCCCCAAAAGACATGGATGAAGTGCGCCGTTGGGCAGCCGGCATTGTGACTGCAGACGCGAATTTATGTAGCCCAATGGAATTGCGAGATCAAGTTGAAGATAAAAAACAGAACAACAGCACGTCCAATAGCAATGCCGTTATGCTTTACATATCTGCACCAGTATCCGCACTGGATACAGTACTGAATAATTCCGAGGAGGTTCATTATCTCTTCCGCTTCAGTCATTGTCTCTTTGATGGGGTCGCAGCGCGGCAGATGGTGACTATGCTTTTTCAGAATCTGGTTGCCGAGATATTCGACTCTTCAATCAGTGGACATGAAGATATTGATTGGAAGCAAAACACAAGCAATATGACTCCCGCTTTTGTAGAGTTGATGGACCCCCAACAGGACCTATCCGGCTCCAGATTGGATCGCACGGTGCATGACCACATGGCACTCATGAAAAAGAAGGTTAGTAGAACGGTCATCATACGATCTTTTTATGGTTTCAATGCAATGTAATAACCATCAACAGAGTACCTTGGGACTGAAGCCGCTGCAATCTAGGCCTGGAAGGCCACAGACGGAGTTTTATACCTTCACAAAAGATGAAAGTCAGTCCTTGTTATCTAGCATTCGTACTCGCCTCCAGCCTGGACATAACATCACACATCTAGCCATGGGTGCTTTAGTATTGGCTTTAACGAAGTGCGGTGGTGCGCAAGACGCCACAACTTTCAACTGTATATCGGTCATTGATGGTCGGCGGTACCTGAAAGAGGGCCATAGACAAGGCGAGAAGCCCTATATTGCTTCTTGCCAAACACCAGCCATCATCGCCTTTGAGAATGTCGCTGAACTGGCTATTAGTGACGTCTCTAGTAAAAGCGAAATACGCGAGAAACTAGAGAAGGCAACTGGACTTGCAAGAAATTCCTTCGTCGGCAATTTAGCTACGCCTTGTAAGCTTGCCATGTCCGTTCCAGTGATGGAACTTGGGGCAGTGTTAGCAGCGATGTATGCAGCCACTAGAATTACCTGTTGAAGTTGAGGCTAATCATTGTTGGCATTTTAGAAGTCAAAAATCTGCAGCGCCTCCTCCTATAGAAAGCCCGGTAAGTCGCACATTGATAAGCTGTGTTCATTACAAACTCCAATCCTCTTTTACTGACGACGTCCAGGTTTTTGCAAGTGATGGAATCACCGAGCGGTATATACCTCGTCAATTTTGCTCAAACTCAAGTGAGAAAGTCTTGCAAGTGAATGATGTATATTTCTTCTCAAACCAGTCATTGTCAACAGTGTAAGTCAGCTTTATCAATTCCCATGAACCTAGATCTCTACATTCTGAGCACTTTGCTAACAAGTATATGAACCATAGCTCTGTTCGTTTATCTAGCTGGCGGGATTGCGTAAGGCTTTCTATAGATTATAACGAGGCACGTCACGATAAGGGAGATATGGTGGCGTATCTGAACGAGATTGCGAAAACCATGTTGGTTTTGACAGATTAAACTACTCAAGTCGCGACACAATCATGGCTTTAGTTAAAAGCTATACAATGATGGAGGGTTCCTTGGGATTACTTAGATAAAGGATATACAATGAGCAAAGACCCATTAGAAGGCGACAGCACTATTTCAATTTATTGGACTCTTATTGTTTCTTTTTTTGGATCCTAGGCGAAAGAAATGACTAACAAGAATAAAAAGGGGCTTTAAGGGAGCTCAGAGCGTAAATTTGGTAGATTAAGTATTATATATTGTTACCGAATATTATATTTGACACTCGTTCTTAACTCAGCTCACAGTACCACCCAAGCTTTCTGCACGTCTCACAAGGATAGTTACAATTCTACTATTTTACCTAATACTTCTTACTTTCTATATACGAGAAGCCCCAAGAACGGCTCATTCAGTCGCTTGTCGCTGTAAGTATTGTACTCGGGGTCTAGGTGTTGATGAGTTTGGACTGGTCGATAATGTGCTTAATGTTCGTGGCCATGATTCTTTCCAGAGTCTCCGGACTCTATATTTCTTTCCCATGGATTTTTCTTCACCCACGTTTACTAATTAGGACATTAAGTAGGAACGAATAAGGATATCATATGCCACGATTTTAGCTATTTGATCATGGTTATTGAAAAACATTTATATGAAAGGCTTTGTGGATATATAGCCATGAGCTAGTACTAGGCCATCTGGCCTTTGTAGTATTTATTGTCTGCCTTATTAATTCAAATCCTTCTTTGGGGTACCAGCCCGCCAACCTTTGGTTTCTCATTCTACTGCAGAAGGGGAGCATCCTGTTTGGCCCCTGCCTGATACAATACATGCAACCAGCTGCTGCACTGCGTCTGCCACATTCCACGCATACACTTGTTCAAGTCTTTTAAGTATGGGGACAACCCTGTGCTTGATGTATTTAATTATCAGTTGTTGATCAACACCAATCAGCTTGCTGTCAAACCGATCGAATGCCACTGTTATTTTCCAGTTAGGCTGCAATGCTTGTAGCATATTGCCCAGCTCGATAGCCCCCCTCATATGGGCAAAAAAGAAGCTGCGGCAGCCCTCAAAGGAGCAAATTCTGCTCATGATATTGGCTCCGAGCTTGTTCTTATTGGCCTTTGTTACAGCAGCTGTCTGTTCTTGGTACCGCATGCACGCAGATATCATGGTATCGCCAATATCCGATACTGTGGTGACCAACATGGCCCTTCCAAGGCGGAAACTGCGTCTTAATGTAGTAAGGCCAATATTTGCAGTGTTACTCGCTTTTGCTCGTCGTTGTTTGTGTTCGAACTCTTCCTCAGAAGCAGTACATTCATCGTGCCAGGCGTGTCTCGTCGCATTTCTATTATCTAGGATTTGAGCTGTTCGTCCTATCAGTATGCCGTAGAAGATTGACCATGGAATCTGTGTACGGAAGGTGTTCTCACCGCTATTTGTTGGAACTGCAAGATTGCAAAAAACAACCGATCTTGATGATGGAGAGGCAAATGACTGCAATGATGCGCATTCATCTATTCTTGGCAATCCACCTCTTTTTGGGTGCAATGAAGACACTTTTTCGTCGTAAGGCTCTGCATAATTGTGTTGATGATGCCCTTGACTCTCTTCCCACTCGATTTCTGCACAGTTTGTCATATCAATGTTTGGGTGCATGTAGCTGCGTACACTAGCAGCATCATCGTTATGACTACACTCTTTCTGTTTCTGGCTCTCCTCATCACTGCTGCATGGGTTGCGGACGGGATCCGGCTGCCCCGAAACCGAATTCGCAAAGGGCTCATAGAGCGGCCCGTTGGTAACACCGACTATCAAATCAGAAATTCCTTCTAAAAGCCTCGCATTGTGTGCAAGGCATGGCGACGCAATGCCTAGTAGAGCAAGAGTTGTCGCCAAGAGGCCGGTTCGCGCGGCCCATGGACCCAATGCTGCGTTTTTAAGATAACCCTTTTGATACCCGACGTCTTTGAGGCTTAGCCGGAGTACATGAGGGTTCTCAACGCCCTTGAGATGCGAGCGTATAGAAGGGATGACCTGGAACAGAAAATCATCACCGACTTCACCGATCAAGTTTAAACAGCCACGTATCACAGCATGCTTAAGCTGTTCGGTAAAGCTTGTTCTAGCAGTCCAGGCAGCCTGTCCTGAAGGCGATGCTAGTGTTGACATGCCAAAGTTGACCAACCCAGCAATTATGGTCATTAAGAACATCATGGTGCTGAAGTGTGTCCAGTCAGGCTTGACGCCAGACGTGTTTGGATTATGCAGCCGCAGCCGTGATTGTACCATTATGTCCCGCATCCCTGTGTAGATTGTAAAGGCAATGTGTGTCGAAGCATTGCCCGCAGCGGTGTTGGTATAAAGTTCGCCGATACCTGCGGCAAAAGCTGTACTGGCTAGGATTGCTCGCGAACGGCGACTTGCCAGTGTTGCCGTCCCTGATTTCTCATCACGCCACATCCCAATTGCATGAGCTATGAGGGCTACGCCAGTACCAAAGAACGTACCAAGTATCGCTCTCAACCTGGGGGATGTTTTCATGTTGTGAAAACCAGCTTCTGTACTGTAGCTGATGAATTGTCGCAATATTGTTGGAATGAATACTGATATTAAATTGCGTGCTGATATATTGACAATAGATATAAGTATTTGGCCGTGAGTGCTTGTGAAGTTCTCATTATGTGCAATCTGCGACATGAACGTCATTGCCGTAGATGTAGTTTTCGACAATCTTCCGGAATAACTAGAGCTAATTGGAAGTATTAGTATGAGGAGGAAACACAGTCGAGGCAAGCCTATGCTTTCCTGCTTTTGGGAAATAAGAATACATGAGTAGAAAGGAAAGGGAAGTTGTGGATGACACCTGAAGTACTACGGATCTGGGATTCGAACTGGTAAAATACAGGATTTAGCTATCTCAACTCAGGTGCGTTGCTATACGAGATTGCGGTTCGTATAGCGTAACATATACTGAGCATCTTGTTGGAATATGACCTTATCCGACAGCTAAGACAAGTTATTTGGAACGTAGTCTCACTGTACATAGCATTCTAAGCCCCTGTGATGCAGAGCCTACGCGTCTGGTAGACCTTATGCACATTCACAAGATGAAGCAGTCGGCTTGGATCTGGCCTGTTTGCCCTTTCTTGAGACCTAAGAGTGCATGATCATGTCCTCCCTTGATAGCATTCCATTGGGGGGCATTTCTCCCGCCTTGACCAAAGTACTTGTAGCCAACAAACGCGACACCACGTGAACGGTGAATGTCACATTCGTGCCCCATACCACACTAAATCTCCCAGCGTTCCTTACATTGGCAATAGCTGATCTTCTTAGAAGGCATACGCCCAATAACCAAGCTCCAGGCTATGAAGACACAATCGCGCCTATGATGACCAAGCCTTGCAGTAACTATTAGCTGTGTAACGACTACCTAGTCTGCAGAAAAATCGGTCTCTTTGTTTTGCTATTAATTAACAGTGTGAGCTTTGGTTATTACCTAGAGCGACTGGTTGATAGGCTTGCTATATTGGTAGCAGGTCTCGAAGGAGTAAGACCGTGTGGAGAAGATCAAGACACAGACTGTCTCTTACCGACAGTATATATATGGCTTGTTAGTGCATATAAAAATAAAGTAAAAAGAATTTCAGTACTTCTGGCTATTAAGTTAATGGCAATGCATACCAAGAGCAACCTAGTCGCTTGGGATAGTTCTTTGTAACGATTGCTGCAAACCTTTCCACGCCGATAGAGAAAAGCGATCCAACGAAAAGCATGACAAGCTTTCAAAAGAGTTTGAGTTTGTGTGTCCTTCTGCTATGGTAGCAGAACGATGGCAAGAACAGGGATAACTAGTTCATGTTTCTATGTTGTCAGTAAATTCCAAAACATTACCATCTAGTACACTTCCAGCTGCAGCGCTAGCATATGCATTCCTAACTTGCGTAGATCTGTAAAATCTTGGCAGAGACACCTTGTTAAGATCCCTCGTAAAGATCCCGATGCTGTCAATTATCTCCAGATTCTTAGTATAGAATATTTGTAGCTGCATCACCCATAATTCATCCTGATACGTAGACTATTGTCGCCTGTGAAGGTAATTGTTGGGCTGCTGCTTAGTATCCTTACGCTATCAGCGAATCCTTCCGCTTCGCGAGTGTCTTCATAGTCACAGCACGATAAAATGCATAATAAAAGTATCGTAATCTAAGATTTAGCTATTGAACACGCAATACGAGAAAGAGCTAATATTATTTGCGCTCCGGGGAAGGCCTTTGCTTTCTCTCAAGACGGATAACTGGGGATCATCAAGAACCCCCGGGGCGGGGGCTGCTGTCTCTCAGCTTGCGGGGCCGGTTTTAGTGCCTTGAATCCAACTCGTAGGACAGAAGAGAAATGTAGGTATAGCAATTGAGGCAAGGATTTGTATCAATAGCAGAGCTACGACGATAACACACACGCCCTATTGGTGGATATTTACTGACCTCAAAGTCACCCAAATCATCCAAATGAACAGCTACTCAAGACCCTGCTAAACGTTGGCTGGGCTTTCCCTGTAAATCCCCTGTGAATGATCTCCGCAAAAAACCCCGCCGAAGCGAAACAAGCCGTGGGGCGAGCGGGATTTTCCCGCTCAGAAGCGGCCGCTCCAGCTCCAGAGTTCAGCGTTGTGGGGCGTCGTCGGTTCTCAAAGGCTCGCCTCTTCGCAACTATCAACTGAGCAGAGTCATTCTCACCTTGTACAAAGCATGGTATTCGCGTACAGACAGAAACAAACAGAAAATACCAGAGATATTCTGTGAATTGCCAGAACCAATTCATTGATATCGACCTGCCATTGGGCTATTTTCCGCCGTCTAATCCGCTGCTCATGTTTCAAGTGCTGTGAGTGGACCGATTTCCCGCGTATCCCGATCTGTCGGGTTGCTGAGCGGCCGCTCGTGCATTCGCAGAGTAATGGCTATTATCGCCGTCAACTACAATGACCGTGTTGCTGACCAGCGCCATGAATTGCGAGCGGCTCTAGATTCGAGTCATCTGAAGCGAGCGAGATGTCGCCTCCATCCAGGCAAAAGGCGGCACGAGCCTGCGCTGCTTGCCAAAAGTACAAGAGACGCTGCGATAAAGCCTTGCCGGGCTGTTCTTTATGCACCAGGTATTCACATTTCCCGCTTCGTTGCCGTTCAGCGGCCGCTCTGCAGACTATCCATCCAAGTCGAATTCTTCATCGATTTCCTATCTTGTAGATTGTCTACCCTCTAATTGGCTAACTGCTGTTTGCTAGACTGCGCCGGTATTGCGATTATACTAATCGGCAAACGGAGAATGAGCTCAAAACCCGTATTCAGGAGCTCGAGTCGCTCGTCACTAATCATGTCACCAAAGTCTCTCCCCAGAACCTATCCACGCCCGCATCTTCCAGCCAAGGCACCGGTAGCTTGCCGATGTCGCAAACAGCGTCTTCTTTCTACCCAGTTTCCCTACGCTTCCAGAAGCTCTTTCTAGATTCAGATCTCAAAACTCGTCCTGATGCTCCTCCGCCGCCATCCAGTGACATGATCCCTGCTGCCGCTCTCTGCTATTTGAGTGATCAAGCACAGAGCGCCGCCGGCATGTCACAGTACTTTGAAACCGTCCATAAGTGGATGCCCATCATCAGTCGAGTCCGCTTAAACTCTTTTGCCGATGTAGAGCTCAATAGCCGGCCCAGAGCTGATTTCGCGCTGCTACTCCTGACTATGAAACTCATTCAACAGGTGCCGGGAAGCTCGTCCGACGCGGTTAGAAATCCTTTGTACGTGTGCACCAAAGAATTTGCGGCTTCTTTAGATATTGCGGGCGTATATACACTGCTCAAACTTCAGGCTCAACTGCTTATCACCGTTTATGAGATGGGTCATGGTATTTTCCCGGCTGCCTATGTCTCAATAGGCTGCTGCGTTACCCAAGCCATGGCCCTCGGCATACATAATCGAGAAGCACCACAGATCTTAGAACAGCCGCGCACTTGGATAGACTGGGAAGAGAGACAAAGAATCTGGTGGTTTATTGTCATCCTTGAACGGTATATCCCTCCACGGTTAAGTGCTTTGTCACGCAAATATCGCAGATCTAACCACAAGCAGATATGTCAACTCTGTAGGAGACAACAGACCTCTGCTGTCTGCTGATCCTCAGACTACATCTCACTTACCTGTTGACGATGACGCTTGGGACTCTGGTGTAAGTTGAAACTCCTTCGACGACGATGCACATACACAGAGCTGATGTCATATATAGCATGCAATGTATCCTGAACGGCTTATTCTATCCTCATCGAAACATCTTTCCGCAAGTCCATTCGCCCGCCTTGCTCAAGCATCTCATCTACAAGGAGAGGTCATCAAACACTGCAATGACGAAACGCAGAGTCTATCACACGTGAAGAATAGCGTCGAAGTGCTTAGCCAAGTATTATTGAGCTTCTTAGAAGTCATCAGCAAAGACAAAGCGAGCATGATGCATTTCTATAGCTCTGTGGGTGTTTGTTTGAGGTAAGTTATTTTTTATTGTTCGTTTCTGCCATGAGCAGCAAGCTGAGATAAAGGCTCACTTTCTAGCGCATTGATGAAGCTTTGCGACTACCACTCCTGCGACTCATTCGCTATCTATAACGATAGATCCCTAGATGTATCAGAATTAGCACTCGCTCGCGAGATAGCTCTAACGTGCCAGAGCATAATGAAGGACTGCATTGTCAAGGCAATGTCGTTTTTAGATGTCGTCAGAGAGATGATACAAGACGCAGATCTCGCCGGCTTGTCGCCTTGGTTCTTGGATAGTTTGTATCAATGTCTTGCTAATATTGTTTATCTTATGGCGACATCTCCCGCCGTTGAATCGTCAGTATATCCTTCTCAAGCATCGCTTTGTTTGAATCTTTTACAAAAAGCAAACCACAGATGGAACGTCGCGGGTAAGTTCACCTTCGATATCTTCTGGTTGAATCATAATATTAAGGACATCACAGGAGCATACCTTGAAACTATTGACCTAATAGAGAAAGAGTTGAAAACGGGCAGATATTAGTATTGGCCGCTCGTCGGATGCTTCCCATGGATACTCTATTAATACAACATGGTATACAGTCCAAAATCTGACGGCAAAAATCTGGACATGTAAAAAATATTTCATAACTTACCATGCTTAAACTACAGAGGTATTACTTACACAGTCACTCGACGCATATAAGCCTGATATATGCTCCATGGGATACCTTTACCGTACTCGCCTTCAACGATTCGGTGTCTGGCATGATTTCTATTCATTCCTACTCTCCAAGCATAAAAGCAACATTGGTAGATCCGCTTTAGGGTAGTATTCGGATATTGAAAGACACCAATAAGATTTCGATAGAGCCGCTCATAGCACAGCAACAACAGCCATCCCCCAGAGCGGCTGCCTGTGATTATTATAATAATCAAATAGCAGTCGAATATAGCATTATGTTCCAATATTCACTGCATATTTTGGCCTATCGTTGGCTTGTCTTGGGCTGTCCCGGGTTCGGCAGCCCTCTTTTGCCCCTCTTGGGAGCCTTGGGCAAAGGCGCATAAATGATTGGTTGTATAGTTGGGTATGAATGCACACTCACGGAACCCAAAGGGAGTGCGGTATTTTACTCAGATTCGAGCACGATTCTGAATTCTTTCCTTGTCAGCCAATATCTCCAGTTGAATAAACACTCTATTAGCCACTGTTTTCACCATACTTTCCTTAAGACATACAGCCAATTCTTGTTCCAGCTATTGATCAGCCTCTGTCCAACATGGGAAAGACATTTCGTGTACGCGGTGTACCCCACGGCTGGAGTAGAGATGACTTGCAGTCTTTTTTGAAGCAGAAAGCCTCTTCTGAACCAGAAATCGGGTCTTTGGCCCTCGAGGTTCATAGGCGCACGCAAACAGCAACGCTAACTTTTCAAGACGATTCCTCTCAGCTGCAAGATATTTTGACTGTGAAAAAGCTGGAAATACCTCCACAATTGTTGCATAAGCAGTCCACTAGAGCAGCGAGCCTGGTGTTTGACTGCGATTTTGGTGGCATCACGACGTTATATGCTCCATGTTTACAAGATCATCAAGTTGAGTTAGTAATATACATACAACATAATTCTCGTCTTATGCTAAAATTCTCTAGCATTATTGCAATCTCTGGCCTCGGTGGACACGCATTCGGATCGTTCAAAGAGCGAGGTGGAAATCACATGTGGCTACGAGATGCGCTTCCATACGATATCACTGGAGGAGATAACAACATACCCATCTCGCGCGTTATGATCCACGGTTACGACTCGAGTCTCCAAAATAGCGATAGTTTCCAGAATCTAGAAGATCTAGGGACTTCATTCTATTCATCTCTTCGGAGTATGGCCATTGCCGACTCATACCGACCGATCATACTAATTGCTCATAGCCTAGGCGGACTGATTGTCAAGGAAGTATGCGCACTCTCTATGCCATTTCGGAAATTATACTCATATGTGGCAGACCCTCATATCCCTCTCCAAATCAAATGATGAAGAAGACCAAAACTTGTTACGAGCAGTGTACGGAATCGCATTTTTTGGCGTCCCACACGACGGCATGGACATCAAGTCACTTATTTCCATGGCCGGAGATGGGCCGAACCGCTTTCTATTAGAGTCTATTGGGAATCAGAGCTCACAAATCCTCGGCATCTACAACCGTGACTTTCCTCATTCACTGGGAGGCCAAGGAGAGTCCAAGATTATTTGTTTTTACGAAACGCGTCTATCACCGACTGCGACATTGGTATAGTATTATTATCAATATAAAAAAAGGATTGTATTAACACGTACTAGGATGAAAAGGGCAATTGGGAAATGACAGGGACAGCCGCCGTTTTGGTATCAAAGTCATCTGCCACACATTCTCGCCCGTGGGAGACTGGGCAACAGTATATCTGCGCTATCAACCGAACTCACTCCGAAATGGTCAAATTTAGCTCAGAAGATAGCGAGTATGAGAAAGTTGTCGGGCGAATCCAAAGCCTCGTACGAGAGGCAAGAAGAGCACATGAGGTACAAGCACTCATAGCACAAAAGCGTATGTAATCAAACATAGGCCCAAGACAACTAGACTAAGTAGGAATGGTATTGAAACTTTACAGGTGCATTGCAACCGACTCTGTCACAACAAGCCCAAAATTGCTTGAAATCGCTAGCCTTTGATAGCATGAGAAGCCGCTCCCTTGAAGTTGAATCTGCCGTCTCAGGCACATGCGAGTGGCTACTCCAGCATGAGACATTCAGGAGCTGGTCAGAACTTAACCAAGCAATCCTTTGGATCAAAGGGAAACCCGGCTCGGGAAAGTCAACGCTTCTCAATTATACCTTTACCAAACAGAAACAACTACTCAGCGCCAGAGACAGTGATCTTGTCCTCTCGTTCTTCTTCCACGGCCGTGGGGGCGACCTTCAAAAAACGCCTCTTGGCTTGTTCCGATCGCTGCTCTATCAAATTCTCAAGCAGATACCTGATTGCTTGTCAAACTTTGTCGATATTTTTGAAAATAATTGCAAAGTCATAGGCGAGCACGGCAAAGAATGGCAATGGCATCCAGAAGAATTATGGTCCGCCTTCGAGTCGTCTCTCCCAGAAATCTTGAAAGGTCGTTCAGTCTGGCTCTTCATCGATGCATTAGACGAAAGCGGTGAAGACAATGCAAAAGACCTTGTCAAGAAGTTCAAGCTACTATTCAAGAGAGCAAACGACCCGTCTGCTGGTACCAATCATCTGCACATCTGCTTCAGCTGCCGTCATTACCCAATACTGGATTCTCCTGGCCTAGCCGAGGTATGCCTTGAGGAAGAAAATCGAGCCGATATTTGCACTTACGTGCAATCTGAACTGTCTTCGTCTGAGGAACAGATTTCATCTACCATTGAAGATTCGATCATCGAACGTGCCTCTGGTGTGTTCTTATGGGCACAGCTAGTGGTGAAGCGAATTCAGAAGCTTACAATAGAGGGTGCTGGGCCAAACCATATCAAAGCAGCAGTAGATTCTCTACCTAAAGACCTCGAATCCTTATTCAAGGAGCTAATACGAGGTATGACGCCAGCTTCTGTAAGGCTAATCCAGTGGATTCACTTCGCCACACGGCCTTTATCAATAGAAGAGTTGCGGTGGGCCATGGCTATAGATGCCGGCTGTATATCGCTACAAGCATGCCAGAACGCAATGGATTATGTACCAGATGATAAACACATGAGGCAACGAATTATGAGCCTCAGTCAAGGCCTTGCTGAGATAACTTCGGGGACTGGAACACACATTGTTCAATTCATCCACCAGTCTGTGAAAGATTTCTTTCTTGACAAGGGATTTCTAGCCTTGCACGGCAATTTTACGTCTATCGAGATGGCAATTGGAATGTCACATTTATATCTATTCAATACCTGCATACGCTATTTGGCGATGGAAGAAGTTGGAACATTAGCCATTGGTACGGCTGAGCCTGACCATATGGATACCGATTTTCCTTTTTTGAATTATGCCATTACTTCATGGGTGTCTCACATGAAGCAAAGCGATGACCATGGTACACCTGCCGAACACTTTTTGGAAATGCTTTCTTGGCCATCAAATGATCTAGTGGCACTATGGACGAAAGTCGGCAAATGGATGAGAGGATTTTCACGTAAATACTCACCAGAAACTACCAGTCTTGTACATATTGTAGCAAGGCATGGTATTCAGGGGACCATGAATGTCATCCTACAAAGACTCGGCCAGGTCACAGTGGAAGCAGACTTAAAAGACGGCAATGGCCAAACGCCTTTGTCATTAGCTGCAGAGCAAGGACACACAACTATAGTCGAGGTATTGCTTGCTACTGGCCACGTTGATATCAATGCCAACGATAAATTTAACCGGACGCCGCTGTCATGGGCTGCAAAGAATGGTCATGAGGCAGTGGTTAAGCTATTACTTGCTAAAGACCCAGCTAACATCAATTCCAAAGATGAATATAACCGGACGCCGCTGTCATTAGCTGCAGAGAAGGGTCATAAGGCAGTGGTTGAGCTATTACTTGCTACAGGCCAAGCTGACATCAATTCCAAAACTAATTTTAACCGGACGCCGCTGTCATGGGCTGCAAGGAATGGTCATGAAGCAGTGGTTAAGCTATTACTTGCTACAGACAAAGCTTACATCAATTCCAAAGATGAATATAACCGGACGCCGCTGTCATTAGCTGCAGAGAAGGGTCATAAGGCAGTGGTTAAGCTATTACTTGCTAAAGACCCAGCTAACATCAATTCCAAAGATGAATATAACCGGACGCCGCTGTCATTAGCTGCAGAGAAGGGTCATAAGGCAGTGGTTGAGCTATTACTTGCTACAGACCAAGCTAACATCAATTCCAAAGATAAATATAACCGGACGCCGCTGTCATTAGCTGCAGAGAATGGTCATGAGGCTGTAGTCAATCTACTACAGGACTATGCTCGATCTCATACTTGATGAGCCCCCTCCATCTTTTATTGTCATGGGGCACAGCATATACACCCAGGGCCGAAAACCATCGCAAATCTATGGCTTAGGTCATAGAAGGACGTAAATCAAATTTAGGTATTGTGAGTGACTAAGAAAAGATCTCATAAAGCAAAAGCGAAGGTAAAGGGGGACAATCTGGAATACCAAAGTCACTAAAGCTCAGAGACGACCAAGCAAAAGTGATGGAAACTAGACAGTGATGATGGTGAAGAAGAACTAAACAGGAGGAGAGCTGAAGAGGAGAGAAAACAGCCAGGCGCGCAGCTATGGTGTTGTCATGCAACAGGTGGTTATTGACAACAAAAATCGAATCTAGCCCTTTAGCTAAACTATGTTCTTTAATTACCTCTCGCAATTGCTCGTATATATCATTTTGGCTGCAAATTGCAAGATTATCTTGTATTAACGGAAAATGCAAGTTTCGAAGGAGAAATAGAGCATAGTGAAATTTTGCAATTAGTGTACAGAAACAATATGAGAAGAGAAACAATTTCCATAGTTCTGTTAGTACAACAGAAACAAACAATGACAAGCTAGGTGACAAGCCAGGATCTTCATGTATTTTTAATTCAGCAACACCGAATGCAGATACAGAGGCGTCGCACTGAACCCCATCATAAATGATCAAAAGTGCTTCATGCTCTGCACAATCCCCATATTGAAATTATACTGCATCAATATCTTTAGGAGAGACAAGTGAGTTGCTCGCTGATATTATTATTTGAGCAGCTTGATTAGCTTATGTCGATTATGCTATGGTTTGTTAAAAAAAATGCGTTCATTGTCCCTTGGCGTGCTAAGAGAACTCCCCTTCTGAAGCAAACTTTGTGCTTCTTCAAAGAGGATACCTTCCGTAGGCCGAGCACTTAGTGGCATGATACAAAATAACGGCAGAGAATGCGAAATAAGTCAGCTAGCCTTGGAATCCAGCAAGAAGTGAATTGCCACCTAGAAGTCCTTCCATCAATCACGCTCTAGCAATCACTACCAATACTGATGAGCAATGTCACCACTCTCAATCGTGGGTCAAAGCTACCATGTGCTAGTCAGGGGTAAACTAAAAATAAATAACTCTAGTCAGCTCCCAAGAAGCAGTCACGAAATAGTCGCGCTATTGGCATCTAAACCGAATTCAATGGGCCTCAGGGTGGCAAAGAGAAAGACGAACGATTTCTTCCTGTTAGCGTTTGTTCATCGTAGTCGTTAGACTCATGAGCTACGAGTCACGGTACGAGTAAGCATAAGTTTCTATCTTTGTGTTTCGTTGCTCGCTATGCGAATATAAGTTATCCAATGCCTATCTACTTGCGCTCACACGCCCTCAGAACTAGATTCACCACTTCAATCATTCACAGCAAACCCGGAAACAGAGCCAGAAAACCTCAGTCAAAGCTCTTGCTTACTCAAGCTAACCCATAGTTGTTAGAAACAGGCAGTCTAATAAGTCAGCGCGGCTGATAAAAAAAAAATCGCCATTCTGAAAAAAGAATAAGAGGAAGAATACAATACGCCGAAACAGGCTCTGATTGGCCAATTGCGCGGCAACAGGATAATTAGAACGGCTTTTTACCCGAAGAGTTTTGCCATGAAGGCCCTGTCCCGTTGGCGGCTCAGGAACTCCCCACTCCTATCTACCAAGTCCTAGAAAAACACTAGCCATTGAATCCACGAGTAGAAGAAAAATTGAAGAAAAGATGTCACTGAATGAATATAGTTGGCAGCAAAGATTTTATGTACACGTAATGGCTCAAGATAGCAAAACCCGCCTAGACTCCATACCCGAGACGCAATTGGCAGAAAAACGCCATGCAACATGTTAAAAACATAACCACCCTAGTTCTCAATGACCCTGAAACTCACAACAAAGGTCCATTATGTACGAGTACATGCCACGGAAGAAAAAGATCTGATCTGATCGGAGTGGATGCCGTGCCATGCCATGCTCGATCGATTAATTAATGTTGTATTTCGTCTAGGGGCCCGATGCTCGTCATTTAGGAGAATTTTGGCCCATCGCCACTTTGCCGAGACAGAGGTTGCAGCCAGAGAGGGGCGTGGCAGCGTCACTTCAGCCGGATATCGTTGACGTCGACGGGTAAATCTTCGACCAGCGCCATGGCGAATCGGAGGTTTTCGATGGGACAGAAAAGGCAATTGTCGACCGGCACGGTTGATTTAGACGAAATTTAAGATTAAAAAGGGAAAAAAGCCAAGTCGCCATATTATTAGGTGCTCCCTTATGTGGAGGATGTTTCTATATCTATCGAGAGTTGGGGTACGTAAAGCGTGACGGTCTTGTCCACGGAAAAGGCCTCCGAGCCCAGAGCCAGGTATCCCAAGTAGTCGCTGGACTTGGGAAGGTCGGTAGTAGCGGGGAGGTTGAACACTTTGTTAATGAGTGGAGAGATGTCTCCGTTGAACTTTTCTATGGGCGTGTCGGTGTACCAGGTCATGACGTTTTGCTTCGTCGCTGTGTTTATGCCGGAATAAAGATTGCTAGAGATAGATGATTGTCAGTAATGCTTAGTACGTGCATTTCTAGAGAATTGACACTCACAATGTGTCGCTACCAAGTTTCTGGGTGGATATAGGACCCGCGGCAAAACCGATAGGCTGAGTAGAAGCGCCAAAGGCTGCAAACCAAACCATGAGTTCGAACTTGGCCTTGGCAGGGTTCTGAGCAGCCGTTTTATCGCTATCAATAAACATATCGATAGCAACGTTGGTGTTGAGATTGTCGGCAGTCAAATCCGCAGAGGAGGAAGCGGTTGTGGTTTCATTGCCAACGCCGTAGGACCATTCGATATCGATATCGACTTTGGAAATGCTGTTAACGGTGGCCGGGAGAACATCGGTATCAATCTGGATGTTGGGGAAAGCGTGTACAGGGTCGTCCTCTGGGCCAGGGGGGTACTGCCATGAAATCATGAACTCAGGTGCGGTAGTGCTTGTGGGATATGTGCCGTTGTTATTCGTGGTGACCTTGATGTCAAATATCAGCATGTGACATTAGATTAGAGTAGAAATTCCAAACATACATTCATACACAAGCGCCCCGGATCGCCGACGTTCCAGTTCCATTGGTTGGGGTTTACTAAGAGAAGCAAGGGTCAGTGAACATGTTAGATCAATGTTTGCATATTGGAGATAAAGAGCATGAAATGGAGCAGAATGGAGAAGCAAAGCAGTCGAAGATCAGGTGTTTCGCCAGATATTCGCCAATTGTGATTTGACATGGGCGTTGTGAGGATCAGAATCCAGCGCTCAAGTATCGTGACATATCAACGACCACCATGCAAGCTTCAAATCAGACTAGAAGCCTCTTGCGATTGATGGTGAACCACACCAAAGATTGCTGAAATATCCAGCCATATCCTCCGGAAGTTTGCCGTCTCTGCTGGGTGACATTGTGAAGAATAGCTCGGCACCTACATATATACTTCTGCCCAGTGGTATCTGGTGTAATTCCAAACGACTTCTGGCAATACCTCGTCTTGGTGACGCCATTCTTTGGAGGTTTCGGCGGCGCAGGCGTGGGAATTGGCGGCGGCTGAGGCGCAAACAACGGCGGCTGTCCTGTGGCATCTCGGTGCGATTGCAGGCCAAACAAGATGCCCAGCGTCACGGCGATGGGGATGGCCAGCAGCGCAACGTTGACGAGGATGCGGATCGTCATGGCTGGCGGAGAAAAACGAAGGACAAAACGAGCGTCTGGAGCCGCAGAGCTGCGGGAGGAGTTGAACGAGCGAGCGTCGTCGAGGGTCGCTGGAATGAGCGCCGTCGAGCACGATTTGGCGATTGATGGGTTTTGTTTGGTCGGAATTGCTGGAGGGGGAAAAGGGCTTCGGGCCTCAAAGGCGTTCCTCGAGAAAAGAGAGACGAGTCGCAGTGCAGTTCACTCCAGTCAGCGATACGAGGCCGCTCCATCTGGTACTGGTACGTTCACATGTACATGTACCGGGTGCCTGGGGCGAAGTACACCAGGTACGAGGCCGGTACGAGCGCGAACAGCCGTCTGATGGGCGGTGCGGTGCCAGCTGCAGGCCACTAGCGGACGCGGTGGGCGGGCTTTAGTGGCCTAGTGCCCAGAGCCGGTGCGCCGCGAGCAAGAGCTGGGAGAGGCACGCGAATAGGGCCTGGGCGGAGGGTTCTAGCGGCTCTGGCGCACAGGTAGCGGTACTTGTGCCTGTCTGCTCGTATACACGTACACCTCGTCTGTGACTGGCCGATGCGCAGACCATTGAAAAGGGCCACGGCGCGCAGTTCAATGGCCAGCTCCGAGAGCCCCGTCTGAGCTGTTTTGCTATTTCTGTACTCGTATCGATACATTTGATTGAAAATAGTGACAGATGCTCCATGAAAAAAATTGGGAAACATTTTGGTTGAAACAAGTGGGCAACGCCACAGCACAGCACTTCATGTCACAGCACGCACAGTATCACTCATGGACGTAGCTGTATCCGTTGATCGCCAGGATCGAGAGGCAGAAAAAACTCAAAACATGAGACGGTGGATCGCCGAGACGGGGATGATGCGCACAGAGCGGCTCGTGTCAGCGAGAGTTTTTTGCAGTTGAGTCCACACGTACATGTAGCTTTTAGGGGTGCTGTTCTGTGCTCCCTACAGCAGAATGCTGGGCGATGGACGATCAATCAAGATGGTACTTGGCATGTGGGCAGAAATGAGATGTCACACAGCAGCTGCCCAGAGCTTCACAGAGCCTCGGGTGATTGGACATCGATGCACCGAGAGTAAACATCACATCGAAGCGCGGCTGCATCGATGGGACAATCAGACAATCAGACAACTAGGCGCCACCTGTGTGGCAGAGCAGTATCGTATCACACCGATAAGAAAGTGTGAATGGAGGTAACGGTAAACAAGATTGAAACAAACAGGAAATTAACCCGGCCAGCCTCGTCACTCTCTCGCTGTTGTGCCGTCTCTCTCACAGAAGCCGATCGTGCCGGCGTCCATGACCGGCCATCCCCGATGAATGATTCTCTCGACAAGTCCGAATCTGACACCGGCCGCTTTGCCGGTGCAGGCATCACTTGTACAGTCCTGTAAGCTTGAGCTTTACGAGCAGCACTTGTAGCGGTACAAGCAGTTGCGCTGAGGAGTCGTTACGCATCTGGCTGGGCGCGCCGCCGTAGTGCCGAGAACGTGCAGTGACAGCATCAATGGATCAGTCAAGAATGTGCAGTGCAGTAGGTGCTCCAGGCTACGGAGCGCCCGCCCAAAGTTTCTGGCTGCCATCTTCGAGTGTGGGATCCACGATTGCGGCGATGCGATACCACCTCCATGGGAGAAAAAACTGGCCTCCCCACTTGGACGACTTGCTCCCCCCAGTCCCAATCGGCCAAAGGGTCCGAGGCGCATGGCATGGGCTCCATCCGGTACGAAGGGCCCTTTCCATTTCCACTGGGCTACCGTGATATTGGGCACATGATTGCGGGAATTGGCTCACTCGTGCAAAAGAGCTTTCCATTGTCTGGAGTTGTCGGCGCAGTAATCACCTTGTTGTGTTTTGAGTCCGGTGCTTTTACACGGGTACCGTAGTCTTACTCATACTCTTACTCTTACGAGCCTCATGTTTATCTACTTCTCCCTTTCCAGCTGGACCGTGTTTATCGTTCGCACGCTAAGCCAATCATGGCCAGGTCCACTTTCCTTATCCCGAAGAATGGAGCTCCAGGGATGCGAGGGCCCCCTCTTTTCGATCCCAGGCCCATGTTGCGCTGAAAGCGAGAATCAAAGCAAGACAAGATAATGAACATCAGCGATGGCGGCGCGGCAGCACGAACCACTTGACAGTCTGATGCTCGAGTCTTACCACAGAACGCCCGACGATCACGGCTGCTGTGAAACCCACGCACAGTCAATCTCTTGCCATTGAGAGACAACAGGACAAAAAAAGAAAAGAAAATTAAAAGTGGACGGTGGGAACGGGTACCTTGAGTCGGTCCAGGTGGTTTCAGTCAGCGGCCCAATCACACGCAACTGGAATGCTTATCTATCACGAAGGCTGGCTGGCCCGTATACACAAAAGGCAAGCTGCTCACCCTTTTTTTTTTTTGCACTCGTCAGCTCTATGTCTCGAGGGGAAGGCGGCTTACTGTAGACAAAGAAGTGCAAAACCTGAAAGTTGAGAACGGTTGAGACAAAGGAGCGCATGCAGAGAAACTTATAATTTAGCATATCTATCGCCAAGTAAGCTAGAATTCATGGCTTCAAGCATACAGCTTAAGGTAATTGCCGTTCCTCGTACATGCACATCCTAATGTTCAGCGACTCCGCACGCCTCCTCGCCGTTGCTGCATGTCAAAGTCGACGTCAAGGCGGTTGACGTAAAGTGTAAACTGACGATGCCCCGGCTTGGCGTGCGAGCCAAAATTAGCAACGAGCTCCTCTTTGCTACCAGGTATCTACTGTCCAGCTGTAGCTTTCCAGAATCGAGAGTACATGTACGAATGCGAGTCGCAATGAAATGTTTGATTCACATGTGTTGGATGTACTTGTACCGCATACAGCTGGTGAGTACATGATTCACCCCCCTTCTTCAGGCCCACGTCACGCCACTCCGGCCTCGTATTGGAGGAGCAAAAAGGGCAATACACAAAAAACAGGACTCACAAAAAAAGAGGGTGCTGACTGATAGAGTCTGGTGTCTTACAGGTATTCAACGTTGCTTGCGTTGCGCTGCATCTGGTCAGTTTCCGAGCCTGCCACCAGCCCGTTTCGACTGCAGCCCCGGTCCAGCTCCAGGCCTGGGCCTATGACGATTCAACGCTGTCTGCCTTATCCGCCCAAGCCGCAGCGCCAGCGCCAGAACACGAGAAAAAAAAAAGCTGCGTCGCTGCGAACCCCGGTCGGCCGTGCGCGTATCCAGTACACGATACGATGCGAAAACCGGGGCTGCGCACGGCCCAGGCAGCGCTTGCGCAAGCTCGCGGCCCCAAGTACTGTGTACCTGCGTCTGCTGAGGCGCCACGGCTAGCCTCCAGTGGACAGCGCTACTGGACAGCGCTACTGGTGCCTACTGGTCTACTGTAAGCCGCACCGCCCACGACATTCCCGTCAATCAAAGAAAGGCAGTGGCAGCACAAAGAAACGGCCAACCTCATGTTGACACCTGCCCGGGCCTAGCTGGCGCTGCTAGCACTGACTGGGAGCTGCTGGAGCTAGCGCGAGCCACTGACAGCCCACTGGCACCCGCTGTTCCCGCTGAGCTCTGGGTGCTGCTGGACTCGATGTAGGTACCTCCAGCTGTCTCGATACTTGCAGCATGGCATGAGATGGCGCATCTACCTGGCCAACCTTGTGAACTCGGGGGGCTGTAAAGCAAAAAGCAAGACTCTTCCACTGAATGCAGTACTGTTGAAGTCTCTGCAACCCTTGCTCAAACTCTGTGTGCTGTTGTGCATTGCGTCAAACGGCACACACTTGCAGTTACAGTAATAAGAAGTGCATGTACCTCGTACCGCTGATACACGCTCACACCTTGTCGCAGACCCAACCTCGTACCACGCGCTAGCGGTAGCTCCTTGTACCCAGATCGGTGCCTCAGAGGGTCCTTGTACCGCTACTTGTGCCACACCTCACACCCTCCATCGCTGCTAGTATCCGACGTCCTGTCTCCTTCCCAACCGGCCGCTTCCTTTTTCACCTCTCTCTTCTCTCGCTTTTCTGCTCCTCAACTTCTGCTATTTCTCCTCCTCCCACATCATCATCTGCGGTGAATTGCTTCGCTGCTTACATTCGTTTAGCATATACCAATTTCTAACAGGGGGGGATCCTGCACAGCGTCTCCTCCAGCAGCCGCCCGTTTACACCAGGAACCGCGTGCCCAGCAAGCCAACCTTCGTTTATTTGGCCGAGGATACACTTTTTCTAGCAAATCTAATACGGAGCACCGCACGCACATACAAACGCCATTCACCATTGTGCCCCAGGAAGCCCAATCAGCCCGGCCTTGACGGTGTTTGCCTCGCTAAAGCCCCGCATAAGGCGTCGACAACTCAACTGCAGCCAGTTTCTCTCGCTTGTGGCCGAGCCACATAAACCACGAGTCTGCCCGCCATGATGCAAAGCCACCAGGAGGAGTATGAGGAGATGGTCGAGATCGGTGGCTTCCGGCAGCATCAGCACACCGCGTCCGACGACTCGCATCCTCGCCTGCTCAACGACAACATGAGGTCCAACCGCTCCAGTCGGGTCAATCCTGACGACTTCGCCTCGCCTCAGTGGCCGCCGTCAATTGCAGGAACCGGCAGCTCCCCTTCCCTGACGCTAAGAAGCGGTGCCACCACGCCGTATGACCACATGTCTTCGTCTAAACACTTGATTTTCGCCGATTCGAGATCGTCTACTCCAATGGTATTTACTCCCCCCTCTATCCCACGAGCCCAACTCCAATTCCCCCCAAGATTCCACTTATACCTCCAGCTGTCAATTCTACAGTGGGTTTGTATCGCATGCGCATGCTCTTGGCCCATGACTCTTGCCGCGAAGTCGCCGCTGACGTCCCTCCTCGTATTTTTCGTTGAAACTGCAGATTCAAAGTCATATAAGCCTAACAGAGCTTCTGCCACAGACCGGCCGCTCTCCGAGCAAAGAGGTTAGCAGTAGCGACAGTGACGATCAGAATGGGATCGCCATTCTGCACGATCGCGACGATGCCGACATCTGGAAGGGCTGGAAGAGGCACCTCTACACCCTCACGCCTCTTCTCACCGTGCTCAACACCGGAATCTACTTGACGTACCTTGGCCTTCGTATCGCCTGTGTTATTTTGGCGCAAAAGGCGTCCGGCCTCACTTTTGCCGCCGCCTGGGTTTTCATTGCCGTAGAGCTAGCAGTTGCCATTCCATCACTCATGCACAACACCTGGACCATGTGGTCTCTCAAGAAGCGAAACAGGCCCAAGATGAGGCTGACGGGAAACGACGTGCCTACCGTCGACGCTTTCATCACCTGCTGCGGCGAAGATGACGAGCTGGTCATGGATACGGTTCGCGGTGCCTGTGACCAGGATTATCCTATCGACAAGTTTCGAGTTATCGTCTTGGACGACGGCAAATCGGCTGGTTTGGAGCGATCTTGCGCTATTCTCTCACACACCTATCCGAACCTCTACTACATGGCCCGAACCAAGATTCCCGGACAGCCCCATCATTTCAAGGCAGGAAACCTCAATTACGGCTTGGAGCAGACTACTTTGTTGCCTGGTGGTGCTGGCCAATTCATGGCGGCCCTGGACGCTGATATGGTAAGTTTACAAATGGGCGGGAGAGTCCAAACACGTTTCCCGCTACAACAAGCTTTGTTCCTTGATTTCGCTAACTGAATCGCAGATTCCCGAGAGAGACTGGCTTCGCGCTCTGCTTCCTCACGCTGTCATGGATCCCAAAATGGCCCTGGTTTGCCCTCCTCAGCTGTTCTACAACACGCCGCCATCCGACCCCCTGGCGCAGTCCCTGGATTTCTTTGTTCACGTTATCGAGCCTATCAAGGACGCCATGGGTGTCGCCTGGTGCACTGGATCTGGTTACGTAGCCAGACGGGACGCTTTGGAGCAAATCGGCAACTTTCCTCTTGGTTCACTGGCTGAGGACGTGGCTACGTCAACCCTTATGCTCGGTAAAGGATGGAAGACGGCCTATGTCCACGAACCCCTCCAGTTTGGAACCGTTCCTGAAGATTACGGCAGCCACTTGAAGCAGCGTACTCGATGGGCCATTGGTACTGTGGACACGTCTTTCAAGCTCAACTTTTGTCTGTGGGGTGAAAAGGTCCGCCAAATGACTTTTGCACAGCGCTTCTCTGGTTTCCTCTACGCCGCTCTCAGTGTCTACACCGTTCTGCTCTCCATCTCACTTTTCGCCATCCCCATCATTCTTATCATGGGCAAGCCTCTGGTCGCATACGCCAACGATACCCAGCTGCGATGGCTCATCCGCGCGTGCTTTGCCAACACCATTGTCAACCGTCTTTGCGAGTTTGTCCTCTTCATTCCTGCCGGCTATCACACTGGCCAGCGTGGTTCTCGCTACCAGCTCTGGATGTCGCCCTACATTGCCCTCTGTCTTATCCGAGCCTTCATCTTGCCCAAGTGGCTTGGAGGACAAACCCAAGCTTTCAAGCCCACCGGTTCCATCTCTTCCGCTCTGAACGAGCGCGACCCCAAGTTGAAGAAGAACATGTTCCGCCGCCTATGGGTCATCCTTGTCAACTACATGGCCGGGTTCCATCTCGCCTTTGTCTACCTGACGCTCGTTGCCGTCACCCTCGTTACATACCGCTGCTTTTTCCAACAGAGTCACTCCACCAGAGACATCCTCATCGCCCTAGTGACACACGCTTTCTGGCCGCCTCTCACCTTCATCTTCATCTGCAGCTCTCTCTGGACTCCCGTCGGCTACGCCATTGACCCCCCTCGAATGCCCGAACGAGAAGATCTCCTTATCCGCGATGCCGAGACCAAGGTTGCTCACCCCACGGCCCAGAGCAAAAAGATTGCATTCGGCGGCCAGGCCGCCTGGTTCGAGTTCGAATACACGTTCTCGACCTTGTACACATGTCTTATATTTGTCCTATCTTTCCTTTTCTAAAGCATTTTGGAGGAACTTGAGAGACACAAATGCACATTCAACCGTGTCTCTCAACCCTCTGCAACGTCACAGTACGTATGGTTTATAGTCCGAGCAGGCATGATGGAGAATTTGGAAGTTGCAGCATACGAACCGGCCGAGTGGGTTCTAACGATGGAACATTTGACTTTTTGTTTTCGATGGTAAAAGGCGCATGGGATATGTATGAACATAGACAGGGCGGAACGCGTGGTTTCGACTTGACATTTAAACTAATTAAGCAGCATGTTCGGCATGATCGACGACATTGCAGTTATAGATTAATACGGCGATTCGCCATGTATCTAGCGATCAAATGAGTACATGTATCACAAAGAGCCTTGATTGAACGCAGTGATTGTTTAGTCTACGCGAAAGCAGCAAAATGAGTTTTGATGATCTAAAAAGGGAGACATTCTCCAATGATCTAAGACACGGAAATTTCGGCTCGGAACATGGCGTCGTTATACTTTAGTCTCGGCAAATGTCATCCTACTAGCTCCAACGGTGCAAACAGTGATTTTCTCTTGCTTCCACGAAGCCCTGCATAACCCTAGGTTTGAAGAATGGCACAAATGCTGCAGCAGTATAAGACGTTCCTGACAGTAATGGATAGGGGCTAGATAGATAGGGCTTAGAGATGGGATGAGCCTCATGGCAGGGCATTACGAGAGAAGATTAAATGAAGTAGTGTACCGATTACTACTGCGTGCTACTGGTGGAAGTAGGCCCAGATCCTGTCAGATCTCCATGTGCAAAGCATGGCGCTGCGAACTGAATGGACGGAACCTTATTTTCCCTTTTTTCTCTTCTCCTTTCATGCTGACGTTCGTGATGGTGGATTCGCGGAGCTGAGCGCGCCACTTGCACTTGTTGTATATGTTAACGGAGATGCTCCGTTTTATTTTGTTTGTAATCACTTACGGGGCCTATTTCTTACGTGGGAGTTACTAACACAATACGATGATTGCCCATACGAATTGGCTGTGAGTGAATAGGGGGCTATGTTGATAAGGGAGATGAAGGTTGCTGGAAATAGATTATGGACCTGCAGGTAGGTAAGGTAATTGAGACATGAGAGTTGGAAAAAGATACATGTTTGCATTCATAAAGGTACTTAGAGAGGTATCGTTTGAGTTCGATTCATAGAACCTTGCGCCTTGCATGGCTGGTTTTTTGGTCCGTTTTCGGCAATGCGAGGGGGGGTGTGAACTTTGAGAGTGCCTGGGCTTGGTATGTACAGGTACTCTTTGTCGTGGATTTGAAAAGGCAAGGGAGATTTAGGTAGTAGAAGGGGGAGGCTGTGTTGTCTTCTATACGGAGCTGTTATTTTTGTTTTTGTTGGTGCTGGTAAGCAGGCAAATGATTGCGAGCGTGTATGCGAGTTCCGTATTTTGAAACGGATTGCGCGGCTATGGGTGGACTTGATGGGCGAGCAGGGCATGAACCCAGTAGGTACTTCGGCCCGTATAAGTCCAACTCGGACCAAAGATAGATCAGACATGGACAGTACCAAATTTGCTCCGCCGGGTCACCGACTCACCGCCGTTGCGGTCCTACAAGCACCAAAGTGATTGACATAGAGCCAGGCCAAAAACATCAGCATCAGCCGGGGCGGTTCCTAGAAA